TTCTCGATCTCACATGTCAAGCTTTTGGTAGTAAATTATTTCCACACAGTTTTTAATCATCCTGCTTAGGTAGGTTATGCAGCGGTTCTTTTTGAGAAGGGGTTATTGAAGAAAAGAAAAAAAGTTTCTCCCCCTCCATCCAGTCCCACTCCAGCATACTGAACCTGATGTAATTTCTTCATGATGTATTCCGTTAAATCCAAACCCGTTACTCTCGTTTCACAGAGGCCACTTCAGTTAGCAGTTTTCACTCCCGTTCTTCACTTGAAATATGTACATTTGCTTCATTTCCAATTAAATATCTCGAGCTTATGCAAACCAGTGCGTGATCAGAGACAGCGTCCGGGAGAGCCAGACTCCACCCGAGGGCTTTATGCCTAGTGCCCTCACCCCCTTCTTTCGAATCTGGGGGTGAATTATGGGCACAGCAGGCAAGGCAGTCCCCCCATTCCCTTGGGGGGGCAAGGGAGGCTGCATACTCCCATCACAGCCTCTTAATTACCTCGTGTGGGTCAGAGAGATGTTATTGTCAGCCATCTTCCAATTCGCCCCCTGGTGGCCCCCCCCCCCCGCATAGACAAATATGTCTTAAGTACCCATCACCCAAAAGTACAATCAAGGTTCCTTTGCATGTCTGGAGCCTGAGGCGAGTCAGGTGATGAGATTTGGCTTCCTTTGGCTAACAATGAGCCCAGCAATTTTCACCTCTGAGAACTTCCTGGAGTCCTTTTGCCAGGGGAAATAGCTTTGGAATGGGGGGAACTGGGAAAGGAGATGATTTTATATTATTTTTAAAGTTAGGTGACTTCCCTGAGCTGTCAAGTTGGAAGGATATATTCAGGCATAATATTTGTAATATTTAACTTTAAAGATGTGCCCCCCCCCCCGTAATTTCCGTAACACTTCGCTTCTTGCATGGGGGGGCGGGAATCAGCAGAAGACCTTCGAAGGAGGACCTCCCTGTCCGGACTGAGCGATGTTGGTGGAGATGCTGCTTCAGGTCTACAGGGCTGAGGCTGTTGAGGGCTTTAGGTTGCAGATCTTGCTGCTCCATAACGATCTCATTCAGCAAATAAATTTATTACTGAAGGCAAAGAAGAATAACAGGATTCAAAAAATAGCAAAAACTTAACTTACGTAAAACCCTAACTTAGCATACCAAAACAGCACTCAAGTAAGAATCACACAAGCAGAGTAGAGAAATAGAAGACTAGGAAGTGGGACCAGGCGCCTTTCGGCCTTGTAATTTATATTCTATTAAATGTCAGAGTAACCTTGGGGCTGGATAGCAAGCCTGGCTCACTCCAGTTTAAACCAGCTTCATCTGGTTCCCCAAAACAAGAAAGGTTCTTCATAACCTCATCGCAACTTATCCCACCACCAGCTCTCAGCAGAAAGGAAACTGCCAAGTTTCAGGAAGCCTGCATTAGATCAATACTATTCTATGCCTGGAAAATGCAACCATGACACTTTAAAGGTCAGCACTAACAATTTGAATTGTGCTTGAAAATGTGCTGGGAGCCAGGTAAGGTCCTTTAGGAGCAGTGATATGTGGTCTCGGCGCTGCTCCCATTCAGTTGCAGTTTCTGGGTCACCTTCAAACGTAGCCCCATGTAGACCACATCGCAGTAGTCCAAGCGGGAGATAACCAGATCATGCACCACTCTGGCGAGACAGTCTGCGGGGAAGGAGGGTCTCAGCCTGCGTTCCAGATGGAGCTGCTAGACAGCTGCCCTGGACACAGAATTGACCTGTGCCTCCATGGTCAGCTGTGAGTCCAAAATGACCCCCTAGGCTGCACACCTGGTTATTTAGGGGCACAGTTACCCCATCAGGACCAGGGGGTCCCCCACACCTGCCCACCCCCTGTTTCCCAGGGACAGCACTTCTGTCTTGTCAGGATTCAAGCTCAATCTGTTAGCCACCATCCATCTTCAAACCACCTCCAGGCACCAACACAGGGCATTCACCACCTTCACTGATTCCGATTTAAATGAGAAGAAGAGCTGGGTATCACCCACATACTGGTGATCACCCAGCCAAAACCCCTGATGATCTCTCCCAGCAGCTTCATGTAGATATTAAAAAGCATGGGGGAGAGGACGGAGCCCTGAGGCACCCCACAAGTGAGAGCCCAGGGGTCTGAACACTCATCCCCCAACACCACTTTCTGGACATGGCCCAGGAGGAAGGAGGGGAACCACTGCATAACCATTTCCCCAGCTCTCCTAGAGGGTTCAGAAGGACACCATGGCCAAAGGTCTCCAAAGCCACTGAGAGATCTAGCAGAACCAGGAAACAGCTTTCCCCTCAGACTCTAGCGCATGGGAGATCATCATCCAGCGCAACCAGCGCAGTTTCAGTCCCATCATGAGGCCTGATTCCCAATTGGAAGGATCATGGTGGCAGAAGCTTTCCTGGTCCTGCACCCCCAAAAGCTCCAGGCACAATATTTCATTAGCTTTGAAGGGGCCATCCAATACTTGGTGGTCTTTTCTTCAAAAGACAAATATTCTGAATACTTTTTAATTGATGTATGATGTAAATAGCGCTTCTGTTTTCCTTGTTCCACATCAGAGAGACTTTGATACACAGGTCTGAGTTCATCACTCCCCCTGAAACTGCTGTGTAAGCAGCACTGCCTGGGCAGTGTGTTTGGGGGTCCAGGGCTGCCTAGACAAAAGACCCCCTTCTCACCCTGGCTTATATGGTCCCAAGGAAAGCAGAGCAGTACGTTAGGCACCAGCTTGGCTGCAGGAGTGGCTGGAAGGAAGTGTGCAGGGCACCATCCAACCGTCTTAGAGACGGTGCCACTCTGGATTTGTGTAGGTTTTCCTCTATAGCCTTTTCTTCTCCTGAAGATAACTCAAAAGGAAGTGAAGGAGTGCACCAAAGTATTACGACCAGAGTTTTCCTTCTCGAGGAGCTCCCTTCCCAGGTTGATGAGCCCCATCTGCCCTCACTTTCCTCTGCAGAATGGGCTGAATCTGCCTTCTTGACTGTGGGATTCACTGTTGTTCTCATCCTCTCCATCCACCAGGGCCTGCCTTCACCTGCAACAGAATTCCCTAATACACCAAGGATTTGAGACCCATCATCTATCCTCACCTGCTTTCGCTGGCCGGTTGAAGCCGTTCCTGGGATTGTGGCCCCTATTCCATCCTGACAGTTTCTGGAAGCCACAGGTGAGAGCTGAGTGCAGGGTGGGGACCAATGGTGGGTAGATTACCCCAGAAGGTGCACAACATGTCCCCCATCAATATCATGACATCGTATGATATTTAAGACAGAAGAGGAATAAATTCATGTCCCCAGAAATAACACACTTTCAGGGAATTAGTGAATCAATACTAGATTTTCAAGGTACTACATATTCCACTAAGTACAGTTTATCTATTTGCCTTGAATATCCTGCTTTTCAGTGTCCTTCTTTTAGGATAGTCCTGCGTCAGAAGATGGGCACAAGATCAGACAGCACATCATTCTTTAAAAAATCATGCTGCTTTATTAACATTGATTGCGAATTATGAAGGTTGCTCATGAATTACTATCATTTGATGACATTGCAACTTCATTTCCTAAAAATTGGGAACATGGGTAGGAGGTGGGGGAATGTAGGAGACGTTGAAATAGGAGAAGGTGCTAATGGAGCTTGATGTGTTCTCTTTCCCTTAGTTCTCTTCCTTGAAACCCAACAGGATTTCCTTTCCTCCCACTCTGAAGAAGGTGATGGAGTAGACACTCAGAACTCCAGGGGATGGGGCACCTTTCATTTCATTAGGAATAGACATTTCAATGTGTGAAATGCGGAATATGCTTCATTAAATGAGCACACATAGTTCACATCAACGACCTCCAACAGAGGAGAAACCACATAAATGCATGGAGTGCGGAAAGTGCTTCAGTCAGAGTGGACACCTCAATATACATCAACAGACACACACAGGAAAGAAACCATTTAAATGTATGCAATGTGGAAAGAGCTTTAGTGATGCCACGGTGCCACTCTGGATTTGTGTAGGTTTTCCTCTATAGCCTTTTCTTCTCCTGAAGATAACTCAAAAGGAAGTGAAGGAGTGCACCAAAGTTTTACGACCAGAGTTTTCCTTCGTGATGGGCTTCCTTCCCAGGTTGATGAGCCCCATCTGCCCTCACTTTCCTCTGCAGAATGGGTAGAATCTGCCTTCTTGACTGTGGGATTCACTGTTGTTCTCCTCCTCTCCATCCACCAGGGCCTGCCTTCACCTGCAGCAGAATTCCCCAACCCACCAAGAATTTGAGACCCAGCAGCTATCCTCACCTGGTTTTGGCAGCCAGTTGAAGCCGTTCCTGGGATTGTGGCCCCTATTCCATCCTGACAGCTTCTGAAAGCCACAGGTGAGAGCTGAGTGCAGGGTGGGGACCAATGGTGGATAAATTACCCCATAAGGTGCATGACATTTCCCCCACCAAAGGTACTACTGCTCCCCTAACACCCCATGACATCGTATGATTATGATATTTAAGACAGTCCATCAATAAATAAATACTACATTTTCAAGGTACTACATATTCCACTAAGTACAGTTTATCTATTTGCCTTGAATATCCTGCTTTTCAGTGTCATTTTAGGATAGTCCTGCGTCAGAAGATGGGCACGAGATCAGACAGCACATTATTTTTAAAAAAATTAAGCTGCTTTATGAACATTGGTTGAGGATTTTGAAAGTTGCTCATGAATTACTATCATTTGATATTGCAACTTCACTTCCTAAAAACTGGGAACATGGGTAGGAGGTGAGGGAATGTGGGAGACGTTGATATAGGAGAAGGTGCTAATGGAGCTTGATGTGTTCTCTTTCCCTTAGTTCAACTTCCTTGAAACCAAAACAGGATTTCCTTTCCTCCCACTCTGAAGAAGGAGATGGAGAAGACAGTCAGAACTCCAGGGGATGGGTCACCTTTCTCCCCCATTAGGAATAGAAATTAAAATGTGTGAAATGCGGAATATGCTTCATTGAATGAGGACACATAGTTCACATCAACAAACTCCAACAGGGGAGAAACCATTTAAAGGTATGGAGTGTGGGAAACGTTTCACTGATAGTGGAAAACTTAGAACAAATCAGCGGACTCACAAGGGCAAGAAAGGATTCCAATGCAGGGAGTGTGGGAAGAACTTCAGTCAAAATGGACACTTACGTTTACATCAACAGATTCACAAAGGTGAAAAACCTTTTAAATGTCTGGAGTGCGGAAAGAGCTTCAGTTTCAATGTAAGCCTTAGAAGACACCAACAGATTCACATGGGGGAGAAACCATTTAAATGTATGGAGTGTGGAAAGAGCTTCTATCGGAGTGATACACTTAGAATACATCAATTGACCCACACAGGGGAGAAACCATATAAATGTATGGCGTGTGGAAAGAGCTTTAGTGATAATGGAAAGCTTAGAATACATCAACGGACTCACACAGGGGAGAAACCATTTAAATGTATGGAGTGTGGAAAGAGCTTCAGTCAGAATGGACACCTTAGAAAACATCAATGGGCTCACATGGGGAAGAAACCATTTAACTGCCTGGAGTGCGGAAAGTGCTTCAGTCAGAATGGAGACCTTAAATTACACCAGCGGATTCACACAGGGGAGAAACCATTTAAATGTATGGAGTGTGAGAAGAGCTTCAGTCAGAATGGACACCTTAGAAAACATCAACAGACTCACACAGGGGAGAAACCATTTAACTGCCTGGAGTGCGGAAAGAGCTTCAGTCAGAGTGGAAGCCTTAGAACACATCAACGGACTCACACAGGGGAGAAACCATTTAAATGTCTGGAGTGTGGAAAGAGCTTCAGTCAGAGCGGAGGCCTTAGAACACATCAACGGACTCACACAGGGGAGAAACCAATTAAATGCCTGGAGTGTGGAAAGAGCTTTAATGATAATGGAGGCCTTAGAACGCATCAACGGACTCACACAGGGGAGAAACCATTTAACTGCCTGGAGTGCGGAAAGTGCTTCAGTCAGAGTGGACACCTCAATATACATAAACAGATTCACACAGGGGAGAAACCATTTAAATGCCTGGAGTGCGGAAAGAGCTTCCCTAACAGTGGATATCTCAATATACATAAACAGATTCACACAGGGGAGAAACCATTTAAATGTTTGGAGTGCGGAAAGAGCTTCAATTTCAATGGAAACTTTAGAGAACATCAACGGACTCACACAGGGGAGAAACCATTTAAATGCCAGGAATGCGGAAAGTGCTTCAGTCAGAATGGAGACCTTAGAAAACATAAACGGACTCACACAGGGGAGAAACCATATAAATGTATGGAGTGCGGAAAGAGCTTCAGTTTCGATGGAAACCTTAGAACACATCAACGGACTCACACAGGGGAGAAACCATGTAAATGCATGGAGTGCGGAAAGAGCTTCATTCAGAATGGAGACCTTAGAAAACATCAACGGACTCACACAGGGGAGAAACCATATAAATGTATGGAGTGTGGAAAGAGCTTCAGTCAGAATGGAGACCTTAGAAAACATCAACGGACTCACACAGGTGAGAAACCATTTAAATGCATGGAGTGTGGAAAGTGCTTCAATCAGAGTGGACACCTCCGTATACATCAACGGACTCACAAAGGGGAGAAACCATTTAAATGCATGGAGTGTGGAAAGAGCTTCAGGCAGAGTGCACACCTTAGAGTACATCGGCAGACACACAGGGGAGAAACTGTTTAAATGTATGGCGTGTGGTAGGTGCTGCAGTCAGAGTGGAACCCTTGATTTATGTCAAGAAACTCGCACAAAAGACAAACCTTATAATTATCAGGAAAGTAGATAGAGGTTCAGTCCTAGTGGAAGTTCTAAATCAACAGACTCACAGACAGGAAGAACTTTAGGAGTTGAAATCCTACAAACCATCAACAAACTCAAAGAGGAGAAGCAATTTATATGAAAAGACTGGAAAAAGTGCTTTATTTATAATGGACTGATCAAGGAACATCCAGGGACTCTCACATGGAAGAACCCATTTTGATGTCTGGAGTGTGGGACATCTTCCTCTCAGAGTCCACTCTTTTCTTCACAGAAATGAACTCAGCAGGAAATCAGTCATTAACACATGTTGTGTATGTGAAGTTCTGGTATTTATGTGTAAAACTGTATAGTAATGAAATATTGAAGGCAATGTCAAACAATGTGATTATAATCTACGATGTAAAGTACCTTTCGATAGAGAAGCGGTGAGGGTTTATCTGGATTGCTGGGGGTCAGTGAGGGCTGGGCGATATATTGTCCCAAACTGGTTTCTAGACCACATCGTGATAACCTTCCAAAAACAATTGATATGGCAAGACCTCACAGATTACAGTGTGTGTTTCTGGAATGCTGATTTGTCTAGAAGCAGCCAGCAGAAAGCTTTTCTTCGTGAAGCCCCTGCAGATGCCGAGTTCCTGACTTCCCTCCCAGACGACAGGAAGCGAAAGACACACATCCATTGCCCTGTGTCCTTCCAGCCTCTTTCCTCCCTTGCTCCCTTCTGCCGGTGTGTGTGCCTGGCTTAGATATCCTGTATGCTGTATGACTTTACTGCTGAAACTGGATTTGCTCTCAGGAGCAAAGTTTTGTGCCTCACTGGGGACCCAGTGAGAACTGTATGCTTTGAAAACTAAGTAAACTATTACTGAAGAAGTCCTGCTGCCTCTGTGTGTGTTTTTGACCTCAGCATGGGAATTCCTCTACACGTGGCCCCTACCCTGCCGATACTTGGCTTATGCCCTGGAGTTGCTGTACTCAAGCATGCAAGACGGGTGCATCTGTGTGTGACTGGTTTTTGCACCAAACTCTCTCTCCCTCACCACCGCATGATCTCCGAATACTGCTTCTTCACTAGAACTTCTCCCTGCCTCCTACATGTTCTGAAGAAAACTTAAAATGCTGTAATTTAATGGGAGATTTCCCCCAAGCCTTTTTGCAAGAGGGGGAAGGAGGTGCTGCAGGTACCAGGGAAGTCTCCTGATGGGTCCCATCTTCCCTCACGAACCCCATGGGGCAATCCCAGAGCTCCTGCTTATTCTGGGGTTTGGGGAAGATAGTACTTTTCCATAGTCCCAGAAGTTATTATTCTTCCTGCCAGAGGACCAGTGTGCATATTATTATCGTGCTGATTTTACTGTTGTTGCTGCTGTTGCTGTCATGGACTGGCTGGGTGAAAAGGGGGGGAGGCATCAGCATGGGAACCCCCAAGGGAAGAAGGCTCGGAGTCCGGGTTTTGTAGGCCCCCAAAGGCTATCAAAACTCCTAGGTCTGGCCAATTAAAGGCTGATATGGGAGCCATTGGGGGCCAGGTCGGTTCTTTCATTTTCGCCTCTCCTCTGGAAAAGTGCTCTTTCTTTTGGGGTTTGATTACTTCTGCCTCCTTCGGTGCCCACTGCACCATCAGCAAGGTTATTCCCTGCTGCTTAAGTTGTTACACAAGGGAGACTCCCTGCCCTTCCGACATGTTGCAGATAAAATAAAAGGTGGGGCGAAAGCATTTTGAAAAGACTGGTGGCCAGCAAGGCCCACAGTGAGAAAGCCTATAGAAAAAAAAAGACTCATAACCCCCTCGGCTGCACAGCCCGCCAGTCCTGGGCAGAGAACTCGCAGTTGTGCCAAGAGGAGAGAGAGCCTGATCTCTGCAGCCCCAGCCCTCAGCCGGACAGGAGCCTTCAAGCAAAACACAAAGCAAGAAAAGTCCTCTTTCCTCACAGCCTCAGCCCCTCTTGGCCGAGATAGAGACAATACATAGACATTCACAGAGCTGGGAGTCTGCTGCTGCCTGCTTGAGGCGCCCACAGCTGTCCGAGACACACAGAGCCACAGCCCATGGCTCCCTCGGTTCAGGCACCCACAGCTGGGTGGGCTCAAAGAAAGCCTCGATTTATCTGAGTCACGCCACCAAATGTTGTGCAGTGGCTCCTTGGTTTGCAACCGCTTTGAATTACAACCATTTTGGATTACAACCACGTCAAACACCGAAGTCCGTGCCCCTTTTTTTGGATTACAACCCATTTTTTGGGGGGGGGAGGCCCCATTGGCGAAAGCCTTGGGTTACAACCTGTTTTGGTTTACAACCGGACCTCCGGAACGGATTACAGTGGTACCTCGGGTTACATACGCTTCAGGTTACATACACTTCAGGTTACAGACTCTGCTAACCCAGAAATAGTACCTCGGGTTAAGAACTTTGCTTCAGGGCGAGAACAGAAATTGTGCAGCGCGGCAGCAGCAGGAGGCGCCATTAGCTAAAGTGGTGCTTCAGGTTAAGAACAGTTTCAGGTTAAGAACGGACCTCTGGAACGAATTAAGTACTTAACTCAAGGTACCACTGTATGGTTATAAACCAAGGTACCACTGTATACCCCCAAAGGCTATAAAAACTCCTAGGTCTGGCCAATAAACTCAGGAGCCAGGAGGAGATAAGAGTCCAACGATTTTATCACAGGCAGTCAATATTGGGAATGGGAAAGGACTTTTCAACATGTTAAAGAAAATTACGGGTTGAGAGACTACTCAACAGCCCAGCTCGCCAGGGTACAAGTCCCCCACGGGTCCATGCGGTCAGTAAACGAAGGAAATTCCAGCCAAGCAATTTGGAGCAAAGAGCAGTCAGTAGACTTAGATCCATTATTGTTGTGCAACTGGTTCAAACAGCAGTGAGGGAACTCTGACCCTGGGGCGACATTGACTTTTAAAACTTTCCCACCAAATCCCAGGATACAGTTCGCACAGCATCATCAATACATCATTGCTACATCACTAAAACGTCAGAAAGGGGAGGGTTACACAAGATAGACAGATATGTCAGGGCAACACCCAAGTATGAGATTCGCACAGGCAAACATGTCTCAAGTGCCCACCACCCAAAAGTACAACAGAAGTTCCTTTGCATGTCTGCAGCCTGAGACAAGTCTGGTGATGAGATTTGGCTTCCCTTGGCTAACAGTGAGCCCAGCAATTGTCACCTCTGGGCATTTCCTGGGGTAGGAGGTGTGTCTACACATCTTCACCCTTGGGGAGGGGGTGTTGGTTTCTGTGTGTTGCCACTGTGCCGTGCTCTTGGAGTCACAAGACTCTGTTTTGCATTCCAGAGACATTCCAGACATTCCAGTCCAAGCGGGAGATAACTAGAGCATGCACCACTCTGGCGAGACAGTCCGCGGTCAGGGAGGGTCTCAGCCTGTGTACTAGATGGAGCTGGTAGACAGCCGCCCTGGACACAGAATTAACCTGTGCTTTCATGGACAGCTGTGAGTCCAGAATGACTCCCAGCCTGTACACCTGGTCCTTCAGGGGCACACTTACCCCATTCAGGACCAGGGAGTCCACACCTGCCCGCCTCCTGTCCCCGAAGAACAGTACTTCTGTCTTGTCAGGATTCAACCTCAAATTGTTTTTTAAAAAATAATATTTATTACTTTTCCAACAATTTAAACACTACAAAAAAAGAAATAAACAATACAATACAATACAAAAACAATACCTAACACTAACACATTAAACTAACAAAACAAAACAAAACAAAAACAGTTTAAAACACATCAAACAGTTTCAATATCTTATCTTTCATTCACTTATTTCAATGACCTCCTCACACCTCGCTTTTTGTATTCCACTTCTATTAATTGTTTCAGCAATTCCTTTCCATCTTCCTCTGCTTTCTATCCTTTAATTGTCTTAACACATTCTAACCTTATTTTTCCCTTTAATACTCTATTAGTCTATTTATACTTAATTCCTTATAACATTTCTACTAAAGCCATATAACTTCATTCCAACATTTTCCTAATATTCATTAATTTTACAGTATTTCTGTAAATAGTCTTTAAACTTTTTCCAGTCTTCTTCCACCGACTCTTCTCCCTGGTCTCAGATTCTGCCAGTCATTTCCGCCAATTCCATATAGTCCATCAACTTCATCTGCCAGGCAATAAGGACCCAGTTTGGAATCTCTTCCAAAAGGAACTGGGACCCCGATTGACAGAAATCCAGAGGTCTTTATACCTGAGCAGATCACAGCAAATCATAGATCATGAGACAACCATGAGGCAGTCACGATATTGTCAGCGAGAATTAGCCAGTTAGCAAGCTTCTTGCCATGCTTCCAGCTCCTGGTCAAGCACTGGTCAAGCACGGAGTTCTAGTTCTGCTTTCCGATGCTTGCAGTGACACTCTGTCTAACCTCTCCCCTAGTTATGACAGGACAGGGAGTTTGGAGATTTTGTGGTTTTGCTCTTCCTGTTCTGTGGATTAATTTAGCCTGTATCTGAGGGGATTTTGTACCAGTATCTCTGATTCACGTCTTCCCCTTGTCCAGGGTACACGGATGTTTGTAGGGGAAAGGTCGGCTCCTAACTTTGCTGTTTCAAGCAGTTTGCAGTTAGCTAAGGCACAGCTTCCTTTTGATTCAAAATGGATTTTAAAATACTGTAAGCCCTGATTATGTGTGAGCATATATGAATATATTGATTACTGATAACTGATTATATGGATAGCATAGGGGTAGCCCTTCTTCCTTGCCTCAATTCTTCCCGGGTGGGTAAATCTTGTGTCTTCCAATACTTCGCGATGAGTATTCTTGCTCCAGTTGTTGCATACATAAAAAAAATTCTGTCCTTCTTTGACACCAATTGGCCAACCATGCCCAGGAGAAAGGCCTCTGGTTTCTTCAGAAAGGTATATTTGAGTACCTTTTTCATTTCGTTATAGATCATCTCCCAGAATGTCTTAATCTTTGGGCATGTCCACCAAAGGTGAAAGAATGTACCTTCAGTCTCATTACATTTCCAACATTTATTGTCGGGCAAATGATAAATTTTTGCAAGCTTGACTGGTGTCATGTACCACCTATAAATCATTTTCATTAAATTTTCTCTTAGGGCATTACATGCCGTAAATTTCATACCTGTGGTCCATAACTGTTCCCAGTCAGCCATCATTATGTTATGCCCAACATCTTGTGCCCATTTAATCATAACTGATTTCACCATTTCATCCTGAGTGTTCCATTTCAACAGCAGGTTATACATTCTTCACAAATTCTTGATTTTTGGATCTAACAATTCTGTTTCCAATTTTGATTTTTCCACCTGGAAACCAACTTTTTTGTCCAGATTGTATGCCTCCATTATTTGATAATAATGGAGCCAATCTCGCACTCTGTATTTCAATTTTTCAAAGCTCTGCAATTTTAATCTGCCTCCATCTTGTTCCAGAATTTCCCAATATTTCGGCCATTTGGCCTCCATATTGAGTTTTTTCTGTGCCTTCGCTTCCATTGGTGACAACCATCTTGGGGTTTTCTTTTCTAACAAATCCTTATATCTTATCCAGACATTAAACAATGCTTTTCTAACAATATGGTTTTTAAACGCTTTATGTGCTTTTACCTTATCGTACCACAAGTATGCATGCCAACCGAATACATTATTGAAACCTTCTAGATCCAACACGTCAGTACTTTCAAGAAGCAGCCATTCTCTCAGCCAGCAAAAAGCAGCTGATTCATAATAAAGTTTAAGGTCTGGCAGGGCAAATCCACCTCTTTCTTTGGCATCAGTTAGTATCTTAAATTTTATTCGAGGCTTCTTGCCCTGCCAAACAAATCTGGAAATATCTTTCTGCCACTTCTTGAAACAATCCATCTTATCCAAAGTTTGCAATGTTTGAAACAAAAACAACATCCTTGGCAGCACATTCATTTTTATCACAGCAATTCAGCCTAACAATGATAGCTTCAAATTTGTCCATATTTCTAAATCCTTTTTCACTTCAATCCAGCATTTTTCATAATTATCCTTAAATAAATTCACATTTTTAGCAGTCATGTTAACCCCTAAACATTTCACTTTCTTAACCAATGTTAGTCCTGTCTCCTCCTGAAACTTCTCTCTCTCATACACAGTTAAGTTTTTCTCTAAAACCTTAGTTTTCATCTTGTTCAACTTAAAGCCTGCTACCTGTCCAAATTCTTGAATCAGTTCCAATACCCTTTTAGTACTGGATTCTGGCTCCTGTAGGGTCAATACTAAATCATCAGCAAATGCTTTCAGTTTGTACTGTTTAGCTCCCACTTGTATACCTTTAACCTCTTGGTCCTTTCTGATCATGTTTAACCAAACCTCAGGGACCGATATAAAGAGCAATGGAGAAATTGGGCAACCTTCTCGTGTCCCTTTCTCAATCTTAAACTCTTCTGTCACTACATTGTTCACAATTAATTTAGCCTTTTGTTCAGAATAAATTGCACCTATACCATTTTCAAAACCTTGACCTACCCCCATCCCCTGTAGATTCTTCTTCATAAAGCTCCAAAAAATGTTGTCAAAGGCTTTCTCTGCGTCCACAAATATCAAGACTGCCTTAGTATTGATATTCACTTGAAGTTTTTCTAGAATATTAATTATATTCCTCATGTTGTCAGACAAATGTCTGCCCGGGAGAAAGCCCGCTTGGTCTCAAATTGTTAGCCACCATCCATCCTCCAACAGCCTCCAGACACTCACACAGGACCTTCACCGCCTTCATAGGTTCTGATTTGAAAGAGGTAGAGCTGGGTATCATCCACATACTGATGAACACTCAGCCCAAACCCCCTGATGATCTCTCCCAGCAGCTTCATATTGATATTAAAAAGCATGGGGGAGAGGACGGAACCCTGAGGCACCCCACAAGTGTGAGCCCAGGGGTCTGAACACTAATTCCCCACCACCACTTTCTGAACACGGCCCAGGAAGAAGGAGCGAAACCACTGTATAACAGTGCCCCCAGCTCCCAGCCCCTCTAGACGGTCCAGAAGGCTCTGTGGTTTAACCCACAGCGCCACCCACATCCCTATACCCAGCCAGATAGGCGGGGTATTATTAATTATTATTATTATTATTATTACCCACTCCCAGACATCACCTGCAAGGTCCCCCATCGCTCCTTTGCAAACCTGTCCAGGGGGCAAAGCCTTTCCCCCCTTCTCATTCTGTTTGGCCCAAGGGTTGAATCGACCAGGGCTTGTGCAAAACTAGACAAGGAAGGGGGTTGTTGTTGTTTAGTCGTTTAGTCGTGTCTGACTCTTCACGACCCACTGGACCTGAGCATGCCAGGCCCTCCTGTCTTCCACTGCCTCCCGCAGTTTGGTCAGACTCATGCTGGTAGCTTCCAGAACACTGTCCAACCACCTCGTCCTCTGTCGTCCCCTTCACCTTGTGCCCTCCATCTCTCCCCATATCAGGGTCTTTTCCAGGGAGTCTTCTCTTCTCATGAGGTGGCCAAAGTCTTGGAGCCTCAGCTTCAGGATCTGTCCTTCCAGTGAGCACTCAGGGCTGATGTCCTTCAGAATGGATAGGTTGGATCTTCTTGCAGTCCATGGGACTCTCAAGAGTCTCCTCCAGCATCAGAATTCAAAAGCATCCATTCTTCCGTGATCAGCCCAGCCTCCCATAATTAGTTGTTGTTGTAGATTGGCTGTTGTTAAGGAGTTGTTGCACGCTTCCACAGTATTATTTACTTATTGCATTTGCACCGCACCGCCTTTTCTCTCTCAAGGTGAAATTATGTAAGGAAGGGAGAGAAACGGTGCAAGTGCAATTAGTAAATAATACTATGGAAGCGTGCAACAACTCCTTAACAACAGCCAATCTGCAATAATAATAATAAAAACTAATTCTGGGGGGAAAGAAAAAGTCAGCCCATTCCCCCACCCCCTCGCGCGGCGCTGGAGCTCCCTCCGCTGGCCGCTCCGGGGAACAGGCAAGGCAGGGAGAAGGGGAGGGCCGAGGAGGTGGAGCCGGCGGGACACCCAAGCACGCATGCGCAGACTCGGCGAGGTCGAGCCCAAGGTGTCCGCCGGCAGGAGAACCCGGAAGTAAGGAGGAAGCACGTGGCTGGAGGGAGCAGATGCGGGGGAGGGGGTGCATTTGGGGAGGGCTGCATTGGGAGAGGGGAGGGGGTGCATTGGGGGAGGGCTGTATTGGGAGAGGGGAGGGGGTGCATTGGGGGAGGGCTGTATTGGGAGAGGGGAGGGGGTGCATTGGGGGAGGGCTGTATTGGGAGAGGGGAGGGGGTGCATGGGGGAGCGGGATGCATTGCATGGGGGGGGAATTGGGAGCCTGCAGGGGGTAAGAGCCCTGCTTGGTTCACGGGGGGGGGGGGGAGGAGATCAGAGGGGAAACCCCCCCCAGGTTTGAGTTGGGAAAAGGAGGGAGTGGATCAGAGGAAAAGGAGAGCAGGGTTCTGGTTACAGGTAGGTAGCCTGTTGGTCTGCCGTAATCAAAACAAAATAAAATAAATTAAGAAATAAAATAAATTCCTTCCAGTCGTACCCATCTGCATGCACACAGAAGCTCATACCAGTATCTAACTTAGTTGGTCTCTAAGTTGCTGCTGGACAGGTGTGGGGGGGGTGGAACTGGGCTAAATTTTACTTTCCCTGGTGCAGAAATGACTTCGAAGCAATCCATGGCGAGGGTCAAATGGAAGCAAACTTTCCAACACCAGCAATGGAGGCAGATCCTCCCCACCTGCTGAATTTCTGCCTGCCAGAAGGTTGACAGGTGGAGAAACCCAGCCGAAAAGAGAAAAGTGGTGAAAGAGAGCGACAAGTTCCGCTTCTCTTCCTCGCAGACCTTTGCCTGCCAACATCCTCAAAGGGTTCGCATGAGCTTTGCCTCTTTCTCCTCAAAGCGTCCCAGGGAAGGGGTTAAATTGGGGGGGGCATTTTCACATTGCACCCCGTTCCTTCCTCCAGCAGGATCTGCTCCCCCTCCCAGTTCCCGAAAGACCTTTGAGGCTTCCCAGGGTTTTTTGAGTTAGGACCCTGTTTGAAGAGGGGGAGGGTTGCCCCAGAAGGAAGCGAGGAGGGAGCCTTAGGAAAGAACAATTATACAAATTTAAATCCTCCTCGCTGGATCAGGCTAATGGCCCACCTGGTCCAGCAGGATCTGAACCCGAGCGATTCTCTCCTCCTGCAGTTTCCAGCAACGGGGATCCAGCAGCCCTGCTGCCTCCAACTGCAGTGGGGAGAGAATGGCCTCTGTGGAAAGGAAAGGGTGGGTTTGGGGGCTGTGCCTTGGTGGCTCTTGAAGCCGCCCAGAGTGACTGCCCTGAGCTGCAAAAGTGGAGATATGAGGCCAAGAAATTGGGCTTTCTGAATCCACAGCAGGGGATGGACTTGAACTCGCCACCCCCGGGCCGGCTTCAACTGCTGTGCTATCTTTGAGCTATTTAACAATCTTTCTCTCCTGCCCCCTTCCCCACCCATAGTCCTTTGGGAAAAGAGCGCTAGAGTGCTCCTTCTCAGTGGTTTCACATTCCATATTCCCAGATGAATGGTAATATAATATAATAATAATATAAATAATTTATTATTTATACCACAGCCACTCTGGCCAGCTTTCAACAAAATATTAAAATACAGTAATGCATCAAACATTAAAAGCTTCCCTAAGCAGGGCTGCCTTCAGATGTCTTCTAAATGTCATATAGTTGTTTATTTCCTTGACACCTGGTGGGAGGGCATTCCACAGGGCAGGTGCCACCACCAAGAAGGCCCTCTGCCTGGTTCCCGGTAGCTTTGCTTCTCGCAGGGAGGGAACCGCCAGAAGGCCCTCGGCGCTGGACCTCAGTGTCCGGGCAGAATGATGGAGGTGGAGATGCTCCTTCAGGTATACTGGGCTGAGGCCGTTTAGGGCTTTCAAGGTCAGCACCAACACTTTGAATTGTGCTTGGAAACGTACTGGGAGCCAATGGTAGGATCCTTGTACCCCTATTTCCCTTAACAGAAGGCTTCTTGTTAATTATTGCTATTAATTGTATTTATGGCCCACCTTTTTCCTCCAGGGAGCTCAACCTGGCATGCAATTGTTTCCCCCATTTTTATCTTCACAACAATCTTGGGAGGAAGTAGGTTGGCTGAGAGGCAGCGGCTCCCCCAGGGAGCTTCCCGGCTAAGGGGGGGATTCCATAAAAGCTCCTGTTAGCATTTCCAGTCTAACATCGCTCCACTGCTCAGACGCTCTCCAATTCTTCCTTGCCTTTTTTGGAACTACCTAGCTTGAAGAAGAACCTGGTGTTTCACGAAAGCTTGCACACTGCGCCGGTGTGAGCTCCTGGGGGTTTGCTGGGGGACCGGGGACCAGTTGCTGTGGCTCTGTCCAACCTGAAACATAGGCTGGTTGAGGAGAAAACGTGGGCAGGGGGAAACCTCTGTGTGCCACACAGGTAAAGGTAAAGGTACCCCTGCCCGCACGGGCCAGTCGTGTCCGACACTAGGGTTGCACGCCCATCTCACTTAAGAGGCCGGGGGCCAGCGCTGTACGCAGACACTTCCGGGTCACGTGGCCAGCGTGACAAAGCCGCATCTGGCGAGCCAGCGCAGCACACGGAAACGCCGTTTACCTTTCCGCTAGTAAGCGGTCCCTATTCATCTACTTGCACCCAGGGGTGCTTTCGAACTGCTAGATTAGCAGGCGCTGGGACCGAGCAACGGGAGCGCACCCCGCCGCGGGGATTCAAACCGCCGACCTGACGATCGGCAAGTCCTAGGCGCTGAGGTTTTACCCACAGCGCCACCCGCGTCCCTGTGTGCCACACAGATGCAAGGGCATAAATTGAAGTGGATCAAGGCGGGTTGGGACTGCTGATTCTCTTAGATTTGTCAGCAGCCTTTGACACGCTCGATCATGATCTTTTGGACCACCGCCTCGCCAACGTTGGGATACAGGGCATAGCCCCTAAATGGCTGTGCTCTTTTATCTCTGGTCGGGGACAGAGGGTGGCCCTAGGGAGGGAGATATCGTCGCACCACTCCTTGGTGTGTGGAGTGCCGCAGGGCGCAATCTTCTCCCCGATGCTTTTTAATATCTTTGTGTGCCCCCTTGCCCAGATTACCCGGAGCTTTGGGCTGGCATCACCAATATGCTGATGACACTCAGCTCTATCTGCTAATGGATGGCCATCCCGCCCTGATCTGGCCACAGTGATCCATGCGATGGCCACCTCCAGGCTTGACTACTGCAATTCGCTCTACGCGGGGCTGCCCTTGAAGCTGTCCCAGAAACTCCAGCGGGTGCAGAATGCTGCAGCGAGGTGCCTCACAGGATCTCTGCCATGGGAGCATATTCACCCAGTGCTTTTCCAGTTGCACTGGCTCCCGGTGGAGTACAGGGTCAGATTTAAGGTGCTGCTTTTGACCTTTAAAATCCTTCATGGCCTAGGACCCTCGTACCTACGGGACCGCCTCTCCCGGTATGACCCACAGAGAGCCTCAAGGTCCATAAATAGCAACACCCTAGAGGTCCCGGGCCCTAAGGAAGTTAGATTAGCCTCAACCAGAGCCAGGGCCTTCTCAGCACTGGCTCCGGCCTGGTGGAACACTCTGTCTCTTGAGACCAGGGCCCTGCAGGATCTGATTTCTTTCCGCAGGGCCTGTAAGACAGAGTTGTTCCACCTGGCCTTTGGCTTAGAATTAGTTTGATTCCCTCCCCCTCTTTCTTTTTCCTTTCTCCTCCTATGAAGAGATTGCACCCTAATGTTTTAATGTTGTATCTTAATCTTTTAAATTGTATTTTAATCAACTTTTTTTTATTATTAGTTGTTAGCCGCCCTGAGCCTGGTCTTGGCTGGGGAGGGCAGGGTATAAATAAAAAATTATTATTATTATTAATAATAAGGTTTTCTCCTTCTAGATTTGCCAGGATGCTTCGGTCCTTTGTCAGCCCGAGCCTCTGGCATGTGGTGCCAGGCCAGACCTCCCATCTTTGGGGGAGAAGAAGATGCCCGTTTCTCTGCAAACAAGCCAGGTGCCGCTTCCAGGCAGCCTGGCACAGCCGGCTTGCATCTTTGGTTGGTGGCACAGGTTGGCAGGCATCTCTGCTGAATCCCTTGGGAAAGGGCGCTTCCGGCTCCGCAGCCCAGGGCACCTGTCTGGGAGCGAGAGGGGCTTCGCACCCCAGCAGGACACAGCGGCACGCGGCCGGCTGGAGGTCTTTCTCCCAGGGGACCCCGCAGAGCCCCTCGCCCGGCCCCCGCCTCCCGTTCAAGACTCGACTGCTCATCACGGCCCTCTTTGGCGGCGGCATCTTGGCCGGCTGGCTGTACCTGCGGAAAGAGAAGCTCCGGCAGGAGAAACTGAGGCGCGTTGAGGAGTTGCGGAAGCTGGCCCTCGGGCAGGGGGATTTCCGGCTGCTGGACCACACGGGGCGGCCCCGCTCCAAGGCCGACCTGCGGGGCAGCTGGGTCCTGCTCTACTTTGGCTTCACCCACTGCCCGGACATCTGCCCCGAGGAGCTGGAGAAGATGAGCCGCGTGGTGGAACTGCTGGACGGCAAATCTCACCTGCCGAGAGTCCAGCCCGTCTTCATCACGGTCGACCCCGAGAGGGACGACGTGCCGGCGATGGCCAAGTACGTCCGGGATTTCCACCCGCGCCTCCTGGGGTTGACGGGCACCCCAGAGCAGGTGCGGGAAGTGGGCCGGGCCTTCCGGGTCTACGCCAGCGCCGGCCCCAGAGACGAGGACGGCGACTACATTGTGGACCACACTGTGATCATCTACCTGCTCAGCCCAGACGGGCTCTTCCTGGACTATTACAACCGGAACAAAACGGAGGCGCAGATCGCCAAGAGTGTGCAGGGACACATAGACACCTACCAGAGCCTCTTTGGCTGAGAGGGAGGCCTGGCAGGCGGCTCTCTCAACGCTGCTCTTTTGGGGGGGGGTGCTGTTTCAACTTACAAGCTTCTGTCTTGGCACCTTGTGGTGGTGAGTTCCGGAGGCTATGTCAAGGGAGAAATTACATTGCTACTCACTCATATTGCGTGTGTTCATTTACTGGGTTACCTGGGGGAGAAGAGAGGTTTGCTTTGCTTCCTACAAAATATTTTGGGGTGCTTTTTAACAAATGCAAACATACTTCTTTGTCTGTCCGCTGTGGTTTCCAAGAGCTGCAGCAAAGGCTTTCAAGATTGCTTTCCAAAGAGCTACTGTTTGTGGATGGGCACCCCTGCTGCTCCGATTCTTTCCCTCTGAAGCACAAAGCCCCCAGGTTAAGCGCAGATGCCCCCCACTATAAAATGGGCGTCTCTGCTTGCAGCAGTTTGGTTAATCTGGGGTACATTCGAGGGGCGAGGACCTGCTGTTCCCTCCCAGGGATCCTGGTTCATCCCTTCTCCTGCAGTCTGGCAGACAGCCACAGCAGCTGCTAATTTTGACCAATCTTGCCTTCCATTAAGTTTTAAAATACCTTTTAAGATCATCCGAGTTGGGGACCATCACATCTTGCAACAGTGAAATCCGGTTTAAATATGCTGTTGTCTGGCCTGAATCTCGCCCCCCCCCATCTGAGCTGCAGTCTGAGAAAAAGAAAAATCTCTGTCCCTTCTCCATACATGCATTTTATATCCTCCCCTTTTCTCTCCCCCCCGCCAAACTGAGAAGTCCCAAACGTCTTTGCTCTTGGCTCTGCTGCAACCCTTTGATCAGCGCCAGCGTTTGAAATTCACCTGGGCGCATTTTGCACCTGGCGGGTGGCGCTGTGGGTTAAACCACTGAGCCTAGGACTTGCCGATCAGAAGGTCGGCGGTTCGAATCCCCGCGACGGGGTGAGCTCCCATTGCTCGGTCCCTGCTCCTGCCAACCTAGCAGTTGGAAAGCACCTCAAAGTGCAAGTAGATAAATAGGTACCGCTCAGGCGGGAAGGTAAACGGCGTTTCCGTGCGCTGCTCTGGTTCGCCAGAAGCGGCTTAGTCATGCTGGCCACATGACCCGGAAGCTGTACGCCGGCTCCCTCGGCCAGGAAAGCGAGATGAGCGCCGCAACCCCAGAGTCGGCCGCGACTGGACCTAATGGTCAGGGGTCCCTTTACCTGCCACTTGCGGCCAAGTTTAGATGCCCGGGTGCCAGGATGCCAGCTGATGTCTTGACCACCTGGAGATGTATTTCTGGGGATCCGTGGATCTTGGCTGTTTTCACACCCTAGCAACGTATTCTGCAGAATTCTATTGGTTATATATGTTACCTCCACAAATTCAGAATGAATTTCAGGAACCAAAATGTTCTGTTTTTCAAGCCGCCTGGCTCCCAAATGGCAACGAGGCATTCTGTTTTGGCGACGGTAGCCCTGGGTTAAGGAGCCATTTGGCGCCTAGCTGATATATCTGAGTTTCTAACACTTGAATGTCTTCCCAGTGTTTCTGGACTTTGACTTGATTTCCCACCAGCCCCAGCCTAGCGGCCAGAGATGATGGGTTGCTGTCCAGCCACGGCCAGAATGTCACAGAGAGCCTCTCTGGGCATCATTTCGACTGCCTTCTCTGGTGGCACGCATTGTGGAAGCCTCTCCGCAGAGGTTTGCTGGGTACACGCAGACATCCTTTTATTTGTATGCCAGGTTTCCACAGCTCAAACTGCGCTCATGGCAGCTTACAACATGGAAACCCCCCCCCCCCCCACATAACTACAAGAAGAGTAGTCAAACAGTAAGCAAAATATAACAGTAATACCTTGGGTTACAGATGCTTCAGGTTGCGTTTTTTCAGGTTATGGACCGCTGAAACCAGAAGTACCGGAACAGGTTACTTCTGGGTTTTGACGGTTGCGCATGCACAGAAGCGCTAAATCGCGCTTTGTGCATGTGCATAAGCACCAAATCACAAAGCACATGTGCGCAGACGCGCTGCTGCGGGTTGTGAACACTGTGGGTTGCGAACGTGCATCCCGCACAGATCATGTTCGCAACCCGGGCATCCACTGTACAGTGGTACCTCTGGTTACAAACGCTTCAGGTTACGAACTCCGCTAACCCGGAAGCAGGTGCTCCTGGTTGTGAACTTTGCCCTGGGATGTGAATGGAAGTCGCACACCTGAGACGCGTAGGCAGCGGGGAAACCCCATTAGTGAAAGCGCGCCTCAGGATAAGAACGGTTTCAGCTTAAGAACGGACCTCCGGAACGAATTAAGTTCGTAAACGAAGATACAAAAAACCAACAGCAGCTCCCCAGCCCAAGAGTCTGTTCAGCAACCTTTGCTTTTGCAGCTGGAGTCAGGCCAGGTAGAGAAAGGCCTTCCAGGACTCACAGCCAAGGTGGGGGCACCCCTTACTGCCAGTCAGTCTTGCGATTTAGTAGCTTTGGGGTTCTTTTTGTATTTCCTTTTTAATTATTTCTGTAGGCTTCCCTGCCAGTAGTCATACCTCGAGATAAATACGCTTCAGGATAAGTATTTTCGGGTTGCGCTCCGCGGCGACCCGGAAGTAACGGAAGTTCCGGGTTTCGCTGCTCGCGCATGCACAGACGCTCAAAATGTCATGCGCATGCGCGGAAGTGGCAAAACGCACACGTCTTACGTTCTATTCAGGATGCAAACGGGGCTCTGGAACAGATCCCGTTCGCATCCCAAGGTACCACTGTATAACAACAGATTCCCGGTACACCTGGTGTCTTGTGGGATGCATGTGTAATTCTGTAGCCTCGAGTTTACGGCTGAAATGGTTGCAACTCTGGGAGTGTTGCCCGCTCTTTCCATTTCCAAGAGCAGCAGTTATGTGTCTGGCTGGTTGTGGCTTCTGGGAATGCAGAGGCAATCCTGGAGCATGAACCCTCTAACGGCGGGTAGCTTTCCTAGTGACCAAAGGCTGCTGCTGCTTCTGTGGCCAGAAGAGAGATACTATACAGCAGACAACCTCCTGTGCAGACAAATACTGCGGCTGCACAGAGGCCTTTAATCTCATGCGCAGTAAAGCTTAACCACTGCAGAGCTTTGCTTCCTCAAACTGGGCTGCAAGGAACAAAACCAGCGTCACACAAACTCAGTGAGTACAGCTCTTGTTCCGGCCGGCCTCCAGGTTCCAAACAGCCTCTCTGCCGCCAGCAGAGGAAAGTTAGGCCTAAGGGCCGCAGGGAGCAGACAGAGCGGGACCCCTCGGCTTGCGCATCTTGACCCCCATGCTCCCAACGGAAACAAAATCCCAGAAGGGAACAGATCCCGAGTTTTGTCCTTGTGGTCGGTGCCCGGCGCTCAGAAAGGAAACCCAGGAATGACTCCAGCGCACGAGTTTATTGTGGCAAAGAGAAGAGGGTCGAAGCGGAGTGGGGAAAGGAGGGTGCAGAAGCTGTACAGAGATATATACACATATATACACACAAACACACATGCATGTGCGCAGGAGGAGAGGCGTCAGTGCTGGCCGAGCGAGGGAGCCGTGTAGGTGCGGAAACGGTCGTGTGCCTTGTCCTGGGTCAGCAGGCGCATAGCCATGGTGTCCATGCTCTCCTCCAGGCCAGGCTTCTGGGAGATTTCCACCGTGTAGTCGTTGGCCTAGAGGAAGACGTGGAATCAGAGAACTGTAGAGCGGGAAGGGAGCCCCGAAGGTCCCAGTACGTTTCCAAGCACAATTCAAAGTGTTGGTGCTGACCTTGAAAGCCCTAAACAGCCTCAGCCCAGTAGACCTGAAGGAGCGTCTCCACCTCCATCGTTCTGCCCGGACACTGAGGTCCAGCTCCGAGGGCCTTCTGGCAGTTCCCTCCCTCCGAGAAGTGAGGTTACAGGGAACCAGGCAGAGGGCCTTCTCGGTGGTGGCGCCTGCCCTGTGGAATGCCCTCCCACCAGGTGTCAAGGAAATAAAGCACTACCTGACTTTTAGAAGGCATCCGAAGGCAGCCCTTTTTAGGGAAGTTTTTAATAACTGATGTTTTAATGTATTTTTAACCTCCTGTTGGAAGCCGCCCAGTTTGGCTGTGGAAACCCAGCCAGATAGGCAGGGTATAAATATTATTATTATTATTATTCCCAAGGCAGTTAACAATAAAAAGTAAGAACCTGTTCACCTTTTCCTATATCCCTACATCACTACAGAGAGATGATCCACAATTCCTGTGGAACGCCCTCCCATCAGATGTCAAGGAAATAAACAACTGACTTTTAGAAGACATCTGAAAGCAGTTCTGCTTAGGGAAGTTTTTAATGCTTGAAGTTTTAATCTGTTTTTAATGTTCTGTTGGGAGCCACCCAGAGTGGCTAGGGAGACCCGGCCAAATGGGTGGGAGATAAGTAATAAATAAATCATCCTCCTCCAGTCAAACCCCCTGCAATGCAGGAATCCTTTTGCCCAACGTGGGGCTCAAACCCGCAACACTGAGATTTAAGAGTCCCCTGCTCTACCAGCTGAGCTAACCTACAGGCTACAATGTGGAACATGGGGAGCTGCCTTACACCATGCGAGTCCCTGGGGTCTGCCTAGCTCAGTATTGGCCACACGGGCTGGCAGCAACATTCTCGGGGATCCGAGACATCTCTCTCTCTGCCCTACCTGGAGATGTCACCGGGGAATGAATCGCAAAATCTTAAGAGTTGAAAGGGACCCCTAAGGGTCATCCAGCCCACCCTGGTGTTGCAGGAATCCCAGTGAAGGTATCCCTGGCAGGTGGCCATCCAACCTCTGCTTAAAGCCCTTTGTGGCTTAGGGCCCTTGTATTTACCAGACTGCCTCTCCTGGTCTGCCCTGAGAGGACCTTAAGGTCCATGAATAATCATAGTTTAGAGGTCCCGGGCCCTAAGGAAGTCAGATTATCCTCCTCCAGGGCCAGGGCCTTCTCAGTGATGGCTCCGACCTGGTTGAATGCTCTGTCCCATGAGACCAGGGCCCTGCAGGATTTAACCTCCTTCTGCAGGGCCTGTAAGACAGAGCTATTCTGCCTGGCTTTCAGTTTGAACTTAGCCTGATCTTTTATTCCCCTTCCTTCCTTCCCTCCCCCTCCCCTTTTTATGAAGATCACCCGCTCTGGGATCCCACAGCTAATTCTCCCCTGGTCTCCTTGCTGGCCCAAAGAGGACTAATTTAGCCAGTTGGCCTGGTGACTATGTAATGTTTATTGGATGGATTTCCCCCCAAATTGATTTTTGAATTCTGAATTTATTGTTATTCAAGTTTTAGACCATATTTTTGCTGTTTTCTGTTGTATCACAATTAAGTGTTTTAAATTTGTTGTTGGCTGCCCTGAGCCCGGTTTTCTGAACCGGAAAGGTAAAGGTAAAGGTAAATGGACCCCTGAATATTAGGTCCAGTCACGGCCGACTCTGGGGTTGCGGCGCTCCTCTCGCTTTACTGGCTGAGGGAGCCGGCGTACAGCTTCCGGGTCATGTGGCCAGCATGACTAAGCCGCTTCTGGCGAACCAGAGCAGCGCACGGAAACGCCGTTCACCTTCCCACTGGAGCAGTACCTACTGTATTGATCTACTTGCACTTTGACATGCTTTCGAACTGCTAGGTTGGCAGGAGCAGGGACCGAGCAACGGGAGCTCACCCCGTCGTGGGGATTCGAACCGCCGAACTTCTGATCGGCAAGTCCTAGGCTCTGTGGTTTAACCCACAGCGCCACCTGCGTCCCGAACCGGGAAGGGTGGGGTATAAATAAAAAATTATTATTATTAAATACCTCCAATGGGCCTGGGACCTTTGACCTTTACCCAACGAGCTGAAGCCCTTCCCCCCCAAAGGCTGGAAGACAACCTGGCTACACTAGGGAAAGGGGTAAGGGGTGGCATGCACAGGTGGACCCCGTAACCCCCACCCACAAAAGGGCCCCCACCCTCCGGCCTTTGGAACGCCGTACTCACCAGCTGAAGGGAGGCCAGCAAGCAGCGGCAGACTTCGAAAGGCGGCTGCCCCGCCACCAGGCTGGCGAAGGAGTGCCACTCGCCCACGGTGCCCAGTTTGGACACCAGCATGTCCCCATAGCTGTGGATGTCCAAGGCTTCGTGCGATTCCTACGTGGAGAGGGGGAAGCAGGTTAGGGAAGCAGGATAGTGCGCACCCCGGAAATGATCTCGTTCAGCTTCTGCCTTCTGGAAGAGGGTACAGGGTCATAAAGACTAGGACTAGCCGCCTGAGAAACAGTTTCCATCCAAATGCGATTTTGGTTTTAAACGCAGTGTAAGGTAGTCTTTATGTGAGTGCTGTAGATTCCGGCGTTTTAGGCGAATGGGCGTATTAGACGACCCCCAACTTTTCCTGTTAAAATATAGAGTTTGGGATATACTCGCCGTATAAGACTAGCCCCGCCTGCAGCCAACTAGCAGCGCTTACTGGCTGGTAGTTCTGGCAGTTGCGGGGATGCCCAGCTCCTTGGAGCCCTGGCCGAAGCCGCGCACCACTTTGCCGTGGGAAGGAGAGGCTGCCGCGGTTGCTGCTCCTTCGGGATAGCTGCCTGCTATCTGGCGGATCTTTTTCAAAATATAGTCCGGCCCCCCACAAGGTCTGAGGGACAGTGGACCGGCCCCTGGCTGAAAAAGGTTGCTGACCCCTGCCTTAAAAGGTAAAGGGACCCCTGACCATTAGGTCCAGTCGTGGCCGACTCTGCAGCTTTCATCTCGCTTTATTGGCTGAGGGAGCTGGCATACAGCTTCCGGGTCATGTGCCCAGCAGGACTAAGCCACTTCTGGCGAACCAGAGCAGCGCATAGAAACACCGTTTACCTTCCCGCCGGAGCGGTGCCTATTTATCTACTTGCACTTTGACGAGCTTTCGAACTGCTAGGTTGGCAGGAGCTGGGACCGAGCAACGGGAGCTCACCCCGTCGCGGGGATTCGAACCGCCGAACTTCTGATCAGCAAGTCCTAGGCTCTGTGGTTTAACCCACAGCGCCACCCACGTCCCTGACCCCTGCCTTACAGCTACACAAAAGCACTTGAGGGTGTTGTTGGGGGGAGATGGCAAGAGGTGTGGGAAATAGGCGGAGTCAGGCAGGCCTGGAGGGACACAGTTGCTGCTCCCCCCCAAACTGATCCTCACCTGCTCCTCCAGCTTCGGGACCACCATCTCCTCCCAGTCCCGAATGCGCCGGGACAGAACGGTCTCTCGGGCGTATTTCTGGGAGTGCGAGATGAACACTTCCTGGGGAGAGAAAAATAATAATAAGTAATAATAACTTTTATTTATACCCCGCCCTCCCCAGCCAAGATCCAGCTCAAGGCGGCTAACACCAGGTATAAAAACAATGGATTAAAATACAACTTAGAAACAAGATTAAAATGCAGCCTCATTTCAGTAGAAACTCAAATCAAAAACTTTTTGGGGATGAAAACGTCAAATCTTCACCAAGAGTCTTGCTTTTGAGAGTTGCGGAAGGTTGCGATCCTGCTCTGAAGGAGCTCTCTGGTCGCAAAGGCCAACTACTGCTCAGAGCTGGGGGGCTAGCGCAAGGCAGACATTTTTTATCCAACCACTCTGATTTTTTTTTAAAATCCCAAACTGCTACTGCATAATAAGTCAGCAGAACACAACCCGTTTAGTAAGCCCTCTCTTCTTCCTGGAGAGGCAAAGTAAATGGGAAGCAGAAAGTGGGGCAGCATCACGCCCCGCCCCCAAAAGAGGCTGTTTCCAGATACTGCTTTCCATACACTTTGTCCTGTCCTGTCCTCAGGGGTAGACTGCATCTGAACATGGAGGGCTCATAAAACTATCGTGGCCACTTGCCACTGCTAGGCCCTCTCATCCAAGACTATCTTGGGCAATAGCTGCCCCCTGGATGGCCGGGGCTCTGGCTGCCTGTCTCAAAGGGTCCCCAGCATGGGAGGCAGAAATAAGGCTTCCCGCAACAACAGCAGCTAGGATTTTACTAGCCCAGAAATGGAACGATGAGAAGACACCAGCCAAAGAAGAATGGCAAGAAAAACTGATGGAATATGCTGAACTGGCAAAGCTAACCGGGAAACTCAGAGAGACACGGACAACAGAGACTTCAAAAAAGACTGGGAACCGGCTGTCACCAATGGAAGCGAAAGCCTTGAGAAAGGTCAATATGGAGGTCAAATGGCCGAAATATTGGGAAATTTTGGAACAAGACGGAGATAGACTGAAATTGCAGAGTTTTGAAAAATTAAAAAAACAAAGTGCGAGACTGGCTTCATTATTTTCAGATAATGGAGGCATTTAAATTGGACAAGAAAATTGGCTTCCAGGTGGAAAGATCCAAATCAGAAACAGAACTGTTAGAACCCAAAACTAAGAATTTGTCAAGAATGTATAACTTGCTGCTGAAATGGAATACTCAGGATGAAACGGTAAAATCGGCTATGATTAAATGGGCACAGGACGTTGGACATAACATTATGTTTGCTGACTGGGAACAGTTGTGGACCACAGGTATGAAATTTACGGCATGTAATGCCTTAAGAGAGAATATTATGAAAATGATATACAGGTGGTACATAACCCCAGTCAAGCTTACAAAAATTTATCATTTGCCCGATAACAAATGTTGGAAATGTAAAGAAATTGAAGGTACATTTTTTCACCTTTGGTGGACGTGCCCAAAGATCAAGGCTTTCTGGGAAATGATATATAATGAATTAAAAAAAGGTATTTAAATATACCTTCCCTAAGAAACCAGAGGCCTTTCTCCTGGGCATAGTCGGCCAAATGGTGTTAAAAAGGATAGAACTTTCTTTATGTATGCAACAACAGCAGCAAGAATACTCATCGCAAAGTATTGGAAGACACAAGAACTTCCCACGCTGGAGGAATGGCAGATGAAATTAATGGACTATATGGAACTGGCGGAAATGACTGGTAGAATCCGTGACCAGGGAGAAGAGTTGGTGGAGGAAGATTGGAAGAAATTCAAAGACTATCTTCAGAAACATTGCAAAATTAAAGAATGTTAGAGTGATGTTGGACTGATTATAAGCGGTTTCCAGCTGTACAGGTTAAAGCTAATGATAGACTAAGATTAAAGATTAGGTTTAAAGATGTTTAAGGAAATGGAAATTTGACAATTAAGAGGTAAAATTTCAATGTTATATTACATTAAGATCAAAGATTAGGTTTAAAGAAGTTGAAGTTATATATTATATTAAAATTAAAGATTGGGATTAAAAAAGTGGAAAAGAAATTGCTGGACAAACAATTTGGATTGGAATACAAAAGAGGGAGGTATGAGGAAGTCCAGAAAATAAGTAAATTCAAAAACGGAAATGGAAAAGAGATATTGTTTTTAATTGTTATGTTTCTTTTTATTGTTGATTCTTGCTCTTCGTGTTTTTTTTATTTTCTTTCTGGGATTTGTATTGTGTATTTGTGTATCTTTTTTATGTTTTTTTCTTTTTCTTTGCTGTTCAATTTTTGATTGAAACTTTAATAAAAATTATTTTAAAAAGAAACAAAAACAAAAAAGACTGGGAACCTGCTTAGCTATTATAATAGCTAAAAGTGTGTATGGGGGGGGGGGGAGAAGAACATATATCCTACTATTTCTAAATGAACTGAGAAAATTGGGTCCGTAGTAACCATGATTAAAGCTAACTTATTACAAAAGAATACATATAAACCAGCCTAAAATATTTATGGAAAAACAGGCTTTTTTGTAATGTTTTGAAACAGTACATTTAATTATATTGTTCAACCTTATGCTGCTTTCAACCTGCTGTAACATTCTGAGTATTTACTCAAATTCTTTATCTTTGCTTTACAGTGGTACCTCGGGTTACATACGCTTCAGGTTACATAGGCTTCAGGTTACAGACTCCACTAACCCAGAAATAGTGCTTCAGGTTAAGAACTTTGCTTCAGGATGAGAACAGAAATTGTGCTCTGGCGGAGCGGTGGCAGCAGGAGGCCCCATTAGCTAAAGCGGTGCTTCAGGTTAAGAACAGTTTCAGGTTAAGTACGGACCTCCGGAACGAATTAAGTACTTAGCCCGAGGTACCACTGTATTTTATTAAGAAGTAAATCTTGAATTTAAAAAAAATCCCAGGGGAAGCAATAAGACGCGCTAGTGTGGCACGGCTAGAGTCTAGGACTAGGGCCTGACACCATGGCTCAAATCTCAAGTCAGCTATGAAGTTCACTGGGTGACTTGGGCCAGCCATAATCTCTCACGGCCTGGCCTACCTAACAGGATTGTTGTACAGTTAAAATGGAGAAAGGGAGAACCACGAACAGGAAAAGGCGGGATATAAATTCAATAACAAGTGGTGGGATACACAGCGAGGCCGAGCGGCCCCAGGGCATGGCTCTGAAATCAGGCAAGACCATCACCTCACTAAGTAAGATAATCAGGTGTGAGTCTGGCCAGTGTTTTGATGGGTGGCTGCCTGGGACGCACCTAAATGCCACGTGACAAACACACACATGATACGCACCACATTTTTTTGCACGTATTCCTCGTAGTTGATGGCAGGGGAGACGTCACCAAGATCTGTAACCAAATGCAGAAATTAAGAGGTTCTCCTACACATCTCAGATTAGTGCCCTGCCTACATCCCACAACACCAAAAGCACCCCAGAAACGGCTGCAGGGGCCAGAGGCGGAAGTCCCTTGCAGACAACCACAGTGCCTGGAGACAGGCATAATAATAATAATAATAATAATTTATACCCCATGCATCTGGCTGGGTTTCCCCAGCTACTCTGGGCACTGACTGGCAGCTGCTCCCCAGGTAGGGAGTCTCCCACTTGGAGATTAAATCTGGGACCTTTTGGGTTCAAAATAGGTGCTCTGGATCTGGATCTGGATCATCATCATCATCATCATCATAATTTATTATCTATACCCAGCCCATCTGGCTGGGTTTCCCAAGCCACTCTGGGCAGCTTCCAACAAAATATTAAAAACACAATAAAATGTCAGACATCAAAAACGTCCCTAAACAGGGCTGCCTTCAGATGTCTTCTAAAACTCAGATAGTAGTTTATCTCCTTGACATCTGACGGGAGGGCGTTCCACAGGGCGGGCGCCACCACCGAGAAGGCCCTCTGCCTGGTTCCCTGCAACTTTGCTTCTCAGAGGGAGGGAACCACCAGAAGGCCTTCGGAGCTGGACTTCAGTGTCCAGGCTGAACGGTGCGGGTGGAGATGCTCCTTCACATATGCTGAAGGCAGACAAGTTGTGCATTCATAGCAGTGACCAGAGGAGGAATGACGGCTGAGAGGAGCTCAGAGAGAAGAAACAGCCTGGGGCATCTGAACGCCTTCACCTGCCCCAGCTGCAACAAAACATGTCTCTCCTGCATTCCTCCATCGTCTCCAAACAACCACAGGTCAGAGCCTTCTCTTGATGGGGCCACACACTCACTGTACCCCCAACACACTTCGAAGCCTAGGCTTCCCTGGTCACCAGTTGGTGCAGGATAAATCAATGGTTCCTCTTCATCCTGGAGAAGAGTGACTAGTGGGGTGCCACAGGGTTCTGTCTTGGGCCCGGTCTTATTCAACATCTTTATCAACGACTTGGATGATGGACTCAAGGGCATCCTGATCAAATTTGCAGATGACACCAAACTGGGAGGGGTGGCTAACACCCCAGAGGACAGGATCACACTTCAAAACGACCTTGACAGATTAGAGAACTGGGCCAAAACAAACAAGATGAATTTTAACAGGGAGAAATGTAAAGTATTGCACTTGGGCAAAAAAAATGAGAGGCACAAATACAAGATGGGGAACACCTGGCTTGAGAGCAGTACATGTGAAAAGGATCTAGGAGTCTTGGTTGACCACAAACTTGACATGAGCCAACAGTGTGACGCGGCAGCTAAAAAGCCAATGCAATTCTGGGCCGCATCAATAGGAGTATAGCATCTAGATCAAGGGAAGTAATAGTGCCACTGTATTCTGCTCTGGTCCGACCTCACCTGGAGTACTGTGTCCAGTTCTGGGCACCACAGTTCAAGAAGGACACTGACAAACTGGAACGTGTCCAGAGGAGGGCAACCAAAATGGTCAAAGGCCTGGAAACGATGCCTTATGAGGAACGGCTAAGGGAGCTGGGCATGTTTAGCCTGGAGAAGAGGAGGTTAAGGGGTGATATGATAGCCATGTTCAAATATAGAAAAGGATGTCACATAGAGGAGGGAGAAAGGTTGTTTTCTGCTGCTCCAGAGAAGCGGACACGGAGCAATGGATCCAAACTACAATAAAGAAGATTCCGCCTAAACATTAGGAAGAACTTCCTGACAGTAAGAGCTGTTCGACAGTGGAATTTGCTGCCAAGGAGTGTGGTGGAGTCTCCTTCTTTGGAGGTCTTTAAGCAGAGGCTTGACAACCATATGTCAGGAGTGCTCTGATGGTGTTTCCTGCTTGGCAGGGGGTTGGACTCGATGGCCCTTGTGGTCTCTTCCAACTCTAGGATTCTATGAAATATTCATTAGGTATCTTTCTCAACCCGCAGCTGTAAGTTGTGCAAAGCAGCCAAATTATTCGGCTATGCCCCACAGGGCTCTTTGGCACAAATAACAGAAATAACACCAATAACTCACCTGGCCCAGAGTGGGGCCTGACAGGCCTCATAAGGATGGTTGCCACTGCTGCTGTTGCTGCCCAGGAGGACTCGGAGCGGCGCAGAGCTCTTTTTAAAATGTTCTTTTTTCCCTTTTGATTTTTTGTGTGGGGGTGGCAGTGGGATGGATATTTGGTTGGGTTCGGGGATTTGTTTGATTTTGATGTGTTTGTAATTTTTAGAGTTTTTTGTTTGTAGAAAAATAACTACCAAACTTTTAGAAGACATCTGAAGGCAGCCCTGTTTAGGGAAGCTTTTAATGTTTAATAGGTTATTGTATTTTAGTGTTCTGTTGGAAGCTGCCCAGAGCGGCTGGGGAAACCCAGCTAGATGGGCTGGATATATCTTCTTCTTCTTACTATTATTATCAGTTGCACAGTGCTGAACCCAAGATTTGCCCCCCCCCCCATTGCTCCACATTGGGTTGTGGGTTAACTGACCAGCTTCCAGCTATTCCTACAGCCCAGCCCCCAGCCCAGCTAACGCGGCCTGCCAATTGTTACCTATCAGGCCAACTGGTGCCTCCTCTGCGGCTTCACCCTGGGGGGCGTCTTCGTGCTCCAGAAAGTCATCTGTGGACAGAGAAAGGTGGCGGTCGAGCCAAGTGTGACGGAGGGAGCGTTTGGGGAAAGGCTTGAGCACAAAGACTGTGGGCAAATGGGCACCGAGATTGGATGAATTGGCATCCAGAAATGTGGTTCCTTTGCCCCACTGGTTGCTTTAAACCAGGGGTGGGGGACCTGTGTGGAAGGAGCATCGTATGGCCCCCCCATTGCAACGGCCAATTCTGGGCTGAAAATGGAGGCCCTGGTTTTGGGGGAGAGGTCCAAGAGATTCCTAGAGCTCAGCCCAGAAACTGTGGACAAACCTGCTCCTCCGACATCCATATCGCCCATGGCGTCATTGTCGTCGTCATGCTCCTCTTCCTCCTCCAGGGCTTCGGGCTCCTCTAACCGATTGGCCAGCTGCGCATCTTGCTTCAGGGGGAAAGATAAAAACAAAAACCAGGCCTGTTTTTGCCACCCTGTTCTCACTCAGGGTCACTCACTTTTCATGAGGTTTTGAGCAAGGCTTGCCTTCTCAGGTGGGAGCAGCCTTACTCTAGTCATTCATTTGTTGCGGTTATATCTGATTTTTTTATTTCAAGGTGGCACACACAGTTCTCTCTCCCCCCCCCCCCATTTAATCCCCAACAACAACCCTGTGAGGTAAGTTAGGCTGATACAGGCAGTGATCAGGCCAAAATCACCCAGTGGGTTTCATGGCTGAGTTGAGGATTTGAACCCAGGTCTCCTGGGTCCTGAGGGACGTGGGTGGCGTGTGGGTTAAACCACAGAGCCTAGGGCTTGCCGATCAGAAGGTCGGCGGTTCGAATCCCCGCGACGAGGAGAGCTCCCGTTGCTCGGTCCCTGTTCCTGCCAACCTAGCAGTACGAAAGCACGTCAAAGTGCAAGTAGTTAAATAGGTACCCCTCCGGCGGAAAGGTAAATGGCATTTCCGTGCGCTGCTCTGGTTCGCCAGAAGCGGCTCAGTCATGCTGGCCACATGCTGTACGCCGGCTCCCTCGGCCAATAAAGCGAGATGAGCGCCGCAACCCCAGAGTCATCCGCGACTGGACCTAATGGTCAGGGGTCCCTTTACAAGGGACAGTAGCTCCTCTTCTCAGCCTGGGCCTTAGAGGGCTCTAGCGAGCCTCACAAGCGTCTCCAAAACCCGGGATGAGAGGCAGGAGGGCACTGGGCAGAGATTCCTTTTGCCAGAGCACCAGGGCTCCTCTTGCAAGAAGAGCACCAAGTATCTTGCATCAAATTTATGCACTACAGAAGCGGTGGTGTAGTGGTTGGTGTCAGGCTGGGACCTGGGTTCAAATCCCCCCCCCACTCAGCCGTGAAGCTCACTGTGTGACCCCGGGGGCCTGTCACTGCCTTCTCTCAGCCTAACCTACCTCACAGGGTTGTTGTGGGGACTGAATATTGTATTATTTATATGATGTTAGCCGCTCTGAGCCCGGCTCTGGCCGGGGTACAAATAAAAATTTATTATTATTAAATGAGGAGGGCAAGAACAATGTGTGTCCCACCTTGATGAAAAAAGCACTAGATAAACTTGATCGTGCAGAGATGCTAGCAAACTGGACCACTTCTACGGGGATCCCAGCTGCCACCCTTTTCTCCTTGCAAGTCGTGTGCCTATTAGATTGTGTTTCATCAGATTGTAAACTGCCTTGTCTGCACTGGCAGGAAATCAGGGGTGGCGAAGTTAAGCAAAAGCGAATGAATGAAAGGTCTCTCTCCTCACCATCCTCATCCTCTGCAGCTTCTTCTGGGCAGCCAAGCGCTCCTTCGCATGATTCAAGTAGAGGACTTCGAGATCTGTCCAGAAATGACAGGATCAGGAAGAGGGTCTTCGACAAAGCCCAGCTTCTCTCCCCCTCCCCAAATCCCCTTCTCCTGCTCCCAGGCTCTGGGAAGCAGCTTTGCAAGGAGCAGCGAAAAGCCACTCTCCATCCAGCCCTTCTTCTGCAGAACTTGCTTTGCTGCTCCTCAGCTCCCTGCCCCGGATTCTTACGTGGCTGACTCCAAAATCCCTTCTCAAATCCTCCCCAACCCAGCTTGGCTTCAGCTTAGCTCTCTTTTCAACTGTCTATACCAGGGGTCAGCAACCTTTTTCAGCCGTGGGCCGGTCCACTGTCCCTCAGACCTTGTGGGGGGGCCCGAACTATATTTTAGGGGGGGAAAGAACAAATTCCTATGCCCCACAAATAATCCAGAGATGCATTTTAAATAAAAGCACACAATCTACTCATGTAAAAACACCAGGCAGGCCCCACAAATAACCCAGAGATGCATTTGAAATAAAAACACACATTCTACTCATGTAAAAACACCCTGATTCCCAGACTGTCCGCGGGCCGGATTTAGAAGGCAATTGGGCCGGATCCGCCCCCGGGCCTTAGGTTGCCTACCCCTGGTCTATACCCCCAACACCCAACCATCTCCCACTGCCCTCGACAGAGAAACGGCGATTCCTGTCCCAGATGTTGTGGGACTCCAACTCCCAGCAGGCTGTATGGCCAAGGGTCAAGGATGATGAAATCTGTAGTCACGTCTATTTTCAAGCTCTCTGGAGAGGGGCTCCATTGCTGCTTCTACGTTTTGTGCACATTTTGGTGCCGAAAAGATGCTCAGTGGCTGTGGCAGGGTCCCGAGACACCTGCCCGCCCATGTGGGAACATGTGCAGGTTTTATTAGTATGAATGGGCAGTTGGTGTCCCACAGGCTACAAGGCAACAGCTGGGATCCGACTAACCCTCAGATACCATGTGTGTGCGTGCAAGGAAATTATGCACCCACCCCAAGGAGAGTTTAATACTGAGGTCGCATGAGAGCTAGAGGGGAGCACCCAAACCAATGGAGTCACATGACAAGAAACCAATGGAGTCACATGACAAGAAACTTTAGGAAGAATCTTCTGATGGTGAGAGCCATTTGACAGAGGAATGGAAAACCTCTGACAGTGGTGGACTCTCCTTTGTGGGAGGTTTTTAAGCAGAGGTCGGGTGGCCACCTGTCAGGGATCCTTTAGCTGCGATTCCTGCGTTGCAGGGGGTTGGACTAGATGACCCCTAGGGGGTCCTTTCCAACCCTAGGATTGTATGAGAGCAACGCCCAAAGACTGTAAATTGGACTCCCTGAAGGAGAGGCATCTGGAAGATGCCCAGAGTGGGGCCCAAAGAAATGAAGACTGCTTTGATATTTCTAACTTGCTCCCTGCAGCTTTGTTTGTTTCGTATTAAACGCAAAGTCAAGCATAAGCAAACTAACGAAGAGGGGAAGGCAAACCGACAAAGGACCCAGGACAGTGACCTTCCCACGAGTTGCACCCACTCACCAGGGAACACTGGGCCTTTCTTCCTGCTTCTTTGGTTGCCAGCTCTGTGGTGCTCTGGGGAGAGAAGAAGCACATGCTCAGAGGGAGACGGCAGAGGTTCTCTGGCAAAGCGGCCCTCCTTGCTCCCTCCCTCCCTCTTCAAAGTGGCAAGGCGCTTCCAAGGCCAGGCAAAGCGTCAGGTCAAAGGGCAAGACGATGCTATGCAAGAACCTGGCATTCTTCCACCTTCGCCATGCTAAGCAGCTGGTCCCTTGCCTTTCCCGCCCCGACCTGGCCACAGTGATCCATGAAACGGTCACCTCCAGGCTTGATTATTGTAACTCGCTCTATGCGGGGCCTCCCTTGAAGCTGACCCAGAAACTCCAGCGGGTGCAGAATGCCGCGGCGAGGCTCCTAACGGGGTCCCTGCCATGGGATCACATTCATCCAGTGCTTTACCAACTGCACTGGCTCCTGGTGGAGTATAGGGTCAGGTTTAAGATGCTGGTTTTGACCTTTTAAAGCCCTATAGGGCCTAGGACCCTCATACCTATGGGACCGCCTCTCCTGGTATGCCCCGCGGAGGACCTTAAGGTCCAAAAATGACAACACCTTGGAGGTCCCAGGTCGCAAGGTGGTTAAATTGGTCTCAACTAGGGCAGGTTCTGGCCCCGACTTGGTGGAACGCACTGCCACAAGAGACTAGGGCCCTGCGGGACTTGACATTTTTCTGCAGGGCCTGCAAGACAGAGCTGTTCCGACTGGCCTTCGTGTTGGACTCAGTCTGACCCTTATGTTTCCCTCCCCTTACGGTTTTGATCTATGGGCTACTATTAAAATGAGGCTGTATTTTAAATCGGTTTTTCTTTTTTCTTCCCCACCCCCCTATAATGTTTTTATTGTAATTTTACTGGTGTTAGCCGCCCTGAGCCCGGCTCTGGCCGGGGAGGACAGGGTATAAATAAAAAATTATTATTATTATCACCATCATTATTATTTAATAGAATCTGTATGTTGCTCAGTTGTGATGAAACTTCCAAGTCCAACCCTTGGTCTGCCTCTCTTGGTGTTGACAACACTGGCAGCGGCTCTTTAGGGCCTCAGGAAAGGAGTTCCTCGTAGTCCTACCTGGGGATTCAACCGAGATGCTCTGCTTGCAAAGCGACGACCCTTCCCCTATGAACTGCCAACAGTGGTGAATGCTAAGAATGAGCGGTGAATACTAAGACAAGTGAACTAATGCCAGTGTACTGGAAGAAGCAAAGATCACCCGTGTCAAAGCAATGATTCTTCAACATCGGCTTTGTTGGACTGGTCATGTTATGCGGATGCCTGATGATCGTCTTCCAAAGCAACTACTCTCTTCAGAGCTTAAAAATGGAAAGCGTAATGCTGGTGGTCAACAAAAGAGGTTTAAAGACCATCTCAAGGCAAATATAAAAAAAATGTAGTAGGAACACTCACAACTGGGAAACAGTGGCCTACGAGCGCTCCAGTTGGAGAACGGCCGTGACCAAAGGTGTCATGGGCTTTGAAGACACTCGAACTCAGGACGCAAGGGAGAAATGTGCTAAGAGGAAGGCACACTTGGCAAACCCTCACCTGGATCAACTCCCGCCTGGAAACCTATGTCCCCACTGTGGAAGGACATGTGGATCCAGAATTGGCCTCCACAGTCACTTACGGACTCACTGTTAAGACTGTGTTTGTGGAAGACAATCTTACTTGGCTATGAGAGATCACCAAAGAAGACGGCTAAGAAGAGCTAGAACCGGATGCGACTAAATAACCATTACTTGAAGCCACGCGAGAGAGCTCTTGTGCTCAGGAAGCTGGGCTGATCTAGCGAGCTCCTCTTCGTTTCTTAGGCCTTACCAGAAGCAGCACCCTCTGACCGACTTGGTGGGGGGCACAGGGGTGGATCCACAGCAGAGGACAAGCTGCGTTCATGAAACAGAGACTTCTTGGATACAGCAAGCTAAGGGCTCCCTCAGCCTTGAGGTGGCAAGGTCACGTCCCACAGCAGCCCCACGCTCGCGCCCCATTGTACTCACCTGTGGCTGAAAACCAGGCCGTGAATTCCTGCAGCTTGCTGGGCAGCCTCCTCTTCCTCTTGGTGCCAGGCAAGTTCTCCAGGGCATGTGGCACCGTGAACGGCTTGCCTAAAGAGAGAGAAGCGGAAGGGGCTGCCCTCCTACATCGGGTCACAGGGGCAGAAACGGAGGTCCTCCCAGTCCCCCAAAAAACCACTAGCAGTCAACAGTCAAGACTCCCCTCTCACTGTTACGTTTCACACTTTATAAGCTTCTAACACAGGCTTCCTCAACCTCGGCCCTCCAGATGTTTTTGGACTACAACTCCCATGATCCCTAGCTAGCAGGACCAGTGGTCAAGGACGATGGGAATTGTAGTCTCAAAACATCTGGAGGGCCGAGGTTGAGGAAGCCTGGTCTAACGCTTTCCCGGTTTTCCGTCCCTTTCCAGTATCTGTTGCGTCCCACAATGGGACCAAGATAACGGCCAAAGGCTGTCATGTGCCACCAGCGTTCAAAATTTGCCAGGCACATTTTGCACCCAGCTGTTGGCCTTTGGGACCAAGTGAAGATGCCCGGGGGGGCAGGACGGTGCCTGATGTCTCCACCACCTGGAAGTGTATGCCTGGGGATCCTTGGATCTGGACCTTTTCACACAGTAATACCACATCCTCTCAAATGCTATCCGTTATATTTTATCTGCACAATCAGAACGAATTTCAGGAACCAAAAAGTCGTGTTGAAAAATGGACTTTTGAGCTGTCTGGCCCTCAAATGGCAACAAGGAATTCTGTTCTGGCGACGGTAACCCTGGTTTAAGGAGCCATTTGGAGCATGCAGTCGTACCTTGGTTTGCAAACGCCTTAGAGGAGTTGAATGTTTTGGCTCCCAAACGATCAAAAACTGGAAGTGATTGTTCTGGTTTTCAAACGTCCGACACAACATCCGCAGTAGCTTCCTGCAGCCAATCGGAAGCCATGCCTTGGTTCCTGAACGTTTTGGAAGTCAAACAGACTTCCAGAACGGATTCCGTTCGACTTCCAAGGTGCCACTGTATATCTGAGTTTCTAACACTTCCTGCTACAAAAAGTGGACTCTCCTTCATTGAAGGTTTTTAAGCAGCAGTTAGATGGCCCTCTGTCAGGGATTCTTGAGTTGCGACTCCTGCATTGTAGGGGGTCAGACTAGAAGACTCCTGGGATTCCTCCCAACTCGATGATTCTATGGAATAAGTTTTCTTAAGGAAACCTCAGGGGACAAATCTCTCCTCACAGCCCATTTGGGTCTAACTGATGGTTTTTCGGGAGGTGGGTTACCAGGGAGGGTTCTGCAGCAGCCAGCCAGGCAGGGTGGATAAAAATCAATGATTTAAAAATAAATAAATATACAAATTTGTAATTTTTTATTTAACTTGGATTTTTAAAATAAAATGCTTTTGGAAGAAAAATCTTCCTAAAGATAGTTTTCTGTTTAAGTTACATTATAGTCCAAAGGCTATAATCAGGAAATAAGGATTTGTTTTAAGTTTTTCATGTGTGCTAAAACTCAGCCTAAGTTTTATTTTAAAAAATATTTAACCACATCAGATAACAAACATGGATGCATATGCTACGATGTTACTGTGTTGGTTAAATAAACTGTTTAAATTGTTATTAAGGAAATGATTATTTTTTTCTTTCCAATAAAGTACAGCAGAAAAGTTGTCCAAATATAAACAATAATTCCATAATTATCTGTCCATGTGTTTCCAGTAGTAGAACCATATCAGTAATTTTTGATATAACTGTAAAAACTACTCTGAAAATTTATTATTCCAAAAACGAAACCTTCATCTGGTTGTCAATATTAAGATGATACCAGCCAGAATGAGACATTCTGTAAAAGAAATGATTCAAATCAAGTCTTACTGACTAGTGGTTTAAATCAAGTCTTACTGACTAGTGATTTAAAGCGTGATTTAAATCAAATCCACCCTGGAGCCAGCCAGCCAACCCACCCAGCCTCCCTCTCCCTCTCCAGATACCTTTCCTCAGGGGTTTATCATCGGAGGAGCTGAAGGGGTCCAGGCTGCGCCAGGGGTCCAGCATCTCCTGGAAGAGAAACAGAGGCACAAACTCTAGCAGGTGGAGAATGCCGCAGCGAGGCTCCTTATGGGATCCTTGCCGCGGGATCACATTCATCCGGTGCTTTACCAGCTGCACTGGCTCCCGGTGGAGCACAGGGTCAGGTTTAAGGTGCTGGTTTTGACCTTTAAAGCCCTATGTGGCCTAGGACCCTTGTACCTACGGGACCGCCTCTCCCGGTATGCCCCACGGAGAGCCTCAAGGTCCATAAATAGCAACACTTTGGAGGTCCCAGTTCGCAAGGTGGTTAGATTGGTTGCAACTAGGGCCAGGGCCTTTTCAGCACTGGCCCCGACTTGGTAGAAAGCTCTGTCACAAGAGACCAGGGCCCTGCGGGACTTGACATCTTTCCGCAGGGCCTGCAAGGCAGAGCTGTTCCGTCTGGCCTTTGGCTCGGACTCAGTCTGACCCTTACGTTTCCCTCCCCTTATGGACTTGATTTATCGGCTACTTTAAAATGAGGCTTCATTTTAAATTGCATTTTAACCCGTATTTTAAATTGGGTCCCCCCCTTCTCTTTTCCCCCTATTATGTTTTTACTGTGATTTTATTGGTGTTAGCCGCCCTGAGCCTGGCTCTGGCCGGGAAGAGCGAGGCGTAACTAATTATTATTATTAGTAGTAGTAGTAGTAGTAGTAGTAGTTGGTGTTGTGGGTCTCGGCCAGGGCTCAGCTGCGGCATTCGTTTATAAGGCTGCAGCCTGGCCTTGTAATGTAGGACAAGAAGTTGGAACGAGATTCAGACTGTCTCACTGCGCACACACACACACAAAGGAGAGATGACAAGAATAGCCAACTCTGGAGCAGACCAATGGCTCATCTTATCTAGTACCCACATATGCAGTGCCTCATCGCTTGTCCCCAGCATCAGGTATACAGGGGTATACTTCCACTGCGCCTGGAGGCTCCACTTAGCTGCCATAACTCATAGCTACTGACAGACTCCTCCTCCTCCTGCATGAATCTGTTCAGTGTTTCGTTCACCCCATCGAAGCCTCCGGGCCGTCAAAACATCTAGCAGCAGTAAGCTCCCCAAGTTAAAGCTCTATTTGAAACATCAGGGATCCCCCTCCAAAATAATATATAATAAAGATTCTGGGAACTGTAGTTTGTTCAGGGTGCTGAGAGCTGTTAGGAGACTCCTTCTTCCCCTCCCACAGCTATAATCCCCCAGAGTTCCCTGTGTAGGATGGATCAATTGATACACTGGGACTGTAGCAGTGAGAGGGGGAATAGGGAGGGATTTCCTAATGACTTTCAGCACCCTCAACACACTACAGTTCCCAGGATTATTTGAGTGGGGGAGTGCCAATTGCTGTGAAAAGTGGCATCACAGCACTTGTAATGTTTGTGCCGGCAGGCGCAAAACAATTGTGGCTAAGCCCACGTTCCGATTTCCTCTGGCACATGCAGGGCATTGGACAAATTTTCACCGTATGAGATAACCCAGCTAAAAAGACATCTGAAGGCAGCGCTTTTTAGGGAAGCTCTTAATGTTTGATCCATTACTGTATTTTAATATTTTGTTGGAAGCTGCCCAGAGTGGCTGGGGAAGCCCAGCCAGATGGTCGCGGTATAAATAATAAATTTATTATTATTATTACTGAGGGGTTTGCGCAAAGACAACCCTCTGCCCAAGTTTGTTTGCTGATATTATTGCATTTCTCATGACGCAAGGCTGGGGCATTTCGTTCCCCTGACCTTGACGCAGGCATCCGGGGCAGGGCCTCTCTCTCGCAGCATGTAGCCTTTCCTCTGAGGGATGCTCTAGAAGGCAGAGGAAAAAGATTGTTAGGGGTTTGTCTCCATGCCTAGGCAACCTCCCGCTCTCCTCCTCCCCTCGTCCTGCCAAATACCATCTGATGCTCAACATGGACCTCCTCCTCCCGAGCTGGCGAGCCATCCAGGACATCTTCGGGAAGCGCTGGCAGGAAGTTGTCGCAGTCGTCGTTATCGTCACAGATGGGCGCTGCTGCACCTGCTTCAGGGAGAACAGAAGAGGAGGGAGGTGATCTTCTGGCCCGGCAAAACAGCAGCGGCCGTGGAATGGGCTGCGCTCTCGACGCGAAGCTCCCTGCTTTCCTTGGGAAAGGAAGTTAAACGGTGGAACTCCCTCCCCCATGATGGCCAACATCCTGGAGGGCTTAAAAAATGGATTGGAGAAATTCTTGGAGGAGAGGACCACGGGTGGCTTAGGGCCCTCGTATTTACAGGACGGCCTCTCCTGGTCTGCCCTGCAGAGGACCTTAAGGTCCATGAATAACCCTAGTTTAGAGGTCCTGGGCCCTAAGGAAGTCAGACTATCCTCCACCAGGGCCAGGGCCTTCTCAGTGATGGCTCCGACCTGGTGGAATGCTCTGTCCCAGGAGACCAGGGCCCTGCGGGATTTAACCTCCTTGCATCGGGCCTGTAAGACAGAGCTATTCCGCCTGGCTTTCAATTTGAACTTAGCCTCATCTTCTATTCCCCTTCCTTCCCTCCCTCTCCTCTTTTTATGAAGATCACCCGCTCTGGGATCCCACAGCTCATTCTCCCTGGTCTCCTCGCTTGCCCAAAGAGGACTAATTTGGCCAGCTAGCCCTGGTGATCATCTAATGTTTATTGGATGGATTTCCCCCCTGAATTGATTTTTGAATTCTGAATTTATTGTTATTCGTGCTTTATGCTGTATTTTATGCTGTTTTTTGCTGCATCAATTAAGTGCTTTAAATTTGTTGTTAGCCGCCCTGAGCCCGGTTTTCTGAACCGGGAAGGGCGGGGTATAAATAAATTATTATTATTACTACTAGCCATTTATGGCTCTGCTCTGCCCTCACAACCAGAGGCAGCGATGCTTCTGAATTCCAGTTGACGGAAGGCACAGGAGGGGAGAGGACTCTTGCGCTTGGGTCTGCTTTCAGGTTTCCCTTGGGGGCACCCGGTTTGCCACTGTGAACAGGAGGCTGAACGAGGTCATTGGCCTGACCCAGCAGGTGTTGGAGAAAGTAATGATTTCATAAAACTGCATTTTGATTGTTCCGTTTTGAGTCTATTTCCTAGCTAAACTGAAAAGGCCTGTACCTGTCTTATACAGTACAGAACTAGATGCTTTTAGGTACTGTACGTGGTACCTATGAAAGAGTAAACTGTTAGAATCCATTGTGGCCATTGTATATGCATGAAAAGAGAATCAGCTAGGCATGGCAATTGCAGTCAATCTTCAATTGTTTTGTAGACAGATGAAAGGGGACATTGGAAGACTTAACGAACAGGAAAATCTGTCAAAGTCTTAATAAGGAAAGACAGCAGAAAATGGTTATACGTAATCACATGATATTATGATGAGGGCTGATCTGAAGAGCCAAACGGTTTAGATTGGTTCAGGATGATGACTTTGGGTTGCAACTAATAAGATTGCTGTGATTCTTTGATTGGGGAAAGGAAATGGCGTCTGTAATCTGGAAGTGTACAAAAAACATGGCTTTGGATGCGGAACCCTGCAGAGTCCTCCTTATTTCTGAGGCTGTCCCTTTGAGAATTTGTATTTCAATGAAGGACTCTCGCTTGGAGCATGCGCCCTTTTCTTTTGGGTTTCTGGGAGGAATAGTTCCAGTCTAGGAACCTCTTTTTAAGCATCTCCAATACGGGCTCTTATTTTTCAGATGCCCTCAGTCGCCTCCAGAAAGCCAGGCGCAACTCCCCTCCCCGCCCCATTCTTTATAATCACACTTTCATCCAGGCACTTCGAATAACTTACAAAAAAACCATTCAGTCGCAAGTCTAACAATAACCTGCATCAAAATCATCCTCCTGTTAGCTATGCCTAACAGTATATACTTTTGTCCCTACTCATTTATCCTAACTTTCCCCCCCTTCCTCTTGATCCCTCCCCCCCAAAAATTGTTTTCTCTTCTAACCATGTGCACAGATTATTCATTCTAATTTGGATGTTTGGGTTGGCTTCCCCCCATGCTATCCAATTCCTATAACTTGTCCACTTATTCAAAATCTTTTGACATTTGTCTTGCCAGGCGCAACTCACCGCTTTCTTCAGAGAAGTTCAGCGCAGCGACAGGCGTCCGGAACCCGCAGACGTCCATGGGCGTGGAGCCTGCTGGAAGAAGGCCCTGCACACCTATAGGGGAAGGAGAGGAGACTGAGAGGGCCACCCTAGAGCATGGCAGCAACATCCCCCTAACGACACCAAAGCATGTGGCCCCTTCTTACGCTCTTAACATCCCCCCTCCAAGGGAGCAAGAGGGGAGAGAGAAGTGCCGTGCGCCGGCCCCTACCTATAGAGCCAATCCCCCGGTCCCAGTTCCTGTCCTGTATCGGTGAGAGCCCCACCAGCTCCAGCCTGCCGGTGATTTGAGGAGTGCAGATGTTCATGTGAAAATCCTTCCGGCTCGCCAACTTCTCCCCCTTCTGGCTGCAAGGAAACACAGTGACCCCTTCAGTCTGTAGGCTGTTAGAATTCCTGCTCCACGTTTGCAGTCATGGGATTGTTGTCTTTCACATGACGGTGTATGTTTTGACTCCAGAGTGGGAAGTGATGGAGACAGGATGTTTGTGTTCCTGTGTTCCGTGAAGTGGGACCATTGTCCTTTGTTCTTTCTCTTTGCTGTGTGATGCTAGAGAGAGAGGGAGCCATGTTGCAGTGCTCCGTGTGTGTTTATATGTAAATAAAGCCGATTAGCCAAAATGCTGAGTTGCTGAGGTCTGTTAGGCAACTTGCACAAACTCTGTGGATCCCTAAGTGTGCCGGTGTCTGCTGGCATCGGTCGCTGTGATGTTCGGGCTGAAGAAAGATTGTGAAGCTCCCAAACGATTGACCAGGAGGGAGGGAACATGCCAGTCGGGCAGGTGTCTCTACCAGGATCCTACTCGTGTGTAGGCTGAACTCCTGACAAGCCCTAGAGAGCTGGGCAGCATGAGAAGGCACGCCTCCCCCAGAGCGCATTGATAATCCCCTGAGTAGGAAAATTAAAGGTTGGGGCGGGGGATCCTTACCTGAAGAGGGGATTGTCCGTCTTTTCTGCGTCATCTGGTGGAACCAGGGCCATTGGAGTCAAGGGGACAATGCCGTTCGCCTGGAAAGATAAGGAAGCGAGTTCCAACGTGTCTAGGGAGAGGGGCGGTGGGGGTCGTCCTCTGGGTCAGGAGGGGTGCTGAGCACCTATGGCCTCCTGGAGACTCGGCCATCTCAGGCTAGAGAGCTGTTGAGCTTCCCTTCAACTGAGTGTTCCTCTTCAGCTGCTGGCGGTGCCCTGTTTTTCTAGGTGGGAGTTGTGGTAAAGGGATCACAGGAAGACAGGAAGCAGCCTTGCTTTGTGCTAGATCATTTGGGCCCATCTAGTGCAGTTTTGCTCACGCTGGCTGGAAGCAGCAATACAGTAGGTACCTTGGTTCTCAAACGGCTTAGTACTCAAACAGTGAAAACACAGAAGTAAGTGTTCCAGTTTTTGAACGCTTTTCGGAAGCCCAACGTCTGATGCGGCTGTCGGCTATTGTTTCCGGGGCACCTGCACCAATCAGAAGCTGCGCCTTGGTTTTTGAGCATTTTGGAAGTCAAATGGAGTTCCGGAACAGATTAAGTTTGGCGCTTCTGTTTTTGCTATTTATTTTGCATTTTTGTTTTTGAGGCTTTTTCGGTTAATTTATTTTTGTGACTGTGTGGAGCCCAGTTCAGCTACTGACTGATAGATTGTGTGACTGCGGAAATGGATAAAAGCCCCCCATCCAAACAACGATCATCATCAGTGCAGGTAAGAAAAAAATAATTTTAATCTTTATCATCTAGAATACTGTCTTTATGTATTTTATAGTACAGAACATTGATTATTGCTTTCATTTTATGGATCAATGGTCTCGTTAGTAAAACTCATTTTAAACTGCTGTTTTAGGGGTCGTTTTTAAAAATCTGGAAGGGATTAATCCGTTTTGCATTACTTTCTATGGGAAAGTGTGTCTTGGTTTTGGAACGCTTTGGTTTTGGAACGGACTTCTGGAACGGATTGAGAACCAAGGTACCACTGTACAGAGTTTCAGAGTCTTACCCCGCCCTACTAGCAAAATAGATGCTCTGCTGTTTTTTTAAATAACCCTTTCCATTAAAAGTTTTCAACATAGAGTACAATAAAAGCAAAATAGAGTGGGAAGATAGAAATGGAAGAGCATAAAAAAGAAAAGGAATGAAATGAAGAAAGGAAAGTATAAAGCCCTCTATCCCTAAGTTATATCTTTACCCTTAATCCACATAAAAGAGATGTTCTGCTATTGAGCCACAGCCCTTCTCGAACAGTGGAGGGTGGGGGAAGAACACGCAGTGCTGTTGTTGAGCTTCCAGGAAAGGGGAAATTGGATGGGTCCGCTTGCCGATTAAAGGAGGCATAAACAAGCAGGGCTTTCTGGCTTAGGGGAACAGGAGTGTGACAGAAAGACGACAGAGCTGGACTCGGAAGGTCGAAAGCACAAGAACGTAGGAAGAATGCTGTTTCCAAGAGCGGCTGACCTGACGTCTTGTGCCAACCACGAAGCAACAGTTCTCAGTCTGGAACTCACAGCAATGTGATATTTCAATGGCCACAAACATCTATGAGCAAGGGACTTGGGGGGGGGCTGTAGGCCATGCCTTGGATGCAACAGGTCCTCCAAGCGATCCACAGCATCTCCAAGCAAGGCCAGGAATGTCCCTGGTCTGAACCCTGGAGGATCACTATCTGTCAGCGTAGACAAAAACTCTCTTAAATGCACCAAAGGCCTGACTCAGTATGAGCCAGCTTCCCATTGCTTCAGTTTCATCACCTTGGCTGGGAGCCCTGGAAGATCTGCTCCCTGCCCTGCAGGCTTCCTCCCATCTGGCCTGGGAGGGTGGGGCCTGGACTGACTCCAGCTACAAAAAGTCAATGCTGCTGAAGAGGCCAGAGACCATCTTGGCTGCCTCTTGGAGAAGACCCAGGTCATCGAATCTGAGCTTCCACAGCTGCCGCTGGCCATGAACCACCATTGGCAGAACTGGCAGCAAAAGCAGCAGTTATGCTCTATGCTTATAATATTTTATTCTCTTGATAATTATGCCATTTGAAATGTGCACTTAGTATTTGACATTTTTTAGTAATGTTTTCTTTTGAAATGAATTCAAGGCAATTATTTCTTGAACTTTGCTGTGCTCAAGGTGCATTCTGTAGTTGACCTTCTTTGCAACGCTTTACTTTGAAACCTTTTAAGATAATATTAATTTCCTGTTAATTACTTTGCTTTGGATATCTACTTTACATCTGACTTTCTTCAGTAATGCTTTGTTCTAGATTGTTTTATTTGATGTTTGAATGTGTGGTAAATAGCTTTAAGATTTTTTTCTCAAAGCTGGCTTTAAGAGGGGTTGTTGAGATAGATGGAGCTGTTTTCAGCCTCTCCCTCTCTTAATTACCGTATTTTTCGCTCTATAAGACGCACCAGACCACAAGACGCACCAAGTTTTTGGAGGAGGAAAACAAGAAAAAAAATATTCTGAATCTCAGAAGCCAGAACAGCAAGAGGGATCGCTGCGCAGTGAAAGCAGCAATTCCTCTTGCTGTTCTGGCTTCTGTGATAGCTGCGCAGCCTGCATTCGCTCCATAAGACGCACACACATTTCCCCTTACTTTTTAGGAGGGAAAAAGTGAGTCTTATAGAGCAAAAAATACGGTAATCATTACATCTTCCAATACCCAAACCACAGTTCCCCATGTTAAACTTAGATGTGTTATGACACACACTGAGCTACTTGTGGCCAAATTCACAATTTCAGCAGTGGGGCGGGGCGGGGGGGTCAAACTTGTATGAAGCTCAACATACCCCCCTTGAATTCCTGACCCCTCCCATTCCATTCATCTTCAGACATCAAAAATGGGAAAAGTAGAGGCTACTCACACTATGTCTCTGGTTTCCCCTCATGTCATTGCTTGCTCTGCTGGTATCGCGGATGTCGTCCAAAGAGAGGAACTACAGAGAAACAGAGAAACTCCATCAATGGCGCACATTGCCTAGGCAAGCAAGGAGTGGGAGGGCAGAAGAAGAAAAGGGAGCCTGCCCAAAGCTACATACTAAATTGCTTTTAATGGGAGGAGCCATGGCTGGCATTTAAAAATAAAGATAAAAATCTAGCCTGCCCCATCCCTAGTCCTCAAGGCAAGCTACAATTTTGAAGTGACATTAAGTGTATTTGGGCAACATAAAAAGATATATGCACCTGACAAAGTAGACTTTCATCCATATAACCTCATAATAAATAATAATAATAATAAATTTTTATTTATACCCCGCCCTTCCCGGTTCAAAAACCGGGCTCAGGGAAGCTAACAACAAATTTAAAACACTTAATTGTAAAAGCAGCATAAAATATAGTATAAAAACATGAATAACAGTAAAATTCAAAATTCAGAAATCAGTTTAGGGGAAATAATCACCAGGGCTAGCTAGCTGAATTGGTCCTACTTGGGCCAGCAGGGAGGCCAGGGGAGAATTAGCTGTGGGGTCTCAGAGAAGGTGATCTTCATAAAAGGGGAGGGGGAGGGAAGAGAAGGGAAATAAAAGATCAGGCTGAATTCAAATTCAAGGCCAGGCGGAATAGCTCTGTCTTACAGGCCCGACGGAAGGAGGTTAAATCCTGCAGGGCCCTGGTCTCATGGGACAGAGCATTTCACCAGGTCGGAGCCATCACTGAGAAGGTCCTGGCCCAGGTGGAGGATAGTCTGACTTCCTTAGGGCCTGGGACCTCTAAACTATGGTTGTTCATGATCCTCTGTGGGGCATACCAGGAGAGGCGGTTCCGTAAATGAGGGCCCTAAGCTGCTTTATGCCATAAAGCATTCATTAGGTCAGCAGTGCTTGAAACGCAATCTCAAGGTCAAGAATCCTGCATTGCAGGGTGTTGGACTACATGATCCTTGCGGTCCCTTCCAACTCAAGCAATAATAATAATAATATTTTATTTCTACCCCACCCATCTGGCTGGGTTTCCCCAGCCCCTCTGGGCGGCTTCCAATGAAAGATTAAAAATACATTAAAACATCAATCATTAAAAACTTCCCTAAACAGGGCTGCCTTCAGATGTCTTCTAAATGTCATATACAGTTGTTTATTTCTTTGACATCTGGTGGGAGGGCGTTCCACAGGGCGGGCGCCACCACTGAGAAGGCCCTCTGCCTGATTCCCTGTAACCTCACTTCTCACAGGGAGGGAACCACCAGAAGACCCTCGGCGCTGGACCTCAGTGTCCGGGCAGAACGATGGGGGTGGAGATGGATAGGTATACAGGACCGGAACCAAATCTACAATTCTATGATTCTGTGAGGTTTGAAGGAGCTGCAGGACTCCTTCTGCAAGAGCTGGCAAGCCCAGCCGCCCCTCTGTAATTTATACAAAGAGATTGCTGGCAGCATTTTCCTGTACGTTTCTGCAACTAGAAGAAGCCTGCAGTCATCACCAAGAGCAAAAATTAAAGCTTTTGCCAAGCTGGTGCCCCCCAGTTAAACTAGGACATCCCCTCAGCTGATGGGAGGCTGTAGGCCAGCATCTGAAGGCTGCCAGGTTGGCAAAGGCTGTTCTACAGATGGATGAAGCAGAACGGCCACAGGCAAGAGCTGCTTTGACGCTGCTCTGACAGAATCCACCTGCAGCCAGTTTCTGTTGCTGCCTTTGGCCCAGTCAAGAGAACAGCTTTGCTTGCAGAGGGAGAGAGAACATGGACACATTCTCTTGCACGACGACAATGGACCTCACCTTTTCCTCTTCTGCTGCTGGTCCATTGCTGACATCTCTGTCAACTCCATCCTCTCCTACTGATGCAGCCTGCTTCTCACGCCTAATCGGTGGGAGTGGAAAGAGTCACGGGAAAAGGAAAATCAGAGCAAATTGTTGTTTTTAAAATTTGAATCCCTCTCTTTTTCAAGCAAATGAAAGACCCCCGAAGAGTGCAATTTCAGAATCCAGGTTACCAGGCAATACTACAGTCAAGGTTCGCTGGCTATAGGGCAGAGTCAGGCTATATGATTGACAACGGGACGCCAGATACAATGACACCATGACAAACACCACCCTCAGGAGACCCCAGGAGCATGCCAGGCAAACATGACCAACAACAAAGCTCATCAGGGCAACGGGGACAGGATCCTGGGTGATCTGAAAACGACCTTCCGCTTTTTCACACGGAGAAGCAATTTCCTGAACCCGCTCCGTGTAATAAGGTTGTGAGCCGTGGAGAAAATGGTTGGAGGGGCACAGATGGGAAATTTTCCCACTTTAAGAATGGCTGTAATTCAGCCTTTCAACTTCTTTTATTATTAATTATTATTATTTATTCAACTTATACACCGCCCTATACCCAGAGGTCTCAGGGCAGTTCGCAACAAGACCACAACATATAAAATCAAACCAAAAGCAGTAACCCAATAACCCCCCCCCCCACAAAGCCACATTCTAAAAGGGTGTTGGATGTCAATAAGATCCACCAAAAGCCTGGTTTAAAAGGAACCTTTTTGCCTGGCGCCTCAAGGTGTATAATGAAGGCGCCAGGCAAACTTCCCTGAGGAGAGCATTCCACAGTTGTGGAGCCACTGCAGAAAAGGCCCTGTTCTTGTGTTGCGACCGTCCAGACCTCTCAAGGAGGAGGAACACGAAGGAGGGCCTCAGAAGATGATCTCAGGGACCGGGAAGGTTCATATAGGAAGAGGCGGTCCTTGAGGTATTGCAGTCCCGAGTCTTCGTTACCACAGAACTTTCTGGCTACTTACTGCTATAGTAATGACTGGTTGGATGCAGTCAGAAAAATAAGCCAGTGTAAAATTCTTTGCACTGATCATTTCTATCTACAAATGGTGGGATGGGTGGGTTTCGAAGTACATAGACAAATGTGGTTTTATGTCAGAACAACAGCACCTCTCCTTGCAAGCAAGGAAGCTAGCACGTCAGGGGAGCTGTGTTTCTGGAATTGTTCTTATAATAAAACACACAGAGAGGAATGGTGGAAACACCTAGCCCCACGGTCATAACACGAGGCAGCAGGAAACAAGCAGGCGAAAGACATGCCAACTTAAGACAAATGAAGCAGCAAAACAAAATTCAGTGGTGCCCCGCAAGACGAATGCCTCGCAAGACGAAAAACTCGCTAGACGAAAGGGTTTTGCGTTTTTTGAGTCGTTCCGCAAGACGAATTTCCCTATGGGCTTGCTTCGCAAGACGAAACGTCTTGCGAGTTCTTGCGAGTTTGTTTCCTTTTTCTTAAAGCTGCTAAGCCGTTAATAGCCGCTAATAGCTGCTAATAGCCGTGCTTCGCAAGACGAAAAAACCGCAAGACGAAGAGACTCGCGGAACGGATTAATTTCGTCTTGCGAGGCACCACTGTTGCTCCTTCACGATATGAGGACATAAACCTAGAGCTCTCTCAATGCCAGAAAACTTCCAGAAAATGAAGCTATTCAGCTCCACTAACCAAATTTTTGCTGCCAATATTAGAAAAAAGTACACCTGACAACTTAAAAGATTTGTCTAAAGTAAAAAAACAATGGAGAGAGACAAAGCTATCTTGGCAATACAATCAAACCTGAGATCGCGAACATCTCCGTTTTGGAATGTTTCGGTTCCCGAACGTCAAAAACCTGGAAGTAAATGCTCCGGTTTTCGAATGTTTTTCGGAAGCCAAGTGTCTGACGCAGCTTCCGCATGAGTGCAGGAAGCTCTTGCAACCAATCGGAAGCTGCACCTCGGTTGTTGAACAGGCTTCTGGAACGGATTACGTTTGACAACCGAGGTTTGACTGTAACTAAGTCAAAGGCAGCACAATGGGCAGAGGAAGGTGAGGGATTCCAGGACAGAAATATGAAGAGCTCTAGCCACTCCGGAAGTGAAAATCTTCCCTCCCCCTCCAAAAAAGTTCAACTAACTTCTTATTGGAAATGAAATCAAGTGCCTGGAAGACCAGTGAGTAGAGAGATTCCACCTGAAAAAAGAGAAAAAAGGCAACAGGTTTAGAGGCAAGAATGGAGTTTGCTAAGCCAGACAATTTTGTTGCAGTTCCATGGTCCATCTAGTTTGAGCATTCTTGATAGCCACCTCACCTTCTTGCTGTAGATGCAGGCAGAACCTTGGATGAGCATTGCTGCTTCTGTAAAGTTCATGGTGGTTCTGCCATTATCAAATGAAATGCAGATCTGCGCCAGCTGCAGGATTAAAAAAATAAATACATGAGGTGACAAGAGAATACAGGAATAATAGATTCTGTTTTGGCAAACTAATTCTAACAGACAGCAAGAGCTTTGTTTGATTTTGTTCTTCAATCATATCACCATCAAAAAGCAACTAAGGGTACTGCTTATATCCCAATTTAACAGGGAACAAACGGAGACATGTTGCATCTCCCATAGCTTGCTTCCCTGAAACTTTGCTTCTCGCAGTGAGGGAACTGCCAGAAGGCCCTTGGTGCTGGACCTCAGTGTCGGGTAGAACGATGGGGGTGGAGACGCTCCTTCAGGTATACTGGACCGAGGCCGTTTAGGGCTTTAAAGGTCAGCACCAACACTTTGAATTGTGCTCGGAAACGTACTGGGAGCCAATGGAGGTCTTTCAGGACCGGTGTTATGTGGTCTCGGTGGCCACTCCCAGTCACCAGTCTGGCTGCCACAATCTGGATTAGTTGCAGTTTCCGGGTCACCTTCAAAGGTAGCCCCACATAGAGTGCGTTGCAGTAGTCCAAGCGGGAGATAACCAGAGCATGCCCCACTCTGGCGAGACAGTTTTGTGGGCAGAGAGGGTCTCAGCCAGCCTGCGTACCAGATGGAGCTGGCAGACAGCTGCCCTGGACACAGAAGACAGCCCCGCTCACAGCTAGAAGGAGAGTTTCACTCTGCAGAGGCAGAGACGCCATAGGTAGAATGAGATTCCCTTGCCAAAGCAGCTCCCTGCACACATGCTCTCCCCCCAAAGCAGGAGTAAATAGAGGCACTTACCTCCTCCAGGTATTCTCCCAGCTGAGCTGCCACATCCACCGCCCAGTTCGCAGTGAGGTCCCTTATCGGCTTGAGGAAGTGCACGAAACGCGACTCCACGTCCTCCATGGCAGCAAATCCCATCCAGAACAGACCCACACTCCAGGGGTTTAATGCATTTTAGGCGTGAAGGTTCATGCTTTGCCCGCTGTTCAAAGACCAAACATTTTAGCCTATTGTTCAGATAACAAATAACCAAAATAAAGGAGAGAGCGACTTGCATAATCCCACCCATTAAGAACTGGAGCCAGTGTGGTACAGTGGCTTTCCAAACTTCCCACGTTGGCGACATGCTTTTTAGATATGCGTCATTTCACAACAAAGTAATTCAGTTTTACTAGTAAACCAGAGTTTGAGCTAACCCCTTTCCAGCCACGGGAGGAGTGGCAGGGAGTGTTTGAGTGTAGGGACTATGACCTCCTGGAAGACCAGGGTTCAAACCCACCATCAGGCTCCACACCTTGGCAAAACCAAGCAGCCTAGCTTCAGAACCCTCGGTCTTGTTTTCTACCCCATGCCGAAGACTCCCTCTTTACCCATTTATCATCAATTTACATATCAACTTTTACATGTGTCCCAAAGCGATTTGCAAACATGCTACATAAACACCTGGAATAATGTTTTAAAAAAATCTTTCTGTCCTAGAATGGGAACTTTTCACACATTACTCAAAAAGACAACAAAATGAATTGGACGCCTTGGCAGGTTTTGAATAAACATACACAAATTTCTTGATTAACATAGTAGATAGATAATATAAGGATTTATACTATTTTACAGTATGCAGAGAACAATATGGGTTGAGAAATCAGAGAGGAGCTGAGGGAAGTCTCGGGGGAGGAGGGAGGCAGGGTTTGATGGGGAGGTGAAATGGGGGAAAATAATGAGATGTTTTGATATTTTGTTATGTTGAAATTGTTATTATTATTATTTTTTAAGAATTCTGTCCTGCTGGACAAGCTTGCAGAATCTACTATCACTTATCAATTCATGAACCACCTGTTCCATGTGTCTCAAAGCAATTTCCAAACATACCACAGGAAAGGCGTGTATTATAAGGGCACGCCCCTTTCTTCCAATCGTAAACCATTCCTGTTCTCTTTCCACACACCCCCGACATCTTTATTGACAGTTAAAAAGTACATAATTATATGTGCACTAAACATGGTGACACGTAAATAAGATAGAGAAATAGAAAGAGAAACAGTCCCCGTGTAGAAGCAGGAGAGGGGAGGAGAAAAAAACACCAAACTTTTACAGAGTTGCTATCCTGTTCTTTGCATGCACTTCACGTGTGCCTCTTAGAAATTCTGATTATCAGGCAGTACATAAATGCCTGAAATAAAGCAACTGTTTTCACTCCGGTCTCCACCCCGTATTTTTACACTGATGCCAAATGCATCTTACTGTTATTATGGTTATTGTTAATTATCTGCTCTTCCCCCTTGCAGGTGGCCACAATTGAAACACGGTATATTAAAAGTAGAGCTTCAATTAGAGTCACAGGAATAAGGCGGGTTGGGAGAGGAGAGGTAAGGGAGTCCTAAGAGTTCCTCTGAAGAGCCTGTGCACCAGAGGTGCCAAATGAAGGGAATCAACCAATCAATTAAAGGAACAAATCTTTTGGAGTCAGGAGGGTCGTTTCCTTTTGGTTTTAATGCTATATCTAGGTGGCTTGGGGTGTGTGTGTTGCTTTAGGTTGCCCTGGGCAAGATAAAAGCGGGTCACAAATTCAACGAATGAATAATTCATTGATGGATTGGTGGACTGAACGACCGAATGCATGAAGGGAAGCAACAATCGAACAAATTAGTAAAGGGAATAAAAACACCGAGTATTTTTATGTTTTTTTTCTAATACAGAGAACCACCCCATGATCCTAAGATGGTGGGGCAGTGTCAGTGACGGATTTACGTGTAAGCTAAACAAGCTATAGCTTAGGGCCCCACTCTCTTGGGGGCCCCCAAAAAAATTAAAGGGGAAAAAACAACACTGGATGTACATTTCCAAAATGTAAGCTAAAGGAACCTTTTCTAAAGGAACTTTTGTTATTGCCAAATGCCAATGTGTTTGCATTATCAAGTTTGTTATGAATTAAAAATCATTTTAAGTTAGATCTTAATTATTTCACTATTAATATACTTAATTGTATTTCAGTTCAGCAATTACTTTGATAAAATACATATTTTGTGATGTGCGAATGGCTTTAGATACCTATTGGGTCCAAAAATGACCATATAGCATATATTCCACACACAAAAAGGTGACAATTTGTTGTTGACAAAGGACAGCTGGACATAGAAAGGGCCCCGTTACCTTCAGGAGCTGAGGGCCGCATCAAACCTAAAACCTGGGCGGTGTGAAAATTTAACACCTCCTACAACAACCACTGAACAAATTAATTGGATTCTAAATTGATTTTAGAATGTATTTTAATGACTGTGGCTTTATGTAAATTGTGCTATTTTTACTGTTAGCCGCTCTGAGCCCGGCTTTGGCTGGGGAGGGCGGGATATAAATAAAATTTTATTTTTATTATTATTATTATTGTTAGATAAATAAATAAATAAGTATAAAAAGCTAATGAACACACCGATGAATAAAGGAAGGGAATAAATGAAGAAACAAATGAGACCCGCGAATAAATAAACGAAGGGGGTAAATGAGGGGAGGAAGTGGGCGTCGTCGTCTCCTGAGCATGTGCAGAGTGCAACTGGCCTCAGCTCCGCCCCCCTCCCCTCTCGCCGTGGGAGGGCTGTTCCTGCCTGCGCGGTTGCTATGGAGACCAGGAGACCCCCCCCCGACCCCTTCCCTCCCCCGACTCACCCTTCGCTCCCTCGCGCGCCGCTCCCAACGCTCCGCGAATTCGTCTTTCCCGCCCGTCGCGGCGCAGTGACGCCCTCGAAGCCGCGCCGCTGTGACGCGATCCCCCGGCGACGCCTCCTCCTCTTTAAGCGCAGGCCCCGCCCCAGGCTCTCTTCCCGGCCCCGCCCTCCTCCTCCTCCTCCCCCGCGCCCCGCCTGGGCGCTGGCGTTCTAACCGCGCCCCTTCGCTGCGCCGGAGCCAATCAGCTCGGCGGCCCGGGCGTTCTGAGCCCGCCCCCTGGCGAAGTTGGCTACATTGTAGCGAGCCGCCAGCGCAGGCTGCTTCTTTCGCCGCCGCCATGGGAGCCGAGCCGCCCCGCCTGGCCCGCCAGCTGTTCCTGCGGGGCTTGGCCGCCGTCTACGTCGCCGCCTTCGCCTCGCTCTACGTCCAGGTCCCCGGTAAGCGCGGCGTAGAGAAGGGTCGCCCTTCCCCGGGACTCGGGCCCTTGCTGCTGCTGCTGCTGCGCAAGGCTCGGCTCCGTCCCGGGGGCCGGTGAGGGCCCCGCGGGCCGGAGAGAGGGAGGAGGCCGCCGGGGAAGGGGTGGGAAGAGGGCCAGGGTTTGTGCTAAGGGCCGCGAGGGAGAAGCGGGAAGCCTTGAGCCGAGCCATTGCACTCTGCACGCGCTCAGGTGCCCTCTTGCTCTCCTGCACGGGAAGTGGCGTTTTGAGGCTCCTTGGGGGGGGTGGGGGAGAGTTTCGCTGGGTCTGCACGAAACGTGGGTAGCAGCTCTCGGGGGGCGAGCGCGTGGCGTGTGGGTTCGGGTGTTCTCAGAAACCGGGCCTGGCTGCATTGCAGCGGGTCGGACTGGATGACCTTTGGGGATCCCTTTGGACTCTTAGCATTTTGTGATGCTGAGGATTCTAGGCATTGTAAGCTGGGGGCTGCAGGTGAGGCCGGAGGGAAGCATGCACGGAACCCCGCGTGTGTGTGAGAGAGGGAGACGTGGCTGTCGGCTTGGGCCTGGAAGGACCGGGACAGATGCTGGCAACTTCGGAGGAGCCGGCCCGGGCAGCGGAGTCGGGTCTTTGCAGGGCGCCCCTCTGGCTCGGCAGGTGGAGCCAGCTCCGCTTCCCCGGGAGCAGCTTGCTACAAAGCAGGGGTCTCCAACCTGGTGCCCTCCAGATGTTGAAGTCTGCAGCTTCCTCCATACCTGACTCTTAACCGTGTTGACAGGGGCGAACTTTGGTGATACGGTAAAACTGCTGGAATCATAGTCCAAAACAGCTGGAGGGCACTGGGTGAACCCATTATTCATGTTTGTCCTGTTATTCCTCCTGTAGGAACACAGGGTGATTATGCAATACCGTGGAAATATACCCTAACATTGCTAACAGCTTTATTCAGGGCAGGGGTGGCAAACTTGGGACTCTCCAGATGTTGCTGATGGGAGCTGGAGGAGAACAACATCTGGAGTGCTACAGGTTCCCCATCCCTGGCCTAGAATTCTGGTCTTGATCCAAGGTGGGTTGCAGCAGGTGTACGACCCCTGTGCAAGTACGTGGTGACAGATTAAGGGGTCCCCAAATCCGTGTTTGGGTTAGAAGGGGGTCTTGAGTCTGCAAAGGTGGGAGGCGGCTGATCTGAGTCCTCTTCAGCTAAACGGGTCTGTGGCCCGGCCCCCTTCCTCACAGGGCCCTGTTGCTGGAAACCATGCCAGAGGAGAGGGTCAAATCCTACTTGCGGGTTTCCTGTCGGGGAACCTGGGCTCAGTGGGCCAGTGGCCTGATCCAGCAGCTAGACTCTTCCAATTGAACCTCCAGGGCCAGCGGCAGTCTATCCACCTTCCTAGGCTCCATGGGGCATTAGGCTGCTATGGGATGCCGGGGTAGACGGACTGTCGGCCTAATCCTGCAGGTCTCCTCTCACGGTCCCATCTGCCCTAAAGAGCCCACCCCTTACCTTCTCCCCCACCCAAATCCTGCCCCTTCTCAGCAAGTCCCGGCTGTGGAACGGAGCCCACTGCCCTCAGCCACCCCCTTTCTCCAGGGCCGGATATCCTATGGAACTTTCCCTTCCCTCTGCTGCGCCCCTCCCTCCCCTTTCCACATAACACGTGGCATCCACATTGCAATAGTGCAAGCTGGGTGCAGGATTTTTTTGGGGGGGGTGAAGTTGTCAGTGCATGCGGCTTGCAGTCAGCTCTTGCACACTTTTTACTTATGCCTTCCCCTTCGCCCAGCCCATCCTGCCTGCAGCTACTGTCGGACCAGACCCCCCCCTCCTGGTTTCTCTTCCCCTTTTCTGTAAGTTTCCTGCCAGCCTTTCCTTCCCCTCCGGCTTCTGGGACCTCTGCCAAGGGCCTCTCATGCTTCCAAATCCAGCTCTTAATCTCCTTATGGCTGGAGGCTGTGCCGAAAATCAAGCCCAGGGCCCTGTTCAGCTGGGGGAAGTTTCCCCCGCGCAGCCCAAAGCCGTCCTTTTGCTTTCCGTGGCCCCTTGCAAACTCAGGGAAATCTCCCAGTTGTCCTTCCCAGGTGGTCCCCACTGGTGAGTTGGGGTCTTCCTCTGCAGGTGGTGGGTTGAGCAGATGAGACCCAGCGTGGGTCCAACGGTCAAGAAGGCAGCTTCTGCAGAGGGAAGTGTGGGGCAGGGGGGGCTCAACCACCTGGGGTGGGAACCCATTGAGGAGAAGGAGAATTCAGATCCTAAGCCTGCGGGACATCGTTAGGAGAAGAAAATAGTAATAATAATTTTTATTTATACCCCGCCCTTCCCAGTTCAAAAACTGGGCTCAGGGCAGCTAACAACAAATTTAGAACACTTAATTGTAAAAGCAGCATAAAATATAATATAAAAACAAGAATAACAATGAAATTCAAAAATCAATTAGAAAAGGGTCATGTGCAAAGCCTACACAAATCCGGAGTCCCTAAGACAGTTGGATGGTGCCTTGTACACCTCCTTGCAGCATCTCCAACAGCCAAGCTCTCCTTTCCTTTGGACCCCATCAGCCGCCAGGTCCAGAGGGGGTTTCTTGTCCTTTGGGCAGCCCCAGACCTCCAGGCACACAGCCCAGTCTTGCGGCCCGGGGAGGTTGCTTCTAACACAGCAGTTTGGCTTCACCATCGGAGGTGCACTCCATTGTTGTCTTTTGAGACAACAACTGTCCTTCCTAGGGAGGTGGGCTCCTCCACACATACTTTTTGGGGCATGGGACCATTGCAGCAGGGGAAGGGTTGTGGTTCAGGGGGTGGGACACTTGCTTCAGATCCTGTCTCCCTGAAGGGGCATCTCCACCCCCATCGTCCAGCCCGGACACTGAGGTCCAGCTCCGAGGGCCTTCTGGCGGTTCCCTCCCTGCGAGAAGCCAAGTTACAGGGAACCAGGCAGAGGGCCTTCTCGGTGGTGGCGCCCGCCCTGTGGAATGCCCTCCCATCAGATGTCAAGGAGATAAACAACTACCTGACTTTTAGAAGACATGTGAAGGCAGCCCTGTTTAGGGAAGTTTATGTTTGATGTTTTTCATCTCCGCCAAGCTAAGCAGTTGGCTCCTTACCTCTCTTGCCCTGACCTAGCCACTGTGATTCATTCAACGGTCACCTCCAGACTTGATTATTGTAACTCGCTCTACGTGGGGCTGCCCTTGAGACTGACCCAGAAACTCCAGTGGGTGCAGAATGCCACGGCGAGACTCCTTACAGGGTCTTCGCTGCGAGATCACATTCACCCAATGCTATACCAGCTGCACTGGCTCGCGGTGGAGTACAGGGTCGGGTTTAAGGTGCTGGTTTTAACCTTTAAAGCCCTATACGGCCCAACACCCTCATTCCTACGGGACCACTTCTATGTCCCACGGAGGACCTTACGGTCTTCAAACAAAAACACTTTGGAGGTCCTGGGCCACAGGTTAGGCTGGCCTCAACCAGAGCCAGGGCTTTTTAGGCCGTGGCCCCGATCTGGTGGAACGCTCTGTCACAAGAGACCAGGGCCCTGCGGGACTTGATATCTTTCTGCAGGGCCTGCAAGACAGAGCTGTTCCGCAGGCCTTTGGTCAAGGCACAGCCTGACCCCCCCTTCAGTAAAACTCACAGAACTCTAGCCCAATGGTTGCCATTAATTTGATTTTGAATTCATTTTAGAATGAATTGATTTAGAATGCATTTCAATTGATTGATTGTGATTTTATGTGAACTGTGTTGCTTCTATTGTTGTTGGCCGCTCTGAGCCCGGCTTCGGCTGGGGAGGGCGGGATATAAATACAAATTATTATTATTATTATTATTATTATTATTATTATTATTTGCCCAGTGGCTGGGGCAACCCAGATGGGTGGCATGTATATAATAAATTATTTGCCGAAAGACCTGGGTTCAGTCCCTAATGGCATCTTCAGCTGGGAGAGCCCCCCACCTCTGATCCCGCAGAGTGTTGCTGCCAGTCCGTGCCGACAACTCTGAGTTAAATGGACCAATGATGTTGGGCCTGCCAGGCTAGTTGGTGTTTTGCAGGGATGGGCATTGAAGTTCAAAACATCAGGAGGGCGCCAAATTGGGGAAGGCTGGAGCTGGGGGATCTGTTGGGGTCGGAGGTGCCGTGCCCCCCCATAAAGGGGTGGGCAGGACAAGGTCTTGCCTGTGGCCGCTGCCACCAACTCCTCCTGCTTCGACCTCCTCGCAGGCCTCTATGGGAAGGATGGCATCCTGCCCGCCCGGAAGGTGCTTCGCTTCACTGGCAAGGGCTTCTGGGAGCAGCTGCGCGACTCGCCCACCCTGCTGTGGCTGGGGCCACGCCTGGGACTGGACACGGAGCAGGGCCTGGAGCTGCTCTGCCTGCTGGGGACGCTGCTCTCCTTCGGGGCCCTGATCCTGGAGCCTCTGCGAGACAGCCTGGTCTTCCTGGCCCTTTGGGCGTTCTACCTCTCCGTTTATCAGGTATGGGGGGCGGCAAGTGGCGCGTGGCCTTGGGGTGTGTGTGGCAGCAGTAGGGGGCAGTCGGTGCCTGCTTGCTGGTGCTTTGCAGGGGAGGGGGGGGTCCTTGGAAGCCCAAGATAAGCAGCCAAAATCAAAACCATAAAAGAGCCAAGGTGACTTAGATACCTTTCAGAGGCAGTTTTATTCACTCATCAGCTCTTGGCTTTAAAGACCTGCCAGCCTCTTGTCAGCCAAGCTGCGTTAATGGCCCCCAGGAGCGGGGCCTTTTCTTCCGTGACTCCTCGTGTGCAAACCCTCGCCCCGGGAGCTCAGAGGGGCCGCTGCTTACTTGGGGGGGAATTAGGCCCTCGAAGAGCAAATCTCCTCCTTGCTGGGGGTGTCTTTGTATTGGAAATAAATGCCTCTGTATTCTTAATTGTTGCGCATCGTTTCGCTCAGCGCATGCCTATATTTTCTGCCCAAGAGCTCAAGGCGGTTGGCAATGTGCAGCACTGAAAAAAACTAAGAGGGCCAAGGCAAAACCCCTTGCCTGCCGTTCTGTGCTGTTGGCAAATGCAATTTAGGTTGACTGGACGGAGCCCACTTGAGTGTAAAATCTGGATTCTCAGCAGCCTTTAGGGTCTCTTGGGTGGGAAGACGGGGTATTAAATGGTTTAAGCCAGCAGCTGTCAAAAATCCCCGTGTTGCGTAAACTCACCCCCAGTGCCCCCTCTCCTCCCGTATGAATAGCATTATTCAGGATAGCAGGTTGCGTGACCCACATGATAGCCCGGTAAAATTGCATTCCTATCTGGGGAAGGTGAGGTATTAATAACTACATAACAGTAATCAGTAAAATTCAAAACAATTGCACATTTATTCAAAATCCAGTTAAAATTATATAGCTTAAATCAATGCAATGGGTGAACTTGATCCGGTGACATCAGCTTTTACACTTCCAGTGCCCCCTTCTTGCCCCCTTGCTCTTAGCCCCCCACCCCCGGCCAGGTAATCTCACTGCCCCCCCTCTCTGTGGGTAGTACCACCCACTATGGGAGCCGCTGCTTTAAGTCACACAGTTAAGTGAGCCCCCGCAATATTTTAAGTGAGCCCCCGCAATATTTTGTGTGGGGTTTGAATTGTTCCAACTTGGCTGTGTCGTGAAATGTGCTCCCTTTGCCTTCTGCGCCGTCGTCCCCGGCCCCCCCCCCGGCTCGGCTAGGTCAGCTGGCAAACCTTTTGCCAGCTGACACAGAAGGAAAAAACAGAGCGAGAATTTCGTAGTGCGTTGTTCCAAGATCGGGATGACTTGGAGCGAAGGAGGCTTTGACCCCCCAAACAGGAGGGAAGGGGCTTCAGATGAGGAGCAAGCCCTGAGTCACCGTTCATCCAGAGTTTTGGGTACCACTTCAGATGTTCCTGCGTTCTTCCCTAAGGTCAGGGGAGTCACAGCGTGGAGAGGGATTCCCTTGCTTTTAGAGCATCTCAGAGTGACATTCCAGTCTCCTCCGCCAGGCTGTCTTCTCCCTCCTTCCTTTTAAGGCTGTGTTTGAGCGCAGAGGATTCCAGCGGACAGACAAAACTCTGACCTAGATCTGGGGAGGGGTGGGTCGTTTCAGGAATCCTCCCGCGACCAGAATTGGCGCTTGTCGTCGCATCTCCCTCTGGGCACAGACTCTCCGTTCTGTGCTGTGCCCTATTGATCCAGCCCCAGATGTCTTCCACGTCCCGGTTGATGGGAGAATCTCTGCCAGTGGGGTGGGAGAGCTTTGGAGAGGTTGAGAATTTAGAAGGTTTGGAAAAGGGCCGTCAGAATTACCAAAGGGATGCAGGCAGTTTTTGAGGGGTTTATCTTAAAGGCGACGGGATAGAAAGCTTATAAAATTATTCTGGGGGTGGAGAAAGTGGATAGACAAAGGCTTTTTCTCCTCCATAACACTGGAACTCATGAATATCCAAAGAAGTGGAAGATCCAGGTCAGACAAAAGAAAGTTCCTCTTAGTTAGACTGTGGAACTCCCTGCCACAAGAGGCATCAACGGCCATCAATGCGGATGGCTTTAAAAGAGATTGAGACATATTCATGGAGGAGGAGACGGCTGTCAGTGGCTGATAGCCAGGATGGCCCATGCTCTGGTCTCCGCAGTCAGAGGCAGCAATGTTCCTGAATGCCATTTCTTGGGAAACACAGGAGAGGAGTGTGGTTTCATGCTTGAATCCTGCTTCTGGGTTTCCCCGCAGGCACCTGGTCGGCTAGTGTGAGCAGTGCCGGATTTACATATAAGCTAAGCGAGCTATAGCTTAGGGGCCCCCAAAAAAATTAAAGGGAAAAAAAACCCCTGGATGTACATTTCCAAAATATAAGATAACAAACAAAATAAAAACTACATGCAGCAACAGTGTTTTGTGTTGTGTTGGCTCCTATGATGTAAGTCACGGGCCCCGCCTGCTCGCCTACTCCCTGAAATATCACTGGTTTGCTCCTTCCTATATATAAGGTGCCTACATTCTGCATGGGCTGTTTCATGGCAATGTGCAAATGGCTTGAGACACCTATGAGGTCCATCAATGACCATATAGCATCTATTCAACACAAAAAGCAGCAACCATTTGTTGTGGAAAAAGGAGAGCTGGACATATCAAGGGCCCCATGACCTTCAGTAGCTGAGGGCCTCATCATACCACACCCGGCCCTGAGTGTGAGAGCAGGATTCTGGGCTAGATGGGCCATTGGCCTGATCCTGCAGGTTCTCCTCCTGCTTCCATTGCTATTCCCCAAATTGCAAGTCCTTGGCCCAAAGGTGGCAGCTGCTGGGTTGATCCCGAGAGCTTGACGTCCTCTGAAAAAGGGGCCAGTCCTGCGCTCTCCCTCCTCCTTCCCGGGTTCCTCTTCCCACGCCATTGTGCTGTCACGAGTTGACAGCCCCCGGGACCTCCTGGCGGGTTGGGCAGGCGGTGGAGCGGCTCTGGATCCGAGCCCGTGGCAAGGGAGCTGGGTTCAGCGCCAGCAATCTGCAGCCGGCCCTCATCCTTCTCCTCTGTCTTGGCTCCCTCCCTGCGTGGGGGCGGGCGAGGCGCAGGTCCAGTTGGCGGGCCGTGCAGCCCTCTGCGGGAAGATCTTGGTGGAGATTTCACCGGGGGGGGGGAGTTGCATGCATTGGGGGAAACCCAAACCTGCACAGTTCCGCAGGGAGTGGGCATGCACAACGCGCTTGCCACTTGCATCCCTCTTCTTCTTATTTATTCTCAGTTGGATCTATTGCCCATCCTTCACCCTAAGGTCTCAGGGAGGGTCAAAGCAATCTATTGCAGTGGTTTCCAAAGTGGGAACTAGTGTCCCTAAGAGGGGGCAATTAGATTATTGGGGGGGGGGGTGCTAGGGGCAGCAGAGGAGCTCAGGAGTATTGTTTATGAAATTTGTATACTGCCCTAAATTAAATTAAATTTGTATGCTGCCCTACTGCAGGCTAAAATCACAATACAGTGGTACCTCGGGATGCGAACGGGATCCGTTCCAGAGCCCTGTTCGCATCCTGAAGTAAACGCAACCTGCATGTGCACGTGTGTGGGTCGTGTTTCGCTGCTTCCACGCATGTGCGTGATGTCATTTTGACCTCCTGCGCATGCGTGCGCGGCAAAACCCGGAAGTAACGCGCTCCGTTACCTCCAGGTCGCTGCGGAGCGCAACCTGAAAATGCTTAACTTGAACCACATTTATCCCGAGGTATTACTGTACAGTATAAAAGCACAAGATACATAAATGACAACCCAATAATATCCCTCTCCCCAGCATGTTTTTAAAGGGCGTTGGGAGTAAAGGACTGTTAGACTTTGAAAAGCAGGAATCGCCAGATTGAATTCGTCAGATTGGCTCAATTAATTAAACCAAACCATTTTTAGCTGGGTTTCGAAGAAAGGTGCAACTCGCTGTTCCTGCTTTGAATTTCATGGTGCTATTTATTGAAGCTGAATCTTTCTGGCAACACACGACAGAACCACAAGACTGGTGTAAAATATGCAAACAAAAGTTTCATTACCACTACACAAAACTACAAACGCAGAGTGTGTGGGTGTTCTCTTTCTGCAGGCAAATTTGAACTGCAACTTCTTCTTCCTTTATACATATTACCATCTGTGCCTAATCAGCCTAGAAAACCACACCCAGAACTCACAGAAAAAGTCCTTAAAGTTCTCTGCACCCTTTTACTGTTTCTTAACGAATGATACCTAACACTATTACCATCCTTGGTGGGTCGTGCAAATCGCTCTTCTGAATGATGCCTTTTAAAAAAAAATTTAAAAATAGGGCAGGGGGATCTGGGGATGAGTTTAGGGAACCAAGGGGGTAGTAGCCCCAAATGGGTTTGGGAAACACCTAAAATAGAACCAGTATAACAGATTGCAGTCTCAAGAATAGGAATATTCAGAAGTACCGTATTTTTCGCTCTATAAGACGCACCAGACCAGAAGACGCACCTAGTTTTTGGAGGAGGAAAACAAGAAAAAAATATATTCTGAATCTCAGAAGCCAGAACAGCAAGAGGGATCGCTGCGCAGTGAAAGCAGCAATCCCTCTTGCTGTTCTAGCTTGTGGGATAGCTACACAGCCTGCATTCGCTCCATAAGATGCACACACATTTCCCTTTACTTTTTAGGAGGGAAAAAGAGTCTTATAGAGCAAAAAATACGGTATTCAACTCGGGTGTCCACGGCCAGGGTAAACTGGCGCATCTTTGGCAGTTGTTGAAAAGTGCTTAGTGACAGTTCTTCTGTGGGGAGGGAGTCCCACCGCAGAGGCACCCTCTGGGCTGCCTCCACCCAAACCTCTGCGGATGGGAGGTGGGGGGCGGGTCCACCAAAAGGGTCCCCTTTGCTGATTTCAGCACAGACAAGGGTCTGTAGGGAAGCAGGCAAAGCTTCAGATATTTGGAGCGTCCTGAGCCTTTTAGGGGCGTTCGAGGTAGTGGGGGAGCCAGAGGCAAGCTGGCCACCGAAATCTGCAAGCGGCTGTATCTGAAAACCGTGAGATTTGCCAGGGTGGTTTTTTGCCAGCGGTGCTACAGCTGGGAGATGGGTGCAAAGAAAATAATTAGTCGAAATGGAGTGGACGGAGGGGGTCTGAACCCCGTTTGATGTGTGCTCTCCCCTTTCTCTCCCCACAGGTTGGACAGGTCTTCCTGTATTTCCAGTGGTAAGTGGCATATCGCATAATAATAATAATAATAATAATAATAATAATAATAGAGTGGTGCCTCGCAAGACGAAATTAATCCGTTCCGCGAGTCTCTTCGTCTTGCGGTTTTTTCGTCTTGCGAAGCACGGCTATTAGCGGCTATTAACGGCTTAGCGGCTTTAAGAAAAAGGAAACAAACTCGCAAGAATTCGCAAGACGTTTCGTCTTGCGAAGCAAGCCCATAGGGAAATTTGTCTTGCGGAACGACTCAAAAAACGGAAAACTCTTTCATCTTGCGCGTTTTTCGTCTTGCGAGGCATTCGTCTTGCGAGGTACCACTGTAATAATAATAATAAATATTTATACCCCAAGCATCTGGCTGCGTTTCCACACTGGGCAGCTCCCAACAGAATATTAAAAACACAATAAAACATTAAACATCCAGACTTTGGGTGTGGCGCTTCCTTTCTCTGACCTGCTGGGGACGGCAGACTGCAAATGACATCCAGGCTGTGGCGTGTGTGTGTGTGTGTGTGTGTTGCATGTCCTCTGCTCTCAGCCTTCCGTTTTAAAAAAGAGGGGATTAAAGAGGACGGCAATTATGCAATTATTGTTTGCATAAACTGGGGGACGGAACGTGCACATCCAATCCTCGAGACCACGGATGGCTAAAATCTGGGACAGGGGTTAAGCTTTCCTGCATGTTGAGGAGCAGAGAGGACGGACAGCTTTGCAAAGTGGGCCGTGGCGTCGCTGTGCGTCAGGAGCTGAGTGGCAGGATGTAGCCCCTGGGATCTGCGCCTCCTTGCTTCATCCTGCAAGCTTGCCGTCATTTGTTTGGAAGCAGAATCTGGCATTTTGGTGGTGAGGACAGAATTTATATTTTTTTAATTTTTCTGTTGCGAACCGCCCTGAGATCGATGGTTATAGGGCGGTGTACAGGTTGAATAAGTACAGTAGTACCTTGGAAGTCAAACGGAATCTGTTCTGGAAGTCCGTTCGACTTTCCAAAACATTTGGGAACCAAGGCGCGCCTTCCGATCAGCTGTAGGAAGTTCCTGCAGCTGATCGGAAGCCACGTCGGATGTTTGGGTTCCCAAGAACGTTCAGGAACCGGAACAGTCACCTCTGGTTTTTGATTGTTTGGGAGCTGAAACGTTCAACTCCCAAGGCATTTGAAAACCAAGGTACGACTGTAATATAATAATAATAGATTAATTATTTTTTATTAAGTTTTACAATTTGATATCGAACACAATCATTATTGTCACAAAAATAATCTATAAATCCCTATCTCCCTCCCCTCTCCTGTGACTTCCCTCAACTTCCTCTTCTGGTTCTTTGAATGTTTGTTTTTCCTGCCTATTTTATTTTACCTTAATTTTGTAATCTTTTACTTAAATATTTTTGTAATCTTATCATTTTTGTGCCATATTTGTATTACATCTTACCCTTTATTGTTTCCCCATTATTACCTCTTAACTTTTATGCTTAAACGCTGCTAGTGAGTCCACATCTTGACAATGTTTCTGTAAGTACAACATAAACGGTTCCCAGTCCTTTTTGAAGTCTCTACGGTCCTTGTCTCTTAGTTTTGCCATTTCAGCAGGGCCGTCTTTAGCAGATGCAGCACTGGGGTGCAAATATCCGCCCAGCGCCCCCAAATTACCACGGCTAGTGTTGGGGTGCCCGCAGCTGCTCACTGGCAGCCATGGGGGGTGGGCACAACTCTCCTCCATGTCGCTGTGGGAGAGCGATCCCCGCAGAGGTTTGGGAGGGAAGCTGCGTGCCCACCAGCCTTATGGTTGGCGGGGCGCAGCTGGCGGGCGTGCAGGGAAAGGGGAGCCCCCCGGCAAAGCCGCGCAGCTCCTCCACTCGCTAGGACACCCCTGAGAGGCCGGCACCCTGGCGCGACGCACCACTAAGCCCTACGGGAAAGATGGCTCTGCATTTCCGCCTACTCCATCAGTTTTTCTTGCCATTCTTCTTTGGTTGGTACAGTGGACGCTCGGGTTGCAAATGTGATCTGTGCGGGATGCATGTTCTCAACCCGCAGTGGCGCATCTGCGCATGCACAGGTTGCGATTCGGCGCTTCCGCGCATGCAAAAACACAATTTAGCGCTTCTGTGCATGCGCCGGAACCCGAAAGTAACCCGTTCCGGTACTTCCAGGTTTCGGCTCATCCGTAACTTGAAAAAACGCAACCTGAAGCGTCTGTAACCCGAGGTATGACTGTATCTTGTCGTCTTTCCATCTTTGGGTTAGTAACATCCTAGCCGCTGTTGTGGCATACATAAATAGTCTATTCCACTCTTTTGGCAAGACTTGACCTGTAATACCTAGCAAAAAGGCTTCTGGTCTTTTAACAAAAGTTGTCTTAAACATTCTGTAACAAAATAATGAGACCCAGGCGTTGACCCTGTGTGTCTGTGTGTAGGGCAGCATCCCAGAGCGGGTGGCCTCCCCTGACTTCTCCCCCAACCTCCCCGTATCTTTCTCCCCATCCCAGGGACAGCCTCTTGCTGGAGACGGGCTTCCTGGCAGTGCTGGTGGCCCCGCTTCACCTGCTCAAGTGGCGCACAACGGCCTGGCGGCCCCACGACGGAGTGACCTTTTGGCTGTTGCGCTGGCTGCTCTTCCGCCTCATGTTTGCCTCGGGGGTGGTGAAGCTGACCAGCCGCTGCCCCACCTGGTGGGGGCTCACAGGTCAGTGGGGAAATCGCAGGCGAAGAAGTCGCGGCAGCAAAACGAAGAGGCAAGGCCTGGATTTGAAAGCCGTAGTGTTATAAAATCAGGAAGGGGTAGTAAACCTCAAACGGCTCTTGTTTGTGGGAATGTTAAGGCTAGTCAGAAAGGATATATTGAATAAGTATTAGCCTTCCTTCACTCACACTAGTGAAGTGATATAGGCGGAAGCTAGTTTGCAGATTCGTTTGAATCTCCTAGTTAAGATTATTTCCTGGTGTCCCCTTTAATCCCTCTTAAAAGAATAAAGACACGAGAGTCTTTCTGAGTAAGGTAACAAAAGGTTTACTCACGTTTCAGTTCACGGTTTGATCCCTGAAAGTTAGGCTTTACTTAGTAGTTACAGAAAGAAACTGAGCTTCTCACGTGGAGACTGGACTCGTGTGCTGCTGGCTGAGAGCCGGCAGACAGCAAAATCACATTTGGATAAGAAAATGGTGGCAGGAGAGCAATCAGGCAGCAAAAGAACAGCTTAGTTTCAATCATTGAGCAGAAGTCAGAAGTCAATGATGGATCAGAAACCAGGACAGAGCCCTGTTTCGATGTATTCACCTTCATCAGCTAATTTTTAAAGGGTTGTGTAAGTTTGAAGACTTTCGGATAAATGTATCCTGTTATTTTCTACGTTTCTCAGAGATGACAACTACGTGTGGGTAGATCAACATGTATCTTGAGTTTTTCTGTGCGTTTTCCATGAACTTACTGGTTTCTGATCCATAAATGACTTCTGACTTGCTCAGTGATTGAAACTAAGACCTTCACGTTGAATCTATGGACTAACCTGAACTTGTCTCTCCTCATAAACTCTTATCTCTAATTCTGTAACGAATTATTGTGTTATACATATCTTCATGAGTTTGTAATCTCTGTTAGAGTTTGTAATCCTTGTCAGAAGACATACTTTTGAATGGATCAGTTTTTGTTAAAATTGACTTTTGATTAGCGAGTAGGGATCACTCCTGCTATTGAAACTTACATTAGCCTGAGCTCCTGGTGTGCTTTTTTCTTGGTATATTTAATAACAAGAATTCCAGCTTATTTAACGTTAGCAAAAGAACAGCAACAAGAGAGAGACAAAACTAGAAATCAAGGCTGAGAAAATGGCTGCGTGACTCAACTCTTTCATGGAGTCAGCCAGAGCCATGTCCATCTCCCAGGTCACATGCCGTGAAACAGGATGTCCCCCTAATTGTGCCCATTCTAGGGAAAGAAGGAATGTTGCATTTGACTGATCCAATGGATTACATCCCACACTGTGGCCAGAATGTTCGGTCAGAATCTCCTTTCTGAACCCCTCGTTCCAGATCCTTTTATGCATCCCATAACCACTTGTCTCCCCAGCTTTAACCTACCACTACGAGACCCAGTGCATCCCCACGCCAGCCTCGTGGTTCGCCCACCAGCTGCCCGTCTGGTTCCAGAAGTTCAGCGTGGTGGCCACTTACGTCATCGAGATAGCCATCCCGGCGCTCTTCTTCGCTCCTCTGCGACGCCTCCGCCTCTTTGCCTTCTACAGCCAGGTACCCACAGGCAACCTCATTCATTCATTCATTGAATTTATATACCGCTCTATACTCGGAGGTCTTGGGGCGCTTCACACAATATATAAAATCAAAATAAGAACAATAGCCTGATAACAACCTCTCAAAACGAACCACTTTTTAAAAGGGCATAGGATGTCAATCAGGTTTGATTAAAAAGGAATGTTTTTGCCTGGCGCCCAAAGGAGTACAGTGGACGCTTGGGTTGCGAACGTGATCTGTGCAGGATGCACGTTCGCAACCCACAGCGGCACGTTTGCGCACACGCAGGTTGCGATTCTGCACATGTGCAAAGCGCCATTTAGCGCTTCGGCGCATGCGCGACCGCCGAAACCCAGAAGTAACCTGTTTCAGTACTTCTGGGTTTCGGCAGGTTCGTAACCCACAAAACGCAACCTGAAGCGTCTGTAACCCGAGGTATGACTGTATAATGAAGGCACCAGGCGAACTTCCCTGGGGAGAGCATTCCATGCACAGGGAGCCACTGCAGAAAAGGCCCCGTTCTCGTGTTGCCACTCTCAGGACCTCTCAAGGAGGAAGCCTCAGAAAATGATATCAGGGTCCAGGTGGGTTCATATGGAAAGAGGCGGTCCTTGAGATCTTGCGGTCCTGAGCCATTTAAGGCTTCATAGGTCAAAACCAGCACTTTGAATTGGGCCCGGAAACTAATCAGTAGCCAGTGCAGTCAGACCAGGATCGGTGTAATGCGCTCAAACTTTCAGCTGGGCTGTGGAGATTCTCTTGCAAATACATCTATTCTTGGCCCTGATAAACGCACTTCTTTATGTAGACCCTGTCCCTGTCCGTTTGCATCCGGTCCAGTCGTGGGGTGGGTGGGTTGTCTTTTAAAATCTAGGTTTAAGATCATAACGACAGGTTTCCGAAACCCTTTCCAGGTCCTCCTGCAGCTCCTCATCATCGCCACGGGCAACTACAACTTCTTCAACCTTCTCACCATCATGCTAAGCTTCTCCCTCCTGGATGACGAACATTTGGGGATGTGGCTGGGCCACGGCCGGAAGAAAACGGCAGCCGGTAAGCGGCTTTGGTCTCCGTGGCTCTGTAAAATGGGTCTAGCGCTAGCGACGGGGAGGGTCTGCATCATCTGATCCCCAGGTGGGTGCTAGTGTCCTCTGGGAAGTTGCCAAGAGGCAAGGGGGCACTGGGGATGCAGAGTTCAAGAATCTGGCATCACCAGATCAAGTCGTCATCCCCCTCCAGTGTTGAATTAAGCCAAATAGTTTTCACTGGGTTTTGAATCAATGTGCATTTCATGGTCGCTCTTTCGAATATTGTGTTACTATCTTTCTTGGCGGGCTTTGCGTTCCTTCACTGCGAGAAGTGAGGTTACAGGGAACCGGGCAGAGGGCCTTCTCGGTAGCGGCACCCACCCAACAGATGTCATAGAATCATAGAGTTGGAAGAGACCACAAGGGCCATCGAGTCCAACCCCCTGCCAAGCAGGAAACACCATCAGAGCACTCATGTCAAGGGGATGAGTAACTGTACAACCTTTAGAAGACGTCTGAAGGCAGCCCTGTATCAGGAAGCTTTTTAATGTTTAAAGTTTTTTTAATGTTTAACAACAACAACAACAATTTATACTCAGCCACTCTGAGCGGCTCCCAACAGAATATTAAAAAATACAGCATTAAACATTAAAAGCTTCCCTAAACAGAGCTCCCTTCAGATGTCTTCTAAATGTCAGATAGTTGTTTATCTCTTTGACATCTGGTGGGAGGGCGTTCCACAGGGTGGGTGCCACCACCGAGAAGGCCCTCTGCCTGGTTCCCTGTAACTTGGCTTCTCACAGGGAGGGAACCACCAGAAGGCCCTCGGAGCTGGACCTCAGTGTCCAGGCAGAAGGATGGAGGTGGAGACGCTCCTTCAGGTATACTGGACTGAGGCCGTTTAGGGCTTTCAGGGTCAGCACCAACACTTTGAATTGTGCTCGGAAACGTCCCGGGAGCCAGTGTAGGTCTGCTGCCACGTTCTGGTTTGTTATATGTTGGAAGCCGCCCAGAGTGACTGGGGCGGCTCAGTCAGATAGGCGGGGTACCAATAATAGAATCATCATCATCATCATTATTACAATATTCTAAGTAATGCTTTTTGTAGGGTAGGAGGCGCAGGGGATGAGTTTATCGAGCCAAGAGGGCCGGGCACCAAAACGTATTTGGGAACCTTTTCAAAGTCTGACTCACGCTTCCATCTCCCCCTCCTTCCCTCCCTGGTACCTCTTAGCACCCCTTTAGGCGATGCCACTGGGGAGCAGCAATAAGACCACCTTAGCGCAAATTCTGAGCAGTGAACTCCTTCCTATCTACAATGATGATGATGATGATGATTTATACCAGCCAATCTGAGCGGCTTCCAACAAAACACTAAAATACAATAACCTATTAAACATTAAAAGCTTCCCTAAACAGGGCTGCCTTCAGAGGTCTTCTAAAAGTCTGGTAGTTCTTCTTCTCTTTGACATCTGGTGGGAGGGCGTTCCACAGGGCGGGTGCCACTACCAAGAAGGCCCTCTGCCTGGTTCCCTGTAACTTGGCTTCTCACAGGGAGGGAACCGCCAGAAGGCCCTTGGCACTAGACCTCAGTGTCTGGGCAGAACGATGGAGGTGGGGAGGCTCCTTCAGGTCTACTGGGCTGAGGCCGTTTAGGGCTTTCAAGGTCAGCACCAACACTTTGAATTGTGCTCGGAAACGTATTGGGAGCCAATGAAGGTCTTTCAAGACCGGTGTTATGTGGTCTCGGCGGCTGCTCCCAGTCCCCAGTCTATCTGCCGCATTCTGGATTAGTTGTAGTTTCCGAATCACCTTCAAAGGTAGCCCCACGTAGAGCACATTGCAGGAGTCCAAGCGAGAGATAACTAGAGCATGTACCACTCTGGCAGACAGTTTTGTGGACAGGGAGGGTCTCATCCTGCGTACCAGATGGAGCTGGTAGACAGCTGCCCTGGACACAGAATGGACCTGCACCTCCATGGACAGCTGTGAGTCCAGAATGACTCCCAGGCTGCGCACCTGGTCCTTCAGGGGCACAGTTACCCCATTCAGGACCAGGGAGTCCTCCACACCCGCCCACCTCCTGTCCCCCAAACTTCTAGGAAGATAGATATTTTGAGTTCCCCCAGTGGGAGGTTGGGGCCGCTGCATCAGCCTTGAAACTCTCTTACCTCAAAGTGGGTGAGGATTTTGAGTCACTCTCTCCGCCCTGTCTGCCCAGTGACCCATCTAGGGGTGTGTGTCCACGGCCCCTCCATGCCCACCCCACCCCCCTCCATCCCTGCATTGCTCCGTGTTGTCTCTTGTCCGCAGCTTGGCCTCCCAGCTTGGCGTCCGTCATGTCTCTTCTGTCCGAACTGGGCGCCTATGGCTTGCTGGTCTACTGGACGGCTCTTTACTTCGACCTGAAGGTCAACTGGGAGAAGAAGCTGATTGAGTGCAAGGCAGGTATGGAAACGTCAGAATACTCAGAACTTGCAAGGATGACGGGGAGAATAAGGGGAAATTCTAACCAGAAATTTAGTAAAGATTGGACAACGTTCAAAGAATATCTTAAAAAGTACTGTAATAACACAAATCACCTGACAGATTTGGATTGAATCTTGAAGTTTGAGGAATTTATAAAGTAATTTTTTTCCTGATAATTAACCAAAATGAATAATAAAAAATGAAGTGCGTATAGACTAGTAAGGTATAAAAAGCACAATGAGGTGAATCGGAAGTTAAAGGGTATACAGTGTCAAAGGAGGTGTTGCTAGTCTGTTTATGGTGTTTTTCGTTATGTAAATTATTTTGTAATAAAGAATTTTTAAAAAGAAACGTTGGGGAGCAAGTTGCTGCCATAATCGTGGCAGGTTGAAAATAGAATATGCCAGTGCCAGATTTACGTATAAGCTAAACAAGCTATAGCTTACAGCCCCACTCTCTTGGGGGCCCCCAAAAAATTTAAAGGGAAGAAAACCTGGATGTACATTTCCAAAATACAACATAAAAAACAAAAGGAAACCTACATACAGCAACAGTGTTTTGTGTTGTGTAGGCTCCTAGGATGTAAGTAATGGGCCCCGCCTGCTCGCCTGCACCCTAAAATATCCCTGGTTTGCTCCTTTCTATATATAGGGTGCCTACATTCTGCATGGACGGGGTGCATAGCAACATGTGCAAATGGCTTGAGATACCTACTGGGTCCATAAATTACTATATAGCATATATTCCACACGAAAAACAGTGACAATTTGTTGTTGACAAAGGACAGCTGGACATATCACGGGCCCCTTTACCTTCAGTAGCTGAGGGCTTCATCAAACCTAAATCCAGCCCTGAGAATATCCATATAAATAGTCGAGGGCTTTGCACTGCTTTTTTCCTATGGAAAGAATGTGTGGCTTTTGCCATCGATGACAATGAACAGTAACTTCAACAGAAGTCTAGTGTCCAGATCAAAGGGAGTAATGTTCCTGCTCTGTTCTGCCTTGGTCAGACCACACCTGGAATCCTGTGTCCAGTTCTGGGCACCACAATTTAAGAAGGATGTTGACAAGCTGCAAGGTGGGCAGAGGAGGGCAACCAAGATGATCAAGGGTCTGGAAACCAAGCCTGATGATCTAAGGTCAAAATGTGCCAATTTGGGCACCAGGAAAATTTAATACCATAAAGGAAATAGTTCAATTCGTGGGAACATTCTTTCTTTCATAAAATGCGTACACTGCTTGATTGAATTTTCTTAATAATAAAAACCCCCTCAACATGGTTTACAAAAATGAGATAAAGCAATAAAATTACCACCCAGAAAAAAGAGCAACAATAATTTAATGCATTCCTGAAGTTAAAATAATGATAGGCCGAAAACAGAGCTTGCACCAACTCTGTGAACATCAGGAGAGGCTTGTCTGAACGAAAACGTTTTTAGGAGGCGCCGAAAAAAGTGAAGTGAAGCTGCCTGCCTGCTATCAATAGGCATGGAGTTCCGCAGTGTAGATGCGGCCGCATTCAAAAACTAAGTTCTTTTGAATGCGGAACATGGGGATCTGCCTTGCATTGAGGAAGACCCCTGATCCATCTAGCTCAGCACTACCGACACAGGCTGGCAGCAGCTCAGCCAAGTTTCAGGCGGGGCCTGTGCTAGCCCTGCCTGGAGAGACCATCAGGGTCTGAACCTGGCACATTCTGCATGCCAAGCAGATGCCCTAACACTGAGCCAGGAATCTTTCCGAAAGGATGCATCTGTGATTCTGTTTTGGGCCCCCGTCTGTCTCGGGAGACACCATAGGGGTGCCTACTGTTCTCTGATTCTTAATTTAAAGTTCGCTGATTTGGACTGGGGGCTTGTCGCCCCTGCTCCCGGCTTTTTCACGTACGTGGACAACTTCTGTGTCTCTCCAGCTTTCACCTACCACGAGTTCATGCTGTGGTTGCGGATGGTGACCCTCCCTCTGGCGGCCATCGGGCTTGCCTCTCTGGTCTGGGAGATCCTTCAGGCTGGGTACAGGTGAGTGCCTCACAGGTAAAGGGGAAGCGGTGTCTTTTGGGGGAAAGGCCTCGGCAGTGTCCCTACTGCTTTCTTTTTTTCCTTTTTAAAAAAATATTTTTTATTACTTTTCCGTTTAAACGTATATAATCACATCATTCTTGTCCATTTCTTTGGCTCCTTAGAGCCTGTCGACTTCCTTCCCTCCCACCTCTTGGCTTTCAAAACTAACCTTTATATTATAGCATTTTATATATTTTTCAGTTCTAATGTACAGTGGTACCTCTGGTTGCGAATGGGATCCGTTCCGGAGGCCCGTTCACAACATGAAAAGCCTGCAACCTGAAGTGCCGTATCTGCGCAGGTGCATGGCGCAATTTGGCCTTATGCGCATGCGCGAGCGGCAAAACCCAGAAGTAACCCTTTCCGGTACTTCCGGGTCGCCGCAGGACGCAACCTGAAAAACCGTGAAGCACACGTAACATGAGGTATGACTGTAACTCTTTACTAAATACCTCAAAATTTAAAAACAACCCCAAGAACAGCAATTTAACATGAATTTTACTATCTAATGAGACCACTGATCCATAAAATGAAAGCAATAATCAATGTACACAATCAATCAATAGCTGAACTGGGTTCTACACAGTCACAAAAACGAAAAAAAGAGCCACAAGAACGCAAAATAAATAGCAAAAACAGATATACCTCATCATAACACTCAAAACGGAAGCATAAGACTCAAAACGGAGCATCTTCGGCTTCTGAAAAAGGTTTGCAAAACGGAACACTTCTGGGTTTGTAGTGTTTGGGTTCCAAGTTGTTTGAGTACCAAGGCGTTTGAGAACCAAGGCACCACTGTATATAGAATTAGCAGACATGACAGAAAAGGTCAGGAACCGGTCGATCCAAAAGTTTAACAAAGAATGGGACATCTGTAGACTATATTTAAAAGAACATTGTCCCCTCATCAAATCCTTAATATGCTTTGATTAACTCTTGTAATAACACAAGTTTTAAAAGAATACAAACAACATTTAATATTGGTTAAGTTTACTAAAAAAAACCCAACAGATGCAGTTAACAAGCAAATAAAGGAGGCAGAGGAAGTCGTCAGGTGGAGAATAAAGTTGCTTTATTTTTTCCTTTTTCAGTTACATATTGTCCTTTTTTGTATTGGTGGTGGTTTGTTCATAACGCTTTTGTGTTTTGGTGTTACGAGGTGATTGGATGTATTTTTTATAAACCAATAAAGACTGAACTGTAAAATAAAATAAAAAAGAGATGGCAGAAGTTCATTTGCAGCCCTCTCTATTTGCCCTCTTTCTCTCTTCCCCATAGGAGTGCTTGCACCCGTGGCTTTTTCTGGAAGCTCTGGAGCGCCACCCAGTGGGCCATCTTTGCCACTGCGGCTCTCGGGATGTTTACCATCAGCCTGGTGAGTAAATCAGGCGACAGCTTGGGGAAAGGGATGACGTCTTGCGTGGGCCTCGAAAGCTGCCAAATGTGCCAACTCAGAAAAATAGAAAAGAAAAATGGCACCTTTGAACGATGGCAGGGGAAAGAGAAGTGGGAGGGAGGGAGGGAGGGAGGGGTGCTTTTTGTATAAATATGAACCTTGCATCTCACCGTGGAATGAATATATTGTCCTGTTGTTTCGTTTTAAAGCAGATTGGGGGGGAAGCAAAGCCCCCCAACAGTTACTCTCACTTGCAAAGGGATCTCTAGTGGTGGGGATTTCTGGTGTTATAAGAATTCTAAGGTCTTACATATATGAAAATGGAAGCAGGTGGCGCTGTGGGTTAAACCACAGAGCCTAGGACTTGCCGATCAGAAGGTCGGCGGTTCGAATCCCCACGACAGGGTGAGCTCCCGTTGCTCGGTCCCTGCTCCTGCCAACCTAGCAGTTTGAAAGCACGTCAAAGTGCAAGTAGATAAATAGGTACCGCTCTGGCGGGAAGGTAAACGCTGTTTCAGTGCGCTGCTCTGGTTCGCCAGAAGCAGCTTAGTCATGCTGGCCACATGACCCGGAAGCTGTACGCCGGCTCCCTCGGCCAATAAAGCCAGATGAGCGCCGCAAACCCCGAGTCGGCCACGACTGGACCTGATGGTCAGGGGTCCCTTTACATTTACATATATGAAATAAATGTTCATAAATGTACAAGGCAAACACATACATAAGTATAAAAACCGTGTCTCTGAAATAGTACAGGAGAACAATCCTGAAGCCATTTTTGACTCTCCCAAATTGACCTCAAATATTTCTCTTCAAGGAGGAAGGAAATGGGGAAAGCTTTCCAATTGTCTTTGGCCTGTAGGGGCTGCTTACACCTCCCTGTAAATACAGTCTGGCAAGTATCTGTTAACCTGAGCACACTATCAACGTGCGTGCGTAAGAGATTCAGGAACTAAGTATTTACCATCTCAAAGGAATGGCCAGGCTACCCAGAAAAGGCAATCAGATAATAAGGCATTATCAGGTATCCTGGCAGACAGGAGAGAAGCAACACACTCAAATTTCTGCTGGGGACCACCTCTTTCTGTGATGCATGTATGCTGTTTTTTTGGGGGTGGTGGTCTTGAGCTACAGGGTGGGCAATTTCAAAAGTCTATATAAGGGCTTGCACACCATTGTTCTGGGTTCCTCCTTTCCCTCCCTGCGTGGAGTGAGCGGGGGACCCTGTTGCAACAGTTTAATAAAGATTATTATTATTAAATTTTATTTATACCCTGCCCTCCCTAGCCAAGACAGGGCTCAGGGCGGCTAACACCGGTATAAAAACAATTGATTGAAATACGACTTAAAAACAAGATTAAAATACAACATTAAAATGCAGCCTCATTTCAGTAGGAACTCAAATCAAAAACTTTTTGGGGGATGAAAACGTCAAGTCTTACTAGCTGCTTTGCTTCTCAATATTCTCTGGTTGGCCTCGGTTATTTTCTCCTACCGATAGGGAACCCACTTAAGGACTCTGTATGGGCTCTTGGGTACCCCATAAGGGGGAAAGGAGCATTTTTTTCTTATAACACGGGGCTTCATTCATTCAGAGATGGGATTCCACATACCCGATGCATGTCTTTTGGACAGCTAAGCTCTTGCTGTTCCTGTTGTTGCAACGTTGTCTCCAGGAGAGGCTGACCCCCCCAAAAAAACCCTCCCCTCCTTGCTCTCTCTCTCTCTCGCCCCAGGTCCCCTTCACCTACATTGAGTACGAGTCCAATGGGAAACTCTGGCCCAGCGTCCACCAGCTCTTCAGTGCTGTTGACCGCTACCAGCTTGCCAACTCCTACGGTCTCTTCCGGCGGATGACGGGGGTCGGCGGGCGTCCCGAGGTGGTCTTGGAAGGCAGCTATGACAAGGAAACATGGACGGTAATTCATGGAGATAGATAAACTTTATTCGCATTAGCCAACAGCCGTGGCAACATAAAACAAGCAATATACCGTATTGTTCGCTCTATAAGATGCACCTTTCCCTTCCTAAAAAGTAAGGGGGAATGTGTATGCGTCTTATGGAGCGAATGCAGGCGGGAGGCTCCGCTCAGCGCTCCCTTTAAAGAGCTGCCCTTCTCCCTCGGGGAAAAGCCCCCAAGAGCCGCACACACACTCCACGTACTCTTTAAAGGGAGCGCGGCTCTTGGGGGAGCCTTAGCCGCGCACAGCCTCTCCTGGGCAGTGGGATGAAGGCTCGCCTTGCCCAGGAGAGGCTGTGCGTGGCTATCCCATAAGCCAGGACAGCCAGCGGGATCGCTGCGCAGCGATCCCGATTGCTGTCCTGGCTTATGGGATTCAGAATATTTTTTTTCTTGTTTTCCTCTTCCAAAAACTAGGTGTATCTTATGGTCTGGTGCGTCTTATAGGGCAAAAATACGGTATGCAATTAAAAAGACAACAATGGGTAAAAAGGGCAATCAAATGACCAAGATTATCGTTCAGATAGTGGCTCTTAATCTCATTGCACCCTCGATAAACCTAGCAACTTTTGCTGTTGTCTGATCATTTTGATCTGATAAAAGAAAGACCAGTGTGGCCGCAGATGGGCGGCCTGGGATGGAAAGTAAGAGTGGGGTGATGATCTCATTCCTCAGATCTTTATAAAGGGGACAGGACAGGCGAACATGAGGCACTGTTTCCAGATTGCCATCTCCACAGGGGCAGCGTCGTTTCTCAGTTGGAATCTTTTGGTACCTGCCCTGAAGTATGGCAGAAGGCATCACATCCAATCTGGCCAGTGTGAAGTAGTCACGTCTGTATTTTGGGATAGTTAATTTATACAGATACGGTGCCAGGGAATCAAACTGAGAAGGGGGGGGGAAAGGCATACCAAGGACAGAGTTTCTTTATAATGGCCAGATTGTTCTGTTGCTCTAAGTCCTTCAGACGCTGTCCAGTTAGCCTTTTTGCTTTAATAAAGCCCGTCATGAGAAGCTGATGTGGGTGAAGTCCGCAGGAGTTTTTGGTGCACAATTTTGAACCACGCACTTTTATGGGGGTCTTGTGTCACTAAGGGCAGTAGACCGGGTGGATTTAGATTTAGATTTAGATTTAGATTTAGACGGAGACAATAATTAAGAGTTCTTTGCCAGGACTGAGCTTCTACAGAGGGAAGACTTGCCTCCAGTCATATTGCTGCATTTGGGACACAAGGTGTTACAGGAAAAATCTGCTTTAAAAATTTGGATTGGACAGTTTTAAGAATGCTACAATGATTACCCGTGGCAAAACAATGCTTGCATAAGGTGCTAGACCTCATGGAGGACGGGCACAAGCCGGGGCGGACTAATGAGTCATTTGCACGACTTGGGAGGCAGCTGATGGTGGAAGCACAGCATCCTGGGGGTTTGGGTGGTTTCATTTATATATATCATATATATTCATTTATGTACAGTCGTACCTTGGTTCTCAAACTCCTTGGTACTTGTATGTTTTGTTTCCCAAACGCTGAGAACCCAGACGTGAGTGATCCAGTTTTTGAACGTTTTTCGGAAGCCGAACATCTGACACAGCTTCCGCTTGAGCGCAGGAAGCTCCTGCAGCCAATTGGAAGCCGCGCCTTGGTTTTTGAACTGTTTTGGGAGTCGAACGGACTCCCGGAACGGATTATGTTCGAGAACCAAGGTTCCACTGTATATCATTTGTAAAGATATTTGTGCATCCCTGTGTCATAGAAATACGTAGCGAAGTGGTTTGCTATGTTCTTAATTGCTTGCATAAGCCTGGAGGAATAGAGAAGTTTTCAGCAGGCATTTAAAAGTTTGCTCGGGAGTCACCTGCTGGGTGTCAAGTGGCAGGGAGTCCCACAGGACTGGGCCAATGACACCCAAAGGCTCACTTTCCCGTGGTCGTCCAATGGACCTCGCTGAGCTGTGATATAAGGCTTCAGGCGATGTGTGTGTGATCAGTGCCTCTCTCGCCCGCAGGAGATTGAGTTCATGTACAAGCCGGGCAACGTCAGCGCTGCCCCCCCTGTCGTAACCCCACACCAGCCTCGCCTTGACTGGCAGATGTGGTTTGCCGCCCTGGCTCCCCAAGCGCACAGCCCCTGGTTCACGGGCTTCGTCTACCGCCTCCTACAGGGCAAGAAAGAAGGTGAGAGGAGGGAAAGAGTCAGAGAACGGCCATTTCCCACATTTCCCAGAATTCTGATATTGGGGGCGACTTACTACAGCTAATATTTTTTTGGAAGCCACCCATAGTGGCTGGGGAAGCCCAGCCAGATGGGCGGGGTATAAATAATAAATTATTATTATTATTATTATTATTATTATTATTATTCTCCTAATCAAGCTGTTTGTCTAATTCTGCCTTCTGTTATTATTGCTGTTGATTCATTTGTTGCATTTTTTTTTAATTATTATTTTATTTTCAAGGCAAAATTACAACAAAAATTACAAACATTAAATCCAAAATAAAGCAATACAAACAAGAAAAAGAAACAACCAAAAAAACCAACACATCTACAAATAAAACCTTATCATCATTCTACTGACACATTACGTACATATACACATATTGACTTCCTTCCTTTGTTCTAAGACCTCGAAATTTTTACTCTTTCCAAATTGTTGTGTCTAATGTAGATTACCTCTATCTTTATATTTTCTGCACCATTTTTCACTTTCTTTAACCCTGCAAAGCTTCATTCGTTATTTAACAATATACTCACTCCAGAACAATATTTTTTCATATACTCTTTAGCACAATCCCATTCTTTTACTAATTTTTGGTCCAATTGTCCCCTTATGAATGCTATGAGTCTTGCCAGACGTATATATTCACAAAATTTAATTTGCCACTTTTTTATTGATGGAATTTTTCTCCCTTTCAAATTTTTTGCTGGCAGTAGTTGTCGCATAGAGGAAAACTTTCCTTTGATTATCAGGAATATCGTTTGTGATTGCATTTGTATATCCCACCTTGCTTTCCAAAGGAGCTCAAGGTGGCAGACACGGTTCTTATCCTAAACCCACAAAAGCCCCGTGGGTCTAAGTGGGTGGGACATCCGGACCCATTGGGCCTGAAAGAACTTCCTTTCCCTCCCACAGTGATCCATCTCGTGCAGGTAGATGACTCCAAATACCCCTTCAGCTCCAAACCCCCAACCTACATCCGGGCTCAGCTGTACAAATACTGGTTCACGGACGCCGGTCAGGATTGGTGAGTGACACGCAGCGCTTTCTGGGAGAGGGCGGGGAATCCTTCGGGGCTGTTTCGTCCTCTCCTCGACCATCTTCTCGTGGGAATGTTCAGGGAGGCAGGAGAGGATATATTGTTTATTAATATATTGTTTATTAATATCCTTCCTAACTTGCGCTAAGGACGCGGGTGGCACTGTGGGTTAAGCCACAGAGCCTAGGGCTCGCTGATCAGAAGGTTGGCGGTTCAAAACCCCGCGACAGGATGAGCTCCCGTTGCTCTGTCCCACCTCCTGCCAATCTAGCAGTTTGAAAGCACATCAAAGTGCAAGTAAATAAATAGGTACCACTCCGGCAGGAAGGTAAACGGCATTTCCATGCGCTGCTCTGGTTCGCCAGAAGCGGCTTAGTCCTGCTGGCCACATGACCTGGAAGCTGTCTGTGGACAAACGCCGGCTCCCTTGGCCTATAGAGCGAAATGAGAGTCGTCCGCGACTGGACCTAACGGTTAGGGGTACCTTTACCCTTTTAACTTGCGCTAGCAAGTTCCTTTATGTAGCAGTTATATTCCGCTTTTTACATGCACAGCAGATAGCTGGTTGCAGGCTCTTGTGAGCCTCTCACTATTATACAATTCAGTCTGTCTCAGATTGAATTGTACGTTCCTGGTAAGTTCCCTTGAATTCCTCTTAAAAGAATAAAGACACCACAATCTTATTCAAAGTCAATAAAAGAAGTTTACTCACATCAGTTCAGAGTTGGATCCCTGAAGGCAGACTTAGTTACAAATATGTACGTGTGGATCTGCCCCATATGGGGGAATAGTCCCAGTGCTAGCTGAGAGCTAGCAGAGCAGTCCTAGCTGAAAGCTGGTCAAACAAAGGAAGTCAAAAAAGAGAGGGACGTGTGCTGCGCGACTTGTCCTTTTGTTACCTGGACAGGTTAGGTCACGCCCACCTTCTGTCATATGCAAAAGGAAGGATGCTGAAGCCAGGAGGAACAGGAAGTTTTGACTGTCTGGACCAACATCCCCTTGCATGTCCATTCTAGGCAGACAAGGAATGTTGTATTTGACTGCTCCCACACTTCTGCCACTCCCTCACTCCACCATTCCCCTCATCCAACCACAGTCCTTTGAAACACTTGCTCAACCCGTTTTTGTTTTTACTCTACTTGCAGAAGTTTCCCCCTCTAGCAGCCAGCATTAGACTTCCCGTCGGCCTGGTTCCTGCTAGTTCTTTGCTCAGGCTGCGTATCCTCGCGTACGTGAAGCCTCCCCGATAACAGATTTTGCAGAATTCTGCCTCCTGCTCCCAGGATACGGGTGTGGAATGGGTGGGGCTGTGGACCACGAATGCATCTGAACAATAACAATATGATAATCTTTATTGTCATTGTCCCATACAGAACAACGAAATTGAAAATCTACATCAGACATTCAGAAACCAACAACCCTGCTATCCTAGCCTAGTTAGCTCCCTAAAAACTCTGATACCCCATAATTAAATACAAAATACTCCCATAGAGACTACCTTAAAGGTAAAGGGACCCCTCACCATTAGGTCCAGTCGCAAACGACTCTGGGGTTGCGGCGCTCATCTCGCTTTACTGGCCGAGGGAGCCGGCGTACAGCTTCCGGGTCATGTGGCCAGCATGACTAAGCCGCTTCTGGCGAACCAGAGCAGTGCACGGAAACACTGTTTACCTTCCCACCAGAGCGGTACCTATTTATCTACTTGCACTTTGACGTGCTACCTTACACTGCGGTTAAAACCAAAATCGCATTTGGATAGAAACTGTTTCTCAGGCTGCTGGTCCTAGTCTTTATAACCCTGGACCTTCTTCCAGAAGCAGAAGCTGAAAGAGATCTTTTCCAGGGTGCACACTATCCTGCGCTATCTCTGCAGCTTTCTTATGGCACCTGGAAGCATAGATTTGATCCAAGGCGGGAAGAGTGCACCCAGTCATTCTCCCGCTTCCTGCCCCCCTGCAGGTCCCTCCCTCAGCGGTGGTGGAGGCGGCAGTGGCAGGAGGAATTCTACCCGGCCGTCTTCCTCGGCGACCCCGCCCTGGACAACCTCTTGGTCCAACATGGGCTTAAGGTGAGTCGAGGGGCAGGGAGCATCTGTGCCCTTACAAGAGGGTGAGGAGGGCTGCATGAGCACAGGAGGAACGGGGGAGCATCGGGCTTGGATAGTTCCATTGGTTAGAGCGTGGTGCTGATGATGCCAAGGTTGCAGGTTCGATCCCCGTATGGGGGAACTGCCTATTCCTGCCTTGCGGAGGGCTGTGCAGTGCCAGATTTACGTATAAGCTCAACAGGCTCTAGCATAGGGTCCCACTGTCTTGGGGGCCCCAAAAAAATTAAAGGAAAAAAAACACTGGATGTACATTTCCAAAATATAAGATAAAAAAGCAAATAAAATAAAGCCTACATACAGCAACAGTTTTTTCTGTTGTGTGGGCTCCTATGATGTAAGTCATGGGCCCCGCCTGCTAGCCTGCTCCCTCAAATATCACTGCTTTGCTCATTTCTATACAGAGGGTGCCTACATTCTGCTGTTTATAATTATTTGCATCATATAATTACAGCTATTATTATTTCATGTTATAGCAAGTTTCCAGAGACTAGATCGTGAGTCTTTGTAAACTGTTTCTAAAGGAACATTTGTTGTTGCCCAATGCCAATGTGTTTGCATTATTAAGTTTGTTATGAATAAAAAATCGTTTTAAGTTAGAGCTTAATAATTGTTTCACTATTAATATGTACTTCTTCTTAACTGTATTTCACTATTAATATACTTCTTCTTAATTGTTCAGCAATTACTTTGACAAAACACATATTTTGTTATATGCAAATGGCTTGAGATGCCTATGAGGTCCATCAATGACCATATAGCATACATTCAACACAAAAAACAGCGACCATTTGTTGTTGACAAAGGTCAGCTGGAGATATCAAGGGCTCCATTACCTTCAGGAGCTGAGGGCCTCATCCAACCTCAATCCGGCCCTGGGGCTGTTCTAGATGATCCTCAGGGTCTCTTCCAACAGGGGCCATCCAGCTGTCCCAAAGTGAAACCTGCAAGCAGGATTCGAACACAGGTGCCCTCTCCCCTCCTGTGGTTTCTAGGGACAGCGATTCAGAAGCATGGCTTCCCTCAGCTGTGGAGGCCAGAGCATAGCCATCCTGGCTAGGAGCCACCCAGAGCCCTCTCCTCCTCCAGGAATTTGTCCCACCCTCTTTTAAAGCCGCATTCACTGCCTCCTGTGGGAGGGATTTCCACAGGTTAACTCTGGCTGCATGAAGAAGGACTTTCTTTGACCTGTCCTGAACCTTTCAATGGGGTAGAGAGTGGGGGGGGAGCCCTGTGTGGCTCCCCTTTGCCCCGGCAGAAGACGAGAGTCCCCGCTCTGGTCCCTCCCCCCGCCCCCCCCCCCGTTTCTCTTCCCTCCTGGCTCTCAGAAAGGGGGGGGAGGGGGTTCAGCAGCTAGATGATGGGAGATTGCTTCCTCGCGCTTTGTGGGGAAAGCCCCCTGTTCTGCCAAATCCTTTTTATTGATTTTCCAAATTTTTACCAAATCACCCATGTTAAAACAAATTTAATACAATTTTTCCAAAAATTGGTTTTCCACCCTCCATTCTTGATGTGTCCAAAGTTTCTTTTTTGCTTCCGCATTATTTTCCAAGTTATTCCTAATTCGCATAGCATTCCTTACAATTAACCTTATATTACAGTATATATATATTTTTTTTAAAAAACCATTATCAGCCATCAGCTATCCCCTTGCCAGTTCCTGCACGTACAGTCTTTTAACATTTGCAGTACCTTCAAGTGAGGTTAACCGACTAATGATCAATCCACAATAAATCGAAAATAAATTCTTTTCCTCCGTTCTGTGTGCGTGAAAGCCAAACCATTCGTGTTCGCTAGATGTTCCCCTGCTCATCCCACAGCAGAAGTGCAGCTAAACATCAGGAAGAACTTTCTGGCAATGAGAGCAGAGATCCCTGTATTGCAGGGGGTTTGAATATTCAGAACCCCACTCCCAAATTAGGGCAGTTTTGAAATCAGTAGCTAAAACCAGTGCAGTTTTGAAAAGTACAGCCTTGATTTAGAATGGTGTCCAGCTGTTTTCCAAGTCGCTCCTTGATCTTAAGACGACATGCAAAATTTTGTCACAATATTGTAAGCTCTACGTGGGGCTACCTTTGAAGGTGACCCAGAAATTAGAACTAATCCAAAATGTGGCAGCTAGACTGGTGACTGGGAGCGGCCACCGAGACCACATAGCACCAGTCTTGAAAGACCCACACTGGCTCCCAGTGCGTTTCCGAGCACAATTCAAAGTGTTGGTGCTGACCTTGAAAGCCCTAAACGGCCTCGGTCCAGTATCCCTGAAGGAGCGTCTCCATCCCCATCGTCCAGCCTGGACACCGAGGTCCAGCTCTGAGAACCTTCTGGCGGTTCCCTCCCTGCAAGAAGTGAGGTTACAGGGAACCAGGCAGAGGGCCTTCTCGGTGGTGGCACCCGCCCTGTGGAATGCTTTCCCACCAGATGTCAAGGAAATAAACAATGATCTGACTTTTAGAAGATGTCTGAAGGCAGCCCTGTTTAAGGAAACTTTTAATGTTTGACGTTTTATTCTATTTTTAATATTCTGCTGGGAGCCGCCCAGAGTGGCTGGGGAAACCCAGCTAGATGGGTAGGGTATAAACAACAACAACAAGAAGTTGGACAGACTCCCATGAGAGATAGTAGACTCTCTCCCTCCTTGGAGGTTTCTAAGCAGAGCCACCTGCCAGGGATGCTTTAGGTGAGATTCCTGCATTGCAGTGGGTTAGACTGGATGGCCTTTGGAGGTCCCAATTCTGTGATTCTCGAGCTATGGCCTTGCCTTGCCAACACTTTCTTCCCTCCCTCGTAGGACAAGGCCTCACCGAAGAGGGCCTCGAGTGCCCCGCTATCGACGGCCCTGCAGCGAGTTCGAGAGTACCTCCACCCGTACAGCGGCCCGGCCGTCATCTGGTCCCTGTACCTCACGGGGGCTGCCATTTGCCTCCTGAGGGCGGCGGGGGGCTGGCTGCTGGCGGGGGGCGCCCCCAGCGGGCCTGGGAAGCCCAAGGGCGGCAAGCGGGCGGAAGTGGACACCGGGGCCGGAGGAGACCAGGCGGCCGCCAGCGAGAAGAACGGGCAAGTGAGGAGGAAGGAGGCGGCGGCAGAGAAGTCCAGGGGCCTGGCCGAGCCCCCCGCGGACGGACCCCGCAACGTCAAGAAGAAGAAATAATAGGTGCTGTTCCTGGAGGGGTGCCCCATTCTGTGCCCCCAATCCCACCTTCCAGGGGCTGACGGATGCTCCCACAGGGCCCTGCCGCTTTCGGCCAGAAACGCCCGCAGATTTTTGGGGTGCGGGTCTCTTTGGGGATCTCTCTTGATCCTCGCTCCCCGCTCCTCCTCCTGTTTGGGGATCTCTGCTTCACGTGCACGGGGCTTTCGGGTCTGGGGGCCCGTTGAACCTTTTCCCTTCCCTGCACCCCAAAGCTTTTCCCAGATGCCGCCCGTGAAGTCGGAGGCCCCCCAAAGCCCTTCCCAAGGCGAAGGACGAGGCTGTTCTAGGCTAAACAAAAGGCCTCTTTGGCCTCTTAAGACACCTCTGCACCCCCCCCCAAAAAAACCCCCCTCTTTTATTTGATGCTGCTTATTGAACGCGGTTTCACTCTTGGGGCTCTTCCTGCTCCTCACGAGGAGCTGAATGCCTGAAAACCGGATGCGGGGGGAGTATGTATCCCCCTCAAAAAAAATCTTCATTTTTAGATAAAAAAATCTCTCCTCTGGATTTTTGGCTCTGCTCCTGGAGCTGGCATTGGGTGCGAAAGTCTGCTGGTCTTGGTGTGGGAGATTTACAAGGGAGCTCCCCCCCCCCAGGGGAAAACCCTTTCTCTCTTGCTGAGCGCTGTTTTGAGGTGGTGGGTGCCCCCCCCCCCCAAAAGAGGGGCAGCAGAAGTGGCCGCCTTGCCTCAACCCGCAAACTTCTTTCTGGGCCAGCCCCCCCCCCCTATTTTCCTGGCCCTTGCCTTGACCTCAATTGTGCCTCCCTTCCCCCCTCCACCTGGGGGGCAGGTGAGATTGCCTTTGCCGCCCCCACCCCTGTGCTGCCCTCTAGTGGGAGGGCCCTGAACAGCAACCTCGGCGGGCCTGTTGGCTCTAGCAGATGCCCCCCCCCCAAGGAAGGAGGTGCGCTGCCGGCGTCCAGAGACAGAGTGATCTATAATTTTCTAAATAAAGCCTTTACATTCCAGCTTTCTTTCTCCTGTGTGTGTGTTTGGTGTTGGGGGGGGGGCGTCTTGTATGTCTGGGCCCCAGGAGCGGGAATGTGAGGAGTCTGGCGCCCCCAGAGGATTCGAACCCGCGCCAGGTTTTCCGACCCTCTGCTTGAGTTTTGTGGCACTCTACCAGTTGGGCTCCTGCCATAGTAAGCCGGATCTCATGCTGGTGCAACCAAAACATGCTGTTAACATAAGGGCCTGCAGGATCAGGTCAGCACCCATTCTGTTCTCGCAGGGGGCACCCAGATGCCCAAATTTGGGAGGGGGAGGTCAGCAAGCAGGGAGGCCACCTGCTTTAGCTGAGATACCTGCATAGCACGGGGTTGGACTAGATGACCTTTGGGACCCTTTCCAACTCTGATTTTGAGATAGGATTTGAGTCCAAAGGCTATTCTCTCCCCCCCCTTGCAGTCTCCAGCAACCTGGTGCTCAGCTTTCCTACCTCTAGCCGTGGAGGCAGAGCAGAGAGCACAACCTTTCGATTTTGAAATAAAAAAATTAAGGTCTTACATATAATAAATGTTCATAAATGCACCAATCAAGCACGTACATTGATATATAAGCCACATGTCTCAAACCCCCCCCCCCCAGAAAGTCCTGAAAGCATTTTGTCCCTCCCAAATTAACCTCCAACATTTCTCTGCAAGTTCAAGGAAAATGGAAAAGCCTTTCCTTTGTCGTCTCCTTCACAAATCCTTTCTTAAGGGTATGTCTGTGTAGGAATAGGGTGAGCCTGTGACCTGGCTCGGGAACTAAGTATTTGTCATTACAAGAGACTGGCCAGGCTCCCAAGGGTTTCCAATCAAGTGACCACTAACAGGTAACCTGCCAGACAGGAGATAAACAAAGCACTCAGATTTCTGTTGTAGACCGCCCTTTCTGTGATGTAGGTATGATGTATCTGGGGGTGGTCTTGGACTCCAGGGCGGGCAATTTAAAATGTCTATATAAGGGCGGGCACACCTGGGTTCTGGGTCCTCCTCCTCCTGTGTGTGAAGGGGGCACCCTGTTGCAACAGATCAATAAAGATCAGGCTTACTAGCTGCTTTGCTTAATATTCTCTGGTTGGCCTCTGTTCTTTTCTCCGACTGATGGAGAACCTACAAAGGACTCTATAAGGGCTCTTGTGTCCCCCATAAGAGAATGAGGGCAGATTTCTGTTCATTACAATTTGAATAGCGTTTTATTGGTTTTTGACAGAGGGATCTTGTGCCGTTCCAAATGGATTTTGCCGTTTTTCGGAAACCATGCTGAAACGGCCTGAGGTCTTCCTTGCAGTTGCGAAGTCATCGAGAGATTGGCAGGCATCCATCCTGCAGCAGCGGCCGGGTTGGCGACAAGGAAGCAGAGCCCATTTTGAGCATCACCAGGAAAGCTCACCTGGGCAGTACTTGTCGATCAGCCTCTGGTAGTACGGCTTCAGCTCCGACGGATTGGGCAGCTCCCCACACTTGGTATACAGGTCGAACTTGCTGGAAGGGGGTGGAATAAGGAAAGTGGGGTTGCTCTTTGGTACCCACAGAGTGCCAGCTGTTGTCGGACTACAACTCCCATCATCCCTAGCTAGCAGAACCCAGGAGTCAGGGATGATGGGGCTTGTAGTCTGACAATAACTGGGGACCCAAGATTGAGGAACACTTGCCTGCCTTGGGGGTCCAAGGTGGCAGAGGGCAGGTCGTGATCCAGAGCACCTATTTTGAACCCTGAGGGTCCCAAATTTAATCTTCAGTGGCATCTCCAAGGAGGAGACTCCCTACTTGGGAAGCAGCTGCCAGTCAGTGCTCACTGCACTGAGTTAGATGGGCCCTCTGTTACTGATGTGTTTATACTAGTAACAGTACAGATTGAGGTTGTATCCTGCCAAGACAGAAGTACTCTTTTTGGGGGGCGGGCAGGTGTGGAGGACTCCCTGGTCCTGAATGGGGCAACTGTGGCCCTGAAGGACCAGGTGCACAGCCAGGGAGTCATTTTGGACTCACAGCTGTCCATGGAGGCGAAGGTCAGTTCTGTGTCCGGGGCAGCTGTCAGCCAGCTCAATCTGAGACCCTATCCGCCTGCAGACTGTCTTGCCAGAGTGATGCATGCTCTGATTATCTCCTGCTTGGACTACTGCATTGCGCTCTACGTGGGGCTACCTTTGAAGGTGACCCGGAAACTACAACCAATCCAGAATGCGGCAGCTAGACTGGTGACTGGGAGCGGCTGCCAAGACCATATGACACCGGTCCTGAAAGACCTACACTGGCTCCCAGTACTTTTCCGAGCACAATTCAAAGTGTTGGTGCTGACCTTTAAAGCCCTAAACGGCCTCGGCCCAGTATACCTGAAGTAGCGTCTCCACCCGCATCGTTCAGCCCGGACGCTGAGGTCCAGCGCCGAGGGCCTTCTGGCGGTTCCCTCATTGCAAGAAGCAAAGCTACAGGGAACCAGGCAGAGGGCCTTCTCGGTAGTGGCGCCCGCCCTGTGGAACGCCCTCCCAGGAGATGTCAAAGCGATAAATAACTACCTGACATTCAGAAGACATCTTAAGGCAGCCCTCTTTAGGGAAGCTTTTAATGTTTGATGTTTTATTGTGTTTTTAATATTCTGTTGGGAGCTGCCCAGAGTGGCTGGAGAAACCCAGCCAGATGGGCGGGGTATAAATATTAAATGATGATGATGATGATCCAGAGCACCTATTTTGAACCCCAAAGGTCCCAGATTTAATCTCCAAGTGGGAGACTCCCTACCCTGGTGAGCAGCTGCCAGTCAGTGCTGACAGCACTGAGTTAGATGGGCCCTCTGTTACTGTTGTCTTTATATACCTATCTTTTCCACCGAGCTCAAGGTGGCATCTGTGGTGCTCTTGGTCTTTGCTTCATCCCCACAACCCCTGCAAGGCAGGCCAGGCTGAGAATTGGCAACTGGTGACTGGAACCCTTGTCTCTCGGGTCCCGGTCTAGCGCTCTAACCACTGCACCACGCTGCTTCCTGAGAAGTGACCCCAACGTCTCCATCCCTGCCTGCCACGTACTTGAATTCTTTCACCCAGGGCAGCATCCGGAGGTCATCCTCATTGCACAGGTGCATGTAGTCTCCTCCTGTGTGCCAGGGATAGAAGGAGTGGAAGCGGACCATGTAGAAAGCCTGCAGAGAAGGGGGAGGAAAGTGAAACTGCATCAGCCTCCACTGCTTTAGAGCACAGTGTGCAAGGAAAAAGCCATGCAGCCCTGAAGCTTTGGGGAAACCCCACTACTGTCCCCCCAAGGCAAGCAGGGTGACTTTTGGACATGCCCAAGGCAAGGCAGAATCTCTGGGGTTGTTGTTGTTGTTGTTTAGTCGTTTAGTCGTGTCCGACTCTTCGTGACCCCCTGGACCAGAGCACACCAGGCACTCCTGTCTTCCACTGCCTCCCGCAGTTTGGTCAAACTCATGCTGGTATCTTCGAGAACACTGTCCCACCATCTCGTTCTCTGTCGTCCCCTTCTGGGTTCCTTTACGAGTTGGGGGGGCGCGAAAGGTGCCCGCCGAGTCCCATGGTCACAGGCTTCATCCGCCTGTGATTTTCCAAAGGGTCCCCGCTTCGCCGTAGCGGGAAAGACCCGTTTTCCTTGGAGCCAGTCCCTCCGGATCAGAGGGAATCCGCCATTACCGATGGCGCCACCCCGCAAAAGGAAACTTATCAGTCATTTGTGGGAGAGCTGTTGATGGAAATAAACCTGCTTATCTCACATGGACTTTGCTCCTTCTGTACCGCCTCTCCCTCCAGCAAACAACATGCTAATTAATTGCTGATAAGGAATTCAGTCTTAAGATTTTTCTTGCCGAAAGACAGATTTGAAAATAAAAACTAATCTGCCTTTTGAGCCATCTTTGCAGCCTCACTTTCCCCCTTTAATTTCTACCCAAAAATGGATTAACTTGGAATAGCTACCGGCTCTGCATTGGATTGAATAGCTACCGACTCTGCAAGGGATGCGGGTAGCGCTGTGGGTTAAACCACGGAGCCTAGGACTTGCCGATCAGAAGGTTGACGGTTCAAATCCGCGTGACGGGGTGAGCTCCCGTTGCTCGGTCCCTGTTCCTGCCAACCTAGCAGTTTGAAAGCATGTCAAAGTGCAAGTAGATAAATAGGTACCGCTCCGGCGGGAAGGTAAACGGCCTTTCCGTGCGCTGTTCTGGTTTGCCAGAAGCGGCTTAGTCATGCTGGCCACATGACCAGGAAGCTGTACGCCAGCTTCCTCGGTCAATAAAGCAAGGTGAGCGCCGCAACCCCAGAGTCGGTCATGACTGGACCTGTCAGAGGTCCCTTTACCTTTACCTGCATTGGTAGTACAGCAGGATCGTATATTACGTGAGGGTTATGATCTGGCGACGGCTCATACATGCAAAAATGAGTATCCTTGAACTGCCCCTGTCAAGACCACCCATCTGCAGCCAGCACACCAGGCAGGTCTTGCCCCCCAAGCAAGGGACAGAGAGCTTTTAATAAGGTCTCTGACTTCCTTCCTGGGCAAGTCCCACTCAGCATGCAGGTTCTGGGATGCTCTCGCGAGATCTCTCCAGGCCGTCCAAGCTCCCACGACATCTCATGTCTGTGTGCCTTGCAAAGTTCTGGGGCAACCAGGAGAAATTGCTGGCATTGTTTCGAGGAAGAAAGTAGGGGTGTTTCCGTTCTCCACCAGGGCAACTACTGCAGCCTGAGCCCATGTCCCTCGCAGCTGCTGCTGGCTCAGGGCTTCCACATGTTCTGTGCATTTCTGCAGGAGCTGAGCCTTTCCTGCCCTGCCCTGCCCTGCCCTGCGGTGCAACTACTCTAACAATGTAAGAGAAATCACCAAAGGAAAGTTTGAAAGAATATTGGAAGCTAGATATTCAGGAACAGATTTTAAATGAAAATTGGGAAAGAATCTTTCGGCAACCACCCTTTGTTGCGACCTCTAGGATAATCCAGGAACAAGGGTTGAAGTTTGTACAAAAATGGTATTACACACCCGTAAGGTTATATCATATTACAAAATCTGGAAGTAAGAATTGTTGGAGGAAATGTGGAGTGATGGGAACATACAGTCATATGTGGTGGAATTGTCCGTTAGTTAATGAATTTTGGAAACAGATTGGTATAGAAATATTGGGAATTGTGGGTAGGAAGGTGGAAATATCTAAATTAATGGTTCTTATTAGCCAGAGTAGCACCGAGTTAGAAACAAAAGATGAATGCAAATGGGTAAAATTGATGGTAATTGCAGCCAGACAGGTTATAGCGGGTAATTGGAAAAATGCAGAAGAGCTAGGAGTGAACCAATGGAGGGAAAAACTGAAAAATATTATAATCTTAGAATATCTAACTGTGAAGATACATAATCCCTTCCAGTCGGGATTCAGGCCTCATCATGGGACTGAAACTGCCTTGGTCGCACTGGTTGATGATCTCCGGCGGGCTAGGGACAAAGGTGAGAGCTGTTTCCTAGTTCTGCTGGATCTCTCAGCGGCGTTTGATACCATCGACCATAACATCCTTCTGGACCGTCTTGAGGGGCTGGGAGCTGGGGGCACTGTCATACAGTGGTTCCGCTCCTTCCTCCTGGGCCGTGTTCAGAAAGTGGTGGGGGGGGATGAGTGTTCAGACCCCTGGGCTCTCACTTGTGGGGTGCCTCAGGGTTCCGTCCTCTCCCCCATGCTTTTCAACATTTACATGCAGCTGCTGGAAGAGATCATCAGGAGGTTTGGGCTGGATGTTCATCAGTATGCGGATGATACCCAGCTCTACCTCTCTTTTAAATCAGAACCAGTGAAGGCGGTGAAGGTCCTGTGTGTCTGGAGGCGGTTGGAGGATGGATGGCAGCTAACAGATTGAGGTTGAATCCTGACAAGACAGAAGTACTGTTTTTGGGGGACAGGAGGCGGTCAGGTGTGGAGGATTCCCTGGTCCTGAATGGGGTAACTATGCCCCTGAAGGACCAGGGGCGCAGCCTGGGAGTCATTTTGGACTCACAGCTGTCCATGGAGGCACAGGTCAAATCTGTGTCCAGGGCAGCTGTTTACCAGCTCCATCTGGTACGTAGGCTGAGACCCTATCTGCCTGCGGACTGTCTCGCCAAGTGGTGCATGCTCTAGTTATCTCTCGCTTGGACTACTGCAATGCGCTCTATGTGGGGCTGCCTTTGAAGGTGACCCAGAAACTACAACTAATCCAGAATGCAGCAGCTAGACTGGTGACTGGGAGCGGCCGCCGAGACCATATAACACCGGTCTTGAAAGACCTACATTGGCTCCCAGTACGTTTCCGAGCACAATTCAAAGTGTTGGTGCTGACCTTTAAAGCCCTAAACGGCCTCGGTCCAGTATACCTGAAGGAGCGTCTCCACCCCCATCGCTCTGCCCGGACGCTGAGGTCCAGCGCCGAGGGCCTTCTGGCGGTTCCCTCATTGCGAGAAGCAAAGCTACAGGGAACCAGGCAGAGGGCCTTCTCAGTAGTGGCGCCCACCCTGTGGAACGCCCTTCCAGCAGATGTCAAAGCGATAAACAACTACCTGACATTCAGAAGACATCTTAAGGCAGCCCTGTTCAGGGAAGTTTTTAACGTGTGATATTTTACTGTATTTTTGGTTTCTATGGAAGCCACCCAGAGTGGCTGGGGAGGCCCAGCCAGATGGGCAGGGTATAAATAATAAATTATTATTATTATAAAATGAAAAGGGTTTAAGGTCAGTGAGAAGGAGGAGGATTGGTTTGAGAAGATACTGAATTATTTGGGTAGGTTTGAACAATTTGGGGCAATTGAAATGTTAAAAGTTAAATAAACCTTGTGGAGGGAGGAGTGTTAAGGTATATAGAATTGGACACAGGGTTGATTTGAATATGTTATTATTGATTATGTATACCCAGCTGCCTGGGGGGTTTCACTGTTTGTGTTTTGGTTGTTGTTAAAAAATATTTTAAAAAAAAACAAACCCCCAAAAAATGTAAGATGAACCCTGCAGAATCAGGCCCATGGCCCTGAGCATCCTCTTCTCAGAGTGGCCAACTAGGTGCCTCTTCTGCTGGGAAACCTGCATGCAAGAACCTCCTCTCCTCCTGTGGTTTTCAGCAGGATTGGTGCCTCAGCTGTGGAGGCAGAACAGAGCCATTCTGGCTCAGAGCCACCAATAGCCCTCCATAGTTTAACTACACATTGCATGAAGTACATCTTGAATTTTTCAGCATCATTGGATACCCAGGAGTGCCAGAATTGCTCCAAGTGGTTCTCAACCTGTGGGTCCCCAGTTGTTGTTGGACTACAATTCCCATCATCCCTGAGCTCTGGCCTTGCTAGCTAGGGGTGATGGGAGTTGTAGTTCAACAACATCTGGGGACCCACAGGTTGAGAAAGGCTGCTCTAATCAGTGGAACCAGCCGCACCAGGAAACACTTTTCTTCTTTCTTCTTTGGCGATCCCTCGTAGCCGAGTAGGATTGTCCTCCACAAACACGGTTTTAACAGTGAGTCCTTAAGTGACTGTGGAGGCCAATTCTGGATCCACACGTCCTTCCACAGTGGGGACATTGGTTTCCGGGTGGGAGCTGATCATGGTGAGGGTTTGCCAAGTGTGTCTTCCTCTTAGCACATTTCTCCCTTGCGTCCTGAGTTCGAGTGTCTTCAAAACCCATGACATCTTTGGTCAAGGCTTTTCTCCAACTGGAGCACTCGCAGGCCAGTGTTTCCCAATCATTGGTGTTCATACTACATTTTTAAAAGATTTGCCTTGAGAGAGTCTTTGAACCTCTTTTGTTGACCACCGGCATTATGCTTTCCATTTTTAAGTTCGGAGTAGAGTAGTTGCTTTGGAAGACGATAATCAGGTATCCGCACAACATGACCAGTCCAACAAAGTTGATGTTGAAGAATCATTGCTTCAACACTGGGGATCTTTGCTTCTTCCGGGACACTGGTGTTAGTTCGCCTGTCTTCCCAAGTGATGTTTAATTTTTTTGGAGACGCTGTTGATGGACAGCTTAAAAATGCAGAGAGCAAAACCAACCCCTGTATAAGGAAACACTTTGCACAGACCTCAGACAGGTGTTAGCAAACTCGACTCTCCCTCTTTGCTTCCAATAGAGTTTCCTTAGCCTCACATTAGGTGCTGATGGTGCTTGCATCCTTACCAACTTCCAAAAGGCAAAACAGAGAGAGTGTTATTATCAGTGCTTTTTTTTTCTTTTTTAAAAAATGTTTAGGGGTACTCTCATTTTGACTCAAGAAAATCACCGTTTTATAGTTCAAATCAGGGAAAATAAATACAGTCAATGGACAAAAGTACAAAGATTCACAAAATGTTTAGGGGTATGCGTGTCCCCCCCCCCTGAAAAAAAGCACTGGCTGTTATTATTTTACCAGGAACAAGTAGGAACAAACAAGTAGGAATGCATTTGGGGCACAGATGGTGAGATCTCCAGCTTACCTCCTGAGGGAGAGCAAATTTGTTGTGCTTCATCACTTTGTACATGTACTCTGGAGTGGAGAGAAGAAGAGAAACAGAAGACAAAAGGGGCCTTTGTCTCCTCTTCTGGGTACTTCTAAACTGCTCGTTGTTTTTGCTATTTGAAAGGCACAATGCACTACAGACTTTGTTTAACAATCAAAAGTTTGGCGGTCTTGAGATATTTGCTGATGCGAGTTTTGGAAGTGACACTACAGACAGGAAAAGCACATCTGGAGTTTGCTACATGTACAACCAGGGTCTATTTGATTGGTCGTGCAAGAGGCAAACAACAGTAAGCTTAAGTTATTGTGAAGCTGAACTGAATGCACTGTCTTATTTACTTGTGGATTGTGAATGGTTGTTACAATTGTGTAAAGACATGGGAATTAATGTAAAGTGTCCAATCCAGGTTTATCAGGACAACAAAGCATGTTTGGCTTTGCTGACTTCTGAAGGTTGTAAGCAAAGCACGAAGCACCTGCAATTGAAGCTGCAACATGCTAGGGAATGTGTTCAGAAAGGACTCGTAACGGTGTCCTACATGCCAGGAAATGAAATTCCTGCTGATTTGTTGTCCAAGGTTGTTCCGAGGGATCTACACTGTACCTATGTACAGAAACTGGGTTTGTACTGAGATTGTACTGATACACTGCCCAGTGGTGTTCACAGAAAGGGGGAGGAAGTTAGGTTTCTGTTCGTGCCACTGTGCAGTGCTTGGAGTCACAAGACTCTGTTTACATTCCAGAGTTTCCAGACTGTTGGAAGTCTCATGGGAGACAGGAGACGGATGTTGATTTTACTGGTTTCCTGTTTCTTTGTACCAATTGCCCCTCTGCTTTCACAGAGAAAGGATGCATATTATTTTCTGTCTGCATAGTTAGAAATAAAACTCTTAGCAATGTAGCTCATATGTCTCGTCCTTCTGCTGCTGCTTGGATACTCTGCATAATGGGAACGTGCCTGGAGTCTCATCAAAGGCTTAGGTCGTTAGTCACCGTCAGAGGACTCAACCGGAGGAGTAGCTCGGTCGAACACAAGTCCGACAGGCAGCAGATTCAGGCTCCATGGCACAGAACAGACTTTTGCAGAAAGGAAAGTTAATGAAGAAATACATTTGATAGCAAGGGAGATCATTTGCTTGATCCAGTGCTATAGAAGCTCTCCACTGCTTCATAAGCAGTGGATGGACCTCTCCACAAGCTTAGTGCAAACTAACTTTTTAATTTAGCGTTCCATCGCCTCCTGCCTCAGATGCAAAGCTGGAGCTCTTACCGTCATGGCCCCAGGACATCAGGACATTCTCCAAACCACAATGAGGCTGGTAGATCCCATACTTAGTGCTGAGGAGGAGAGAAAGAGAAGACAAATCTCAAGGCTTGCTCCCCAACGTACCTCAGGCTCCTTCTTACGAATGGGATTATCGCAAGATAGGAAAGGGGACCATCTTGGATTCTGCTGGCTATTCTGGATTAATACTTGGAGAGGGAGGGTTAGGCCACTATTACAGAAACTGTTGGTTTCAGCTTCTCAGCTCTCCAGACAATTTACTTCTTCACACTTCTATATCCATTTGTGATATTCATTGGCATTTTTGTGGACTAGATGGGCTTCTTACGTTTTTGTCCCTCCAAATGAAGGGCTCTCTTTCTCCTGCTCACAGAACAAAACAGGGATGTGAGCGAATGCTTACTTGTACAAGGGGTTTGTCATGTCGGGGTTGTTGTGGAAAGTGGAGTCCCGAAAGACGACAGAGTCCTGGACCTTGCAGCCCACTGGAAAAGTGTCACCCACCACAGCCCACTGCAAGAAATGGAGGGGAAGGAAGAGCAGGTCAGTGAGCTCCCCCCCATTCCTCTTGGCCATCCAGAGTGCCTGCAAACCAGTTTGTTCTTTGGCCTGTTTTGCTGAGCCTCCATCCCAGCCTTGTGTTCATTTTCAATAATAAACCCGGCAAGGACTGGGTGCGTCACCTTTCTCAAGGAGATGAGCTGAGGTAGGCTCCCTGGAGAACCACAATATTGTCAACAGGGGCTTGTAGATCCCCCAAATTTATCCCATTTGCGCAAGGACTTCTGATGGTGCAATGCAGCTTCCCACTCCTCTCCCTGAACGCCCCCCTGCACCACCCCCAAATCTGCCTCAAAGGCCTGGAGAGGGACCCCCAGAATAGATATTCAAGGGCAGGGGAAGAGAGGGAGGGAAAGTTGTGTTATGTAAGTGGAGGTTCTTCCGTGAACAGATGACTTCATTGGATATACCGTATTTTTTGTTCCATAAGATGCACCTTTTTCTTCCTAAAAAGTAAGGGGAAATGTCTGTGCGTCTTAGGGAGCGAAGGTGTGGTCCCTGGAGCCGAATTGCCCAGGGGCGAAAAGCAGATCGTGCTTTTTTTTTTTTTTTTAGAAAAAGGGAAGGGGGTGTTGAAATGAAGCCGCTGAGCAGCTGACCGGCAAGCGATCAGGAGGGAGATAAAGGATGCTAGCGATAAAGGAGGCTGCATGGGAGGTAAAAACAGCAAACTTGCAAGGAGAGGAGACAGGAAGACTAAATCAATGAGGAGAGAAATTAGAAGAAAAGGAGGAGCAAAAAACTGCTCCAGCTGAGGAAAAGACACTAAGGCAAACAAGAGGGAAAGGAGTGTTGAAAGGAAGCAGCTGATCGGCAAGTGATCGGGAGGAAGATAAGGGACGCAATAAAGGAGGCTGCCTGGGAGGGGGGAGGTAAACGCCCATGGATCTTCAGGATTTTTACATTGGGTCACCCCAAATTCTCCATCAGATCACATAGCATGTCCATGGCTTCAGCCTGCAGCAAAAAAATCACACACCCACTGTTTCGTGGGGCCGCAATGGCACCAAAATGTAACAAAGCATGGATCCACATGGATCCTCAGGATTTTTTCATTGGGCTACCCCAAACTCACTGTCAAATCACATGTCTGTGGCCACAGCATGAACCACAAAAATCATACATCCACTGTTTCTTGTTTTCATCCTCTAAAAACTAGGCGTGTCTTATGGAGCGAAAAATACAGTAATCTTGCAGCCGCAACAACATATTTTAATTATTATTGGCATTGGTTTGGGATGCGGGTTCAGTCTGGATGGTGTGGTCTGGTCTTGGACCAGTATCTGTTAGAATCTAAGAGAGGAGGTTGTTGAACTAATCAGACAAGTTTCTTTGCAAGGCAATGGCCTTAGCTGGCTGTTTAGGGGTCCTCTTCAGTATCCCTCCCAAATAAAAAATAAGCTCGGCTGTCAGAGCTAAATGAGTGTGTCCTCCAGGCTAATGGGTGGGCGTTTCCTCCATCCCACAGAACTAGCTGCTAGAAAGCAGAACAATCGCCAAAGAGTTGTGTGTGAGCTGAGCTGGGAGCAGCCTGGAAGCTGGAGACACAGAACTTGCTTACCCCAAGGTTGTGATTAATGCAGAAGCAAGATCTGTTGGGGGTTAACACTGTGAGCCCCTCCGTCTTATGCTCAGCTTGCATAGATGCATCAATAAAACCATAACTGGTCATGTTGTGCGGGTGCCTGATGATTGTCTTCCAAAGCAACTACTCTATTCTGAACTTAAAAATGGAACGTGTAATGCTGGTGATCAACAAAAGAGGTTCAAAGACTCTCTCAAGGCAAATCTTTAAAAAATGTAGTATAAACACCAACAATTGGGAAACACTGGCCTGCGAGCGCTCCAGTTGGAGAACAGCCTTGACCAAAGGTGTCATGGGCTTTGAAGACACTCGAACTCAGGACGCAAGGGAGAAACGTGCCAAGAGGAAGGCATGCTTGGCAAATCCACACCAGTATCAACTCCCGCCCGGAAACCAATGTTCCCACTGTGGAAGGACGTGTGGATTCAGAACTGGCCTCCACAGTCACTTACAGACTCATTGTTAAAACTGTGTTTATGGAAGACAATCTTTCTCGGCTACAAAGAAGAAAGATGAAGAAGATACCCCAAATAAAGGTAAAGTACCCCATGACGGCTAAATCCAGTCAAAGGCGACTATGGGGTTGCGGCGCTCCTCTCGCTTTTGGGCCAAGGAAACCTGCGTTTGTCCAGAGACAACTTTCCAGGTCATGTGGCCAGCATGACAAAAATGCTTCTGGCACAACGGGACACCGTGATGGAAACCAGAGCGCACGGAAATGCTGTTTACCTTCCCACCGCTGTGGTACCTGTTTATCTACTTGCACTTTTTGGTGTGCTTTCGAACTGCTAGGTTGGCAGGAGCAGGGACAGAGCAATGGGAGCTCACCCCGTCGCGGGGATTTGAACTGCCAGCCTTCAGATCGGCAAGCCCAAGAGGCTCAGTGGTTTAGACCACAGCACCACCTGCGTCCCCCATATCCCTAATAAACCAGTGTCTCTGCTGACTTTCATTCCTAGGAAACCAAACCCTTGGGGTAAGTGCCTGGACTCCCCAGAGTCAGTCTTTGCTCAGAGAGTTGAGTAGAGTATAAAAGTAGCATGATTGCATATGCCCCTTCAGACTGGCACTTCTATGTAGCGTATAATAAGTTCGTTGACTAAAATACAACATTACAGATGTCAAATGCAGGTGAGGAAGGAGGGGTCAGGTGAAATTTTGCCCCGTTTGGGGTTCCTAGGCACCCCTGCTAAATTCCCTGATAGGGGATATCGGGGAGGGCATGGTCTCTCCTGCCCAGGGACCCAGGAGCTGAGCATTAGGCAAGGGAGCCTCAGAGGGGGCAACTTGCTTAACGGGGATCATGAGGGAGACTGGGCAAGTATGTAACCTTTCTGCTTACCTGAGGCTCACCAACGAGTGCCAAGATCTTTCCAATGTCATGAAGTAGCCCGACCAGGTGAAACCAATCTGCGGCAAGAAAAGAGAGGCATGTTATACGTTGAAAGAAAATTGTATGAAAAGGATGTGTCTATGGTATTTAGCTCCTAGCAAATTAGCAAAAAAAGTATAAAACAGGCTCAAATGTATGCTGGATATGTAAGGAAAAAGAAGGCACCTTTTATCATATGTGGTGGAATTGTAAGGTAGTAAAAGGATTTTGGGAAATGATATATGATGAGTTAAAAAAAATGTTTAAAATAACCTTTTTTAAGAAACAACGCTGAAGCCTTCCTTTTAGGAATTGCAGGTGCTGAAATCCCAAGAGACTATCTATCTGTGTGACCACAGCTGTGCAGATGTTATTGGCCCAGAGATGAAAATAAAATAATGTCCCTACCAGAGAAGAATGGCAGATCAAGTTGATGGACTCTGCCAAAATGGCTAAAATGACCGGAGGAGTCAGAAATCAGGAAGGCCAAAATTTTAATAAGGAATGGGGGAAATGTATACCTTATCTTAAAGACCACTGTAAACGGTTAAAATTGTTAGTAGGATTGGAATACCACCAATGGTGAATTTTGGATACAATGGAGATGTAAAACATTTGGATCATCATAAAAGATACAGGAGGAAATAATAGGGCAGAATAGAAGTCCAGGAGATTCCTTGGATTCTTGTTTTGATGATTTAACGTTTGATATAGGATTGTAAAATTTTAATCTGAAAAACCAAAATGAATAAATTTTCAAAGAAAAGAGAGGCGGCCCATTTGACGCGGAATAAACTCTCTCTCCCCACGTCCCGCTGCCTTCGTTCCATCACAGAAATCTATGGTGCAACCATCGAAAGTGGATGGAGGAGTTTTGCTCCCACACTCAGCACATTGAAACTCGCAGACATCCCATAAAGCTGAATATTGGAAGATTCAGGACAGAGAAAAGAAAGGACTGTTGATGGCTACTAGTCAAAATGTCTCCCTCCACAGCTGGAGGCAGCAATGCTTCTGTATATATATTTTATATATATATATTGATTTTAACATATAAATTATAAAATGTACCACAAATCTTATCACTTATACAATCTTTTTAGACTTCCATCAGCACCTCTGATGATCCACCGTTTTAACCACTTCTTATGCTTTTCTTCACTTTATATTGCCTTTATGTCTCTTAACAAATCATCCTTCCCCTTCTCCATTTTTGCAATACTTCCAATAATACTCCTCACAAAACTTCTTGCAAACCTACAAACGTCGTCTGATCTTCACAAATACTTTTCAAGTAGTCCGTAAATTTACTCCAGTCTTCTGTGAATTTCTGGTCCCGCTGGTTTCGAATCCTTCCTGTTAGTTCATCTAGTTCTGCATAGTCCATTAACTTCATCCTCCATTCTTCAATCGACGGTAACTCTTCTAGCTTCCATTTTTGGGCCAGTAATATTCTTGCTGCTGTTATTGCATATAAAAAGAGCTTACATTCCTTTCTATTGATATCACTCCCCACAATGCCCAGTAAAAATGCTTCTGGTTTCTTTATGAATGTATATTTCAACATTTTTTTCATCTCATTATATAACGGAGGCCCGTTGCTGGAAACCCCAGGAGGAGAGAGGACTCTTGTGTTCGAATCCTGCTTGCTGATTTTCCAACAGGGCCAGTGTGAGGACTGGAGGGTGGGCGAGATGGGCCATTGACCTGATCCAACTGGCTCTTCTCGTGTTCCTATTGTTTCCAACAGTGGGAGAGGAATAGAAATCTATTCCCACTTTTCTGCAGCAGCAAAAATTTTGTTAGCCCAAAGATGGAAACAGGAGTTACCAACCAAAGAAGAGTGGCAGGTGAAGCTGATGGACTTTGCAGAACTGGCGAAACCGATGGGAAGGATCCAGAACCAGCGAGACCAAGCATTCCAAAAGGACTGGAACAAATATATATTACATTTGAAAGACAACTGCAAGCAATTAACATCACTGGCAGGGTTATCTGAAGATCTGTAAGGTGAAATTGCTGCCTATTCAGGTTGAGTAATGTACCGGTAATATTTTAGGTAATGATACAACAAGCATTGGGGACGCAGGTGGCGCTGTGGGTTAAACCACAGAGCCTAGGACTTGCCAATCAGAAGGTCGGCGGTTTGAATCCCTGCGATGGGGTGAGCTCCCGTTGCTCAGTCCCTGCTCCTGCCAACCTAGCAGTTCGAAAGCACGTCAAAGTGCAAGTAGATAAATAGGTAAGACTCTGTCGGGAAGGTAAACGGCGTTTCCGTGCACTGCTCTGGTTCGCCAGAAGCGGCTTAGTCATGCTGGCCACATGACCTGGAAGCTGTACGCCGGCTCCCTCGGCCAATAAAGCGAGATGAGCGCTGCAATCCCAGAGTCGGCCACGACTGGACCTAATGGTCAGGGGTCCCTTTACCCTTTACCTTTACAACAAGGATAGGAAATGAAGCGAAATGTAAAGATGTAAAGTTTAATTTTGTAAACCATCCGATGGGAGGGAAGTCATCAGGCTCAGATGAACCAAAGAAATAAAATAAGAGGGTACGATTTTATCTAATGTGACTATATGTAAAACTATAATATATATGTGTGTGTGTGTGTGTGTGTGTGTGTATGTATACACACATATATATATCTCACACTACTAAAAAAGAAGACGAAAAGAAATCCATCCCCCAGGTGGAGTCGCCAGCCACTCACCTTTGTCGGGGTGTGCCCTTCGGATCCCCTCCGCCGTCTGATAGGCGTGATAGGAATTGGGGAAATCGACGTCGGGGTCCGATTCATCGACCACGTTGTCCAGCAGGTCCAAGGCCTCCATGATGGTCATCCGACGGAGACGGCAGCCTCCATACTCCTCGTTCTAGGGAGAGGGGACTGTGAGGACACTATTATTGAACCATGGGTTGGGGGAGGTCAGCCAGAAGATGTAGATCGGTGGTTCCAAATAATTGTGCATTCAATTGCTCCTGTTTTGTGTTGTTGCTTTTCTTAGTGGGCCATGCAAACCACCATCCTGAATAATGCTTTTCTTATCTACAGTGGTACCTTGGTTCTCAAATGCCTTGGTTCCCAACCGCCAAAAACCTGGAAGTAAGGGTTCTGGTTTTCGAACATTTTTAGGAAGCCAAATGTCCAATGCGGCTATTGTTTCTGGTGCACCTGCACCAATCAGAAGCTGTGCCTTGGTTTTCGAACATTTTGGAAGTCAAATGGACTTCCAGAACGGATTAAGTTTGGGGCTTTTGTTTTTGCTATTTATTTTGCGTTTTTGTTTTTGAGGCTTTTCCGGTTAATTTGTTTTTGTGACTGTGGGGAATCCAGTTCAGCTATTGACTGATTGTGTGACTGCAATACATTGCTTATTGCTTTCGTTTTATAGATCCATGGTCTCGTTAGATAGTAAAATTCATGTTAAATTGCTGTTTTAGGGATTGTTTTTAGAAGTGTGGAACGGATTAATCCGTTTTTGCATTACTTTCTATGGGAAAGCGCACCTTGGTTTTGGAACGCTTTGGTTTTGGAACTGACTTTCGGAACGGACTAAGTTTGAGAAGCAAGGTACCACTGTATAGGGTACGGGGCCCCGGGGACGAGTTGATGAAGCCAAGGGAGAAGGGGCCCAAAAACATTTGGTGTAGATTTTGGGAAATAGTTTCAGGGGTCGGAGAGTGGTGTGTCGTATGCAGAGAGATTCACTTGCCTTTGATGTGCATCTTTCGGAACTGTTTTGAGAATTGATACCTGAGCTGCAGAGAAGGACCCTCCATCGCTTGTAAAAGCTGGGTGTGATGAGCCTTCCTTACCACTGGAGACCCCCCACCTCCCCAGCAAACCCACCTTCTTCTGTACAAAATCCACCGTCTGGTTGGTGTGCATCTGCAAGTAGGTGTTGTACACTCGGTCCATCAGGGGCCCATCCTGAAAAAGACAGGATTGAGAGAGACCTTTGGCTGATCCATCAGCTCTTTTGGGGCAGGGAGTGGTTCTTTTTAAAAAAATAAATAAATTTGTACAATAAATGTCTCTTTCTTTTTGAAGGTGACCCGGAAACTGCAACTAATCCAGAATGCGGCAGCTAGACTGGTGTCTGGGAGTGGCTGCCAAGACCATATAACACTGGTCTTGAAAGACCTACATTGGCTCCCAGTACGTTTCCAAGCACAATTCAAAGTGTTGGTGCTGACCTTTAAAGCCCTAAATGGCCTCAGTCCTGTATACCTGAAGGAGCGTCTCCACACACATTGTTCAGCCCTGAGGTCCAACTCTGAGGGCCTTCTGGCGGTTCCCTCACTGCGAGAAGCGAAGTTACAGGGAACCAGGCAGAGGGCCTTCTCGGTGGTGGCGCCCGCCCTGTGGAACGCCCTCCCATCAGATGTCAAAGACATCTGAAGGCAGCCCTGTTTAGGGAAGACATCTGAAGGCAGAAGACATCTGAAGGCAGCCCTGTTTAGGGAAGTTTTTAATGACTGATGTTTTATTGTGTTTTTTAATATTCTGTTGGGAGCCGCACAGAGTGGCTGGGGAAACCAAGCCAGATGGACGTGGTATAAAGAAATAATAATAATAATAATAATAATAATAATTTTGTTTGTTTGTTTTAGCTGCCTGGGTGGTGTTAATATATTCATTTACTAGATTTATATCTTAATTTTTTCTCCAAGGAGTTCATGGTGGTGTTCTCACCCCTCCTCATTTCATCTCCACGACAACCTTGCGAGGTGGGTTAGACCAAGAGGCAGCGACTGGCTCCCAAGCTCGCTCAGTGAGCTTTGTGGGCAACTGGGGATTTGAACCCTGCTCTCTCAGATCCTAGTCCAATACTCTAACCACTATGCCACATGGGCTCTCTTGTTAATGTCTCTATTAAACAATTATTGTGCTTTCTCGATCTCAAGATGGAGCCTGTTTCTTCTTAACTGCTCTGGCAGGGAGAGGACAGATACATTTTGTGGGTGTCACCACCCATCCCTCTCCCGGGTCTTCATGAGATAGCTTGTAAAATAGATCCCTTTCTGTGGCAGATCTGCACTCACCTTGAAATTCCTGTAGTCCCCCTTGGACTTCCCATTCTCCGCATCGCTCTCTGGCCTGTACACCTCTGAAGGGTCGCAGCCCTGAAGAAAAAGGCTCTGTGAGAGCTGGGACTTTTTTATTATTATTTTTAAATAATAAATTTTATTAGTATTTTCCATACAACAACAACACGAAAAATATCAAAAAATAACAAAACACAAAAACCAGCATACAAAATAAACAAATCCATATCTTACAATATAAACACTAAAAAGAAAAACAAACATTGACTTCCACCAATCCCACAGCACCTCCTTTACCTCTCATTGTATCTTCCTGTTTTCTTTATCATCTCTGTCCTAGCATCTAGATATAAATCCCTCTTTCTTACCCTTTCAATTTACAAGGTTATTCATGACTCAGCCAGATTTCTGTCCTCGAACCTTGACTTTCAAGGTATTCATTTAGGCACTCCCATTCCTTTTGCACTTCGCGTTTTGGCTTTTGTCTTATCATATCTGTCCATTTGGCTAATTCTAAATATTTTGAAAGCCTACATTACCACTCTCCCCTAGTGGGTAACAGATTCCCTTCCAATACTTAGCCACCAGGATTCTTGCTGCAGACGTCGCGTATAAGAAAAATTAAGTTTTGTCTTTTGGAAGGTCATCATTTAAAATTCCTAAAAGGAATGCCTCTGGCCTTTTACTATATGATATTCTTAGCATTTTATTTATTTCTTGGTGGATCATGCTCCAAAAATTCCCAATTTGGGGGCATGTCCACCATATATGGTAGAAGGTTCCTTTTTGTTTCGTACATCTCCTGCACTTAGTATTATGTTTTATTCATTTTTGCCAGCGTTTCTGGCACCAGGTACCACCTGTGATGCTGTGATGGCCTGGGATTCAGACTCGGAGGCTGAACCTGAGGAATCCCAGCCTGCACAGGATTCCCCGCCTCCAGAACCAGATGAGCCGGGGCTGGGGCTTGAGCCTGAAGGGTCCTCACCTGTGCTGGGTCCTCAGGTGCAGGCACCAGCTGAATTCGCTCTGGCTCCGGAGGTGATGGAGGATCCATTGCCTGCAGGTGCTCCACTCTCAGCCCCATCAGGGGAAGAGGAGGTTGCCTCTGGGTCCGGTAACCCTCCAGCCTCTCCTGAGCTGCAGAGGAGGGAACTAAGTTCTCGCAGGAGGAGTGCTCGCCTCCAGGCCAGGAGAGGTGAGTCACCTGTGGACTGGGGCCGCCCTATGCCTCGGGGCAGATAAAAGCCAGCCAGCCCCAGTCCCAGGTTGTGGGAGCAACATTGTTGGTAGCCTGCTCCTGCCTGCACCCTGTCCTGCGCTTCTGCCAGAGTTCCTGACCCCACCCGGCTCCCTACCTTGGGCCCAGATTCAGCTTAGACGGACAGCCTCCATACCGCACCCTCGACCTCGGACTGGACTCGGACCTCGCCGCACGGTTAGCCCTCGATACCAGCAAAGATGCATTTTCATATACCGTATTTTTCGCCCTATAGGACGCACTTTTTCCCCTCCAAAAAGGAAGGGGAAATGTGTGTGCGTCCTATGGGGCGAATGCAGGCTTTTGCTGAAGCCTGGAGAGCGAGAGGGGTCGGTGCGCACCGACCCCTCTTGCTCTTCAGGCTTCAGGAGAGCCCCACCGCCAGCCCCGCAAGCTCGGGGGGAAGTGGGGAGGCGCAGCACGCCATCCCGCTGTCTCCCGACCTGGTTTGGAGGCAGGCGGTGGGATTCCCCCTCCCCCAGCCCCGCAAGCTCCCAGAGCGAGAGGGGTCGGTGCCCGCAGCTTCGGCATCGCTCTGGCACCAGTTCTGGGGGCTGGGGTCAGGGGAAGCTCAGGCTTCCCCCTCCCCCAGTCCCGCATGCTCCCAGAGCGGGCTTTGCGTTGCTCTCCGCAAGCCGTGGGAGCCCAGCGCGACTTCGCGCTGGGCTCCCATGGCTTGCGGAGAGCTGCCTTTTCTGGGGGCTGGAGTGGGGGGACGCTGGGGCTTCCCCTGCCCCAGCCCCGCGCCTGGGGAAAATAATTTTTTTCCCTTTATTCCCCCCCCCCAAATCTAGGTGCGTCCTATGGGCCGGTGCGTCCTATAGGGCGAAAAATACGGTAGTTCTCTCTTATTAGGTAACATGCTGCGAAATTTACTTGAGAGGTGGGACTTGAAAGGGGCAGAAGGAGACCTAAATAGCAGTGCAGCTCAGCACCATTTCCTTACACTTCTAACCAGAGCAGGGGCGTAGGAAGGGGGGTGATGAGGGCAGACCGCCCTGGGTGCCTTCACTGAGGGGGGTGACATTCGGTGCACAGCCCGCCCGCCCGCGACTCCCATGCCTACCCCGAGCCGTTGGGGTAAGAGGGGGAGCTACGCCGCTTTGCCGGCGACATTCCTCCCTTCCCCCTTCGTTTTGACAGCTTGCGGGAGGCTTGAGAGTCGTGGCTGGGCAGCGCGCCGAATATCCGCCATGGGTGGCTCGCTCTGCCCCCGGCTGCAGGGCACATGTGCCACTCTGGGCACCCGAGTGGCTATCCCGTGCTGCTATCCCCCACCAGTCCCCTCAGGAGCGTGCCCGCCCTGGGTGGGGCGGACATATGCTCTGCCGCTGATCCAGAGCAGAATGAAGATTTCTGTTGGGGTTTTTGCGGAGGGGTCAGTCTGGATGATGCCCTGAGTTCCTTCCAATCCCTGGAGTCCTGGACCCAGGGAGAGTTAGAATTCAAGAGAGAGGAGGTTGCTGAACTGGTCAGACATGTTGCTTTGCAAGACAACGATCTTAGCTGGCCGCAGTTAAGTGTCACCCTCAGCATCCCAAAAGAATGCGCCCGGTTGCAAGAGCTGCAACTAAGTGAGGGGGGCACTCCAGGCTAATGGGTGGGTCTTTCCTCCACCCCATCACCTGACCTCCATTTAGCCAGAGTTTTGGGGTGTGAGCTGAGCTGGAAGCGGGCTGGAAGGCACAGAGACCTGCTTGCTCTGTGCTGTATCCACGGCTGTGATGAATGGAGAAGCAAGATTAGTTGGGGGTTTAATGCTGTGAGCCCCTCCATGTGATGCTCAGGATAGCACAGTCAGTAGACCATGAGAATCTTGCTCTGAGGGTTGTAGGTTCAAAGGATTCCTGCATTGCAGGAGGTTGAAGGCACGTCCGACTCCCAAGGGACTGCGATCTACTCACAGTATAAAAAAAACTGGCCGTGATCTACCCATTGTCGTTGGAGGATGAACCAGAGTTGTTCAGCTTTTTTTTTTTTTTTAGGGAGCCAGAGTTTTTTAGGGAGCCAGAGTTGTTGAGCTATTTTTTAATATGTGTAAATAGAGACATACACCCTAAAATGAAGAAGGCTTATCGCCGAAGAATGGATGCTTTTGAATTCTGGTGCTGGAGGGGACTCTTGAGAGGCCCATGGACTGCAAGAAGATCAAACCTCTCCATTCTTAGGGAAATCAGCCCTGAGTGCTCACTGGAAGGCCAGATCCTGAAGCTGAGGCTCCAAGACTTTGGCCACCTCATGAGAAGAGAAGACTCCCTGGAAAAGACCCTGATGTTGGGAAAGATGGAGGGCACAGGGAGAAGGGGACAACAGAGGACGAGATGGTTGGACAGTGTTCTTGAAGCTACCAGCATGAGTTTGACCCAACTGCGGGAGGCAGTGGAAGACAGGAGGGCCTGGCGTGCTCTGGTCCAGGGGGTCACGAAGAGTCGGACATGACTAAATGACTCAACAACAACAACACACCCTAAAACACCGCCATCTCCTCTGACCTTCACTCCAAGGAAGCAGAACCTGAGTATAAGCACCTGGAACCCCCTGGAATCTCTCACTGCTAAGGGTGGCACCTAACATCATGATCCAGAGATGGGGGTGGGGTTTTTCTCTTTTTCTTACCCCTCCGGGACAGATTTGCTACCAAGACAAGTCCAAGATGCTGCTACTAGTATACAAAGCCCTTAACAACTTGCGTCCAATTGACCTACGAGATCACCTCACCCATATACATGCAATTGGCTGCTGCAATTCACGGAACTGGCCCCGCTCCAAGCGCCACATAATATCCCTTCCACATTTGCAAGAACTTGGCCTTTTAGTGGAGCTTTGGAACTCCCTGCCTATTGACCCCAGGCAGGCTCCTTCACTGTACTTTTTTCCGACACCTGAGAAAAACCCACGTACCCAGAGGCTTAGAAAGATGATGCAAGTTTTAATCTGCATTTGTTTTATTGTTTTATCTCTTTTGTAAATACCTTTGAGTTTTGGGGTTTTTTAAAACAACCAAGTGGTATATAAAGTTTAGGAAATAAATAATTGCATTCGTCTAAGAGCTAGGGTGAAGCTACCAGCATGAGTTTGACCAAACTGCGGGAGGCAGTGGAAGAGAGGAGTGCCTGGTGTGCTCTGGTCCAGGGGGTCACGAAGAGCCGGACACGACTAAACAACAACAAAGGAGCTAGGGAGATATTTTTGGATCTAATACTCAGAGGAAAGGCATAATACGGGTTTTACCATCCCTGCATTCCCAGCCTTTGCTCTCTATCCTGGGGTGCCTGTAGCTGAATGGAAGCTGCTTCTACCAAGTCAGCATCTAACTCCACACTGTCTGCACTGATTGGCAGCTGCGCTCCAGGGTTTCTGCCAAGGAGCGTTTTCCAGCCGCACCCGGAGATAGAATCATAGAATCATAGAGTTGGAAGAGACCACAAGGGCCATCGAGTCCAACCCCCTGCCAAGCAGGAAACACCATCAGAGCACTCCTGACATATGGTTGTCAAGCCTCTGCTTAAAGACCTCCAAAGAAGGAGACTCCACCACACTCCTTGGCAGCAAATTCCACTGTCGAACAGCTCTTACTGTCAGATCCCAGAGAAGTCTGAACCCGGGACTTTCTGCATGCAAGGCCGACGCTCTACCGCTGAACTACCGCCCGCCTCCAGCACCCCTTTCCCATTCAGCCTCCTGCCTTCTCCCAAGGGAGGAGCTTTGCTGGGAAAGAGGGGCTGCTGCTCACTTACCACGTCCACCACCTTCATCCTTGCAGCTGTGGGGAGGGAGATCTCTGGGGAGTCAGCAGCACCTGCCCGGCTGTTTATAGCCTCTGGCCTTATGTAAGGAGGCGAGGCTGAGCTAACAGGAGCCGGAACCGGGGGCAATAAGTCACCTGTTAACCTGCCAGGGGCCGAACTCCTTTCTGAGCAGGGCATCCGAGCAAACGATTAATGTTTTGAAGTTTGCAGCATCCTGCAAAGAGGAGGAGGAGGAGGAGGAGAAGACTCTGTGGCATCCTATGAGGGGGACAGACGCAACTCCTCCCTCCGACTTTGCGCACAAACAAGCCCTGGGCGCCCCCAGATCAGAGCAGAGGTTGATGTTGGTCAGTTGCCTTGGTGTTTGTGTCTCAGGTCCACGGAGCATGGCCAAGCACCCTGGCAGCAAAGCGGGACCCTGCACCCTGTTCCTTCATTGTCTGGGTCAAGGTGGATAATGTGAGAGGAATTTTGAGGTCTGAGATATATGTTAAATGTTCATAAGTGTACCAACCAAGCACGTACATAGATCAGCACAGGAAGACCGACCTGAAACCATTTTTGATTCCCAAACTGTCCCAAACTGACAAAATATTTTCTCTGCAAGGTCAAAGGAAAATGGAAAAGCCTCCCCATTGTCTTTTCCTTCACGAATCCAATCTTAAGGGTATGTCTGTGTTTCAATAGGGTGAGCCTGTGACCTGACTCAGGAACTAAGTATTTATCATTACAAAAGACTGGCCAGGCTCCCCAGGCAATCCAATCAAGTGACCATTAAATAGGTAACCTGTCAGACGAGATAAAGAAGTCACTCAGATTTCTGTTTTAGACCACCTTTTCTGTGATGTAGGTACCGTATTTTTCGCACCATAGGACGCACCGGACAATAGGACGCACTTTGTTTTAGAGGAGGGAGAACAAGAAAAAAAAGTGAAGCGGCAGGAGGCGCTGCGCAGAGAGGGGGAGAACTTTCCCCCTCTTGTTTTCCCGCTCTAAAACAAGGTGCCGTTTAAGGTGCGTTCAGGCGGCTACCTTGGAAGCCTGGAGAGCGAGAAGGATCGGTGTGCACTGACCCCTCTCGCTCTCCAGGCTTCAGGTTCCTTTCGACCTGCTCTTTGGGGCTGGTGGGGGGGAAGCCCACCACCAGCCCCAAAGAGCAGGTCAGGGAGCAGTGGAAAGGTGCAGCGGAGAGGCTCCTGCCATAGCCACGCGTCACCTCTCCAGCCGGGAGAGGGTCGCGGGGCTATGGCGTCTTCGCTCCATAGGACGCACACACATTTCCCCTTCATTTTTGAAGGGGAAAATGTGCGTCCTATAGAGCGAAAAATACGGTATGATGTAGGGAGGGGTGGTCTTGAGCTCCAGGGCAGGGAATTTAAATTGTCTATATAAGGCCTTGCGCGCCATTGTTCTGGGTTCATCCTCCTTTTCTGCAGGTGAGATCAGGCTTACTAGCTGCCTGGCTTCTCAATATTCTCTGGCTGGCCTCTGTTATTTTCTCCTACCAATCGGGAACCTACGTAAGGACTCTATATGGGCTCTTGGGTACCCCATAAGGGAAAAAGGGCAGATTTTGTTTACAACAATAAGAACATAAGCAGAGTGCTGCTGGATCAGACCAATGGCCCATCTAGTCCAAGCGGGGAGGCAGAGCACAGCCAACATGGCTAGTAGCCATCGATATCTTTCTCCTTGTTGCAGGAATTTATGTATAGGTTGGGGGGGGGGGTTGTCCCTCCAGCAGATATCATGCGCATGCAGCCCACTACCAGAATCAGCACAATCACTTTTGTGACTTTTGTGATTTGTCCCCACAAAACACTTCATCACAGTTTCTTCCTATCTATTCAAAGGGCCTTTGCTGCAGGATACCAAATGTAAGAATTCACTGATAAATGTCTCTATGTACTGACTCACTGGGAAATTCCTATAGACATGTGAGCTCAGCTACTCAGCAGCCCCTCTGCCTGAGTGATAATCCCTGGCATCCTGATACCTGAGTGCCAGACAGGTAGCCATTCCAGAAAGAACAAACCCAGATGAAGACAAAAGGGTGTGATTAACTTGGCTGGGAAACGGGGAAATGTAAATATCTCTTTTGTTTCACTTGATGGGTGTTTGGTGGAGGGCAAGGAGAACCATGGGGCAGGGTCCAGGGTGCTCAGGTTACTGCCGCCAGACCTCCCCTTTCATGATGTACCCATGATGTATGAGTGATGTATTGGGGGGGGGGTAACATGGGGATTAGCAGCTAATAAAAGTTTGGCGGCTCTTTTGTTCAGGGCTTCCATCTTGTTTCACCTGGTGGCAGGTGGGAGTCCTGTGGCGACAGTCTTCAATCAAGACCAAGCCTACTGGCTGCTGTTTTTCTCTGGTATTCCTGGATGGTGTCCTTGTTTTTTGTCCGGGGGGGGGGGCCTCAGATTTCTCTGTTAACATCCTCCTGCACGAATTTCCCCAATCTCAGTTGCGATTGTGGGATGTGATACATAAGTAGCAGTCAAGTACAACATTCCTTGTTTTCCTAGAGTGGACATGCGAGGGAATGTTTGGTCCAGCCAGTCAGAACTTCCTGTTTCCTCCTGGCTTGGACATACTTCCTTTGCATGTGACTAGAGGTGGGCGTGACCTTACCTGTCCAGGTAACAAAAGGACAAGGCACGCAGCACACTCTCTCTTTTTGACTTCCTCCGTCGTTGGAGCAGTTTTTTTAGCTAGAGATGCTCTGTTGGCTTCCAGCCAACAGAGGACACTGGGATTATCCCCATATGGGATAGATCCACACCTATATACTTTGTAACCAAGTCTGCCTTCAGGGATCCAACTGTGAACTGATGATGTGAGTAAACTTCTTTTATATACCTTACACAAGATTGTGGCGTGTTTATTCTTTTAAGAGGAGACTTACCAGGCATCTAATATTGAGAGGCTTACACAAGCCTGCAACCAGTTATCTGCTGTGCATTTGAAAGAATGTAAAACTCTGCTAAGTTATAGAACTTGCTAGTGCAAGTTAGGAAGGATATTAATAAACAATACATCCTCTCCTGCCCCCCTGAACATTCCCACGAGGGAGAGTCAACATGATAGACGTTTATAAAGTAATGCATAGAGAAAGTGACTGGACTCAAGAAAGGCTTTCCTTCCTCTAGAGCTCGTTAGCATCCAACAAAGCTGAATTTTGGAAGATTCAGGAAAAGGAAGTCCATCTCCATGCAGCACATAGTTAAATGATGGAAGTCACAGGCGGCAATGAGAGTGTCCCCAACTTGGACGGCTTTGAAATAATATGCAAATTCATAGATTGATGTAATGGCATTGTGATGTGAGGTTTGGTTGTGCTGGCCCTGCATCTTTTACCAGTGGAAAATCACTGGGATGCTTTGCTAGAGCACTAACATTCCTTAGAGCACTCACATTCCTTTGCCAAGTGGCATCCGGGGCAAAGGGGTCGTGGGCTGGCAGAGAGAGAGAGAGGCTCCTGCCTCTGAAAGCAGTTGTTTGCCCAGCCTCTTTAGCGTTGGTAGAAAGCTAGGCAAACAAAGCAAGGCAATGGGAGACTTGGATCCTCAGATTTCCATCTTGGTGGCTCCCCAACACTTAAGAACATAGGAAGAGTCTGCTGGATCTGGCCAATGACCCATCTAGTCCAGCCTCCTGGTCTCACAGTGGCTGACCAGATGCCCTAGTAAGTTGAATTTGAGCAGAAGAGCACTCATGCCTCCTGTGGTCTCCAGGTTCTGGGATTCAGAAGCATTGCTGCCCCCAGCAGTGGAAATAGAGCATAGCTCCGGGAAAGCTGGATGTGTGAATTTGCAGAAGCCAGTTGTGCATAGCACTGCTTGCCCAGCACCTGTGAAGTCATGAATCTCCTGCCCAAGTTTTGCAACATGGACATTTGGACACAAATGGAATCCTTAATATTGTTATGAGTTTGGTGTTTGGGGGGGTCAGCCTGGATGATGCCCTAAGTCCATTCAAATTCTTGGGATCCCCTATCTGTAGGGGTATGTGAAGTTGCTCTGGCCCAGAGGTCAGCAAGGTTTTACCTGCCTGGTCCGGTCAAGTCCCATGGAGATCTCTCTGTGGGCTGGATCGCGTGCGTGATTTCCGGCGTCTGGGCGTGCGCAGACGTGATTTCCGGCACAGCGGAAGCGAATCCACATGCCACACCATGCCAGTTTAGCACAGTGCGTGGGGACTTGCTGAGCAGGCAGCTGGGTTCGGGGGTGGCTTGTGGGCTGGTTAAACTGCCCCGTGGGCAGCTTGCGACCCATGGGCTGCAGGTTGCTGACCCCTGCTCTGGGCCATAGGATAAATGGGTGGGTCTTATCCCACTTTACCTAGCTGCTATGTAGAAGAATAGCTAGTAAAAGGAAGTTGAGAGCAGGCTGTAAGCCGCAGACACAGAGACCTTCTTACTCTCTGCTGGATCCAAGGCTGCTACTAATGGAGAAGGAAGATCGGGGGTGGGGGGTTAATGGTGTGAGCCCCTCCATCTTATTTGCAGATTGCATACATGTGTAAACCAAATCATACATCCTAAAGACACCACAGTCTCCACTGACCTCCATTCCTAGGAAACCAAACCTGGGTAAGTGCCTGGAACCCCTGGGGTCTCTCCCTGCTCAGAGACTGGGGTGGCACATAACAATATTTATCCAAGGCCCACCAGACTGAAGACAGCCAGCTGAATCAAGAGTTGGCATTGCAGGTTGCCAATTATACAGGGATGTATGGGGAGACGCCGAGCTTACCCAGCCAGAGAAAAAAGTCTGGTGAACACTGTTTTGATGCTATGTTTGCCATCGATCTTAAGGTAAAGGTAAAGGGACCCCTGACCATTAGGTCCAGTCGTGGCCGACTCTGGGGTTGTGTGCTCATCTCACTTTATTGGCCGAGGGAGCTGGCGTACAGCTTCCGGGTCAAATGGCCAGCATGACTAAGCCGCTTCTGGCGAACCAGAGCAGCGCACGGAAACGCCGTTTACCTTCCCCCCGGAGCGGTACCTATTGATCTACTTGCACTTTGACGTGCTTTCAAACTGCTAGGTTGGGACGCAGGTGGCGCTGCGGGTCAAACCACAGAGTTTAACCACTGCCGATCAGCAGGTTGGCTGTTCAAATCCCTGTGAACGGGGTGAGCTCCCGTTGCTCGGTCCCTGCTCCTGCCGTCAATCTTAGATCTCCTCTAAAGGATTCAGCTGGGGAAAAAGAGCCGGTCTTTCCTCTCTCCTCCCTCTCCTGCTTCCTAATGTCCCCCAGCAACCTCCGTGTCCCTTGTTGTTTTGCCAACGGCCAGTCGGTTAAGAAGACACCATTCAAATGAGCCATTTGCTGACAGGAATAAAAAACAAGCAACCCTCGGATTTCTCTCCTTTTAATTGCAAACTGTACAAAGAAAGAGTGCCAAATATTGCAAGAGCCTGGCCTCCTATTTACAATGTCCTCCTTCCCCCGTTCCTTGGGAAGGCTTTGGGGAGCACCTTCAGGCTCCAGCGCTGGAGCCAGCCAGCACTCCAAGCTTCTGGCTCAAAAGAAAGGGAACCAAGGAGTCAGTCGGGGTGGCAGCCCCTCACCTTTTGTTGGACGGATCTCCTGTCCCTCTTGTGGATGCAGGGCTAGACTGGGGGACCAATCCAAATCAGCAGCCACTCCCCTGTTGTTGCTTAGTCATTTAGTTGTGTCCGACTCTTCGTGACCCCCTGGACCAGAGCACGCCAGGCACTCCTGTCTTCCACTGCCTCCTGCAATTTGGTCAAACTCATGCTGGTAGCTTCAAGAACACTGTCCAACCACCTCGTCCTCTGTCATCCCCTTCTCCTTGTGCCCTCCATCTTTCCCAACATCAGGGTCTTTTCCAGGGAGTCTTCTCTTCTCACGAGGTGGCCAAAGTATTGGAGCCTCAGCTTCAGGATCTGTCCTTCCAGTGAGCACTCAGGGCTGATTTCCTTCAGAATGGATATGTCTGATCTTCTTGCAGTCCATGGGACTCTCAAGAGTCTCCTCCAGCACCAGAATTCAAAAGCATCAATTCTTCGGTGATCAGCCTTCTTTATGGTTCAGCTCTCACTTCTGTACATCACTACTGGGAAAACCATGGCTTTAACTATACGGACCTTTGTTGGCAAGGTGATGTCTCTGCTTTTTAAGATGCTGTCTAGGTTTGTCATTGCTTTTCTCCCACTCCCACTAAGAGGGCCCAATTCATTCTGGACTCCTGGGCATCTCCCAGGCTTGTGCCAGGGGACTCCTGGACAAGGCCCACGGCTCAACAAGGCCCCCCCCCCATATTCACTGCTTGAGTCAGCCTCATCTCCTTTCTGGGGGGCTCATCCTCCTGGAAAGGAGCCCGCAGGCACTGCAAAGGTGATCTTTCGCAGCCAGCGGCCAAGGGAGGTGGACATGCACAGACAGGTGTGCTTGTGCTGGCAGAGGTGGCTTCACTCACCGTGCGTCAAGAGCCCCATCATGACCTGCCCCAGCAACTAACCTTCTAACTGCGAGAGTCTTGAGAAAAGGAGAAGCGTGGCTGCCTAGAAACCTCACAGCGGAGTCTCCTACTTCTTCCCTGAAGATATCTAAAATCTACTCTTCCACGCACGGGATACCCTAGTAGTGCATACAGAGTGTGCTGCATTCGTAAAATTAGGAGGTCCCACGCCCAGCCTGCGGTTCTGAGAACAGGTTGGCTTAACCTCCCACTTCTAGGCAGTTGGGAGAGCAGATGAACGGGGAGAGAATGGCCTGTGGACCACTTATCCATTCAGGTCATGCTCTTTTGCTTGTTCTGCAAATGCACCTTGCTCCCATTCCACCAAATGCATCTACCCTCCAGGATTCCTCCTCCTCCTCCAGGTATTCCCTGCTGCTTCCAACACCTGAGGAAGCTCACTCCCCCCCGCATTCCTGCCCAGCCGCTAGACACTGTTTCGCCGCCGGCTGTTGATCATGGACACAATGTGATCCAAGTCTAGGCTCTTCATCATCACCTCCATGAACTCCTCGTCTTTCCTGGCGCCTTCGACGAACTCCTCCAGAGATAGCTCACCTGAGGGGCAGAGAAACAGGAGACAATGAGAGAAGGAGAAAACGGGCTTCCCCCTCCAGTCCATTTTCATTTTTTCTGGGAGGAGAGATAAAACTATGGAACTTGCTCCCACAACAGTCAGCGATGTCCACCAATCAACATGGATTTAAAAGAGAATGAGACAAATTTGTGGAGGAGAGGGCTATCGATGACTAGGCTCTGCCTCTAAAATGCTTCTGAATACAGTGGGACCTTGGTTCTCAAACACCTTGGTACTCAAACGCCAAAAACCTGGAAGTAAGTGTTCCAGTTTTCAAACGTTTTTCGGAAGCCGAGCGTCTGATGCGGCTGTCGGCTATTGTTTCCGGGGTGCCTGCACCAAACAGAAGCTGCGCCTTGGTTTTCAAACATTTTGGAAGTCAAACGGACTTCTGGAAAGGATTAAGTTTGACACTTTTGTTTTTGCTATTTAATTTGCTTTTTTGTTTTTGAGGCTTTTCGATTAATTTGTTTTTGTGACTGTGTGGAACCCAGTTCAGCTACTGATTGATTGATTGTGTGACTGCAGAAATGGATAAAAGCCCTCCATCCAAACAATGACTATCATCAGTGCAGGCAAGAAAAAAAATTAATTTAATTTTTTATCATCTACAATACTGTCTTATTTATTTTATAGTACAATACACTGAGCAGTTCGAAAGCATGTCAAAGTGCAAGTAGATAAATAGGTACCACTCCGGCGGGAAGGTAAACGGCGTTTCCGTGCGCTGCTCTGGTTCGTCAGAAGCGGCTTAGTCATGCTGGCCACATGACCCGGAAGCTGTATGCCGGCTCTCTCGGCCTATAGAGTGAGATGAGTGCCACAACCCCAGAGTCGTTCGCGACTGGACCTAATGGTCAGGGGTCCCTTTATCTTTACAATCCATTGATTATTGCTTTCATTTTATGGATCAGTGGTCTCATAATTGTTAGATAGTAAAATTCATGTTAAATTCATGTTTGAGGGGTTGTTTTTAGAAGTCTGGAATGGATTAATCCGTTTTGCATTACTTTCTATGGGAAAGCGCGCCTTGGTTTTGGAATGCTTTGGTTTTGGAACGGACTTCCAGAACGGATTAATTTTGAGAACCAAGGGACCACTGTACCAGTTGCTGGAAATCCCAGGAAGGAAGAGGCCTCTTGTGCTCCAATCCTGCTTGCTGGTTCCCCACTTAGGCACCTTGGCCACTGAGAGAACAGGATGCTGGAGTAGGTGGGCCATTGGCCTGATCCATTAGGCTCTTCCTATGTTTTCAAGTATCTGGGACCTTCTACATGCAAAGCGAGTGCTCTACTCGCTGAGCCACAGCCCTTCCAGATCTGGTTGCAGCAAACTCAGTAAAGTAACTATGCATCATTCTTCCTTGCAACTCTACGCTGCAGAGCTCTGGATCAGGGAAGGTTATCTTTGTTTTGCTGCATGACCTTTTCAGGGATGCTCCTGAGAGCTCCGGATTTGCAAGGCTGTTGGAGCAGCCTTCTTGCAAAGTCTTCACTTTGGCCTAGCAAGCTACGCTTTGAGTCAGCTCCCCTGAACTCCCAGCCAGGAGTTGTTTAGGTGGTACTGCCTTGTCACTCTGTCCTGTCAACTGAACTTTAGCCAGAACTCAACCGAGAAAACGTGGGTTACTGGTTAAAATACGGTTCAGCATTTTCAAAACCCAGTAGAGCAAGAAACTAGATCACTGTGATCTGAGCCTCACAGCAAAACAAAAACCTAGAGAAGATGAATTCCCCAACCTGGTGCCCTCAAGATGTTTTGGACCAATTTAGTGGTTTCCAAACTGGATGGTACAGTCCCCTGGGAGGCAGTGGGTGCTGCGCTTGTAAATGACTATCAGACTTTGAACAGCTGGTATCTCTAGCTCAAGTTCATCAATTCTGTTGAAAATTAAACTAAATAGTTTTTATTGGATTTTGAGTAAATGTACAATTAATTGTTACAGTTTTGCATTTTATTGTGTTATTTACTTTCCACGGTGGGTTGTGCAAACCTCTATTCTGAATAATGTTGTTTTTTTAAATAGGGTAAGAGGCATTGGGGATGAGTTTATTAAACCTTCCACTAACCCTGATTGACATGACCTATGGTCTGGGATTATGTGGGTTGCAGGACACCAGCTGATTTAGACTCTTATCCTCTAACAAGTGCATGTAACAAAACCTTTAAAAAAAAGAAAAATGAAGAAGTACTGAGCAGAGAAGCTGTGATTCCTGCACTTCAGGGGGTTGGACTAGATGACTCTGGGTGCCTCTTCCATGACTCTATGAAAACATGCTCTTCCTCCTTTTCTTCCTGCCTCTTGTCCTCAGTGCTAATCTCTCTTCCAAAAAGAGTTTTCCTCTCCACAGAGTCCCAGATGTTCTCAGGGCCCAGTTATGGGTATTTGTGTATAATGTGTAGTTCGCCCATCGCTGCCAGCTGGATGTGGGATAGGTGAGAGGGTTGCCTTCTATTCTGAGGCCCATGTGGTGAAGGGAGGAGGGCCCTGTTCAGGGTTGGGGAGGGTGTCTGTGTAATGGGTTCAAGCTCTGCTCTTTTTGGCCCAGAGTTTGGAACCTGCAGAGTTCTAGGCAGCAAAGTTCGCAACGGACTGCGGAACCAGGGTGGGCCTGGGGAAGGGCTTCAGAGCCAGCGGAGAGGGTCTCGGGGGAGGGGGGTCTCACCATCGCCGTTGACATCAATCCTGTTGAAGACACGGTTGGTGAATTCCTCTGCGCTCGTCTCGTGGTCACAGCCATTGATGGCACGGATTGCCTGAAACGGAAGAGTTTGGTGCTTATTTGGTTCAGTTCATAAACAACTGCTGCATAAAAATCATTGTTTACAATTGCTGTTTAATATTAGCAATTGCAACAGCTAATGTACAGAAACCCAGAATGAGTTGAGAATGTCCCCTGCCCCAGCAAAATGTCTCGTTAGTTAATTGCAACAGCAGCTGCAAACCTTGAGTTGCTCTGCTGCGTGTTTTAGGAACAATGCTATTTTGTGGGTTTTATACATTGCCTTAGTTTTGTTTTGCCTTCTTGGAATCCTCCCTGTGTCTTGTGCAAAGGTTAGAATAAAGGAAAAGGTAAAGGAACCCCTGACCATTAGGTCCAGTCGTGACCGACTCTGGGGTTGCGGCACTCATCTCGCTTTATTGGCCGAGGGAGCTGGCGTACAGCTTCCAGGTCATGTGGCCAGCATGACTAAGCCGCTTCTGGCGAACCAGAGCAGCGCATGGAAATGGGGTTTACCTTCGTGCCAGAGTGGGACCTATTTATCTACTTGCACTTTGACGTGCTTTTGAACTGCTAGGTTGGCAGGAGCTGGGACCGAGCAACGGGAGCTCATCCCGTCGCGGGGATTCGAACTGCCGACCTTCTGATCGGCAAGTCCTAGGCTCTGTGGTTTAACCCACAGCGCCACCCACATCCCTAAGGTTAGGATAGAAATCACCTAAATAAAACCATGGCTGTCGCCTTCGCTCATTACACCAGAACTTGTGGGCATTCAACGGAGCTGAATGTTGGAAAATTCAGGACTGATAGAAAATTCATGCATAGTTAAACTATGAAACTCGCTGCCTCAGGAGGCCCTGATGGCCACCAACTTGGATGAACGGGGAAGGGTTGGGCCAGAGCAAGGCACACAGACCCAACATACCTGCCTGAAGGAATCGGCGAGGATGTGGAGAAGCTCAACCCTCGCTTACAAGGTAAAATATACCAGTAAGATATTAACAGGTTGGGGAAGAAAACAAGAGTCAGGAGAGCTTTTAAAGGCCATTCCTCACAGCTTCTGCTCTGCCAGCAATGTGGGATCAAAAGAAAACATTTGTTTCCAAACTAAGCATAGGTTCCATATGAACCTACCCGGACCCTGATATCATCTTCTGAGGCCCTTTCTCGCGTCACTCCTCCACGAGAGGTCCGGAGGGTGGCAACACGAGAACGGGGCCTTCTCTGCAGTGGCTCCCTGTTTGTGGAATGCTCTCCCCAGGAAGGTTTGCCTGGTGCCTTCATTATACACCTTTAGACGCCAGGCAAAAATGTTCCTCTTTAACCAGGCCTTTGGCTGATTGACACCCAACGCCCTTTTAAAATGTGTTGTGGGAATAACACTTGTAGTTTAATGGTGAATTTTGGATATAATGTAAAAGATTTGGATTATTATAAAAGATGTAGGAGAAAATAATTAAATAACAGGAGCCACAAAGGGGAGGATGGAAGTTCTCTGGAACCTTGTCTTTATGTTGTGTGTTGTATGTTTGTGATTGTAAAATTTTAACTTGAAAAAGAAATAAATAAATTTATTAAAATAAAATGAGTTGTGGGAGGGGGTGTTATTGGGTTGTTCTCATTTTGATTATGTATTTTGGGCTTGTTTATTTTATTTTGCGTGTATAGGGCAGTGTGCAAATTTAATAAATAAAAATAGGAAAAAAATGAAAAATCAGGACATGGCTGTGAAGGGGAACCCTGGGTGGAGTTGGAAAAGGTTTGGAAAATGGCCAGCAAGATGAACAAGATGATGGGGCAACCAGAGGTGCAGCAGGGGGGGCTGGGGCTAGGGAAAGAAGCAGCCAACAAGGGAGGATTGAAGGCCACTTACAGTGGAGCCAGCCTCAAAGTTCTTGTATTAATTTACAATGCCTTGGACAACTTAGGGAGCTCTGGGGTCGCTTGAACCACCATATCCCAGCTCAGTTGCCAAGATAATTTGCAGGAGTGTCGCTGGAACATTCTCCAAGCCGTCAAGGCTCATTTGACAACAATGTAAGAACATAAGAAACACCTGTTAGATGAGGCCAAGGGTCCATATTGCCCAGCTTCCTGTTCTCACAGGGGCCAACCAGATGCCCTAATGGGAAACGCACGAGCAGGATTCGAACCCAAGAGCACTTTCTCTCCCTCCTGCGGTTTCCAGCCAATGACATTATAAAGCACCGCTGCCTCCAACTGTGAAGGTGAAGCAGAGCCATCACGGGCAGAACTCACCCCATGTGCTCTCCAAGAAACCAAGGGCTCATCCAACGTTTCCTGTTGCCCCGCTGCTTTCCCCTGGGGAAAACCACTCTTTAGTGTTCAATGGGACCAAACGGCACTTTGGGTTTTCTTTGGACTGACGTTTGCCCTGATTTAGCACCAAAGGTGGGGGCCACTAGGGGCGCATTGGAAGATGGCCGACAATACCATCTCTCCGACCCACACGGGGTAATTAAGAGGCTGTTATGGGAGTAGGCAGCCTCCCTTGTTGCCCCAAGGAAATGGGGAACACTGCCCTTGCCTGCTGTGCCCATAAATCACCCCCTAATTCGAAAGAAGGGGGTGAGGGCCCTAGGCAGAATGCCCCCGTGTGGACCTTGGCTCTCCTGGACACTGTCTCTGAACGTGCACTAGCTGCAGCAATTTGGAATAATTAATTACAAAAGAAGCAAATGCACATATTTCAAGTGAAGAAGGGGAGTGAAGTCTGCTAATTTAAGTGACCTCTGCGAAAGAAGATGACGGGTTGGAGAAACAGGAATATTTTACGATGAAGATACACCAAAGGGTGGGTATGCTGACAACGGGACTGAATGGGGGGGGGACCTTTTTTACTTTCCTTCTATGTGATTTACAAGAACCCCTCCTCATTAGAATCGTCGGTTGAACTGACCCAAGCAGGATGATTAAGGTCTGTGTGGAGATAAACTTTAACCAAAAGTATGCTTTATGGAGATCGAGAAGCAATAAGAGCTTTTGGAATGGCGCAGCAATTAATTCGGAGTCGCCATCTTGCCAAAGGATTTATAGCCGGGAGGAGGAACGGACTCATTTTCAGACTGCATTCCTGGTGAATCTCCTCAGAGGTTTTGAGAAAGGAGGCAGATTGGTGAAGATTAATGACACTAAGACTGTTTTGATGTATGGAAGTGATGTTATATGGAAAACGTCTGGACATGGCTACTGGATAAAAAAAATAATATCCACGCAGGATTACAAACTGTTCTAACCAGCTTGTGGAGACTATCAGAGGTCACAAAGAGAAAGGAAAAATATATGAAAATAACAAGAGAATTGGAAAAACAATAAGAAAGGACAGGATAGTACTGTGAACATCATAAGGTTAGATTTGTGGACATTAAAACAGCAGTAAGAAGCAAGAAGTTGATTGGATCTCCTTTGGAATTTGAAATATGGGTACCCCCAACAAAAATTTAAAATTCAGCTGTGTAATTTGGAATTTATGTAATTTGGTTTGATATGATGTGATTGGTCGGTTAATAAAAAATTATTCTTAAAAAAAAAAGATTTAGCACCAAAGAGCAGGTTTTCCCTGAGAAAATGGGTCGAGTGGAAAACTGCTTGGACCTGTGATTTCTAGACACGGGACAACCGGAGGTATGGACGAGGCCCAAATTTTTAGTTTCACCATCCCGGTCCTGCGGAACTCTCTGTGCCCAGAGATGCAGCAAGCGCCTTCTTGCCAACTTTCAAGCGCCTACTGAAAACTTTTCTATTCCGCCCGAATCCTATGCAGGCAGTAAAGGACTAATCTATACTTGTGAGTTATAACATTATAACTGCGATATAAAAAGATGACACCAGGCAGCGCTGTACAGCAGTCAATGTAAACTTGCATTGAGAGCTAGCTATATAATGTATTTTTTCTTAGCTTTTTTAAATAGATTAGAGTAGACTCAGCCCCAGACACCATGCTTCCACAATGGTTAACCAATGTCTGTTTTTAGCTCTTTTGTGGTTCTTATTGTATAGCTTTGTTTGCCTTGCTGTAAACTGCTTTGATATACAGTGGTACCTCAGGTTACATACGCTTCAGGTTACATACGCTTCAGGTTACAGACTCCGCTAACCCACAAATAGTACCTTGGGTTAAGAACTTTGCTTCAGGATGAGAACAGAAATCGTGCTCCGGCGGCATGGCGATAGCAGGAGGCCCCATTAGCTAAAGTGGTGCTTCAGGTTAAGAACAGTTTCAGGTTAAGTACGGACCTCCGGAATGAATTAAGTACTTAACCTGAGGTACCACTGTATTTTCTTATGGCACATTTTTATAAATAAATTAAAAATTAAGAGCCCTCTCCCGTCGCTGCTCACCAGCAACTACTATGGTTGGGATCAACCGCCTCTCTTTGGGGATGTGAGTTTTTAGCCTTTGAGCATGTGAAGGGGCAATGAGAAGAGTGTGCCTCTGAGACTGTGCAGAGCGGCACCTCCTTAGCCGCTCCAACATCCGGGATGAGGAAGTGGCTAACCTGCAGACACATTCTAAACTCTGGCAGAAATCAGCTCTGGCGCCCTTTGCAAGAAAACAGAGTTCCCCGTTACCTGGATGATATTGAGGAGCTCACTGCGGTCAATGCAGCCGTTTCCATCTACATCGTAGAGCTTGAAGTACCAGCGCAGCTTCTGCTCCATCTTTCCTCGCAGGATAAGGCTGAGGGCAGCCACGTACTCCATGAAGTCAATATGGCCATCCTGTGGAGGGGGAGCAGGGAAAAAGCAGAGGAAGTATTGAGGGCAGAAATAAGAAAACTAGGCAGGGAGAGCAGAGGCTGGTGCAAATTGTGACCTGGCTGGTTGACGCTGAAGATTGTTCAGATGTCAAGGAGATAAACAACTATCTGACTTTTAGAAGACACCTGAAGGCAGCCCTGTTTCGGGAAGTTTTTAATGTTTAATGTTTTATTGTGTTTTTAATATTCTGTTGGGAGTCGCCCAGAGTGGCTGGGGAAACCCAGCCAGATGGGTGGGGTATAAATAACAAATAATAGTAATAAATTATTATTATTGTTATTATTAATATACAGGAAAGTGGCAAGCATAGCATACACCCTACTGAACTCCTTGGAAAAAGGGTGGGATAGAAATGAAGCAAAGGCAGTCTTGCTTTTTTAACCACCTGAGTTGGAACATTGGAGAGGTCAGGGTTGCTGCCTTCCCCAGCCACAAGCACACAGAATTGAAGATGCACCTCTGGACTGTGTGCGCATGTGCTCTGGGACGGAGCTGATTCAGGTGTCCTTCAGAGACCCCCTCTTTCCAGTAGCTTCATCTAGTAGCTACTAGATTATGCAGAGATGACAAGACTGACATGGAAAATCAGAAAGATCGAAACTTCAGTTGAGATTGGGATACGGTAAATACAGATATTTATAAGAACACTGTAAACACTTGACCTCTTTGGCAGGCTTTAAATAACTCCTGCAATGTTACAAAGACTTTGGAAACGATGGAGAACTGAAATTTGGATGAACTACAATATGCAGTTGATATAGATATTTAAAGAATCCATGGAAAGGAGGAGGGAATTCCTAAGATTCTGTTATGGAAATGACGGAGGGGGGCACATCTTTAAAGTTGTTACAGTGATATATATGCCTGGGTGTATCCTTTTGACTTGACAGCTCAGGGAAGATACCTAGCTTTATAAATTCATATAAAACCAGTAGTTTGACCAATTCCTCCATTTCTCTCTTTCCACTTGGACGCTGGAGATGGTTGCAGCCTGCGATGTCCAGCCCTTGTCTAGGGGAAGGCACTCCAGCCTCCTGCTGTCTTCTCATCTCTTGTCTCCCCCACCCCTCCGGTTTAATCCTCTTTGTTCTCGGGTGAACACATCCAGTTCCTTCAGCCTGCCTTTGTAAGACAGCTTTACACAGCTGAGGTTGGGTGGGTGGTTCGCACGCAGGGGAGATTTCCAGAAGCCAAAGCAAGCACCTGTGACCTGTGAGCCGAGCTCAGAGAGCTTTAAGCCGTTGTGAGGGGCCAGCAAGAGCTGTAGTCCAAAAGGTCTGGGGGGCACCAGTTGGAGAAGGCTGGGTTAGGCATTACAGATTGTGCTACCCAGAGATCTGGAGTCCTCATTCTCGCACTGTGCATTTTAACCAAATCAGTGGACAACAGGGGTGTCTTAGAGAGCTGGGCAGGAAAAGACCAGGGTCTTCCTGGCTTGCCTTTTATTCTTCTCTTCCTTTCAGGAAGCTCAAGGAAATTTGCACAAGTCTCCCAGTGGATGTCCCATCCAGGCACAGATGAGATTCTCACCTCCTTGTTACTTTCTCCTAAGATTCTCATGCTGCCTCCTGTTCCGCTCAGACCTAATCTTTCTACAGAGGAGGGATTTGGGGTGACAACACCCCAAGTTCCTTTCTGCTGCATTTTGCTTTTAAAGCACTTAAAAACAAAATAAGAAACCAAAGCAGCTAAGTTGTGTTCATGAACTTGGTACTAATTTTTGATCGCTCACAGCTGGGTTTTCTTTTTCACCCATAGCGCGGGATGGAATTTGCAACTTGTGTTACAGGTAACGCATACAGAAATTCAACCGGAGGATCAGCACAAAGAAGATGAGTTATCTATATCTATTTGCAATTGTACCTCTATCTGTTATCCTCCCGTAATGAAATATCTATAGCCACATTTCATTAAAAGTGTGAAAATGTGGTATACAGCACACAATGTTATAATAGGAAAAATAAAAAAGCATCTACACCTTATCCCTCATATGATGCTGACCAAATTCACCAACGTTTAAAAAATCAAAGACAAAACTGCTCTAGCGAATGCAAGGAAGTACTGGTGATGTTACGGGAGCTAGCCAATCGGCGCCTGCTACATTCTTTTCACCATTCCGAAAGTTGTTTCCAAAGTATGCTCCGGTGTGTGTGTGTGAAGAACCGCTTGCACAGTTCTGGGGGTGTCCTTGAGCTGCTTCTGCTACTCTTAAAATGTCACCGCTACCTCCAGAGTTGCTTTGGTGGCCACCACAGCTAGTTCATTGGCTTTGGAAAACTGGTGCAGCTGAACCCAGCAGCCTTGGCCTACCTTGTTCATATCGAAGGTGTGGAACATCTGCTCAATGTATTGGTTGGCCTCTGGGTCCAGGCCTCGGAGTCCAAAGAAGTGCTTGAATTCATGCTCCGTCAGCTGCCCAGAGGGACACTCCGTCATGAACTTCTTGTACCAGTGGTGAATCTCCAAGGTCTGCAGGTCATCCAGTGTCCTGCTGCCATTGCTTCCCATTCTGTGTAGAGGTGGACCACGGGGAGACCCTCAGCAGCAGCAGAAGCCGCCCTCTCCCACTTGTGGTTGCTACAGGACCGGCTCCTGGCTCCCTTCTGTTTTCACAATAGACATCCAAATCATGTTAAGCAGCACTGGGGGAGATCTTTCCAAGCCAATTATAGCCTTCTAATCTGATCTCAGACCCATTTAGAAGCCTTTAAAGCTTCAACGATATGCACGGAACGGAATGGAAAGAACGGGGAAGAATAATCCAGGAAAAGGTTGCTATTACGGGAGCTTAATCAGAAAAGGTGAAGGGGTTAATCAGATATTTGTACCAAAAATTGACCAGAGGCTGACCTCTTCTTCCTTTCTTGCATTGCTTCTTTTTACACACCATCTGAATTTTCAGACATTGGAGATCCACCCTTTCTACAAGTTGTTCATGATTGTGTCTTACTAATGGAGCATGAATTCAAGCATTTCTTTGGACCTGGCAGTCATGCAAGCAATGCTTTATTTCTGTTTGAATCCCAAGGCTGTGGCTATGGGAGAAACAAGACACTTCTGGGGTGTTAATGCTCCCTTGTAGACTCAGGTTGTATATATGTGTAAATGAACCATACATCATAAAGACACCAGTCTCTGCTGTGCCTCATTCCAAAAGAAAACACAAACCCTAGGGGGAAGCGCCTGGAACACTAGGAGTGCCACACTGCTAAGAGATTGGGGTGGCGTGCAACACTGGCGTCAGAAGTGGAATTCAAGTTTCCCAGAGGAGGACCTATGATCAAAGTGTTCCTGAGCCGGGTATATATCAGCCCTTAGCTATAACCTGCCTACCATGCAGAATATGAGCTATCTCATATTCTCATACCTCTATCTGTTATTACTTGTACGTTGAAATATTTCTAGACCACACTTTTGTATAAAAAGGCGGCATACAACACACAAAATGAGAATAAGATAAATAAAAGGCAATTTAAAACATTTGTGGGCATTTATACCTCATCCACCATCCTATGCTCACCAAATTCACCTTTTAAAAATCAGTGACAAAACTGCTCTAGCAAGTGCAGGGAGGTATTGATGTTATGGGAGCTAGCCAATCAGCACCTGCTACATTCTTTTCACCATTCCGAACGGTGTTTCCAAAGTATGCTCCTGGGGGGCGGGGGGAAGGAAGAACCGCTTGCACAGTTCTGGGGGTGTCCTTGAGCTGCTTCTGCTACTCTTAAAATGTCACCGCTACTTTGGTGGCCACCACAGCTAGTTCATTGGCTTTGGAAAACTGGCGCAGCTGAGCCCAGCAGCCTTGGCCTACCTTGTTCATATCGAAGGTGTGGAACATCTGCTCAATGTATTGGTTGGCCTCTGGGTCCAGGCCTCGAAGTCCAAAGAAATGCTTGAATTCATGCTCCGTCAGCTGCCCAGAGGGACACTCCGTCATGAACTTCTTGTACCAGTGGTGAATCTCCAAGGTCTGCAGGTCATCCAGTGTCCTGCTGCTATTGCTTCCCATTCTGTGTGGAGGTGGACCACGGGGAGACCCTCAGCAGCAGCAGCCGCCCTCTCCCACTTGTGGTTGCTACAGGACCAGCTCCTGGCTCCCTTCTGTTTTCACAATAGACATCCAAATCATGTTAAGCAGCACTGGGGGAGATCTTTCCAAGCCAATTATAGCCTTCTAATCTGATCTCAGACCCATTTAGAAGCCTCTAAAGCTTCAACGATATGCACGGAACGGAAAGAAAAGAACGGGGAAGAATAATCCAAGAAACTGCTGCTATTACGGGAGCTAAAGGTGAGGGGGTTAAGCAGATATTTGCACCAAAAGATGATCAGAGGCTGATCTCTTCTTCCTTTCTTTTTACAGCCATTGCAATTCTCGGGACATTTTTTGGGGAGACATATGTTGGATGAAACAACTAACCTCCAGGGTCCTCCAATTATGATGAACATGCCAGCAAGATCATTGATGTCTTATAGTAACATGGAGTCTTCACATGGGAGCAAAGCATTTTGAGATCTATGCCCCAGACTCTGCGTGCATTCTGACAATTTCTGGAAGATTTTGCTAGAAGAGACCCCCTGATAATAATTTTTAAAGGGTTTTGATAAAACAAAAGTTGCCGCAGGCCTGTGGCTCGCCCACCCACCCTGTCCGTAAAAGGTATTGCAGGAAATGTTATCTGAAACATATTATTATTATTATTATTGTTGTTGTTGTTATTATTTGTGGGTGGGTGGACTGGCTGGATCCATGGGAGGAACCCAGCTGGGAAGCCCCCAAGGGAAGGAGGCTCTGATCCCAGGAAGGGGTGGTGGGACAACGATGAGGGACCAGAGGGAGAGCAGTGGGGGGAGAAGGAAGTGTTGGAATGTGAAGAGGCTACAAGGCTTAGTAAGCAGGGAGAGTCGGTGGCAGAGAGAAGTCCAGAATAATAGGCAGAAGCGGAAGCAGGAGAGGAGAGGGACCAAGAGGCAGACAGGAATCGCAAGACCAAATTACTCTCGAAAATGTATAAATTCTTATTAGAATGGAATACAATAGATGAATTGATAAAAGAGGCTATGGCAAAATGGGCAATAGACTTTGGGTATAATGTAGAATATGATGCATGGATCAAACTCTGGAATGAAAATTTACTGCATGCTGTACTTTAAAAGAGAATGTAATGGAAATGGTCTATCGCTGGTATCTTATTCCTACCAAACTAGCAAAAATGTATAGGACGAGTAGTAAAATATGTTGGAAATGTAAAGAAAAGGACGGTGATTTTTACCACATGTGGACATGTTTTGGGAATTGATCTATAATGAATTGAAAAAGATGTTTAAATATACTTTCCCAAAAAAGCCTGAAGAACTATTGCTAGGTTTGATAGGAGAGGATATTAAGAAGATATTAAGAAGACGGACCAAAGAGAGGATATTAAGAAGACAGACCAAAGACTATATATGTATGCTACGACAGCAGCCAGAGTTTTGATAGCCCAAAAGTGGAAAACACAGGAAATACCGACTGTAAAGGAGTGGCAGACAAAGTTGGTCGAGTACGCGGAACTAGCAAAACTGACACATAGGATTCGCAGTCAGGAGGAAACAAAGTACCAAAAAGAATGGAGTAAATTTATGGTCTATATAAGTGAGAACTGTAGAAATTTGAAGACGTTAGCAGGACTGAAATAAATCTCATGTCATGGTTTAGTCTTTTACTAATGAAACTGTGAATTAAGGATTGGAATAAGAAAACCTGGGAAAGGGAAGGAGGGAAGTCAACGGCTCTATGGAGCATAAAGTAAGATAGATGTAAAAAGACTTGATATATTTGTTTGTTGGTGTTGGTGTATTTAAAATGAAAACTTAATAAAAAGCATATTTTTTTTAAAAAAGAGGCAGTCAGGAACAAGCTCCCCTCCGGCTTGGTCTTCCAGAACCAGGGGAGGCATGAAGAGGGCGGAGGAGAGGTGAGCTCTCAGGAAGGGGCAGCCTCCGATTGCTTGGGGGAAATTGCCCTGGAGAGGAAGAGACTTGTGGGAAGACAGGGATCTTCAGCCTCAGCAACTGACGACAGAGGGGGGAGAGGGGGCAGCTGGGGAAAAACCCAAACACATGTCAGTTCCTATTTGTTAATTTCACTCTCCACCACCAATAAAGAAACCTTTGCTAAAAAAAACCCAAAAACCCTTCCCGATCAATAAGCCTGCCAAAAATGCTGTGTAATTAATTTTTTTAATATAATTTTTTATTAGTTTTTTTTAGCATATCATTTTCAACAGTAATTAAACATACTTTTACATCTTATTCAAATTTTTGACTTCCGTCAATCCTGTCTGAAAATTTTCCAATCTAATCTCTCAGTATGCATTTCTTATCTTCCCTAGTACATTTCAAACTCATAACCAATATCTCTATCTTTTTCTGCTTTGTAACACTTTGTATATTTCTCCTTACAAAACTTCTTGTAGTCCTACTAGCGTAATTTGTTGGTTACAGTTGCTCTTCAAATAATTCATATACTTCTTCCAATCTCCGGATCCACAGGTTTCGAATCCTTCCTGTCATTTTGCCCAATTCTGCATAGTCCATTAATTTCGTCTGCCGTTCTTCTTTCGTCAGAATTTCTTCTTGTTTCCATTTCTGGGCTAACAATACTCTTGCCGCAGTGTAAAATGCTGTGTAATTTATTAGTTAATTGCTGTTAATTATTAACTGCCCTGGGACCCTGAGGGATGAAAGGTGATTTAAAGGTAAAGGTAATAAAAACAAAAGAATAATAATAAATCAACAGCAACAACAATTTTGATATGACGATAAGAAAATATTATTATTATTATTGGTTAATTAATGGAATTTGAGTATAAATTTCACTTCAGAAATGGGCTCCTCCTCTCAATTTCTTTTTAATTCTACCTCATTAATATTAAGCGCATAATAAACTGCAGGCCCTGACATATTAACATAAATTACCATATGCAAAACCATTTCCCCGCCCCTCGGAGGGGGCGTGGCTTCCTCGCGGGAAGTTTCCGGAGTAAAGCGGCGCCTGGAAAGACAGCCTCCGTCGCCCGCCCGCCCGCCCTGATTGGCCTCCAACATCAGACCCGCCTCCGCAGCGCGGCCGCTGATTGGTTCCCTGCGCCGGTGAGAGGTGGAGACCTCGCTTCCTGATTGGCTCCTTGCGTTTTGTTTTCGCGCGGCTCGCTTTGTGGGAAAGAGAGGGAGGAGAGAGAATCCCGCCCTGCTGATTGGCGGACGCGCAGGTGGCGCGACGCGGCTACGCCGGCCGAGGCGTCACCCCGGCAACGGCCCAAGCCCTGCGCTGCGGTTGGAAGGGCGCTCCGTCCGTCTAGGAGCTGCGCGGGTTCTGATTGGACGAGAGGCGGGAGCTTGAAGGGAGCAACCCGGAAGCGCCGAGGGGGCAGAGACCAGGGCACTTCCGGTGCTGATGTGGCCGGAACCCGGAGAGGACGCGGGCTGAGGAGAAGAGCGGTGAGTCTGCTCCCGGGCCCGGCGAGGCAAGGCTGCCCCTCTCCGCCCGCCCGGAGGGAGCTCGGCGAGCCCTTAGGCTGCTCCTCCGGTGGGGGGGGGGAAGGGAGGCGCGCAGGCAGAAGTTCCACCGGTGTAGCTCAGCGGCCGTTGAACTTCGGCCTGCTGTGCGGCTGCTAAAACCGCAGGGTGCGGAGGCAGCAGCTCCTCTGTTGGAGGGAAGCAGGCAGAAGTCCAACAGGGGCAGCCTCAGGTCGGCCCAGGGATGGCTCAGCCGGTAGAGCTCAATCTCGGTGCGTGGCTCAAACAACCGGGGTGGGACTAGATGACCCTAGTGGTCCCTTCCAGCGCTACAGTTCTGTGGACCTCAGGCCAGCGTGGCTGCACTTGTTGAACCTCGGCCTGCTGAAGCTGGGAACGGAGGGGCAGCGGTGGGAAGCCACTCTCCGTGATCCCCCACCTTGGAGCTGCCTTCTCAAAAGTGCCCATGCAACTGTCCAGCCCGGCATGTCCCTCGCAGCAGATCCGTTCCTCTCTCCAGGCCAGGTTGCCATGAGCTCTGCATCTCTCTGCTCCTGTGTCTTTAACAGCGGCTTGGTCACCCTTCTCTCTGCTCCGCTTGCAGGTGTCTTCCCATCAAGCACAGGAAAGGCCTTACTGTTTGGGAGCTCCATTTGGGTCTCTGTTGCCTTGCACCCACCCTGCAGCCTCCTCTTCTCAGTCTCTGCCCCTTGGACTTCCCATAAGCTGGAAACTGTTGGTACCCTCCGCTTGTCTTGCAGCAAGATTTACGTATAATAATAATAATTTATTATTTATACCCCTCCCATCTGGCTGGGTTGCCCCAGCCACTCTGGGCGGCTTCCAACAAAATATTAAAATATAGTAGTCCATCAAACATTAAAAGCTTCCCTAAACAGGGCTGCCTTCAGATGTCTTCTAAAAGTCTGATAGTTGTTCTTCTAAGCTTAGGGTCCCACTCTCTTGGGGGCCCAAAATAAAACTAAAGAAAAAAACAAACCTGAATGTACATTTCCAAAATATAAGATGAAAAACAAATAAAATAAAACCTACATACAGCAACAGTGTTTTGTGTTGTGTAGGCTCCTAGGATGTAAGGAATGGGTCCCGCCTGCTCCCCAAAATATCACTGGTTTGCTCCTTTCTATATATAGGGTGCCTACATTCTGCATGGACTGGGTGCATGGCAACATGTGCAAATGGCTTGAGATACCTATTAGCACCATAAATTACCTTATAGCATATATTCCACACAAAAAACAGCCACAATTTCTTGTGGACAACGGACAGCTGCACATATAAAGGGCCTCATTACCTTCAGTAGCTTAGGGCCTCATCAAACCGAAATCCAGCTCTGCCGCCACCCCTGCAGGTGCTCTTTAAAGGCAGCCTCCTCTTCTCAGTGGACTTCCCAAAAGCTGGAAATTGTTGGTACCTTTCTGGTTCCAGTGCACCAGTTTGACAGCTCCCATGTGACTTGGGGTTGCTTTCACACTGCACGGCATTAGCCTGCCTCGCAAGTAATGCACAAATGAGCAAATGTGCCGGTTCGCTGAGAGAAAGTTGCAGCATCCCTCCCTCACCTGGAGCTAAGCCAGGAGTGAAACTAGCCATGAGCTGTAACTGGGGTTTACCACCCATGGTTCGTCTTAAGTCAAACCACAAAGCTGGGTTCACACTTCATGCAGACCCAAACCACGGCTTAGCCTCTGATAGCGTTGCAGCAGCAGTACCACGACCATCACTTCAGGAACCCGCACGTTTGCTTGCCTGCTCAAAGCCATGGCTTGGGTGAGCGTTACATGCAAACTGGGCAGCTACGTTTGAAACCAGGAAGTGGATAAAATGTTCCTTAGTTTGTAATCTTCCATTCTGTGCCCAGTGCAAATGGAGAGTGGGCTGTGGCTTCGGTTACTTTGACAAGCTGGAATTAAGCAAGGCATGTTTTGTTTTATTTACTTATAAAAATATAGAGCTCTGTTTCATTAAGAAAAAACTAAAAGCAGTTCACAACAGAAATAGATAAAACATGCAGTAAAACCTACTAAAGGGTTAAAAAACAGGCATCAGTTAACCAGTGTGGAAAGATGTATTCTTACTTATGCCCTTTTAAAAAGGTTGGTTTTTGGGGGGAGGGAGGGTGTTATTGGGTTGTTGTTTTTTTGATTATGTATATTGTGGTTTTATATTTTGATTTTATTCTGTGAACTGCCCTGAAACCTCGAGTATAGGGCAGCATATAAATTCAGTAAATAATAATAATACTTGCCTGCTGAATCTCTGTTGACAGAGTATTCCACAATACTGGGCGGGTGACACTAAAAGGCATGATTTCTCATTATCAAGTGATCTTTTCTTGATAACAAGGCATAAACATTATGGAAGAGCAGAAGCAGGTGCCTCAGGCTTATTACCTTAATTAACCTTCTGCAGAGGAGTTGCCCCAAGGAATCTGTCTGGGTTGCCGCTCACCTGGCCTGATGAATCACCCTCCCTGCTTACTTGACTGAAGGGCGGCTTTGCATAAGGCTCTGTGTTGGAAAACCACAGGTGTGCTGCCATGTGAGACAAAGAGGTATCTGATTCACCACCTCTAAGTGTAGCTTTCCTAGAGCGAAGTGCCGTAAAATGCAACATTTCCCAAGCATGCATTTGCTGTAATTCATACAACAGCCCAGTAAGGTCAGTCAGTATTAATATCCCCTTAATACAGGTAGCTGGGCAGTGATGTGGGGCAGAAAAGAAATCCCAGTGCTTGCTTTTTCTGTGGAAAATTTTCCAGTTTGTAAGTTCATTAGTAACAATCAATGAATGCTAATTTCAAATAAACGTTAGACAAGTTCGGCAGTTTCAAGGTTTTGTAGTAAAACTGATGTGCTATGTTAGACCACTCTCTAGGGCAGAGGTAGGCAACCTAAGGCCCGGGAGCCGGATGCGACCCAATCGCCTTCTCAATCCGGCCTGTGGACGGTCCGGGAATCAGTGTGTTTTTACATGAGTAGAATGTGCTTTTATTTAAAATGCATCTCTGGGTTATTTGTGGGGCATAGAAATTCGTTCATTCCCCCCCCCCCCCCAAAAAAAATATAGTCCGGTGCATCGAAAGGTCTGAGGGACAGTGGACTGGCCCATGGCTGAAAAAGGTTGCTGACCCCTGCTCTAGGGCTTCAGAACATTTCCTGGTGCAAATTTTACCCTATGCAAATCATCGTATTTTGCATAGGCAATTCTCTCCCCACTTCCCGAAAATCAGGTTAGGCTAAAGCTGAGAGGTCCTGGGTTGCCCAAGGCGGCGCTTGGTGAGTCTTGGCAGACTTGGACCAGAGACTCGCTGATTCACAGCACAGTTTCTTGGCCACACTCATGCCAGTGAAGTCAAACAGAATTAACAGCTTCTGAGAAAGTACTTGTTGCTCCCAATCTCAGCAGCCCCACCCAAAGCGCCCAAGGGAGTTGAGCAGGAAACTCTTATCGTCAATGTCCGGGTAGCCTTTGCTGACGTTCTGACTGGTGTTTCAGTGTCCCCTCTGCTTCCAACGAGTCAGTTGTGCCTGTCTGACCTGGGCGAGAACACCATTTGTTGGAAAGTCAGGAAACTGTTTTTATAAATAAAGGGTGAAGCAGCAGGAACAGGGAATCCCCTCCCTGCCACCGTTTAAAGGTACCTTCAAGTGGCGGTGGCGGTGGCGGTGGCAGGGTGTGTGTGTGTGTGTATGTGTAGCTGGGGCCTTCCAATGCTGTTGGATTGCTGGTTCCATCACCCCTGACCTTTCACAGTGGGTCTGATGGGAGCTAGATTCAGACAACGAAGGTTGTAAAGCCTGTCAGGGTATTTGGTTTTGATTCTGCAGCACTTGAAATGTCCATGTTTTGGCTGCTGTAGGGAAGCGGTGTGGGTGTTGAGAATGCAGGTGATGAGATGTGGGAATCTGTTCGCTCAAGGCCACTGCCTCTGCCCATCCTCCCTCTGCCTTGAGCAGTTTGGAGTTGCTGCGGGTGTGCTCTGCCTTTCAGGGTTTCTTGGTTCTGGTGCAGCAAGTTCAGGCTGGAAAGTCCGTCCTTGGAACATCCCAAGCGTAGTGTGCATTCCTCACTCACACATTCCTTCTTTAAAAATAATTTGTGGCCCATGGTTGACCAGAAAGGATAAATAAAAGGATTCGATTCCTTTTCAGCTTCTGCAAGCTTCCTAGCCTAGTTGCTTGGAGGTAATTCTCTAGGCTGCCGGGCAAGGGCCCATTTAGAAACCTGGGTGAGGAACAGATCTAAGGAAATGTCCTTTACCCCATCATCTGTGAGGCACATTCCTGATTTCTGTAACCCAGTGAAGTGAATTTCCGGCTTCTGACCAAGGCAAACACTTGGCCTGAGGTGGGCGGGTGTGTGTGTGTGTCATTCTGTTTCCACGGGGATGCTTCATCCTGGACAGCAGCAGATGGGGCAGTCCCTTATTCCATGCATGCTTGAGATGTCCGGATGCTCGATTCTGTGCGTGGCCTTGGGCAATAAGCAAGTTCTTCCCTGCCTCTTTTGGCTGTTGGTGCGACAGCATGGCGGAAGCACGTTCCCTGCGCAGCGACTGAACCTAGCCCCAAACCTTTCCCGTTTGTGTTTGTGCTGACATCCACTTTCTCCTCCTCCTTCTCTGTCCTGCAAGAGCTGGAGGCTCAAGATGCTGAGCCGCTTGTCGGGACTGGCCAACACTGTCCTGCAGGAGCTGTCAGGGGAAGGAGAGGCTGCGGAGGCTGCAGATCTGCCTGATGTAAGTAGCTTTTTCCCAGCCGAGGCCTGCTGCACAGTGGGTGTGGGGAAGGAAGAGTCCGCAGCGTGCATGTGCTTCTCCCGAGGTGCCAGCTGGGCTAGGAGGTCCTGGCTGCACACAGGCAGCCAAAAACAAGGAGGGCATTTGTGCTCAAAGCCTGTGCCTTTAATTGTCTTGGAAACAGGCAGAAGACAGCATAAATACTGGTGATGAGATGCCTGCATTGTGGGGGATTGGACCAGATGACCCTTAAAGTCCCTTTCCATGCAACAGTTCTGTGATTCTATAATGACCTGCGCCATACACACTAATTCTGTGAGAAGATGAGCTGTCACCTTCTGCACTGGCTCCTGGCTCCTCCATAGAGACCGTGGGGCATTCATTAGTAGATAAGCCTCAGCTCCAAAGCCACCAGTCCGGAGGATCCCCACCGCCAGCTGTGTTTTCAGTCCTGCAGTCCAAGCAGTATCACACCATTTAGAGCTGCTTCACACATGCACGTTCACTGCCTGCTTTCACACCCATTGTGTCCTTTAATTACCGATGGTCCACAGCTGAACACAGTGGTACCTCTGGATACAAACGGGATCTGTTCCGGAGCCCTGTTCGCATCCTGAAGTAAACGTAACACGCGTCTGCATGTGTGGGTCGCGTTTTGCCACTTCCGCGCATGCGCGTGATGTCATTTTGAGCATCTGCACATGCGCGAGTGGCAAAACCTGGAAGTAACGCGCTCTGTTACTTCTGGGTCGCCGCGGAGTGCAACCCGAAAATACTTAACCTGAAGCTACTTCAGCCCGAGGTATGACTGTATGTGAATAGCGTCCTCTCAGAAGTGTGCCAATTGCGGCAGCCCACAAGTTCTGTCTGTGGTGCTTGGTTTGGGATGGCTCATTCATAGATGCCATCACCTGGCGACCGCTGCATGAAGTGGACATCTTTGTGTGAAGCAGCCCTTGATTTCTCAAAGCTGTTTCTGATTACTGCCCTCCGGGACTCTCAGGGCAAATCCACACCATACGTTTAAAACACGTCCAATGCACATTTAAGCCCATGACTACCTCCCCTCCCCACTGCCCAAAAATCCCAAGAACTGTAGTGTGTTAAGGGTGCTGGGCATCACAGCTTGGTGAGGGGGAACTATAATTCCCAGAGTTCTTTGGGGAAGTCATGTGAGATGCCTATGGCAACATGAGAACAGGCCTTATCTGTGGTGGCTCCCCATTTGTGGAACGCTCTCCCCAGGAGGGCCCGCCTGGCATCTTCATTACATATCTTTAAGTGCCAGGTGAAAACATTTCTCTTCAACCAGGCCTTTGGCTGATTAAAGAGTGTATGGCTTTTTAAAAAACGTGTTTGGGTGGGGTTTTTTGGTATTATGTTATGTGTTTTGTGCTTTTATTCTGTAAACTGCCTTGTGATCTTTGGATGGAGGGCAGTATGTACATTTTATAAATAAAAATAATAATACGGTGCGGATCTTCCGCCGCCAGATGTTTAGTCCTAGGGATGAAGCCAGATGTTGGGTCCTTTGGCCATGGCGTTGTTACACAGAGTTCTTCTTGTTACCCCGCAGGGGCCGGTCCTGGAGCCCAGCCAGCAGAATGGGGAGGAGACGTCAGAGGACGTTCTGGAACGGCTGGGCCACATGGAGAGGCTGGTGGCGCAGCTGAAGGACCTGGTGCGCGAGAAGGATGCTCAGTTACGGCAGAAGGATGTCCTGCTACAGGTACCGTTCCTCTGTGGGAGGCGTCGCTGCTCAACTCTTCCCTAACTGGGAACCTTTTGTCTGCTGCGACGCTTAAAATCGCAAAACCGAGATGGGGGTCAGGAGGCCATTGAGCCCAGTCTCTTGCCCCACTGCAGGGCCTTGGCTCACGTCAGCCTTTGAACATGCTGTCATTCCTGTATATAAAAATTCCCTCCTCTAGGAAGAAAAGCAGGCTGCGGAAGCCAAGCTGCGGAAGCTGAAACTGCAGGCCAAAGCTAAGCTGGCATCTCAGAGCAAGCGCCTCGAGCAACTTTCAGAACAGGGAGCAGCATCTCCCGCAACGGACCCTCTTTCTTCCACAAAGGTGAGACTAGCCAGCCTCCTGGTCCATAATGTTTACTCTCCTTTCCATACGGCACACCTTTTTATTTCTGGACCTCACCTGCCCTCTGTGCTCTCAGAAGCCGTTCTTTGCCCTGGGAAGTAGCTCAGCCACACAGCCGGTTGCTGAAACACTTTTGTCCCTATTCGCTGCTTGTGTCTCTTGTCTGCTAAGCCGCGGCGGACGCTTGTGAGCTGCATGGACCTGAGATCCTCCCACATTGCCATGAAGTCCTTGCTTAGGTCCCCTCTGGCTTCTGATGTGCCTCCCCAGGTACCTCTCAACAAACTCCTCACCCCAGCAGTGAGGACTGGTAGCGTGCCTCTTTTCACATCTTGAAAGCTTTAGCTACAAGATTAAATTACGAAGAGCCCAGGGAAAACCCATGTTAGTGTCCTTTTTTAAAAAAAATATTTTTATTAATTTTCCAATAAAAAACATCCAGTTAACATATCCAATTAAAACAAAAAACTAAAATAAAAAAAGACCAAGTTATAATCCAAATTGTATTTGTTGATTTTTCGGGGCTCCGCATAGTCTGGACCTCTGAAGCATATCTTCAAATCTCAGTCCTGCCTCTCCTCGTTGTTTCCATATCTTCCACATCCCAATTTTAACGCTTTAAAGTTCTCCGTCCCTGGCTCTACGATTCTCAATCATGTCAGATATCATATATCCTTTCAAAGCCATGTTTGTGTTCTAATAAAGCTAATGCGTTAAAAAATACTCAGAAGTGTTTGGCCAGTGGGTTGACCGAACCTCCTCTTTCCCAGTCAGAAGTATGCTGTTCACAGATCACTCCCTTTCAGTAACTCGCTGCCTCCTTTTCAGAGTGACCAAGGGACGCGTGATGAGCGGGAAGAGGAGACCGAGCTTCTGCAAAGGCGGTGTCGGGAGCTGCAGGAAGAGCTGGAGGCAAAAACAAGAAGCCTGGAGGAAGCACAGGCCCAGGTAGGGAGGAAACAACAACAACAACAACAACAACAACAATAATTATTTATACCCTGCCCACTCTGGGTGGCTCCCAACAGAATATTAAAAACCACGATAAAACGTCAAACATCAGGAGGAGGTTGTGGAGGCTTTTTGCGGTATCTTAGTTGCTTCTTTTGGCATTCTGGGACTCATTTGAGCAAGGGCAGAACTTGGAATTGTGGCATAGAGGTTAGAGAGTTGGGCCAGGACCTAAGAGACCAGGGTACAAATCCCATGAAGCTCAACGCGTCGCCTTGGGAGTCTGTCGCTTCCTCTCAGCCTAACCTACCTCACAAGGTTGCTGTGGGGGTTAAATGAGGGGGAGAACCACGTACGCCACCTTGAACTCCTTGCAGAAAAAGGTGAGATGTAAATGCAATAAATAAATAAATGGAACTCTCTGTACGTTGAGTTGGGTCGTGGCCACCTCCTGCCACTTGCTTCTCGGCAGCTTATTCTGAGATGCGTTCAAAGGTAATGCCTCAGCGCATTGAACAGCACAGACATAAGGAGATACTTCTTCAAATGGCACATAGTTTAACTATTGAACTCCCATCTGCAGGAGGCGATGGTGGTCATCAACTTGGATGACTGTTGGAGAGGATTCGGCGATTCGAATCCCCGTGACGGGGTGAGCTCCCGTTGCTCGGTCCCTGCTCCTGCCAACCTAGCATTTCGAAAGCATGTCAGAGTGCAAGTAGATAAATAGGTACCACTCCGGCGGGAAGGTAAATGGTGTTTCCATGCACTCTGGTTTCCGTCACGGTGTCCCTTTGCGCCAGAAGCGGTTTAGTGATGCTGGCCACATGACCTGGAAAGCTGCCTGCGGACAAACGCCGGCTCCCTTGGCCTGAAAGCGAAACAAGCACCGCAACCCCAGAGTCGTTCGCGACTGGACTTTACTGTCCAGGGGTCCTTTACCTTTACCTTAACCTTAGGCCACGTCAAAGTGCAAGTAGATAAATAGGTACCTCTCTGGCGGGAAGGTAAACGGCGTTTCCGTGCGCTGCTCTGGTTTGCCAGAAACAGCTTAGTCATGCTGGCCACATGACCAGCTCCCTCGGCCAATAAAGTGAGATGAGCGCCGCAACCCCAGAGTCGGCCACGACTGGGCCTAACGGTCAGGAGTCCCTTTACCTTTTCTAGCTACAAAGGCTATGTTCACTGTTGGAGGGAGTTTGCCTCTGAACGCCAGTTTCCGAGGGATCACAAGCAGGGAGGATAATTTTGTGGCCTGATCATTTTCAGGTCCTGTCTGTGGGCTTCCCATAGACAGGTTGCTGGACTTGATTTAAAATACTAATATGAGTTTCTTCGCTCCTTGAAAATCCTTTTTGACTCCCAAGGCACAGGGCATTCCTGCTAGCAGCTTTTTAACTAGTGTATTCTCTTGGCAGCTCAGTGCTCTGCAAGAGGAGGTTCAGAAGAAGGACTCTCTCCTCAAGGAACAGGCCCACCGGCACCAGGCTGAATTGCACCAGCTAGCCGCCCGTTCGGACCTGGAAGCAGAAATGCAGCAGGTGTGTTGGCAGAGGTTTGGGGGTGAGGGGTGAGATACATGCTCCAATCTGGGCCAGTAAAAGGGATTGGAGGGCTCAGACAAGGAGAGCTAGAGACAAAGAAGCCCGCAAGTGAAAGGTCCGTGCTGTGATCTCTGGATTTGTGCCTCTGAGCCTGGCAAAACTGGTGTTCTCTCTGTCTCAGAACCTGCGGCTGTTGCAACGCAAGCTGGAGGAGCAGGAGGCAGCCTTGCTGGGGCGAACGCAGGTGGTGGAATTGTTGCAGCAGGAGCTGAACATTACTGAAGAGCAGAAACAGGTACTCACATTCAGGACGATAAGAGCTGGAAGGGGCCAGAAGCTTCCACTCCCTTTGCTGCAAAACAGGACTGACCACCCATCAACTCTTCCCATCCTTTGGCTGTTGGCGGCTGGTACCACTAAACCTGGAGCCCAGTGTGTGACAAGCTGTGTTGCAGCACGTTCTGGCCCAGGGATCAGCAAACTTTTTCAGCAGGGGGCCGGTCCACTGTCCCTCAGACCTTGTGGGGGGGCCGGGCTATTTTTTTGGGGGTGGGGAATGAACAAATTCCTATGCCCCACAAATAACCCAGAGATGCATTTTAAATAAAAGAAACACATTCTACTCATGTAAAAACACCAGGCAGGCCCCACAAATAACCCAGAGATGCATTTTAAATAAAAAGGCACATTCTACTCATGTAAAAACACCCTGATTCTGCGGGCCAGATTGAGAAGGCGATTGGGCCGGATCCGGCCCCCGGGCCTTAGTTTGTCTACCCATGTTCTAGCCAGTTGTCCACAGAGCAAATACCATATTTTCTGTGTATAACACTCCTATTTTTTTGGGAGGGGATTGAGCAGAGTTGTTGAGCTTTTTGCGGGGGGGGGGGCACCGCCGCAACTCACTCTGCAGCCACCTCCATCGATCGTTTGAACGCACACCGCCAACAACCTGCATGCACACTAGATGCAACCGCAGCTGATTGCATGCACACCTCGCCACTACCGTAAATAGAATGCACAATTACCACAGCCAGTCATCAGCAGGCCTTGCCACAGCAACCAATCACACGCCCATCCGGCGCTGCCAGTTTCCTCCTGGCTGCTGCCACCAATCTCACGTCCTCCCTCTGCTATCCGTGTATAAGACGGCCCACAATTTTTGCCTGTTGTTTCTAAGGAAAACATTGTATACACGGGAAAATACGGTAGTCACAGCATATCAGCATTTCAGGGAAGTCACATACATCAGCGTAAAGGAGGAGACTTCTCCCCTCCAAGACTCCAGGGGGAGAATTCTCTATAGACTGTTGACAATGTCTCTGTGACATTTAATTCTGCAGTACAATACAATCGCATCTTACTACAGTGGTACCTCGGTTCTCAAACGTCTCCGTTGACGAATGTTTCGGAACCCGACTGCCAAAAACATGGTAGTAAATGCTTCCGTTTTTGAACAGCTTCTGCTGCGTGTTTTTCAATTTTCTCAGTGGAATTCGCCGGTTGCCCTTTGTGCCTCGGTTTTCGAACGTTTCGGAAGTCGAACGGTCTTCTGAAATGGATAACGTTCAAGAACCGAGGTACCAATGTATTATTATTCAATTTTTATGCCATCCTCCGTCTGTAGGTCTCAGGGCAGTTCATAGCATAAAAATACAAGATGAAACACAAAATGCACAACAACAAATCCACAAACCAATAGCTCCCCTTCCACAAACATATTGAAAAGGATATAGGATGTCAAACAGCCAAAGGCCTGATTAAAGAGGAACTTCTTTGCCTGGAGCCTAAAGGTGCATAATGAAGGCAACAGGTGAACATCCTAGGGGAGAGCATTCCACAAACGGGGAGCCATTGCAGAAAAGGCCCTGTTCTTGTGTTGCCAGCCTCCGGACCTCTCGAGGGGGAGGCACACGGAAAAGGTCTTCCCAGGGTTCTGTGCATGCACAAAAATCGCTTTGCACCCCTGAAAGGCGTGTGTTCTCCTCTTTTCTTCCCAAGGTCCTCTCGGAGAGACTCCAGAAGGTGGAGGAGGAGCTGGATTCCCTGCACAGCACCTCTGCTTCCGAGAGGCAGGAGTCCCAGAGCCTGGCGGAGAGGCTGGAACTGGAACTGGCAGAGCAGAAGCTGGCCTGCCACCGCTCACAGGAGGAGGTGCAGCGGCTCTCTCAGGAGCTCGCCCAAACGAGGGCGGACTGCGAGCGCCAGAGCCGAGACGCGGAGGAGAGACACGGGCGGGAAATGGCAGAGAAGAGCCAAGAGATTGCTGCGCTCCAAAGAGCAGAGCAGGATATGCGCTCCAGCTACGAGGCTCTGCAGTCGGAGAACGCCCACCTGTGGCAGAACGCACAGCGGCCACCAGAGCACTCCTCCGAGGATGGCTCTTTGGCACAGCAAGGTCAGGAAGCAGGCCTTTGTCTGCAGAGATCTCGGGGGTTAATGGAAATAGGCCTGAATTCTTGAAAGGACAAATGCTGGAACCTTGGGAGGAAGGAGCAGTTTTTCAAGCTTTGCTTCTGTTCACTGTGTTGGAACGATCGGCCCTAGTTATTTGTTCTTCTGTTTTTTAAAAAATGGTTACATTTATAAACCACCTTTTCCTCTAAGGCGCTCAAGGTGGTGTACAGTGGTACCTCGGGTTCCAGAGGTCCGTTCTTAACCTGAAACTGTTCTTAACCTGAAGCACCACTTTAGCTAATGGGGCTTCCTGCTGCTGCCGTGCCACTGGAGAACGATTTCTGTTCTCATCCTGAAGCAAAGTTCTTAACCCGAGTTACTATTTCTGGGTTAGGAGAGTCTGTAACCTGAAGCGTACGTAACCTGAGGTACCACTGTACGTGGTGCTAGGACTGTCCTACTCTCATGTAGGACCCTGGCAGAGACACATGCCTGACTGGCATGTTCTCTCCCTCCTGGTTGATCGTTCGGGAGCTTCAGAAGCTTTCTTCAGCCCGAACATCACAGCGACTGATACCAAGAGGCATCAGCACACTTAAGATCCTGCAGAGTATTTGCAGTTTGCGTAACAGAACTCGGTTGCACAGCATTTTGGCTAATCTACGTTTATTTACATATAATGCACTCCTAGCATTCTGACTTAGCTCCTTCCTCTTTCTCATCAGACAGCAAAAAGAGAAAGGACAAAGGACAATAGTCCCATTTCACGGAACACAGTAACATAAACATCCTGTCTCCGTCACTTCCCACTATGTGGAATGAAAACACACCGTCATGTGATAGACAACAATCTCATGACTGCAAACACGGAGCAAGAATCCTAACACGTGGTTCACCTTCCCCCCTCCATTTTATTCTCACAACAACCCTGTGAGGTGGGCCAGGTTGAGACACGGTGGCTGGCCCAAGATCGCCAAGCAAATTTCATGGCCGAATGAGGATTTGAACCCTGCTCTCCCGGGACCTTGTCTGACACTAGTTACGCCGTTCGAGGCTTGAGTTTGGCAGCATTTGTGGGGTTTGCTTGTGATGACGGTGCTGCATTGGCTTGAAGAACAGGTCAGCTTGCAGACCTGCCATCCTGATTGCTGCACCTTTTGGCAGCCTTTGTCTCCAGGCTGTTGAAAGTGGACCCGAGGGCAGCTCTCAGAATGGAAGCTTGTCCTTCTTTTACAGAGTGAAAGCCGAGTCCTGGTGACAACCACTCACTGACGGAAAAGCAAATTCCGCAAGTGTAGTGCAGGATGACACAGCCCTTTGTTGGTGCTGGCTCCGAAGAGGTGGCGCTGGCTCCAGATGTGGCTGGGAAACTAACCTTCCACGTTTGTTTCCCCAGGGGAGCTCCCAGAAAGGCCCAAGGAGTCTGACCATTCACAGGCCGAATCCAAAGCACTTACAGCTCAGGAAGGAAAGCAGCTCTCTACGCCGAGCGAGGTAACTGCTTCCCCGAAGGCCCCAGCGAACCAGGGAGGGGCAGACCAGCCTGTTTCTGGCCCCCGCCAGCTGTGCATGTGTCCCTTCATCAGTCCATTCCATCTATTTCCCACATCAATCTGCAAAAGTTAATTTGTGTTCCCTGTGTCTTTCTGCTCTCCAGCTGGCCACTGGAGAGGATACAGCAACTTTTGCAAGAAATGCCTGGCAAGATGAGCAGCGCAAGACTCTGGAAGCTCTGCAAGCAGAAAATGGTACCTTTCTTCTTCTTTCGCCACTTTCCACCTTCTAAAACCTGTTTGTGATCTGCTTTCTCCAGCCAGGGCTGTGTGGCTTCCCCCCAGGAATCCCGTATAAATAGATTAAGATGAAGAGCAACTGCTAATGGTTGCAGGGAAAGGCAGAAGAGCTATGGGTTCAGTGGGCTGGAGGATGATGATACTGATAAATATACCACCCTTAATCCAAAGATCCCAGGGCGGTGTACAACATTAAGAACATACCTTACGCAGCAGAATAGTAAAAACATAGTACAGTGTATAACAATACACAGCATAATAATAAAATAATCATCGTAACAGCTCCCTCCACCTTTAATAGGCAAGAGGTTATTTAAGGCCTGGGTAAAGAGGAATGTTTTTGCCTGGCACATAAAGTGATGGCGCCACGCGAGCCTCCTTGGGGAGAGCATTCCACAACTGGGAGCCACCACAGAAAAAGGCCCCGTTCTCGTGTAACCCTCTCTTGGGAAGGGGGAAAATAGAGAAGGGCCTCGTACGATGACTATGAGTTTTTCTTCAGCTTTCCAGCCCCTCTCCTTTGCAAGGGCCCAGGGTTGTGGGTAGGTCGCACCCTTAAAAAGAAAATAACCCCCAACAGTGTCTTCAGTGGAACACTCACTGAACCCAGTTAAAATTCCTGCCTGCTGGCTTGCGCCTGGCCAACCAAAAGCCAACCCAGTTCTTGAGTCCTGTGCTCCAACTTGGACTTCACCTCTTGGATCAGGGCCTTCCAAGGTCTCTATGCACACACACATCTCTTGTGTGTGCTGATCTTGTACAGGGTTTGCACACAGCCGGGATAATTCAGAGTGTTCTTGGCAGAGATCTTGACACAGCCAGACTCCTGAGAGATTACGATAATCGTGTTTGTTGCAGCGCAAGTGGGTGTTTGCGCTTGGAGGGGGTGGTACTGTTCTATTGTTAAGCTGGATGGGCTTTTAAGATTTCACATTCAGATGTATGTGTTTTTAAGGCAACAGATAAATAGACCCTTAACAAGCTTGCAAGGGAGAGACCCCCTGTTCTCCTGTGATCCGCCTCTTCAGAGCAAGTGGATTCTGCAAGTTGAGAATCCAAGAAGGCAGGCTCAGCATCAGGCAGAGGGCCCCCCCCCAAACTTGAGACTTTTTTATCTTCGGGGCCAAAGAGCAGATCATTTCATAGAAGTTTATGGAGTGATGCGTGGCATGGAGAGTGCTAGGACTCAGGGACATCCTAGGAAGCTGAATTGGGACACGGGTGGCGCTGTGGATTAAACCACAGAGCCTAGGGCTTGCCGATCAGAAGGTCGGCGGTTCGAATCCCCGCGATGGGGTGAGCTACCATTGCTCGGTCCCTGCTCCTGCCCACCTAGCAGTTCAAAAGCATATCAAGTGTAAGTAGATAAATAGGTACCGCTCCAGCGGGAAGGTGAACGGCGTTTCTGTGCGCTGCTCTGGTTCGCCAGAAGCGGCTTAGTCATGCTGGCCACATGACCCGCAAGCTGTACGCCGGCTCCCTCGGCCAGTAAAGCGAGATGAGCGCCACAACCCCAGAGTCGGCCACAACTGGACCTAACGGTCAGGCGTCCCTTTACCTTTACCTTTAGGAAGCTGAATCTTTGAAGATTTGGGGCAGATAAAAGGAAGCCCTTCTTCATAGTTAAACTATGGAACTTGTTCCAAAGGTGAAAGGGCATGGCCTCAACCTGAATGGCTTTAAACGCAATGCAGACAAATTCATGAAGGCGATTATGCTAACAACCCAAGTCCCCTGTAGGGAAAATTGCACCATTTCCCTGAACTGCTCCCCTTCCAGTCTTCTCAATCCTGTTGAGCTTTTACTTTCCCTTGAGAAATCGTCGCTCTTGAGAAGCGTGTCCCGGTGCCATCACCTCTTCCAGGACATCCTGTAACCCTCCTTTCTCTAGAGAGGATATGAGCTCATGGCCTGGCCTGGCCTGACCTGACACCACTCCATTTACAGCTCTGACCCCAAACTCCGGCCTCCTTCCAGATCCCGCTTCCTCCTTGGCTTCTTCTTCTGATTAACACTTCTCCTCCCTCGTCTCCCTTTTCAGAGACCCTCCGCTCCAAAGTTGCCATGCTGGAAAAGAGGCTCGAATTCCCTGTGGTTTCGGCAGAGTCAAACCAGGTAACCTCCGAGCAAAAGTAGAATGGACGAAGAAGCCCTTCCAGTAGGCTAAGCTCTTGGCCTGAGAGCGGCTCCTACTAAGCTGCCCTCTTGGCTGCGCCCAGCAATCCTCTTTGCTGGTTATTATTAGGAGGCTTAATGTGGGACACACACAGAGAGAACGCTTAGGAATTTCACCTGGAGTTTTGCCCACCCTCTTAAATGGGCTTTCAGAGCACTGCTGTTGCGTCCTCAGAGGTGACCCTTCTCCCCTTGTGTTTCCCTTACGTTTTATAATAATAATAAATAATAAATTTTTATTTTTACCCCGCCCTTCCCGGTTCAGAAACCAGGCTCAGGGTGGCTAACAACAAATTTAAAACACTTAATTGATGCAACAAAAAACAGCATAAAATCCAGTATAAAACGTGAATAACAATAAATTCAGAATTCAGAATTCAATTGGGGGGGGGGGAATCCATCCAATAAACATTAGATGATCACCAGGGCTAGCTGGCTAAATTAGTCCTATTTGGGCCAGCGAGGAGACCAGGGAGAATTAGCTGTGGGGTCTCAGAGCAGGTAATCTTCATAAAAAGGGAAGAGGGAGGGAAGGAAGGGGAATAAAAGATCAGGCTGAATTCAAATTAAAGGCCAGGCAGAATAGCTCTGTCTTACAAGCCCTGCAGAAGGAGGTTAAATCCTGCAGGGCCCTGGTCTCTTGGGACAGAGCATTCCACCAGGTCGGAGCCATCACTGAGAAGGCCCTGGCCCTGGTGGAGGATAGTCTGACTTCCTAAGGGCCTGGGACCTCTAAACTATGGTTATTCATAGACTATGGTCTAAGACCTCTGCGGGGCAGACCAGGCCTACATTTTGCATGTGCAGAGTATCTTTCATGCTCTCGGCTTTTTCTCTTGGCAAGCCGCTGCTGTTCCCTGGCCCCTCTGCAGCCAGGTGGTTCTTCGGGAGAGCCAAAATGCACACCTGCCTCTAATTTCCACTGGCAAAGAACAGCTCTCCTTTTCACCTGTCCTGAATGAGAAACTCCTGTTGTATTCGCATTAACGACTTCTCATTTTTTTCTTGTAGCTCAGACATCATTCATATGTGTGTGTTTGTATATGTGTACACACACACACACACACACACACATATACCCTATTTTTCCATGTATACGACTAGGTTCTTTCCCTAAAAAATAATGTCAAAAATTAGTGGGCGTCTTATACTCTGGGCCATCTCCCCCCATTTTCTTAAATCTGAGTCCCCCAAAATAGGGGGCGTCTTATACATGGGGGGGGGTTTATAGACGGAAAAATACGGTATGTTTATCATTGGCATTTGAAGGAACGCTAATCAAAATGACATCTTGGGGGTCTTTTTAGGAGCAAGTATCAGACCAGTAGATTAAAGCGAACCATAAAACTATTATTATTTTGTTTCATAAAATTTATATTCCGCCTGATGGTTGGAAAAAACTCAAAGTGGTTTCCAAACAGACAATAGCCTCAAATCTATGAAAGGAGTTCTGTAGAAATGACTGAGAGAGACGCAAAGATGTCTGAAAGTTGCACCAAGTGCGGCTTACTGTGCTGCAGTTGGCTCCCCTGAACCCTAAATTCTGGCATCACAAACCTGCCACTGCTGTCGGAGGAAGCCCAGCTCTTGAGGGCTGGTCTGGCTGGTGTCTGCTGAGGTTTTCCCCCAGCCTGGAGGGAAAATCAGTAGCCCTCTGCCCTTGAGATTTTATTCCATTCATCTTTCCCTTCCTTCAAAGGCTTCAGGCTCAGCAGAGCAAAATATCCTCCTATCTGCAGGCAGGGGAGCCATGAGATTTGGTTAGTGATGAGTCACAACAATCAGGAAGGGCAGTACAAAGGCTTCTCGCGAGGAGCTTTGAGGGTGCGGCAAATGGTTGCTGCAGGAGGGGAACGAATCCACTAGGGGAAAAAAGCTGTGTTAAAAAGAGAACACCACGCTGAGGTTATGAGAATTCTTCATAGACAGTCAGCTAGTCCCCTTGATGTGGGTTTTCTGCAAGGGAGACAGTTTCTAGTGCAGCAGCCAGTCTGGTGGTTGGTAACACTCGAGACCAGTTTACCTATGAGATCAGCTTACCCAACACATGCCTAGTCCTCCGCTTCAATCGGCAGAGCTGGCGCTGTTACAAGTGCGACAAAAAACTCGATATTTTAGTAAGGCAGCCCCTACACTTTGGAACTCCCTGCCGATTGATAGCCGGTAGTGCCGTCACCAAACTCTTTTTGGTGACTGCCAAAAGCATTGTTGTTTAGACAAGCCTTCTCAGATCTTTAGAAAGTAGATATGAATTTTAATCTGCTTTTAGTCCATGGTTATTTTGAAAGTTTAAATTTATTGTTCTTAATTTATTATTTCATTTTTTTTGTATAAGCTGCTTTGAATCGAGCAATATACAAAATTTATAAAATAAATAATAATAAAACACTTCCCTTTCTTTTCTTTTCTCCCAGAAGGTCAGCTGTGTTGAAACAGGCGTTGAAATGCAAACTTCAGGGCTGACGTCTGGAATTGATGACCCCTTCCCTGGGCCTGGCAGTAAGCATCTCGAAGCTGTGCGATACAGGCATTGAGGGGGGAGGCACTTAGGGGACAGGTGGAGGGGCCTCTGGTGGCCTGCTTTCACCTTTCCACAAGTGGGGAGCCACCACAGAAAAGGCCTTGGTACCTCTCATGGAGGGAGCACATGCAGAAGGGCATCAGAGGATGATGGCAGCGATTGAGTCAGTTCATATGGAGAGAGGCGATCCTTGACGTATTGCAGTCCTGAGCCGTTTAAGGCTTTGTAGGTCAAAACTGTCACTTTGAAAAATCAATAGCAATAATTTAAAACTTTCAAATAGTTGAAAGTGCCACAAAGCTGGCTTTTTCTTCAGCTGACTCTCTCCTCTGTTCTTTGGCTAGGTGTGCCTGACGGTCTGAGAAGCAACAGCGTTGAAGGCCTCTGCTCACCAGATGATCCTGTTGCCTTAACTCAGGTAGGACCCCACCCCCCGCTTCCATCTCCTGGATTTGCTTTCTTGAATTATCTCCGTTGTTCTTTTTTTAACAAAAGCCCTGCAATACTTTCTCTCTTCCCTCCCTGTCCTTTTCCCTTTTGTGCCGTGTTTGGTTAGTAAACCTGCAGGAAGGGACTGTCTTGTCTTGATTGTACATAAGCCACCGCAGAAGCATTTGAGTCAACGTACAAATGCTCAAAACAAGTAAACAAAAAATAGGCCCCCTGTCATCCCCGTGCTACAGTCATGGGGGGAGGTGGCGGAGATGGGAGCTCTGATTGCCTCTGCTGTGCTCATTCCTCAAACTTTGCCTTGCTGGAGAACTAAACTGCCCCTTCTTCTCATTTCAGCCCAGCCCAGAGGCCACGGACAACACGCCCCCCGGTGTCCTGGACTACCTTTCTGCAAAGAAACACAAAGATCTGTCCGTCTTGATGCTGGAGATGCAGGAGGCGCAGGAAGAGATCGCGTTCCTGAAGAGGCAGCTTCAGGACCCTGCCGGAGTTGAGCCTCCGCTGCCAGGGGAGTCACAAGCCAGTGGCGGAGAAGAAGACGGGGTGGTCCTCATCCAGAGTGATTCGAGCAGCAGCTCGCTGGTCACCGTAGAAATTCAGGAGGAGTCCTCTCCCCTTCCGGAGACACTCTTGGGGAAAGACGACCTCTCCACAGAGGACAGAGAAGCAGCTAAGGAGCCTTCTCCAGCAAAGCAAGAACTGGAAAGGTTGCATCTCGAAATTGCCGGGCTGCGTGCAAGCCAACAGGAAGCAGAGGAGCTCCACAAGGGGGTCTTGGAAGAGAGAGACACAGAAATCAGGCTGCTCCAGCAGCTGGCAGAGGGTTCCTCTGGGGCCGTGGACACTCTCCGTGCTGAGAGGGATCAGCTCCTGTCCCAGCAGAAGGAGCTGGAGGAGCAGGTGAGGCGGCTGGAAGGGGACCTGGCCGACTCGGAGAAGCGGCGGCTCTCCAGCCACGAGAGCGGGGCGTCCCAGCTGGCCCTGCTGCAGGAGCAGCTCCAGAGCTTGCAGAACGAGGCCAAGTCCAAGGAGGTGAAGATTGCCGCTCTGCAGAAGGACCTGGACGAGACGCAGTGCCGCCTGGTGGAGCAGGACCTGCAGGGGAGGAGCCTGAGAGGCTGTCTGGAGGAGGGGGAGGGGGAAAGGCAGGCGCTGTCAGCACGGCTGCAGGAGGCCTCCGCCAAGGCCGAGGAGCTCTCCCAGAGCCTCGCGTCAAAGGAGTCGGAGGCCGCCCGGCTGCAGGGGCTCCTCTCGGAGAGCGCCGCCGAGGTGGAGAGGCTGCGGCTGGATGTGGCGGAGCGGGAGCAGCGGATGGAAGAAGTCAGCATGGGCATGTCCAGCCGGATGGTGCAGCTGAACGAGGAGAAGTTCTTGCTGGGGAAGGAGCTGGCGAGCCTGACGGAACAGCTGAGTCTGGTCGCAGAAAGGAAGGAGACGAGAGAGCAGGGCGTGGGGACGGAGGAGGAGGAGAAGGTGCCTGAGCAGCTGGCGGAGAGATCTTCACCCACCAGCGAGGAGGCAGAAGCATTGCGGAAGGAAAACGAGCTCGTCCGGAAGAAGCTGCAGGCGGCTCTTGTCAGCAGGAAGGAGCTCCTGAGCAAGGTCCACAAACTGGAGAAGGCACTGGAAGCAGGGAGCGGGGAGCCTGCAGGGCCTGGGGCCAGAGTCCCAGAGGCCCATAAGGATGGAGAGGAAGAGGAACCCCCTGAGAGCAGCGTAAGCGCAGATGGCAACGGGCGGCCTGCAAGGCGAGGCAGGGCTGCTTCTCTGGGCCAGCTGGTTCCGGAAAAGGAGGCCGAGCTGCAGCGCATCTTGGGGGAAAAGGAGTCCGCTGTGCTCGCGCTGCAGGCTGTGGTCGGGGAGCTTCGGCAGAGTGTGCAGGAGAAGGACCTCCTCATCGGTGCCCTGCGAGCTGAACTTGAGGGCCGCAGCTCAGCCCCCGAGAAACAGGCACCAGCCAGAGAGAGCACGGAGGTTTCCGCCATTCCTCCTGCTCTTCCTCCGTCAGACAGCACTGCTGAACCCAGCCTGGAAGGAGAGCCGAGGGGTGCTCTGGAGGAGAGGATCTGCGCTCTGGAGCAGGAGAGGGAGCAGCTGCAGAGGAAGCTCCAGGAAGCCCTGGCCTCCCGCAAAGACACCATCAAGAAGGCCCAGGAGAAGAACCGCCATCACCGCGAGCAGCTCAAGCAACAGAAGGACGACTACGGTCTCCTGCAGGAGCAGTTTGAGCAGCAGAGCCGAGAGAAGGAGAAGCTGCAGGGTCAGCTCCAGGATCTGAGCCAGGCCCTGGAGAAGGCCTCTCTCCCTCCCGAAGATCCGGCCCCTGGAAGCTCCATGGCGGCCGGAGATTTTGCAGCTGTGGAAGCACTCAAGGCAGACCTTGAGAAGCTCAGGGCTGAGAAAGGGGAGCTGGAAGCCCAGGTCAGGCACCTGGAAGGGGAGCTCAGGAGCAAGTCTGAGGCAGCTCTGCAGCTCCAGGAGCAAGTCGGGCAGTTGGTAGCTGAGTTGGAAACAGTGAAGGAAGCCTGCCGCCAGGCCGAAACCCGTGCAGCAAGCCTTGGGCGAGAGCTGGAGGAGAGCCAGGCCGAGGCTGCCAGGCAAGAGGATCTGAGGCTTCGCCAAGCAGCTTTAGAAGAGCAGAAGGAGCTGGCCAGCAAGGAAGAAATTGAACACCTCAATGCTCAGCTAGTGGACAAAAGCGAGTCTTTGCGTGGCCTGCAGGCGGTGCTGCAGGAGAGAGAGGAGGCCTTCAAGGCCCTGCAAGGACAGCTGGAGGAGGCCCAAAGCAAGGAGCGGTCCCAGCGCCTGGAGGCTGAAGCCCAGCAGAAGTCGGAAGCGGCGGCCGCCGAGGAGCAGTCCAAGAGCCAGCTGCAAAGGAAACTGCAGGCTGCACTCATCTCCAGGAAGGAGGTGCTGAAGGAGAGCAAGGCCCTGAAGGAGGAGCTGGCCGGCACCAAGGCTGCTCTGGAGAAGACGTCCCGCCTCCTCTCGGAGGCAGAGAACCGAGCTTCCGAGCTGGGGAAGGAGAAGGAGGCCCTTGGGGAGAGGCTGGCGGCCCTCGGAGAGGAGCGGGAGAAGCTCATCACGGAAGTGGACAGAGCCCTGGTGGAGAACCAGAATGTCTCCAGCTCCTGCGAGAGCCTGAAGCTGGCCCTGGAGGGCCTGACCCAGGAGAAGGCCCGCCTGGAGGAGGAGGCGGATGCCTTGCGGCGCTCCCAAGCCCAGGAGCTCTCCGAGTGGCAGCGGAAGCACGCGGAGCTGCAGGCGGAATACGAGACCCTCCTGCAGTCGTACGAGAACGTCAGCGGCGAGGCGGAGAGGATGCAGCGGGTGGTGGAGGGCGTCCGGCAGGAGAAGCAGGAGCTCTTCCTCAAGCTGAAGGGCGTGGAGGCAGAGAAGAGGGAGGCGGATGCCCGCCTGCAGGGGGCCGAGCAGGAGATGGAGGGGATGCGGGAGAAGATGCGGAAGTTTGCCAAGTCCAAGCAGCAGAAGATCCTGGAGCTGGAGGAGGAGAACGAGCGGTTGAGGGCGGAGATCCATCCTGCGGACGGTTGCCCGGGAGGGGCAGAAGGGGCAGGCGCCGACCTCCAGGAAGAGCTGGAGAGCTCCAGGCAGGACTGCAAATCCCTTTCCAGCCAGCTGGAGTTTCTCAAGGCTGAGAAGGACGCCCTGAACCAGCAGATCCAGGACTTGAGGCAAGCGCTGCAAAGCAAAGCACACATGAAAGAGGAGGAGGAGGAGGTGGCGGCAGTGAAAAGTGAGGAAGTCACTTCCAGCTCCTTGGTGGAGCCCCTAGAGGCTCAGGTGGATTCAGGAGCACGTTGGCAACCTCCAGAAGCCGCTCCCGCGGGCCTGGACACCCAGGAAGACGAAATCTGCAAAGCCAGCCCTCCTCGTGACGAAACAAACAGGTCCTTGCAGCAATTCACTGAACAAGTTGCAGACCTGGAGGAGAAGAGGCAGGTGGCGGAGGAGGAGCTGAGCAGGGTCCGGAGGGATGTGGAAACCCTGAGCGAGGAGAAGAAAGTGCTGGAGGGACTGTTGGCTGCCAAAGGCCTGGAAGTGGAAGCTCTGCAGGAGAAGGTCCTCGAGATGGAGCGAGCCAGCCAGCAAACGGAGGAGCAGCTTGCTGGAGCCCTGAAGCTGAAGGAGGCCTTGGAGGCCGAGAAGGACGACCTGGAGGAGAGGCTCATGAACCAGCTGGCGGAGCTGAACGGGAGCATCGGGAACTACCAGCAGGACGTGGCGGACTTGCAGAGCAACAACCAGCAGCTCCTGAGCGAGGTGGAGAGCCTTCGAGGGGCCTTGGACCGCTTGGAGGATGAGAAACGGCATCTCCTGCAGGAGAAGGCAGATGCAGAGAGGAAGAAAGAACACGTGGAGAAGCTGAAAGGTGCCTGGAAGGGCGATAGTGGCCGGGCACAGGTGAAGGAGCTCCAGGAGCTGCTGAGGGCGAAGCAGCAGGAGGTGAAGGAGCTGCAGAAAGGCTGCATTAAAAGCCAGGAGAAAATCAGCAGCCTGGAGAAGACCATCAAGGCCCTGGAGTTCGTCCAGAGCGAGTTCCAGAAGGAGCTGGATGCCGCCAGGAAGAGCTTGGCCAAGGCCGAAGAGGACACCCAGAAGGCCCAAGCAGAGCTGGCCACCTGCAGAGTCTCGCTGGATGATACTCAGAGCGAGGCGGCCAGAGTCTTGGCCGAGAGCCTGAAGGCCAGAGAGGAGCTCCAAGCGAGCAAAGCAGAGGTCCAAGCGCAGCTGAGGGCGAAGGAGAAGGCCCTCGAGAGGCGGCTGGAGCGGGAGAAGGACAAGCACTCGAAGGAGGCGAGGAACATGGAGGAGAGGCTGCAGGCCCTGCAGAGGGAGCAGGCCCGCTCGGAAGCGGCGGCGCGGGACCTGCGGGAATCCCTGCGCCGGAAGGACCAGGAGGCCAAGCAGCTGCAAGGCAACCTGAACCACACCTTGGCCCAGCTGGCCGCCTTCACCCGGAGCATGTCCTCCCTGCAGGACGACAGGGACCGCGTGATCGACGAGTCCCGGCAGTGGGAGAAGAAGTTCAGCGAGGCCATTGAGAAGAAGGAGCAGGAGGTGCGCGCCCGGGAGCAGGCCTGCGCCACCTTGGAAGAGCAGGTGAAGCAGATGGCAGCCCAGGTGGAGGACCTGCAGAGCCGCATCGCCAGGTAAAGAAGGGTGGCGCTGGGAGGAAGGGGGTGGCTGCCCCCTCCCCAAAAGACTCTGAGCGTGCAGGGAAGGGTTGTGGCCCAGTGATTAGAGCTGTTCTTGGACCACAACTCCCATCGTCCATAGCTAGCAGCGCCACTGGTCAGAGATGCTGGGAGTTGTAGTTCAACCACAGCTGTTACATTCATTCCCCCCATGTTGGCTTTACTCTAGGTCGGGTAGTAGGCAACCTAAGGCCCGGGGGCCGGATGCGGCCCAATCGCCATCTCAGTCTGGCCCATGGATGGTCTGGGAATCAGAGTGTTTTTACGAGTGGAATGTGTCCTTTTATTTAAAATGCATCTCTGGGTTATTTCTGGGGCTTAGGAATTCGTTCATTTCCCCCCAAAATATAGTCCGGCCCCCTGCTGAAAAAGGTTGCTGACCCCTGCTCTAGGTTCATCTGGAGTTCATAGAACAATAGCTGTAGAATTGCAAAGGACCTACAAGGGTAATCTAATTCCCTGCAATGCAGGGATATCAACTGAAGAATCCCTGACAGCCGGCCGTCCAGCCTCTTTTTGAAAACTTCCAGGGAAGGAGAGTCCACCACTTTTTGAGGGGGGGAAATGTTTAGCTGGAATCTCCTTTCTTGTCACCTGAATCCATGGGTAATAATAAATTATTATTATTATTATTATTATTATTATTATTATTATTATTATTAGGGTTCTGCCTTCTGGAGCAGCAGGAAACAAGCTTCCATTCACAGCCCCTCTCTCTCTTCTCCAGCCTAAACACCCCCAACTCCCTCAACCGTTCGGCATAAGGCTCAGTTTCTAGACCCTTCCCATTTTCTGCACACCTTCCGCCTGGGTCTCCATGGGATTCGTTGGCTAGATTATGAATCTTCCGTTAGCCGTGGGATCCTGCTTGCTTTTGATGGGGAGTGAGGACAAAACAACAACAAACCTCTGGTTACGTGAAACATTGTCAATAAACACACAAGATGTAACCGGCTGTATGTGTGGAAAAAATGATATATACTATTTATTGTATTGAATTGTAGATTTCAACAGAAGTAGCTCATAAAGGTCAACGAAAAACATAGAAGACCCAGTGGATCAATTCATTCTCTAATCAGTTTATGCATAAGGTCCATATATGTGAAAGTGTCTATTCCACCTGCCTGTTCATGGAGTCCAACAGTCCACACGAAAGGTTGTTGCAGTTCCACAGAATCCTTTCACAGAGTCTAAGACAAGGATTTTCGGAATATTAGTCTTGTTTTGCCGTTTTGGGCTTCATCAGTAGTACAAACTCTAGGTAATGCAAATAAATATAATATCGTAATCTCACACATTTTTACAGCAAAAATAATATAAAAACCGTCAGCAACTGTACATACCATATATGATATCACAGGACAGTGGATCTTAGTAGCAGCTGCTGTTGTTGAAATCTACAATACAATGAATAGTATATATCATTTTTTCAAATGTACAGCTAGTTACGTCTTGTGTGTTTATTGATTAGGGAGTGAGGACAGGCAGAGGACTTTCCTGCTTTGTGTCTGATCCTGCCCTTCTCTGCTTTCGCAGCCTGGAACGCAGCAAATCGGCACAGGACTCCAGAGCCCAGAAGGAGCACCAGCGTCTCCTGGAGGAAGCTGAGTCGCTCCAGGAGGAGAAAAGGGGGCTGGTGATGCAGCTGGAGGAAGCCCAGCGGCTGCTCCGAGACTCCCAGGACCAGATCCAGAAACAGGAAGCGCAGCTCCAGAGCCAGAGCGAGAAGCTGGCCGGCCTGCAGGACTCCTTCACGAAGTGCCTGGAGGAAGTGGACAGGCTGGCGGCCACGGCGAAAACCCAAGAGGCTGACCTGCGAGAGAGCCGGCTGAGTCGGGAGCAGCTGGAGGCTGACCTGCGGGCATCCAAGGACCTGACGGACAGGCTCCACGCGGAGATGAGCGTCACGGACCAGAAGATCATCAGCCTGGTGGCCGCCAAGGAAGAGGCCGTTTCCTCCGCCGTGTCGGAGCTGCAGCGGCAGCACCAGGAGGAGCTGAAGGAGCTGGATGCCAGGATCAGCCAGGCGGGAGAGGAGAGGGCAGCCTCGGAGGCCGAGAAGGTAAAAGCCCTGGAGAAGGTGGAGCAGCTGGGCAGGAAGCTCCAGAGCACCCAGGAGGAGAGCAAGCACCACAAGGCCCAGCTGGACTCCTTCACCAAGTCCATGTCCTCCCTGCAGGACGACCGGGAACGGGTCCTGGGCGACTATCGCCAGCTGGAGCAACGGCACCTGGCGGCCATCCTGGAGAAGGACCAGCTGATCCAAGAGGCGGCGGCCGAGAACAACCGACTTAAGGGGGAGCTGCGGAGCCTCCACAGCCGCATGGACGACCTGCACGCCGAGAACGCCAAGCTGGACGCCGAACTGGTGCGCTACCGCCAGGACCTGAACCAGCTGCTCTCCATCAAGGACAGCCAGCAGAAGCAGCTGCTCAAGACCCAGCTGGAGCGCATCCGGGCGCTGGAGGAACAGCTGCGGGAGTCCGAGCGTGTGGTGGAGGCCCTGCGGCTGGAGAAGCGCAGCCTGGGGGAGCAGGCAGAGTTGCTTGCGGCCTCCCTCTCCCGGGCGCAGAGCGAGGTGGCGGCCCTGCGTGAGGACGGGCCCCTCCTGGAGCTGCAGGCGCAGCTGCTGGGCAAAGGGGAGGAAGCGGAGGAGCTGAGCGGGCAGCTCTCGCTCGCCCGGAGGCAGGCGGCGGAGCTGGAGGAGGAGCTGGCCCTGCTCCGGCAGAGCACCAGCCACAAGATGCAGGAGGCGGAAGCCCAGATGAAGGCGGAGCTGAAGAGCTTGCACCACGACGCCGGGCTGATGCGGAACGAGACGGAGACGGCAGAGGAGCGGGTGGCCGAGCTGGCCAAAGACCTCCTCGAGATGGAGCAGAGCCTCCTGGCTGTCACAGAGGAGAACCAGGACCTGAAGGCCCAAGTCCAGTCCTTCGGGAAGGCCATGAGCTCACTCCAGGACAGCTGGGATGAGTGCAACGAAGAGCTCCGCGCCATGGAGAAGAAGTATTCGGCGGACTTGGAAGAGCAGCGCTTGCTGGTTCAGAGCCTCCAGGAGGAGAAGGCTCGGTTCCAGGAGGAGCAGAAGAGCCTCGCGGAGCAGCGAGACGCCTTGGCCTCTGAACTGGCGGCCCTCCGGAAGTCGGTGGAAGAGAAGGGCCTCCTGGCACGACTGGAGAAGCTTGGCCAGCAGCTGAAGGTCAAAGACACCGAGGTGGTTCGCCTGGTCTCCGAGCTGGAGGGGGCCTCTGGCCAGGTCAAGTCCTTCTCCAAGGCCATGGCTAGCCTGCAGGGCGAGCGAGACCGATTGATGGGCGAGCTGGAGAAGGCCCGCAAAGTGGAGGAGGCCAAGCTGCAGTCGGCGACCAGCGCTTCCAGTAGCCTCGCCGAAGTGCCCAGCCTCAAGAAGGCCTTGTCTGCTCTGCAGGATGACCGGGACAGGCTGGTGAGTCCTTGGTTTTTGCCGCATTCTGCTCATTTCACTTTTCTCAAGGGTCTTCCTTGAAGCTGGGGATTCTCAGCACATCCTGCTGTCTAGAGTAGAGGTAAAGGGACCCCTGACCATTAGGTCCAGTCGTGGCCGACTCTGGGGTTGCAGCGCTCATCTCGCTCTATAGGCCGAGGGAGCTGACGCTTGTCCACAGACAGTTTTTCCGGGTCATGTGGCCAGTATGACTAAGCCGCTTCTGCCGAACCAGAGCAGCACACAGAAACGCAGTTTACCTTCCCACTGCAGCGGTACCTATTTATCTACTTGCACTTAGATGTGCTTTTGAACTGCTAGGTTGGCAGGAGCAGGGACCGAGCAACGGGAGCTCACCCCGTTGCGGGGATTCGAACCGCTGACCCTTCTGATTGGCAAGCCCTAGGTTCTGTGGTTTAACCCACAGCGCCACCCACGTCCCGCTGTCTAGAGTAGTGGATCCTAAAGTCTTTCGTGCCCCTGCTCCCTTGGTTCCGTAAACCCATCCCTAGTGCCACCCCCCACCGTACCCTATAAAATGCCTTATTCCGAATAGTGGTTTGCACCACCCACTAAGCAAAACAACACAATAGAATTCAGAACAGTAACAGTTAATTGCACATTTATTAAGAATCCAATCTAGAGTCATAGAAAAAGTAAGTTAATAGGCATGAGTGTGACATTCACACACACAAAATAAATATGTCCTCTGATCTAATCCTGAAGTTCTGGTTCTACATGAATTTAATTCTGCCTCCCTGTTGCCTCGCCTATCCTCTAATACACACGCACCCCTTGCAGAGGGTGCAGACAGACTTGCCTCTGGGGGAGGAAAATTCCCTTTGGGGGTTCAGTACAGAGGCTCAAAGCAGATTTCCAGCTAGTCAGCCTCCCCCCCCCCCCATATTGCATAACTGGACAGCGTCCAAATGAGTCTGTAAGAGCATATCCATGAACACACACCCTGTATGGGAAAAAATGTTTCGTCTTGGCTGTTTGTTCTTCAGCCTGCCACCTTCTGCAAGCTCAGCACCTCTTCCACCACAGTCCTTAGAAACACTTCCCCAACCCATGTTGTTGGCTGTATGTGCAGAGACCTCCTTGCCCCTGATCTGGAGTGGTTCTGCACCCTAAACTGGTTCTCCCTCTTACGTATCTGGCACTGGGTTTTGGCAGAATTCCTTTTCCACCTCTCAGGTTTCTTTTCACAGAGCTGAAGTATATTATTGAGTGATTGTTGGTAAATGCAGTTTTTGTGTGCGCTGCTTAGGGTTTGTAATTACAGTGGTGCCTCGCAAGACGAAATCAATTCGTTCTGCGAGTTTTTTCGTCTTGCGAATTTTTCGTCTTGTGAAGCACGGTTTCCCATAGGGTATTAACGGTTTTAAGAAAAAGGAAACAAACTTGCAAGACGTTTTCGTTTTGCGAAGCAAGCCCATAGGGAAATTCGTCTTGCGAAGCAACTCAAAAAACGAAAAAACTCTTTCGTCTTGCGCGTTTTTCGTCTTGCGAGGTATTCGTCTTGCGAGGTACCACTGTATTATTATTTATTGAATTTATATACTGCCCTATACCTGCAGGTCTTGGGGCTGTTTACAGAATAAAATCAAAATATAAAACCACAAATTCCATAATCAAAATAAAAACAACAATAACCCCTTCCCCCCAACCCCCCCACATTTAAAAAGGGCATAGGATGATTAAACGGTTTCTACATAATAGAGAACTAGAGATTCTTCATAGCCTAACACTTATTTTATTTTTTTAGTCAGACTCAGGGAGAACAATCAAAGGCAACTGGGGGAAATGTATTAAAAGCTTTTGTAGGGGGGAAATTGTAATGAGATCCACAGAGTCTTGTATTCTGGGTTAATTTGGCTTGAAGTTCTGTGCCTGAAACCAAGAGATGGGCAGGTGTGGGGAACTTCTGGCTCTCCCGATGTTGCTGAACTACAACTCCCATCAGCCCCGGCAAGCATGGCCTGTGGCCAGGGATAATGGGAGTTGTAGTTCAGCAACCTCTGGAAGGCTGAGGGTTCCCCGTACTTGAGGTGGTGAGTTTTCCCCAAGGGCGTCACGCGGGGATGGTCTGCAGACATTGACCCTTGGAGCCTTCTGAGTGGCAGGCTTAACCCATCTCTTCTCTTTCCTTCTCTCATACACCTTATTTCAATGAGCTGACTTTTGTACAACTTCGGAAAGCTTTTATAGAGTTACGATTAAATGCAATAAACTCTGCTTATAGAGATGGGAGACACAGAGGCGTACCAACGAACGTGTTTGCATTAGGGGATGTCCTGAAGTAGAGGACCTTATGCATTATATCTTGCGCTGCCCCTTATATAATGAAGCAAGAGAACGATTTTTAGCACCTATAATGACAAGGTCCCCTGGCCAGAACCCCTCTGACATGATTTTATATCTCCTCGCAGACACAGGTAAGTATGTGATCTGGCTTGTAGCACTCTTTGAAACTGCCACTAGGAAAATTAGAGCAAATTATATAGCCAAGATAGCCGCCAACTGTAAAGGAGATGAATTTATTTGACCCTGTCTAAATCAAGCTATATTCTATCTTTATCACCAAACTCCGAATATAATTGCACATTGTATTAATTAACATTATTTTTTAATATATTAGTGGCCATGTGGTGATTTTAGCCTATAAATTTTATTGTTTAATGTCTTAACCTGTATATTAGGATACTTTTATAGTTCTGTTTAGAGGAGGTAATGATAATATAAATGTTTTAAGTTTTTTGTATTAATCCAGCATACAGTGGTACCTCTGGATGCGAACGGGATCCGTTCCAGAGCCCCGTTCGCATCCTGAAGCGAACATAAGATGCGACTGCTCGTCAGCGCATGCGCGGGTTGCATTTCGCTGCTTCCGCACATGCACGTGACGTCATTTTTAGCATCTGCACATGCGCGAGCGGCGAAACCCGGAAGTAACGCACTCTGTTACTTCCGGGTCGCTGCGGAGTGCAACCCAAAAATATTTAAGCTGAAGCGTATTCATCCCGAGGTATGACTGTATTTTCTTTTAATTGTTGAATGATTCTGTGTACATTGCGGCAGCCTTTTGCTATGTGCACTAAAACTGACTGACTGACTGACTGACTTTCCTTCTCTCCTGCCCAAGCTGGTGGAGCTGAAAAACCTCCAGCAGCAGTACCTGCAGGTTGGGGTGGACACAGCAGAGATCGCGCGCCTGAAGGCCCAGGTGGAAGAGCAGAAGCAAGAGGTGGAGCATCTGAGGCAGGACGGGGCCTCTTGGCAGATGGAGCTCCACCAGCTCAGGTGAGTCTCACCCTGTCACAGAGGCAGGGGGAAAGCTTAGTGCTGGAAGTTTCAGCACAGAGCAAAGAAACACCTCCTCTAAGCAGTGCATTCTTAAACTACGGAACTCCCTGCCACTGGAGGCAGGGATGGCCACCAACCTGGTGTTGGGATGTGTCCGGGGAGACGGGGGCATTTGGCAGGCCCCCAGCTGGCTCCAGCCACTGGCCGGCAGCCGGGCGAACTCCGGAACAGCATCAATCAGCGACTTGAGCCTCCAATACATTCAGAAGCTGAGCACACTCATCAGCAGAGTGAGTAAATCTTCACAACGGAAGTGGCGGACAGAGACATGTGTAAGCATTATTTACAGGCGTTTATTCAGCATAGTCCAGGAACAAAGGCAAACATGTCTGCTTCCCTTCGTGTTCAACAAAAGAGCAATATAGCAAAAGCAATATACAACGGAAATTCCCAGCAGGCTGTGCTGGAAGTAAACAGGCATGTGACACACAACAGTCATGCCTGTTCCTTTTAAGGTGGAATGGAACTATATCCCAACATCCTCCCCCTTTCCATGTAATTTGTAGTACCTGTGGTTCAACCCAATTGCAACCTCTGTACATAAACCTTAAGTTGTTTTCTGTTAACGACCGTAGAAAACAGATCTGCAGGAATTTCATTGCCTGGCATGTAGAACACCTGAAGGAGTCCTTTCTGAATATACTCTCTTGCACGATGTAACGAGGTATAAAGTGTGGGTGCTGCCACGTTAAATGCCAATTTCTTACAAAAGCAGAATGGGTATGATGTGGCCCTTTTCCTTTTTATTTGTTCTGACTTTTGTCAAAATTGCACCCCGTTCTTCTCTCAGGTTGGTGCAGCAGGGGTTGCCATTATCCTCACAGCTGCCTTTGACTCGCGATCAAGCAGCGAGTTTCGCGGCTGGCCAAGGATTTGAACTCGGGCTTCTTCAGATCCAACCCCAGCCTTCCACACCGGCTGCTGCGCACATTCATTTCTCTAGCAAATCTCCTCTGTCTGGAGCCTGGCCTTGGGGCACCCTCCTTGACAGTTCCCCAGAGCTCTCTTGACTTTGGTGCAACAACCGCTGTTCCCAAACTCATCACAGCCTCACCAGGAAGCACCATGTGAGCTTTGGTGGGCAGGTCGCCCTTTTCCCCCACCCCACCATGTGCCGCCTCTGCAGTTCCTCTCTTGTGATGTCTTGCAGGGAGGAGAAAGCATCTTGGAAGCTGGAGGCCCCATCGGCCACGGGGCAGGAGCAGAGTTCCTTGCGGAGAGCAGTGCAGGAGGGAGAGAGACCTGGTGCACGAATCGTGGTGGAAGAGGAGCAGCGCCAGAGACAGGTGAGGCTGGGGGTGGTGTGGTGGGTGGGACTGACGTCGCACCGGGGCCCTTTGCCCAGGCCTTTTCCCAAACTGAGGTTACAAGAACATCAGGAAAAGCTTTCTTGAGAGTTGTTAGACAATCCTTCCTTGGAGGTTTATAAGCAGAGGTCGAAGGACCACCTGTCATGTATGATCTAGTGGAGATTCCTGCATTTCAGGGGGTTGGACTTGGGTCCCTTCCAACATGACAATATAATAATAATAATAATAATAATAATAATAATAATAATAATAATAATTTATTTATACCCTGCCTATCTGGCTGGGTTTCCCCAGCCACTCTGGGCAGCTCCCAATAGAATATTAAAAACACGATCAAACATTAAAAACTTCCCTAAACAGGGCTGCCTTCAGATGTCTTCTAAAAGTCAGATAGTGGTTCCTTGACATCTGATGTGAGGGCGTTCCTCAGTGTGGGTGCCACCACCGAGAAGACCCTCTACCTGGTTTTTATGCTTCCATGCCATCCTGTTTCTTTCTTTTTAAAAAGATTTTATTGAAGTAAATCAAACAAACAGGCAATAACCACACAAGGGTTACATTTGAGGGGTCCACATGCAAAGGCAAAATCAGGAAGACCCTCAAATGCTCCCCAACCTCTGCTTGATTCTTCCTGCCTGTCTGGAGTGGGCTTTGCCTACTGGCCCTATAGGGAGGTTGGGAGAGTCTGGTAAGCCCTTCGGGTCCCTTCCAAGACTCCACTTCCGTCATTTCTGTACATCTAGGTCTTGGCCTAGGGACGTGGGTGGCGCTGTGGGTTAAACCACTGAGCCTAGGGCTTGCTGATCAGAAGGTCAGCGGTTTGAATCCCCACAACAGGGTGAGCTCCCGTTGCTCGGTCTCTGCTCCTGCCAACCTAGCAGTTCAAAAGCACATAAAAGTGCAAGTAGATAAACAGGTACCACTCCGGTGGGAGGGTAAACAGCGTTTCCGTGCGCTGCTCTGGTTCGCCAGAAGCGGCTTAAGTCATGCTGGCCACATGACCCAGAAGTTGTACGCCGGCTCCCTCGGCCAATAAAGCGAGATGAGCGCTGCAACCCCAGAGTTGGCCACGACTGGACCTAATGGTCAGGGGTCCCTTTACTGTTACCTAGGTTTTGGCCGGGCTCTTGGGAGCCCCTGGCCCTTGGCTGTGCAGTTCCCCCAGGCCCAGCTGAGTGGCTGTGCACCGAGGGCTCAGGTATTTGTCTCCCTGCAGGCTGCCCCAGGAGTCACCGGTTCCAGCAAGACTTTGCAGGGAGCTGTGTCTGGTCAAGAGGCTGATACCAACAGCCTCCAGGCCCAGCTGAGCAGCACTTTGAAGGAGCTGCACCAAAAAGAATTGCGGGTCCAGCAGCTGAACAGCAAGGTAGGAGGGAGGGCAAGGGGAGGTGGGTGGGCTCCTCAGAATGTGCATATTATGCATCAGTGACGGTGAGGGAATTGTCTGTTGTTCAAAGTGGATTGTCTCCAGTTCTTGTGCTTTCCCTCTCCTCGCAGTGACCACCTCTGCTCTCCCTGTGTCAAATGTGCTTCTTCCTCACAGAGGATTAAAGCCCTCCGGTTTGTTTCCACAGACAGGACGGCCAGAAACTGACAGAATAGAATAGAATAGAATAGAATAGAATAGAATAGAATAGAATAGAATTTATTATTTATACCCCACCTATCTGGCTGGATTTCCTCAGCCACTCAGGGCAGCTTCCAACAGAGTATTAAAATACAGTGGTCTGTTAAACATTAAAAGTTTCCCTAAACAGGGCTGCCTTCAGATGTCTTCTAAAAGTCTGGTAGTTGTTGTTCTCTTTGACATCTGGTGGAAGGGCGTTCCACAGGGCGGGCGCCACCACCGAGAAGGCCCTCTATCTGGTTCCCTGTAACTTGGCTTCCCGCAGTGAGGGAACCGCCAGAAGACCCTTGGCATTGGACCTCAGTGTCCGGGCAGAACGAAGGGGGTGGAGACGCTCCTTCAGGTCTACTGGCATAGCTGTCAACCTTCCCTTTTTTTGCGGGAAATTCCCTTATTCCAGCGCCGTTTCCCACTGCTTCCTGCTGCTATCCCAGATTGATAGATATCCCGTAGACTGTCCCCGGGACAGGTGAGGCTGCTGATCCCTTATTTTTGAAGCTGCTCATCCCTTATTTTCAAATCTGAAAGTTGACAGCTATGTCTACTGGACTGAGGACCTTTAGGCTTTAAAGCACCAACACTTTGAATTATGCTCAGAAACATCCTGGGGGACATGATGGTCAGCTGAGGAAGACATCTCAGCCCCTCTCTCCAGCTCTCTCAGGTCTTCGAGGAGAAGAACTCGCTCTCCCTCCAGCTGCGGGGGAGCAGCCGCAACCTGCGCGAGAGCCACCAGCGCTACAACGAGGTTCTTGCCCGCTGTGAGGCCCTGGAGAATCAGCTGCGGGAGCTCCAGACCCCAGTGAAGGACTCGGTAAGCCTGAGACTCGCTGGGCTGCAGAGGCCGACTGAAACCGTGCCATTCTCAGACTACACGCAAATTCTGGTTCCCTCTCTCGGTTACAGCTCCCTATCAGAGCACGTGTGTTTGCTTCAGGCCTGTAAGCCTGGCTGCCTCTGCCATGCAAGAATTGCCTGAAACCTGGCCATGGGGGGGGGGTGGCACTCGTGCAGGACCTGTGGCGATCTGTCCCGTGCCTTAATGTGTGCTTTCTGCCCTGCCCAGGGCTCCCTGCCGACAGACGCTGCTCCCGGAGCCCCCCAGGAAAGAAGTGAGCACCCCAGGGAGAGCTACACGCCCGAGCTGCAGGAACTGCAGATGAGGTGAGTGCCAGTTTTGGAGCCGGGAGGTGGTGGTTGCTCACAACCACCCTGTGAGGTAGGTTAGGCTGAGAGAGGCAATGACTGCCCCCCCCCGACACCCAAGGAGCTTCGTGGTGGAGCAGGGATTCAAACCCTGGTCTCTCTCGGGTCCTAGTCCAGCTCTAACCACTGTGCCGCATGGCATAGGCCGTGCAGCTGCCATCAGGGAGAGCCTTGCTCCTCACCGCCCTTCTCTTTGCTGCAGGCTCTCGGAGGCCAGGCAGCAGCAGAGCAGCGCCAGGCAGGGCCTCTTGCACCTGGAGGAGCTGCTGCAGGAGGAGCGGGACCAGCGCCTGGCGGCCGAGGAGGCCTTTGCTGCAGCCCAGGATCACATCCGCAGGTGAGTCACGGGCCTGGCCCCGGCTTCCATGACCAGGTTGTGTGTGTGTGTAAAGATATAGATATAGATATATAGATAGATATAGATAACGTACGCATACAGTGGACGCTGGGGTTGTGAACATGTTCCATGTGGGATGCACATTCGCAACCCGCAGCGGCATCTCGGCACATGTGTGGGTTGCGGTTCGGCGCTTCTGCGCATGCGCAAAGCGCGATTTAGCACTTCTGCGCATGTGCAACTGCCAAAACCTGGAGATAACCCGTTCCAGTACTTCCGGGTTTTGGCGGGTCCGTAACCCGAAAAAATGCAACCTTTAGCGTCTGTAACCCAAGGTATGACTGTGTGTGTGTGTGTGTGTGTGTGAGTGTGTTTGTGTATACATATACATGTACATATACATATACATACATACTGTATTTTTCTGTGTATAAGATGCCCCCATGTATTAGACGGCTCCTATTCTGGGGGACTAAATTTAAAGAAAATGAGGGGAGATGGCCCAAAGTTGTTGCCCTTTTTTAAGGGGGAATTGCACCCCAGCAGAACCATTGCTGGGGATTGGCAAAGTGGGCAGCTGCTCCCCCCACACTCTCATGTTCGGGCATCCCAGCGGACACTGAGCTGCTTTGGGCAAAAGATTCCTGCATTTGAAGGGGTTTCATTACATGGCCCTCCTGGTCCCTTCCAAATCTGGATCAGGCCAGCAGCCCATCCTGTCCTCACACTGGCCAGCCAGATGCAAATGGGATCCGAGTACAAGAGCAGCTTCCCCTACTGAGGTTTCCAGCAAGCAGGATCCAGGAGCGTTGCTGCTTCCAGCGTGACTTGGAAGAGGCCAGTCGAAGCGGCCTTCCAGAAGGGCTTCCACAACCCATGATAGGGGCCAGGGCTGACTGATCCACAGTTGGCTGATCCCTCCCCGCTAAACCATAGCTGTCAACGTTTCCCTTTTTTAAAGGGAAATTCCCTTATTCCTAATAGAATTCCTTGCAAGAAAAGGGAAAAATTGACAACTATGCTAAACTGATGAATCAAGGAAGTACAGTGGTACCTCTGGTTGCAGACGCTTCAGGTTACCGTCTCTGCTAACCCAGAAATAGTACCTCGGGTTAAGAACTTATTGCAAAGTATTGGAAGACACAAGATTTACCCACCCTGGAAGAGTGGCAGATGAAGGTGATGGACTATATGGAATTGGCGGAAATGACTGGCAGAATCCGAGACCAGGGAGAAGAGTTGGTGGAAGAAGATTGGAAGAAATTTAAAGACTATTTGCAGAAATACTGTAAAATTAATGAATGTTAAAATGATGTTGGATTGAAAATAAGTGGTTTTGGTAATAAGCTTAAAAAGAATATGCAAATACAGATAGTCATATGGACAAAAATATATAGTTATAATAGGTTAAGTCACAGAGTAAAGATAAATGAAAGAGGGTAAGGATTTGCTGAAAGGATTTTGTAAACGGGAATACAAAAAGGGGAGGTGTGAGGAGGTCAAGGAAATAAGTAAATGAGCCTAAAGATATTGAAAAATGGATTTTTCTTTAATTTTTTTTTTAAGCCATCTGTTTTTTGTATTTTGTATTTCCTTTTTTTTCTCTCTCTCTCTTCTAGGATTTTTTTTTCTTTTTTTTTGGTAATTTTTTGTATTTTTCTTGTTATCTTTTTTCTTTTTCTGTCTATGTTTCCTTTTTAGTTTGTTAAACCTATGTTTATTGTAAAATCCTAATAAACATTTTATATAAAAAAAAGAGGAACTTTGCTTCAGGATGAGAACAGAAATCGTGCTCTGGTGGTGCAGCGGCAGCAGGAGGCCCCATTAGCTAAAGTGGTACCTCAGGTTAAGAACAGTTCAAGGTTAAGAACGGACCTCCAGAACGAATTAAGTTCTTAACCCGAGGTACCACTGTAGATGCCACTCTGAGGTGCACAGAGCCCCAGTGGCAATGCAGATTTCCCTCACCCCAGAGCTGAGCTCCACCGATGTCCTGAGTTGGGGCGGGGGCTGTGTACAATTTTGGAGGCCATATTTGCCGCTGACGTAGCCCCAAGGAGTTGGCTCCTTTGAACTGAAAGAATAGCCACCCTTGGTCTGAGGGGTATAGCTGCTTGTTCAAGCATCTTGGCTGCTCATGGGCTGCCCGGCTGCCCGTCAGCCATGGGGCACTAATCCGCGTCTCTCTCTCTCTCTCTCTCTCCCCCCTGCAGGTTAGAATCAAGTGAGTGGGCCCACTCTTTGGACACCAGCATTGAAATACCCACCAGCCCTGAGCACGCCCTGCTTGTAGGTCCCACAGACACCTCTTACAGCAAGGTAAGCCTCTTCCCAGCAGGCGAGGGCCCACCTCTCCTACAAGGGAGCCTCAGCTCCACTCTCTCCCTCCACCCCAGCCAGAGTGGGCAAGCCAAGCTAGAATGATCTGCCATCAGTGGGCATCTTTAAGGCCAAGTCTGTCCACAATCCACTTGGGTCATTTGAACCTGACTGCCTTTCCAGTTACAAACAGCATCTTCTGGTTCTCCCTGCTGCACCAGACATTGCATTACTGTTCATTTATATGCTGCCTTTCAGCCGAAAAGCCTTCCGTCAAGAAATAAATGCATGCAAATACAGAGTAATGCACACAGTACAAGTTCAGCAGTGGTAGAACACGTCTGTGTACCTACCAAAAGATGGTGATGAATGTTCCCTACAAAAATGTTAAGACAAGAAGCGGCATCTTCGCTTTGCAAGGGTCCCAGGCATCCGGGATAAGGCAAGGCAGGTGGGAAAACATTCCCGTGATGGCTCCAGCAGACTCTCCCCTGTAGCAATATACAGTGGTACCTTGGCAGTTGAACGGAATCCGTTCCTGAAGTCCGTTCGACATTTGGAAACCAAAGTGCAGCTTCCGATTGGCTGCAGGAAGCCCCATCGGACGTTCGGCTTCCGAAAACAGGTCGCAAACCAGAACACTCACTTCCGGGTTTGCAGCATTCAGGAGCCAAAGCGTTCGAGAACCAAGCTGTTCGAAAACCAGGGTACAATTGTATAACCTCCTGCAAAAGTCAATGCGCTTCGCTTCTGGAACCCATAGAATAGGAATAGGAAATAGGAAATTTATACCTCGCCCATCTGGCTGGGTCTCCCCAGCCACTCTTGGTGGCTTCCAACAGAGTATTAAAATACAATGGTCTATTAAACATTAAAAACCTCCCTAAAGAGGGCTTCCTTCAGATGTCTTCTAAAAGTTTGGTAGTTATTTTTCTCTTTGACATCTGGTGGAAGGGTGTTCCACAGGGTGGGTGCCACCACCGAGAAGGCCCTCTGCCTGGTTCCCTGTAACTTGGCTTCTCAAAGTGAGGGAACCGCCAGAAGACCCTCGGTGCTGGACCTCAGTGTCCAGGCAGAAGGATGGGGATGGAGACGCTCCTTCAGGTATGCTGGATCGAGGCCGTTTAGGGCTTTAAAGGTCAGCACCAACACTTTGAATTGTGCCTGGAAACGTACTGGTGAAACCCAAATGGGCCCATGTTGCTGTCCTAGGCACCTGCCTCTCCTGTGGCCCTTTGCGACAGGAGTTGACTTGAGTTGAAGCCCCCCTTTGGTAGACTTGCCTCGTAACCTCTCCTTGCTTTCTCCCCAGACTCGAGGGGGCGTGGGGCTGCGGCGCATCCTCCACTCGCTCTTCTGTTCCCGCCGGCGCCTGCCCCTCCTGGCAACTCTCTACCTCCTCACGGTCCACGTGCTCCTCCTTCTCTGCTTCACGGGCCACTTGTGAGAACAGCCCCCCGGAGTGGGGTGGGGCACGTGAGTTGTCCGGGTTGCTGCCGAGCCCCCGTCCCTGGAGGACCCTGCCTTGCTGTCGACGGATGAGAAGGCTGATTTGGGAGACTCCGTCACCTTGGGGAGGCTGGCTGGAGGCCGCAGGGAGTGTTGCAGAGAGCTCAGGGTGGCCCCCAGCCCGCGGAAGGGCGGGGCCAGCGGCCCTTGACTGGGCCACGCGTTGGTTTTGTTCGTGTTCTTCGAGGGAAGTGTTGGGGGGTGGCGGCGTTTACACGGTTCACTTTTGCACACTGAATTCGGGGTGAAGTCGCTTCGCGTTTAACCTGGCGCCTTCCAGATCTGTTTTAGACTATGATTCTCACCAGCCCTCAGCAATGGAGGGGCTGAGACTTTGAAACATCTGGGGGGCACCAGGTTTCCAAAGTTCATTTGGGAGGGGAATACAAGCGGAGGTTGTGCCTAAGGTCCTCCCCCCCCCCCCATTTTTAACAATGCTGCAGTGGTTGTAATCTACAGGCGAAGGGAAGTCAGTCTGTGGAATCGCAGCCCACCGAGGGCCAGACCCGCTTTCTGTGCTGATTCCGCAGGTATTGGCAGAGCCTGATTCTGGGGAAGGGACCAAGGGGAACTCGATCAACTTCCAGCTTGCCTTTTCTCTCTTTTATTTCTTCGTGCTCTGTGATTTTGGCACCAGGGGGGCTGGAAGGGTGGCATCGAAAGGGACAGAAGCCCCAGGCGTACATCTCTTATCGGCGGCTCCCCACCCGACAGAGGCAGAGAGAAGGGGGTTGAATGGCTTCATGCTCACCAGTGAAGATAAATCAACTTGTCTGTGGCCGCTGAGCCCGTTTCCTACACCATGCAGAGGAGAGGAAATCAGGGTAGATGTGGGGGGAGCAGAGTTATGAAACCCACCCCTCAGCTTTCCGTTGGAGGGGCAGGATGTCTTAGCCCTGCTTGGTGGGGTGTTTTAACTGTTTCCATTGTGCACAGACATTTTGGGATAGCTCTTCCCTTGCAGTTCAGGAGGCTGCTGGAAGCATCCTCTGTGGTCGTCGAGCTGAGACCCTGCCAGCCGTTTTTTGGGGGTGTTCCCAGCGTGTGGTGTGTAGACTTCCCTTGTCCCTCTTCCTTTCAAATCCAGTCTTCTCTTGAAATCCTATCCTTGTGCAATAAAGATTATTTTTTCGAGCGAGTCGTGTGAATGCTGTGATTGGGTCGGACTCTGCCTGCTGTGGTTCTCACATTCGGCTCTGACACCCCTTTATTATAACTTCGACAGCACGGTTGGATGCACTCCGGAATTTGGCAGCTCAAGGGTAACAAAAGATAAATCAGAAGTAATTTTGCAATACTTACGTGAAATATACAGACAGCTCTTGGCTCTAAATGCAAACATGGAAGCACATAGAAATTTTTGGGTGCGCTAATATTAGTCAGAGAAAATGGGAATGTCGGGAATAGCTATTTTAGCTGAGCTTTCTAAGAATTTCAGGATAATAATAATTAATCAATTTTATTTATACTCCACCCTCCCCAGCCAAGACTGGGCTCAGGGCGGCTAACACCAAATATAAAAACAATTGACTGAAATACAGCTTTAAAAAACAAGATTAAAATACAACATTAAAACATTACAATGCAACCTCATTTCAGTAGAAACTCAATCAAAAGCCCTGTGGACAGAAGCGTGAAGGGTAGCAGAAGGCGAAACTAGGCACATCTCTAATGCGTTTGCTACGTTTTATGAAAACGTGCATATCTGGTAACCCTGACCCTGAGAACATCGACAAATATTTGATTTAAGACTCGAGATCACAGAGTGGTATTAAAAGAACCTATTTCAGCAATTGAAATAGAAGACATTATTTTTTTTAAAAAAAACAAAATTGGTGGGAGGAACCCTTGGCATGGATGGATTGGGGGGGTGAATTTTGTAAGTTCTTAAAAGAGCAACTTCTACCACAGCTGCATAAACCGTTCAACTTGGAGGGACTGTAATGTTTGTGCTGTTGAAGCCATGCAAGGACCGTGCTCTTTTGGGATCCTACCATCCCATAATTCTCCTTAACACGGGACACGGAAGATTCGGGGCAGGCAAATGAAAATCCTTCACAAAGCACGTAACCTGTGGAACTCCCTGCCACCGGAGGCAATGGCAACTACCAACCTAGATGGCTTTAGAAGAGAATTGGAGAACTTCAACGGCTTCTTGCCACGACGGCTGTGCTGTGTGCACTTGGAGGCAGCAACGCTTCTGAAAGCTAGTTGCTGGAAACCCCAGGAGAGGGCTCTTGTGTTCGAATCCTGCTTGCGCGCTTCCCACAATGCATACCCTCCAATAGGCCCTAGAAGAAAACCAGGATGTGCATATTTTGGGGCCGTGATCTCCCAGGAGCCAGGTGACTTGCAAGAGAGCACAGCCCCCCCCCCCTGAAAACGGGATGTCCCACTTAAATTGGGACAACTGAGGGGGATGATAATGGACATCTGGTTGAGCACTGCGAGAACAAGATGCTGGAATAGATGTCTAATTGGCCTGATCCAGCAGACTTTTGCGTTCCTATTTATAATCCTGACACTCGAGGGGGTCTGAAGATGATCTTTCTGGTGTTGAGGGCAGTGTGAGGAACTGTTCTCTTGGGTCTACTGCCAGTCAATTTCGCTGAACTTTAACATGGGAAGAGGATGGGGAAAACAACTTATTATTATTATTATTATTATTATTATTATTATTATTGTTATTAATACTCCGCCTATCTGGCTGGGTTTCCCCAGCCACTCTGGGCGGCTTCCAACAGAATATGAAAAACACAATACAGTATTAAACATTAAAAACTTTCCTTAAACAGGGCTGCCTTCAGATGTCTTCTAAAAGTAAAATAGTTCTTTCCTTGACATCTGATGGGAGGGTGTAATAATAATAATAATAATAATTTATTATTTATATCCCGCTCATCTGGCTGGGTTTCCCCAGCCACCCTGGGCAGCTCCTAACAAAATATTAAAAACAATAAATACATCAAACATTGAAAACTTCCCTAAACAGGGCTGCCTTCAGATGTCTTCTAAAAGTCTGGTAGTTGTTGTTCTCTTTGACATCTGGTGGGAGGGCGTTCCACAGGGTGGGCGCCACCACTGATAAGGCCCTCTGCCTGCTTCCCTGTAACTTGGCTTCTCGCAGCGAGGGAACCGCCAGAAGGCCCTGGGCGCTGGACCTCAGTGTCCGGGCTGAACGATGGGGGTGGAGACGCTCCTTCAGGGATACAGGACCAAGGCAGTTTAGGGCTTCAAAGGTCAGCACCAACACTTTGAATTGTGCTCGGAAACGTCCTGGGAGCCAATGTAGGTCTTTCAAGACCGGTGTTACGTGGTCTTGGCCGCCGCTCCCAGTCACCACAGGGCAGGCGCCACCACCGAGAAGGCCCTCTGCCTGGTTCCCTGTAACCTCACTTCTCTCAGCAAGGGAACCACCAGAAGGCCCTCGGAGCTGGACCTCCGTGTCTGGGCAGAACAATGGGGGGAAACGCACCCTCTCCACTCTGCGTGATCTAAAAGCCTCGCGTTCAGAAGCCTTTCCTCCTATGGAAAGCAACGAGGCGCTTCCTCTCTGCACCCAAGGCTTGTGGGTGGGTGTGCTCTGCTGCGAAACGTCTTCCTCCTGGCTCACAGGAAATGGAACAAGTTTTGTGCAGTTAAAACAGGAACTTGGGTGAGCTCAGCCTTACAGCCGAAACCGAGGTCGAAGTCAGCTAAGAGGAGCAATCACGACGGGCTTCGGAAGTCACCTTTCCGAACCAAGGTACTGCTTTGGGGTGGGGGGAATTGTCAGGAAAGTTGCAATTGGGGGGGGGGGGGCTTGGGGAGGGAGGTGTCTGGTCCTGTTCTGGTCTCCTACCCCTCAATTCTGGGTAGTTAGACTATGGAACTCCCTGCCACAGGAAGCAGCGGTGGCCACCAGCTTAGATGGCTTTGAAAGCGAATTTGACAAATTCATGGAGGGAGGGGAGGACTAGCGATGGCTACTGCCCACAATGGCTCTGTTCTGGAAACCGCAAGAGGGGAGAGCTGTTCTTGTGCACTGATCCTGCTTGCGAAGTTCCCCCTGGGGCATCTGTTCAGCCACTGCGAGAACAGACGCTGGACCAAATAGGCCACTGGCCTGATCCAGCAGGATCTTCACCCTTCCCGGTGTGATAAGAAAAAACAACTGCTCCTTTCCCTTATGGAGTACCCAAGAGCCCATATAGGGTCCTTATGTAGGTTCTCTTATCGGCAGGAGAAAATAACAGGCCAAACAGAGAATATTGAAAAGCAAAGCAGCTATTAAGCCTGATCTTTATTAATCTGTTGCAACAGGGTCCCCACACACCCCACGCAGGGAAAGGAGGAACCCTGAACATTGGTTCACAAGCCCTTATATAGACTTTTGAAATTGCTTCCCTTGTAACTCAAGACCACCCCCAAAAACATCATACATGCATCACAGAAAGAGGTGGTCCCCAGCAGAAATTTGAGTGTGTTGCTTCTCTCCTGTCTGCCAGGATACTTGCCTTATTATTATCTGATTGCCTTTTCTGGGTAGCCTGGCCATTCCTTGAAGATGGTAAATACTTAGTTCCTGAATCTCTTACGCATGTTGATAGTGTGCTCAGATTAACAGATACTTGCCAGACTGTATTCACAGGGAGGTGTAAGCAGCCCCTGCAGTCCAAAGACAATTGGAAAGCTTTCCCCATCTCCTTCCTCCTTGCAGAGAAATATTCGAGGTAAATCTGGGAGAGTCAAAATGGCTTCAGGATTGTTTTCCTGTACTATTTCAGAGATGTGGTTTATATACTTATGTATATGTTTGCATTGTGCATTTATGAACATTTATTATATATTAGAATTCCTATAACACCAGATAAGGAGCTGCTGCCCAGGTTTGTAGCACCCAAGTGGGCAGGATGAAGAAGCAACATTCTTTGCTCAGCTGGGTGTATTGGGAAGGAAATTTGCTATACATTCTGGTGTGGCCAGAGATGAGGGACAGCCAAGCATTTTTGGCGCATTCCATTTTCTTTTCATTTCACTTTTAATATGTGTTCTGCCTCCTTTCCACATGACTATGCACAAAGCCATTGACAAGCCGAAGGAGCAACAGTGACTGTACACCTTACAGCAACCTGATCTAATGCAATAATAATAATAATAATAATAATAATAATAATAATAATAATTAATTATTTATACCCCGCCCATTGGCTGGGCTTCCCCAGCCACTCTGGGTGGCTTCCAAGAAAATTAAAATACTGTAATACATCAAACATTAAAAGCTTCCCTAAACAGGGCTGCCTTCAGCCCTGTCATAATAAAAGTCACAATGATGTCATAATATCATGTCATAATAAAAGCATAACTTTAAACAACTTCCATCAAATAAAGTAATAATAATCCTTTAGAATATGAAAGTACACAATAAAATTAAATACCAGCAAATAATAATTAAACAGAGATTCACTCTTAATGATCACAATAAACAATTTCTAAACTATGTTACCGGAATTTATTCAAAGGTTGAGGGGGGCGGTTTGCCCCTCCAGTGGACATCACACACTGCCCCAAATCAACACAATCACTCCTGCTGCATCTGTCCCCACAGAACACTTCAACACACAGGATTCCCACCCCAATCTATTATTATTATTATTATTATTATTATTATTATTATTATTATTAATTTAAATCATTTTTATTAAGTTTTCCATTTTAACAATCCAATCAAATCACATTAAATATGCCAAATTATACATATACATATCAAATAATAATCCAAATATTCTGCTGAATTATAATTTTTTTATTGGGACTTCCCATGCTTCGAGTTCGGGGGGGCTCTGATCGTCTCATATCTCTGCTGCTTTTGATAGTCATTTCTAATAGTTCCTTTAAATCTTCCTGTTGTTTTCCTTCTTTCACGGCCTCAGAGTTGTTTCTACAAGCGAGTTGAAGTAAAATAATGTGTTTCTGTGTGAATTTTATGTGAATCTCTATTCAAAGGGCCTCCGCTGCACATTACCAAATGTGACGATTCACTGATAGACGTATCTATGTACTGGCTCAATGGGAAAACTTTCAGATTTGTGCCATTCCAACTTTGTTCTGCTCAGGGGAAAGATGGCTACCGAAGGGGGACTTGGGACACAAGGAAAGGCAACCCTCATCCCCAAAACCTGAGAACACGTCCTCAGCAGCCTCTTGCACAAGAGATAATCATGGGGGGGGGGGGGGCTAATGATCTCAACTAATTTGGAGGTCCACTTGGTAGCCACGGGGATGAATCACACTCTTGTTTCAGACCGTGTGGTTTAAGGCTCACGTGTCTCTTGAATGAAAACGAGAGACCTCTCTTCCCCTATTTTGCTTTTTCAGTTCTTCCCCATCCTCTTCTCCACTCCCCCCCCCCGCCAGGTGTCGTGGATTTAAATTTGTCTTTTTAAGCAGCCCCTCCCTCTCCTTGCAACCCCCCCCCCCAAAAATTGTTATGTACTGAAGTTCTCACCCTGGGCCAGCAGGGGGATACTGTAGATCGTTTTCACTCAGGTCCACATATGCAAATAAGGGATTGAAAGTGATGTTCAGTGATTGGATAGTTACAGAAAGTTGTTACTGTTGCTTTGTAGTTGAGCTTTATATAAGCAGGCTGGCTGAGCCCTTCAGTTCAGTTCTGTTCTGGCCTGTGAATAAACAAGAGCTGTCTGAAGAATTGCTGTGTCTTCTGATATGTTCACCCACAACTTAACCAAAACATCTCTCCCTAGTTGATTCTCCTCTCCTGGATTTGCAGCAGCCTCCTTGTTCTTGCGGCTGTGATCAAAATGGGAGGCGCACTCCTCCTGCAAGTGGGGAGACACATGACCCCTTTTGGGGGTGTCGCTTCCCCATTACAGATAACCGCTGCCCTAGGGTGAGGGGAAGAGCATGGCCCCACAGATTCCTGAGCAACATACATGCATGCGAGTTCCTTAAGATCAGGGGTCCCCAAACTAAGGCCCGAGGGACTCGTTTATCTGGCCCGTGGCGACCCCCGCCGCCCGCTGCCGCCGCCCGCTCTTACCAGCGCTGCGCTGCGCAGCTGCCCACTTCAGGGTTGGAGGAGCACCAGAAATAGCTTGTGCGCATGCGCATGCATTATTTGAGCATGCACAAGCGTTATTTCCAGTGCACATCCAGGTCGGAGGAGGCCTGTACCCATGTGCACAAGCTATTTCCAGTGCTCCTCCGACTCGGAAGTGCGCTGGAAATAGCGTGTGCACACACATATGGGCACGCGCTCCCCCGCCCTCCAGCCTGCCGCACAATCGGCACTGGAGACATCGGCCCGAGGCGTAGTAAGTTTGCTGACCCCTGCTCAAGATGCTGCTGCAAAAACTGCTTTTCTTTTCTTGCATTTCTCTGGCTACATGAATTGTCTCTGGTGCTCCCTCACCTGACCTCAAGTCCTCTGCTTGCTTAAGAAGAGTTTGAATTTGATACCCCGCTTTATCACTACTTGAAGGAGTCTCAAAGCGGCTAACATTCCCCTTTCCCTTCCTCCCCCACAACAAACACTCTGTGAGGTGAGTGACGCTGAGAGACGTCAGAGAAGTGTGACTATCCCAAGGTCACCCAGCAGCTGTATGTGGAGGAGCGGGGAATCGAACCCAGTTCACCAGATTACGAGTCCACCGCTCTTAACCACTACACCACACTGGCTCTTAATACAGCGCCACCGTGTCTTATACTGGGGTTCAGTTCCAAGGAGTTTCACATTATTACAGGAAAAACCTCCTTCTTCTCCCCTATGGGCTATCCAAGAGCCCGTAGAGAGTCCTTAAGTGGGTTCCCTATCGGTAGGAGAAAATAACAGAGGCCAACCAGAGAATATTGTGAAGCAAAGCAGCTAGTAAGCCCAATCTTTATTCAAGGAACTGTTGCAACAGGGTCCCCACTCACGACACACAGTAGGAAGGAGAACCCCGAATAATGGTGTGCAAGCCCTTATATGTTGTTGCTGTTGAGTCGTTTAGTCGTGTCCGCCTCTTCGTGACCCCCTGGGTCAGAGCACGCCAGGCCCTCCTGTCTTCCACTGCCTCCCGCAGTTTGGTCAGGCTCATGTTTGTAGCTTCGAGAACACTGTCCAACCATCTCGACCTCTGTCGTCCCCTTCTCCTTGTGCCCTCCATCTTTCCCAACATCAGGGTCTTTTCCAGGGAGTCTTCTCTTCTCCTGAGGTGGCCAAAGTCTTGGAGCCTCAGCTTCAGGATCTGTCCTTCCAGTAAGCACTCAGGGCTGATTTCCTTCAGAATAGAGAGGTTTGATCTTCTTGCAGTCCATGGGACTCTCAAGAGTCTCCTCCAGCACCATAATTCAAAAGCATCCATTCTTCGGCGATCAGCCTTCGTTATGGTCCATATAGACTTATAGCCTTTTGAAATTGCCCATCCTGTAGCCCAAGACCACCCCCCAAAACATCATGCATACATTCCAAAAGCTCTACAGCAGAAGTCTTGTTTGCCAGGATATCTGTTAATGAGCCAGTGTGGTGTAGTGGTTAAGAGCGGTAGTCTCGTAATCTGGGGAACCGGGTTCGCGTCTCCGCTCCTCTACATGCAGCTGCTGGGTGACCTTGGGCGAGTCACACTTCTTTGAAGTCTCTCAGCTCCACTCACCTCACAGAGTGTTTGTTGTGGGGGAGGAAGGGAAAGGAGAATGTTAGCCGCTTTGAGACTCCTTAAAGGGAGTGAAAGGCGGGATATCAAATCCAAACTCTTCTTCTCTTCTTCTTCACTGATTGGGCAGTCTGGCCATTTTTTTGTGATGGCAAATACTTTAGTTCCTGAATCCAGGTCACAGGCTCACCCTATTCATACACAAATGCGGTCTTAAGACAGGATATGCAAGCAAAAAGACAAAGGGAAGACTTTCCCCATTTCCCCCGCCTTGCAGGGAAATATATTGAAGTCAATTTGGGAGAGTCCAAATGGCTTCAGGGTTGCTCTCCTGTACTATTTCAGACACATGGTTTATATACTTACGTATGTGTTTGCCTTGTGCATTTATGAGCATTTAATTTGTATTTGGCACCTTAGAATTCTTATCACAATGTATCATAATGTACAGTGGTGCCCCGCAAGACGAATGCCTCGCAAGACGGAAAACGCTAGACGAAAGGGTTTTCCGTTTTGGAGGTGCTTCGCAAAACGAATTTCCTATGTGCTTGCTTCGCAAGACGAAAATGTCTTGCGAGTTCCTGCGGGGTTTTTTTCCTCCCCCCCCTTTTTCCCAAGCCACTAAACCGCTTATCAGCTGATGGCTAAGCCGCTTAACAGCTGATCGCTAAGCCGCTTATCAGCTGATCGTTAAGTCGCTTATCAGCTGATCTTTAAGCCGCTTAACAGCTGATCGCTAATCCGCTTATCAGCTGATCCGCTAAGCCCGCTAAGCCGCTAATACTGTAGCGCTAATCCGCTAAACCGCTAATGGGCTTGCTTCGCAAGACGAAAAAACCCGCAAGACGAAGAGACTCGCGGAACGGATTCTTTTCGTCTTGCGAGGCACCACTGTATATGTAGAACTGGACTCCCAGGCAGAATAGAGCGATACTATGACTTCGATAGGGCAGAACTATTACTTATAATTTTTCTCCCTCTCTCCTCGAGATGTGGAAGGCCGTGGTGGGACACAATGTGTCTGTGAAGGTGGAGTCCCAAGGAGACGACTGGGACACAGACCCCGATTTTGTGGTGAGTTTCCTCCATTCCCCCAGGATTGCTGCTTTCAGGGATTTCTTGGGCTCTGTCGCTTCTGCGTCTTCCGAAAGGAGCAGGCAGGAACCTGCAGAGCCTTGTGGGAGGGAGAGAAGCTCATCTCTCAGGAACTGACAGAACATCAGGGCTCAGAGGAAAGAGGAAAAATGGAAGGAACTGAGAAGGGGATCTCAGCTGCACCCGCCAGGGCTGGCAGCTCTATATCCATGTTAGGGGTGGGGAGAACCTCAGGCTTGGGGGACGAATGCACCCGATAGATCTCTCTACCTGCCTCCAAGACTTTCCTTCAGGTGACACCCCTTGCCAGCCCTGCTTAACCTGTTTGGAAAAGCATCCTTCAACTCTGATTGTGCTTCTTTCTTGCCTGGGTGGAAGCTATTTTATTTATTTATTAAAAAATATCTATGTTGTTGTTGTTTAGTCGTTTAGTCGTGTCTGACTCTTCGTGACCCCCTGGACCAGAGCACGCCAGGCCCTCCTGTCTTCCACTGCCTCCCGCAGTTTGGTCAAACTCATGCTGGTAGCTTCGAGAACACTGTCCAACCATCTCGTCCTCTGTCGTCCCCTTCTCCTTGTGCCCTCCATCTTTTTGCTGACTGTATAAAGCTTCTCCCCCCTTCATGGATCACTGCCTTGCCGTGGCGAAGGGGCTTGAATAACTCAGAGAAGCTATGAGCTATGCCGTGCAGGGCCACCCAAGATGGACAGGTCATAGTGGAGAGTTTTGACCAAACGTGATCCACCTGGAGCAGGAACCGGCAAGCCACTCCAGTATCCCTGCCAAGAAAACTCCATGGACAAAGACAACAGGCATATAAAAGTTATGACGCTGGAAGATGAGCCCCTCAGGTCGGAAGGCGTCCAACATGCTACTGGGGAAGAGCGGAGGACAAGCACAAGTAGATTCAGAGCAGATGAAGCAGCAGGGCCAACTCACTGAGCCCAGCTTCTGGCATCTCCTCTTTGTGGCATTCCCAAAGCAAAGGAAGGATTAGACTCTGATTAATAAAAGACACACAAGGCTTGACCAGCAAGACTCTGGGAGGAGTGCGTATAATAATAATTTCTGACCACCCTCTGGCCCAGGTTGTTTTATTCACAAAATAACTTCCACCCTGTGGAACGCCCTCCCATCAGATGTCAAAGCGATAAATAACTACCTGACATTTAGAAGACATCTTAAGGCAGCCCTGTTCAGGGAAGTTTTTAATCTGTGATATTTTACTGTATTTTTGGTTTCTATGGAAGCCGCCCAGAGTGGCTGGGGAAACCCAGCCAGATGGGCGGGGTACAAATAATAAATTATTATTATTATTATTATTATTATTATTATTATTATTTTACACAGTGTTCATAAGAACCAATCAGCTTTCCTCTGAGCATTTCAAAACCCCCACGTGGGACAAAGTTAAATTACAAAAACTCATTTAAACATGCATACTTCTGGGGTAATTAAAACAGGACTAAAAAGGAATAATACATTCAGCAACCCTGGAGATCATAAACAAGGAATAAACATGATAGGAAGGATGGCAAGGAAGATAGGGATCTTTATCACCTTCATGTGAAAAACTTATTTCCTGGCCCTAAGATTAACAAAATCAAGGAAGGGTACATCAAAGAACTGCCTACTATCTTTTATGGCCTAGGATTCCTGGCAAGGCAACCGGCATGAATTCATCATGGGCACAATGGCTTTCTGCATATTTTATAATTCCTCATAGTAATCCCATCTGTTGTCTTCGTCCATGGAGTTTTCTTGGCAGGGATACTGGAATGGCTTGCCGGTTCCAGCTCTAGGTGGATCACGTTTGGTCAAAACTCTCCACTATGACCTGTCCATCTTGGGTGGCCCTGCACGGCATAGCTCATAGCTTCTCTGGGTTATTCAAGCCCCTTCACCACGGCAAGGCAGTGATCCATGAAGGGGCTTCACCTTGCCAACAAAGGTCTGTATCATTAAAGCTATGGTTTTCCCAGTAGTGATGTATGGAAGTGAGAGCTGGACCATAAAGAAGGCTGATCGCCGAAGAATGGATGCTTTTAAATTATGGTGCTGGAGGGGACTCTTGAGAGTCCCATGGTCTGCAAGAAGATCCAACCTCTTCATTCTGTTTTTTTTAAAAAAATGATATTTATTGAGAATTTTAAGGTTACAAAGAAATAAGAAGGAAGAACCAAGAGGAAAAAAAAGGAAAGAAAAAAGTAGATAAAAGTAACAATTAAACAATACAAATCAATAAAAACCAAAGTCAAAAAGAAAAAACAAAACACACAATACATCAAAATCAAAAGGCAAAAATAAACAAAAAATTTAAAAACAAATCCAATATTCCCAGATCCTTAACTGTCATTACCTTATTTCATCGACCTCCTCACACCTCCCTTTTTTGTATTCTCGTTATTAAGCAAATCCTTTCCATCTTTCACAATATTCTGTCATTAAATTACCTTAATCTATTTTAACCTTATCTTACCATAAAAAGTCCTAAAACCTAAAACTTAAATCTTATTTATACCAAATTCTCTTAACCATTACATATTCTTACATAATTCTTTTTAACATTTCTGCTAAAGCCCAATAATTTCATTCCAACATTTTTCTAATACTCATTAATTTTACAATACTTTTCTAAATGAATTTTTAAAACTTTCTTCCAATCTTCATCCATCGTCTCTTCTTCCTGGTCTCGGGTTTTGTCAGTCCTTTCTATCCCAACCCTCTAGTCCATCAACCTGGTGACCTTATATCCGAGGCTCTTAAGTCTCTTCCATGTCCCTTCCGCAGGTCTTCTTCATATTTATACCTGTACTTTACTTTGTCTTCTGCTCCTTTCACTTGGGGAGACTCCAGCTTGACAATATTTTTGTCCCTTCTCGACAAGTCAGCCCCTTTTCCATAGTCAACACCGAAATCCACGTGGTATTTGAAGGCATGTTTCAAGGCCCCTCCAAAGTTAAGGGCCCCCACAACTCCGAGCTCCCCCCAGCCCAAAGCCAGACTTGAAAAATCAAAACATCCCTGCATAGGGGGGTCCATCCAGCCCCCCATCTCCAAGCCAAACAGAACTCCATCTCTCCAAATCTGACTTTTTCCAGGTTCATTCGTCAAATCCAACAACTCATGTTCCTGCTGGGCCACAGCTCCCTCCATCTCTGCCAGCCGAGGTCCAGCAACAGCCTCCTCCTTCATCTCTCTCTTTTTTTTATAAGATATTTATTAGGCTTTTTTAAAGTATTACAATAAAAATGAAAAAAATAAATAACAAAAATACAAAATAAAAATAGTTAAAAACACACAGATTTTCCACTGCTTGTTTTCCTTTAGCTTGTTTCCCGGACCTTCTCATACCTCCCTTTTTTGTATTCCAGTTCAATTTGTTGGTTCAGCAAATCCTTACCCTCTTTATTTATCCTAATCTTTAGTCTTAAAATAGTAACATTAAATTTTTACCTATTAACAACCCATTTTTCATAATCCCTTAAAGCATTACAGCTGGAAACCACTTAATTTCTATCCAACATCATTCTAACATTCATTAATTTTACAATAATTCTGTAGATAGTCTTTGAATTTCTTCCAATCTTCTTCCACTGACTCTTCTCCCTGGTCTCGGATTCTGCCAGTCATTTCTGCCAGTTCCATATAGTCCATCAGCTTCATCTGCCATTCTTCCAGAGTGGGTAGATCTTGTGTCTTCCAATACTTTGCAATGAGTATTCTTGCTGCTGTTGTGGCATACATAAAAAGGTTCTATCCTTCTTTGGCACCAATTGGCCGACTATGCCCAGGAGAAAGGCCTCTGGTTTCTTCAAGAAGGTATATTTAAATACCTTTTTCAGTTCATTATATATCATTTCCCAGAAAGCCTTAATCCTTGGGCACGTCCACCAAAGGTGAAAGAATGTACCTTCAGTTTCTTTACATTTCCAACATTTGTTATCGGGCAAATGATAAATTTTTGCAAGCTTGACTGGGGTCATGTACCACTTCATCTCATCTGTCAAAGCACATTCCTGGATTAATTCCTGAGTGGATTCTATATAGGTACCCACTGTCTGTCCAAAATTTCCGATCGCAACAGTCATCAAATCCATCTTCTCATGTAACTGTTCCAATAAAGAACTTGTCTTGCAAAAGGCAAGCACCAGAGCCTCTGAGTACATTCTTGTTCAAGGTCGAAGTCTGGTCCCACGATCTTAATCTATCACAGCTGCAAAGTTCCCCAGTTCGGTTTTAATAACAGTTTCACAAGCTCCCTCTAGGGGAAGCAATTTCTTTTTGCCACCCTCTCCATTCTGAAGGAAATCAGCCCTGAGTGCTCACTGGAAGGACAGATCCTGAAGCTGAGGCTCCAAGACTTTGGCCACCTCAGGAGAAGAGAAGACTCCCTGGAAAAGACCCTGATGTTGGGAAAGATGAAGGGCACAAGGAGAAGGGGACAACACAGGACGAGATGGTGGGACAGTATTCTCGAAGCTACCAGCATGAGTTTGACCAAACTGCGGCAGGCAGTGGAAGACAGGAGTGCCTGGCGTGCTCTGGTCCAGGGGGTCACAAAGAGTCGGACACGACTAAACGACTAAACAACAACAACAAATCCCATCTGATCACTACACTCTTTCCAGTCTTCTCTCTCTTTCCCCTCTTCCTTGTCCCACTCCCTCGGCTCTGAGCCTTCTTCCCTTGAGGGTTCATTGGCTGTTTCCTCCCAACACCCCTCTGCTTCCAACCAGTCTTATGACACAGGATAACGCAGAAGGCTGTGGCAATAATGTCGATGGCAATTTAGATCCCTAACCAATTGTGTGTGTCTCTCTCTCTTGCAGAATGACATCTCAGAGAAAGAGCAGAGGTGGGGGGCGAAAACCATCGAGGGCTCCGGCCGCGCAGAGCACATAGAGTGAGTTATTGTTTCCTCTCCTCCTGCGGGTTCAAACCTTGAGTAATGGCCCAGGTGGCTTGTTAAAGCCATGCATGCACCAGAGAGATCAGACCCGGCTCTTTGCTGCTGGGGGGGGGGGGTGTTGGTGGCAGGCCTTGGAAAGTGTGAAGGGAAGCAGCAAAGGCCTCAGGGGGGAAATTCCAGCAATTCCAATTCTATTTTAAAAAATCTTTTTCTTTTTTCTCTGAATCTTTTACCTTTATCCATCTATTACAGGGGTCAGCAAACTTTTTCAGCATGGGGCCAGTCCACTGTCCCTCAGACCTTGGGGGGTGTGTGTGTGGAATATATTTTGAAAAAATATGTAAATGAATTCCTATGCCCCACAAATAACCCAGAGATGCATTTTAAATAAAAGGACACATTCTACTCATGTAAAAATACACTGATTCCCGGACCGTCAGCGGGCTGGATTGAGAAGGCAATTGGGCCAGATTTGGCCCCCAGGGCCTTAGTTTGCCTACCCATGATAAATAGTAGATAAATAGGCACCGCTCTGGCAGGAAGGTAAATGGTGTTTCCATGTGCTGCTCTGGTTCACCAGAAGCGGCTTAGTCATGCTGGTCACATGACCCGGAAAAACTGTCTGAGGACAAATGTCGGCTCCCTCGGCCAGTAAAGCAAGATGAGCGCCACAACCCCAGAGTCGTCCAGTCGCGGACGACTCTGGGGTTGCAGCGCTCATCTCGCTTTATTGGCCAAGGGAGCTGGCGTACAGCTTCTGGGTCATGTGGCCAGCATGACTAAGCCGCTTCTGGCGAACCAGAGCAGCGCATGGAAATGCCGTTTACCTTCCCGCTGGAGCGGTACCTATTTATCCACTTGCACTTTGACGTGCTTTCGAACTGCTAGGTTGGCAGGAGCAGGGACCGAGCAACGGGAGCTCACTCCTTCACGGGGATTCAAACCGCTGACCTTCTGATCGGCAAGCCCTAGGCTGTGTGGTTTAACCCACAGCGCCACCTGTGTCCCTTCCCTTTCCCTTTCCCTATATATCAAATATAAGATTAGATGCCAATTTAGAAATTATTACTATTAACAGAACTACCATGCACTTCACCATAGTGAGGATTAGACTCATGGCTGAAACTCTATGATTCTATGATTCCATGAGCTTCAGGCAGAGTCCTCCTTCAGACAGAGGACTGTCCCCTGTCAAGATTGAGCAGACGTCTCTCCTCTGCAAAGTGGGTCCCAGGAACCCATGGCTGCCCTGTTCTTGAACACGGGTGCAAGAATCTGCATGGAAGACTCTGACCCCAGATGCAGCAGTGCCTTTGGGCTGTGATTTTAAGCGTTGCAGAAAGCGGCACCTTCTGCACTCTCAGGGCCAGTTGCAGGAGCTGGGCTGGGGTTCCTGTCCTGCGTCACGTCACCTTCAGGGGTTGCCATGGCAGCGCCTGCTTCTTGCAGGAAAAGGAAGTGGTGTGCGCTCAGCGAGCAGCTTGCCAAATAAGGGCTTTTGCAGGTCAGCCACAAATAGAAGAGTCTCCTGGAGAGGAAGGAGACGCTAATAGGTGCATTGGCTTGTCTGGGGTCCACCTGGCTGAAGAGAGATCATTGACTTACGTTGCACCCAACATCTGTGTTCCAATTTGGGGCAGTTTCTCCAGCCATGTAGGAATGACATCTAACTCCTTGTGATTTGCAGTGACTGGTTCCTTGTTCTGCCCTCAGAAATCTGAGTGAGCTAATGGTTTCCTTCCTCTTTCTAAAATATCTCTGTATTCTTAGTTATTACAGTGGACCTTCCAGATACGAACTTAATTCGTCCCCGGGGGTCTGTGGTGACCCCCAAAAGTCCGAATCCTGAGGCGCAGCTTCTGCACAAGCGCACGGTGCGATAGAGTGTTTCTGCATGACTGCAAAGCACGTGGAGCGCTTCTGTGCATGCGTGCGCGGCGAAACCCGGAATTACTATACACTTCTGGGTTTGCCACATTCGTAACTCGAAATTATGACAACAAAGCTATTGTAACCCGAGGTACCACTGTATTTATATACAGTGGTACCTCTGGATGCAAACGGGATCCGTTCCGGAGCCCTGTTTGCATCCTGAAGCGAACGCAACCCGCGTTCGTGCGTCTGCGCGGGTCGCAATACGCTGCTTCTGCGCATGCACGTGATGTCATTTTGAGCATCTTCGCATGCGCGAGCGGCGAAACCCAGAAGTAATGCACTCCGTTACTTCCGTGTCGCCGTGGAGCACAACCCAAATAGGCTTAACCTGAAGCGACTTCAACCCGAGGTATATCTGTATATATAATATCTATGAGTTGCTCCTCTATTTGGACCCATGTTAGGGCAAAACCGAAATGTCGCAAAATAGCATGCAAGCTTTTGTACTCTCTGGAAAGAGAGAGGGAAAACCAACTCATTGACAAGAATTGCAGCTGCACAACAATGCAACAGATTGCGCAGATTAGGTCTCAGTTGCCACAAAGCTCATCCAGCTGTTTCTTTGGGGTTCAGTGGATCTGCTGCATGCTCAAAATTCTAGTGCCATTGCATGGAGGCAAGACGCAAGACCTTCCTTCAGTAGCATATATGAGGAACCTGCTGGACCAGGCCAGTGGCCCATTTGTTCAGCATCCTGTTCTTACAGTGGCTGACCAGATGCCCCAAAGCGATGCCCACAATCAGGATCCGAGCCCAAAAGCCCTCTGCTATTCAGAAGCATTGCTGCCCTTCAAACATGGAGACAGAATAAAGCCATACCAGCTAGGAGCCATGGATAGTTGTCTCCTCCTCCTCCTCCTCTTTTATTTATTTATTTTGTATTTATTATTGATAACAATTTATTGATTTTCCAAAAATAACAATACACAAAAAAGGGGGGGGGAGAGTTCAGAACCAAATTAAAGCATAAATTTTGATCGACTTCCCTCCACTCCCCCTCTTGGTTCCATTATAATATACTTGTTTATGCCCATCCATAAAACCTTATCTACTTAACATTCCAGTTTTAAAACCTTCTTCATCTTATTACAAGTGACTTTTAAAAGTTATACTAATGTCAAAATCTGTACACAAAGCTTTAAAGATATGCTTTAAACTATTGCCCTTTTTGTAATAATTTCTCCTGCACAGTTCAATATTTTTTCCGGGTTTTGCTGCTTGCGCATGCGCAGAAGTGCTCTATTGCGCTGTGCATGTGTGCAGAAGCGGCACCTCTGGATACAGATTTTTCAGGGTGCGCACGGACCCCCGGAATGAATTAAATTTGTATCCAGAGGGTCCACTGTACTTTCTGTACCAAGAAATGCAAACTGACACAGGGTCCTTTCCAACACTACAAATCTACGATTTTATAAATGCTTGTTAAATAGCCAACATCATTTAATCTCCCTGATAACCTGTCAGGGTATGGGACGCGGGTGGCGCTGTGGGTTAAACCACAGAGCCTAGGACTTGCTGATCAGAAGGTTGGCGGTTCGAATCCCCGTGACGGGGTGAGCTCCCGTTGCTCGGTCCCTGCTCCTGCCAACCTAGCAGTTCGAAAGCACGTCAAAGTGCAAGTAGATAAATAGGTACCGCTCTGGTGGGAAGGTAAACGGCGTTTCCGTGCGCTGCTCTGGTTCACCAGAAGCGGCTTAGTCATGCTGGCCACATGACCCGGAAGCTGTACGCCGGCTCCCTCGGCCAGTAAAGAGAGATGAGCGCCGCAACCCCAGAGTCGGACACAACTGGACCTAATAGTCAGGGGCCCCTTTACCTTTTTATCTTGGGGGGGGGGCATCTTAAATGCACAGTGAACCAACTGACAACGTTCCAAAATATACAGTCAAGTTGCATCATATGCAGAGGGTTGGTTCTGAGGGTCATGAGCATAGCCAAAATTACCTTTACCTTGGCTGGCAAGTGGGGGGGGGGTAAGCCCCGTAGGGAGCTCCCCCCCTGGGTCTTCACTGCCTCCCCTCACTCTTCCACATGTGAGCAACCTGTCGATGGGAGGAGGAGGAGGAGGCAGGCAGGCAGAGAGAGAGATGAGCGCCGCAACCCCAGGGTCGGCCACGACTGGACCTAATGGTCGGGGTCCCCTTTACCCTTTAACCTGTCAGGGTGAAAGCTAGATAAATGGGCCACGCAGAAGTGACCTCAGTTCTGCCTGCAGGTGGCTGCCCATTGAACCCAGTATTTCTAGAGATGGGAGGGGGGAGTAGAGAAGGGAGCTGCCTTGAAATGGTCACTGGGGTGGGGGCCATTCAGCCCTGCCTCCTTTTTCAAACTCCCCCTTTGTGCTTTGACTCTGCAGCATCCACAAGCTCAGGAGCAAAGTGTCTGAGGAACATGAAGTTCTCAAGAAGAAGGAGTTGGAGGCAGCGCCCAAGGCATCCTACGGTTACGGGGGCAAATTTGGCACGGAGAAGGACCGCATGGACAAGGTGCAAAAGGGGGAGGGGGCTGTTCTTTGGATGCTGCTAAGGTTTCGGGTTTGTTCGTGTATTTTGTGTGTGTGTATCCAAGAAGCTAAGGGACGTGGGTAGCGCTGTGGTCTAAACCGCAGAGCCTAGGGCTTGCCGATCAGAAGGTCGGCGGTTCGAATCCCCGCAACGGGGTGAGCTCCCGTTGCTTGGTCCCTGCTCCTGCCAACCTAGCTGTTCGAAAGCACACCGGTGCAAGTAGATAAATAGGTACCGCTCCAGCGGGAAGGTAAACAGCGTTTCTGTGCACTGCTCTGGTTCGCCAGAAGCGGCTTAGTCATGCTGGCCACATGACCCGGAAGCTGTATGCCGGCTCCCTCGGCCAGTAAAGCGAGATGAGTGCCGCAACCCCAGAGTCATCCACGACTGGACCTAGCTGTCAGGGGTCCCTTTACCTTTATCCAAGAAGCAAGGGCCCATTTTTCACGGTAGTAAGCTGGACCCGCACCCTCACCTCTGTTTGGTGTTTAAAATATTTATTTCTTAATTTGGGGGTCAAAAAATTAGGGGTCGTCTTATACATAGAAAAATATGGTACCTCCTCTTTGCAAGACAGCTTTGTCACGTCTGCAAGTGGGCAGTGTGGGGCTCGCTGACTGCTGCCGACAACACCCCCCTTTGGAGTTGTCATCATCATGACGTCAGGTGATTAACATCGGGGGCCTCCGTCACCTGTCAAAGTGGTTTGCAGGGAGGGGTGGGGAGCTGACCAACCAACCAAACAGGCCACCCTCGGAATTATCTGCCCAGAATTATCTGGCAGGATTTGACACCGCGCTGTCTTGATTTCCCAGAGTGCTCTGGGCCATGAGTATGTTGCGGAAGTGGGAATGCACTCGTCTCAGACAGATGCGGCCAAAGGCTTCGGAGGGAAGTACGGGGTGCAGAGGGACCGAGCAGACAAGGTGAGTGTTGAAGTCCCATTGTGTTTACCTTTGATATCTGCTGCCAGGGCGTTCCACGGGGGGGGGGGGGGCGCCACCACCGAGAAGGCCCTCTGCCTGGTTCCCTGTAACTTGGCTTCTCGCAGTGAGGGAACTGCCAGAAGGCCCTCGGCGCTGGACCTCAGCGTCCGGGCAGAACGATGGGGGTGGAGATGCTCCTTCAGGTATACTGGACCAAGGCCGTTTAGGGCTTTCAAGGTCAGCACCAACACTTTGAATTGTGCCCGGAAACATACTGGGAGCCAATGAAGGTCTTTCAGAACCGATGTTATGTGGTCTTGGTGGCTGCTCCCAGTCACCAGAATAGCTGCCGCATTCTGGATTAGTTGTAGTTTCTGGGTCACCTTCAAAGGGAGCCCCACATAGAGCGCATGGCAGTAGTCCAAGCGAGAGACAACCAGAGCATGCACCACTCTGGCGAGACAGTCTGCGGGCAGGGAGGGTCTCATCCTGCATACCAGATGGAGCTGGCTGACAGCTGCCCTGGACACAGAATGGACCTGCGTCTTCATGGACAGCTGTGGGTCCAAAATGACCCCCAAGCTGAGCACCTGGTCCTTCAGGGGCACAGTTACCCCATGCAGGACCAGGGAGTCCCCCCCACCTGCCCAACCCCTGTCCCCCAACAACAACCTCAATCCATTAACCACCATCCATCCTCTAACTGCGTCCAGACACTTTCCAGACATTTTATGATTCTTTGAATCTCATTCTGTGCCTCTGCAACCCCAACTCTAGGTTACTGCTAGGCTGAGGGATCGTGACACTGGCCTGCCCCACTCATAGCACATTGATTGCAAGCTCTTGGGGGTAGAGAGCTGTCCTTTTTATTTCCTTGTGTTGTTCTCTGTGGGTCTTTATATGTACCTATAACAACAACAACTTTTCTCACCTTCTGCTCCCCACAGTCGGCTCTCGGTTTTGAGTACAAGGGCGAAGTTGAGATGCACACCTCCCAGAAAGGTAAGGTTGGAGAGATTCCTGCTGCTTCCTCTCATTCTCCCCTTCCCCCCTTAATTTTTTTGTTTTTCAGAAAACGTTGCAGAGCTGCATCACAAAATTTGGAGAAGTGTGATTTTCAAAGGGCGTTTGTGTTTTGGTTTGCGTCTTGGTTCAGGAAATGCGAACAGCCAAACAGATTCCTATCCCTGGTGTCTGACTGCAGCCATCCCTCTGCCTCTCTCTCCATGTGCTCCAAGGCCTCTGGAGAGGGAAGGTGCATTTTGAGCATGTGGAGAAGCACAGGGGACCACATTTGTCCATGGCTGTAGGGCAGGCTGGAGCATGACGATAGATGCACACAGAGCTATGCGCCAGAAGGCAGTGCAAAAGAACGTTGTCTCCTACTGGAGTTCAGCCCACCATGAAACGCAGAGAGCATTCTCTCTTTTAAGCATTTGGTGCTCCACACTTTAGCCATAAAGACTTCCAGAATGTCTTACACACAGTCAGAACAAGACAGTCCCTACCTGCAGGCTCACAGTCTAAAAAACAACAACACACGAGGGGAAATGGGCAGGAAGGGAAGAGGAAAACAAAAACCCAGTCACCAGTTTCTTTTTTTTCATTTTAAATTTTTATTACAAATTTCAACACAGTAATTTTAAAAAATACATCCTCCACATTGTTTCCCCCCTCCATTTCCCCTCCCCCCTAAACAGAACCCCCCCCCGACTTTCCTCAGCTCCTTTCTCAACACATTTTTCTATCTGCATGTTATAAAATTGCAAAGATCCTCAAATTATCTATCTATGTAATATAATACAAAGTTTGTGAATGTTTATTCAAAACCTTCCGAAGAGTCCAGTTCATTTTGTTGCTTCTTCAAATATTTCGTAAAAGGTTCCCATTCATCTTTGAAGTCACAGTTATCCTTGTCACGTAGGTTGTGTGTCAATTTTGCCAATTCCGCATAGTCCATCAGTTTTTCTTGCCAAAGTTCTTTCGTCGGGATTTCCTCATTCTTCCATCCTTGTGCTATTAAGACTCTTGCCGCCGTTGTCGCATACATAAAAATGTTTTTTAGTTTCTTTGGCAGGTCTTTCCCCACAATCCCTAATAAAAAAGCTTCAGGCTTTTTCACAAATGTTAAATGAAACATTTAACTCATTATATATCATTTTCCAAAACATTTTAATTTTGCTACAATCCCACCACATATGGTAAAAAGTCCCTTCTTTTTCCTTACATCTCCAACACACATTTGAGCCAGTTTTATACATTTCCCCTAATTGTACTGGTGCCCAGTCACCAGTTTCTAAACAGCTGTTCCTATAAGACTGTTGGACTGCGCCTCCTTCCAGCAACTCCTGGTGACGAACATATCACTCTGTTTTTCTTTCGCCCACATCAACAAGGAGGAGAGGAGAGTCTTGTCATCTGGGGAGCCCAGGACTTCCCAACACAATGCCCAGGCTTGCACCCCAGGGAAGTGACTTTGGTCACTTTGGCTGCTAATGCAGCAGTTTGGCTTCACTCCCAGAGGTGCACTCCATTGCCTCTTGAGAGCTGAGCCTTCAGCAAAGGTGATGAAATGCGCTTTTTGCTTCCCATCTCTCTTCTTCTGAGGCATCCTGAGAGCCCCACGGTGGCCGCTGAGGGGAGAGGATGCCTGATGGGGCTGGCCTGTTTCAGCAGAGCTCATGGCGGGAGTTCTGCTTCCCAGCTCCATCTCACTCATGCCACTTCTGCTGAGATGGCCCAGCTCTTGTGGGTTGGAGCTGTTTCTGTTGGATCAACCCATCACCATCTGATGGATGATTTAGAAGGATTGGATCCGGCACCGCTTTCGCTGTGCGTGTGTGCCAGTATCCGCACTCAGCAGTTACATCTCAACACAGCTCCTTCCTTGGAAGCATCTTCTGGGTTGAAGGTACACACAGGAGGCAATTGTGCTGGGCCCGGGGGTTAACCCGAGCAACGCGCTCCAGGTCCGGTCCTGAATCCAAGGATTCCACGAGGAGTCAGTCCAACCGGGCCAAGGCAGGAAACCAGGATAGGTCAGGCACAGGGTAACAGACAGGTAGCAGCAATGCTGCTCCCGCAACCTGGGGCGGGGTCCGGCAGCCTTTTATCTCTGACGGGGTAACGGCTGGTTCTGATCCCCCGGTGACTCACCTCCCTGTTTTGCCCGAAGGTGAGCACTCCTCCTGCAAGTATTCAGGTCTCTCCTTCTCTCAGACCTCAGTCTCTGCAGCTCGGGAGACGTCGGTGAGTTACTAGACCCAGAGGCCGCCTCAGCCTCCCCTGACCCAACCGGTAGTGGAGCAGCTGTAAGTGATGGCCCAGCTGGAGGCAACGAGGTCATCCCCGTGTCTGGAGCCAGGGCAGGTTTAGGCCCCTGATTTGGCCCAGCTGGTGTTTGCTGCAGGGGAACCTGTGCAGACTGGGACTCTTCAGGATCAAGCCCCAGACTGGGTTCAGATGCCGCCTGAGGCAAAGGATCCGGTGCAGACTGAGACTCCTCTGGCTCCTAGTCTGAACCCAAGTCCCAGGCCATCACAGCAATAAACACTCATGGATGCCATAAAGATTCAGTCAAGTGTAGAAGTTTACTTGACAGGCAAATATTGGTAGCAAATATATATAGACATTCACCACTGCTGTGGTCAAGGCATGCTTAGAGTCCAACAAGAGTCCAAGACTCTTTTTCTCTCACTGCAAGGAGCAAGCAAGAGACTCACAACTTATGACAAGTTACACAGAACAGTTGTTACCCACTGCACATGTCCAAAGAACAGTTCCCACAGAAAACACCCTTGCATAGACAGGACAATCTCAGCCTTCTACTGCTTCTTGAAACGTCTTCTCTGTTTCTGGAACAAATGATTCGCCCACACACAGAGAGAGAATATCCAACAGTGTCTGCAACTCTCTGAAATTCACTAGGTTTCACCTCCTTGCAGATTATGCCGTTGGTTTTGGGGGCAAGTATGGTGTGCAAAAGGACCGCCAAGACAAATCTGCCCTGAGCTGGTCACACAAAGAGGAATCGAAACCCCATGAGTCCCAGACAGGTGGGTGTTGAATGCCTCCCGGTTCAGAGAACGATGTGAGTGGAGCTCTTGGAAAGAGACAAGCAAGCCTTCATCGTGTTGTTTAGCCCAGCCTTCCCCAACTTGGTGAAGTCCAGGGATTGCTAAACTCCATCATCCCTGGCTCTTGGCCATGCAGGCTACGGGGAGTTGGGGTGCAATTACATCTGGAGGACACCTGGCTGTGGAAGGCTGGAGTCCTGTGTTTGAGAAGGATATTGGCAAGCTGGGAGATGTGCAGAGGAGGGCGACCAGGATGGTCGAGGGTCTGGAAACCCAGCCTGATGAGGAATGGTTGAGGGAGCTGGGTATGTTTAGCCTGGAAAAGAGGAGGCTGAGAGATAGGAGCCAAAGATCTGAAGGGTTGTCCCATGGAAGATGGAGCAAGCTTGTTTTCTGCTGCTCCAGAGGACTCCCAAACCAATGCTTTCAAATGACAAGAAATGAGATTCTGTGGAACATTAGGAAGAACTTTCTGACAGTAAGAGATTTTTGACAGTGGGACGGACTCTCCCTCAGAAGGTGGTGGACTATCCTACCTTGGCGGTTTCTAAACAGAGGTTGGATAGGTATCTGTCAGGACTACCTTAGCTGTGATTCCTGCATTGCAGGGGGTTGGTGATGACCCTTGAGTCTAATAATAATAATAATAATAATAATAATAATAAATTTATTATTTATACCCCACCCATATGGCTGGGTTTCCCCAGCCACTCTGGGCGGCTTCCAACCGAATATTAAAACAATACAGCAATTAAAAACAATTTTATGATTCTCTGTTAACTATCCATAGCTCAGTTATTGGGGAACAGAGGCTGCTAACCTCCAAACCACAGGCATGAAGTGCCCCCCCATGCACATTTCCTTCCCATCCCACTATTTTGGGCACCCCTTGAATCCCAGGTGAGGGAAACCGATGCTGTTGTGTCTTGGTGCTGCTTGTGAGCTTCCCAACTTGGGCGCCTGATTGGCCACCATGAGAACCATGGATCCAGCAGCCAAGATCTTCTGATGTGGTGCAGACCACGGAGCAAAATGGGGTCAGCTCTTTCATCTTTCTGAAATTCACTCATCCCCCTTGCAGATTACTCCGTTGGCTTTGGGGGCAAGTACGGTGTGCAAAAGGACCGCCAAGACAAATCTGCCCTGAGCTGGTCACACAGGGAGGAATTGAAACCCCATGAGTCCCAGACAGGTGGGTGTTGAATGCCTCCCGGTTAAGAGAATGATGTGGGGTGGGGTGGGGAGGGGGTTAAGCCCCTGGAAGAGGCTGTCAAATGTATAGAGCCCATCATGGAGATGGGCTTGCCTTTGCTGAAAGGCTCCTGTGGCTTGGTTTCTGGAGGGCCATTCATTTCCTCCCTTTCCCCCCTTCCCACATTGCAGATCATGCCAAGGGATTTGGGGGCCGCTATGGGGTGCAGAAGGACCGGGTGGACAAGGTAAGCAGAGCTCGCCCCTCCACCCTCCAACAAAGGCCCTCTATGGGGCAAATAATCCATGCTGATAAGATCCTGTGAGCACCCATGATTGACCTTCTCAGAGTCTGGTTCTGGGAGGGAATGATGCGCAGCCTCTTGTGGCAAGACCTCCTGCATGGAGGTGAGGAACATGTGGCATCTCTGTCCTGGCCAGCTGGGTGTACTGTGGACCTCTCTTTGCAGAGCGCTGCTGGTTTCAACGAGATGGAAGCTCCAACTTCCTCGTATGAGAAGACAACGCCTGTGGAGGCCGGTAAGTCTTTTCCCTGGCCAACCTGTCAAGGTCAGTGGGTCGATGCTCACAATGATCCATGAGTGATGTTGGAAAACCCCTAGGAATCGAGACCCCCTAGTTGCTGAAAGGGAGCTATTTGCACCAGAGCCTTAGCAAGCCATCCATAGAGGGTAGGTGCCTCTAAGTGCCTCCTGCACTACAGGCTCTAGACTGAGCTAGGGACTGGAGAAGGTGCCCCCCCAAGTCCCACCAACTCTACGATCCACTATAAGGTCAAGTTGCATCATACATGCATTTTGCTTCAGAGAATTCAGCCATACACGCTTGGCTGCAGCTCCATTCTAGATCCATTCCAGCCTTTTTCTTCTGCCTTCATCTCTCTCTCTCTGCCTGCCTGCCTCCTCCTCCTCCCATCGACAGCTTGCTCACATGTGGAAGAGTGAGGGGAGGCAGTGAAGACCCGGGGGGGGGGAGCTCCCTACGGGGCTTACCCCCCCCATTTGCCAGCCAAGGTAAAGGTAATTTTGGCTATGCTCATGACCCTCAGAACCAACTCTCTGCATATGATGCAACTTGACTGTATATTTTGGAACGTTGTCGGTTGGTTCACTGTGCATTTAAGATGCATCCCCCCAAGATAAAAAGGTAAAGGGGCCCCTGACCATTAGGTCCAGTTGTGTCCGACTCTGGGGTTGCGGCGCTCATCTCGCTTTACTGGCCGAGGGAGCCGGCGTACAGCTTCCGGGTCATGTGGCCAGCATGACTAAGCCGCTTCTGGCGAACCAGAGCAGCTCACGGAAACACCGTTTACCTTCCCGCCGGAGCGGTACCTATTTATCTACTTGCACTTTGACGTGCTTTCGAACTGCTAGGTTGGCAGGAGCAGGGACCGAGCAACGGGAGCTCACCCCGTCGCGGGGATTCGAACTGCTGACCTTCTGATCGGCAAGTCCTAGGCTCTGTGGTTTAACCCACAGCGCCACCCGCGTCCCTGGTACAACTGTATAGCCTCCTGCAAAAGTCAATGCACTTTGCTTCTGGAACCCCTAGATGGGCCCATGTTGTAGTCCTAGGCGCCTGCCTCTCCTGTGGCCCTTCGCGACAGAAGTTGCCTTGAGTTGAAGCCACCCACTGCGCCACCCGCGTCCCTAGATATCATGTCTCCCAAGATATCGTAACCCAATTTTGCATGACAGTTCTTGAGATTAAGGAGCAGGTTTCCACCTTCCTTTGGATAAAACCGAGTCCCATTCTGAATCAAGATGGCGGACTGAACCTTTCAAAATTAATTTTAACCACTGATCTTGAAGCTGCACTGACTTCAAAACTGCACTGATTTCTTGTGTCTCTTTGAATTCCTGTGCTGTGTTGGGTACGAGGCTATTAGTTTTATAACAAACTGTGTTATTCAGTGGGTGGGTGGGTGGAGGCCCCCACTGCCAAGTCTTCACCCTGCCCCTTGTCATTGTCACCAGCTTCTGCTGGAGCAGGTAACCTGAGGCAGCGGTTCGAGAGCATGGCCAAGTCAGCCGAGGAAGACAACCGGAAGAGGGCAGAGGAGGAGCGCGCGCGTCGCCAGGCCCGGGAGAAGCAGGAGCGCCAGGCAGCCCAGAAGCAGCTGCAGGAGCAGGAGGAACAACGGGAACAGGAGCAGGAGGTGAGGCCGGAATTGGATAGATCTAAAGGATCTAAAGGTAATTGGATAGATCTAAAGGATCTAAAGGATCTGGGATGCGGGTGGCACTGTGGGTTAAACCACAGAGCCTAGGACTTGCCAATCAGAAGGTCGGCGGTTCGAATCCCTGCGACGGGGTGAGCTCCCGTTGCTCGGTCCCTGCTCCTGCCAACCTAGCAGTTCAAAAGCACATCAGAGTGCAAGTAGATAAATAGGTACCACTCCAGCGAGAAGATAAACGGCGTTTCCATGCGCTGCTCTGGTTCGCCAGAAGCGGCTTAGTCATGCTGGCCACATGACCCGGAAGCTGTACGCCGGCTCCCTCGGCCAGTAAAGCGAGATGAGCACCGCAACTCGAGTTGGTCACGACTGGACCTAATGGTCAGGGGTCCCTTTACCCTTTACCTTTAAAGGATCTAATGATTCTTTTTTAAGAGCAGGCGCACCACTGCCTCCTTCAATTCCCCTGGGAATGTCCCGGTGCCAAGGGACAAATTGATGATATCCCCTGGGGGGGCCGCACCTCATCTGGACACGCTCTAATCTGCCAGGACGGGCACGGGTCAAGAGGACAGGTGGTGGGCTTTCCAGCTCGGAGGAGTCTGTCCGCATTGGCTGGGGATATCCGGTCAAAGTGGTCCAATACTGGACCCGAGGACATTCAAACTATATCCTTGTTCTTCCTGTGTATGGCAATTATTCTGTCCGTGTTGTTTCTTCCTGTCCTTGTAAAATATTATGTCTATCTTTTCCCGGTTGTTGCTGTTCTCCATCATGCCTTGGGCGGAGCTGTTATCCCATTTTAAACTCCTGCCTTTTATATGTTTCCAGCTTTTTGTATCTTACCTGATCTGTATAAGCTGCCTTGAGTCCACTCTCTGGGAAGAAGGCAGGATATACAGTATGATAATAATAATAATAATAATAATAATAATAGTTTTATTTAATGTTATCCTTTCAGGAACCCCAGAGAAGTGAGGAGCCAAGGAGCAAGGCTCCAGCCCCCAGACTCTCGCCAGGGCCCATGAAAGTGGGCAGAGAGGACATTGGCTTGCCCCCTGTGCCACCGCCAGCCCCTGAGCACCAGGTAAGGGCTCACTCGTGCCCAAGATGGCGATGCTTTGGGGAACACCAATGGAGAGGTGCCACCCAAGAGATGAAATGTAAAGATGCAAAGTTTAATTTTGTAAACCATCAGACTGGAGGGAGGGAAGCCGTTAGGCTCAGTTGAGCCAAAGAGATAAAATAAGAGGGTACGGTGTTACGCAATGTGACTATATGTAAAACCAATAAAAATCATTTAAAAATAAAAAAAATACAGTGGTACCTCTGGATGCGAATGGGATCCGTTCCGGAGCCCCGTTCTCATCCAGAAGTGAATGCAACCTGCGTCCACACGTCGCCGCTTCTGCCCATGCGCGTGATGTCATTTTGACCATCTGCACATGCGCGAGCAGCAAAACCCGGAAGTAACATGCTCCGTTACTTGCGGGTTGCCACAGCACGCAACCCAATAAAACTTATCCCAAAGCTACTTCAACCCGAGGTATGACGGTAAACTTAGGTGAATCAGTTTGAGCTGGCAGGGCTCTCATTTTCCTCCCCATATTCCCCATGCCCAGACAGCGCCAGAGGAGGAAGAGGAAGAGGAACCCCCTCCAGCTCTTCCTCCACGGAGCCTGCTCTGGGGCGAGGGCATTGCAGAGCCACCCAAGCCATCTTACGTGCCGCCGCCACCACCACCGCCTGCAGACATAGAAAGCCAGGACTACGGCGGTGACTATGAGGAAGTCGGGGGGCCCTTGGACCACCAGGAGCCTCCCAGCTTGGATGAGGATTACGCCGATGGTGGGGACTACGAGGAGATGCCAGGTGGCCTTGATGGGGACGAAACCATCTACGACAATGCTCTGGACGCCGCCCAGGAGGACTACGAGGAAATCCCAGATCAGGTTCTCAGCAACCGTGGGGGAGTGCCCTTGGCAGGTGAGAAAAAGGGGGGCATCCTACCTGGGGGTGCCGCCATTGGGGAGAATAATAATAATAATACAGTGGTACCTCTACTTACAAGGCACGTGGGTGGTGCTGTGGTCTAAACCACAGAGCCTAGGACTTGCCGATCAGAAGCTGGGCGGTTCGAATTTCCATGACGGGGTGAGCTCCCGTTGCTCTGTCCCAGCTCCTGCCAACCTAGCAGTTCGAAAGCACGTCAAAGTGCAAGTAGATAAATAGGTACCACTCTGGCGGGAAGGTAAACGGCGTTTCCGTGCGCTGCTCTGGTTCGCCAGAAGTGGCTTAGTTATGCTGGCCACATGACCCGGAAGCTGTACACTGGCTCCCTCGGCCAGTAAAGCGAGATGAGCGCCGCAACCCCAGAGTCGTCCACAACTGGACCTAATGGTCAAGGGTCCCTTTACCTTTACCTCTACTTACACACGCACCTCTGGTTATGTATCCTTCGGGATACACACACGGCATTCCTAGAAGTATTTTTCCGGGTTTCTACCATGCCGTGCGCATGCACAGAACAGTCACTTTCAGTTGCGAAAACCTCAGGATCCGACCGGAGCTCCAGAACGGATCCTGTCTGCAACTGGAGGTACCACTGTAATAAATTATGTATACCCCACCCATCTGGCTGGGTTTCCCCAGCAACTCTAGGCAGCTCCCAACAAAATATTAAAAATACAAAAAACCCCAGACATTAAAAACTTCCCTAAACAGGGCTGCCTTCAGTTGTCTTCTAAAAGTCTGGTAGTTGTTGTTCTCTTTGACATCTGGTGGGAGGGCGTTCCACAGGGCGGGCGCCACCACCGAGAAGGCCCTCTGCCTGGTTCCCTGTAACCTCACTTCTCGGAGGGAGGGAACTGCCAGAAGGCCCTCAGAGCTGGACCTCCATGTCCGGGCTGAACGATGGGGGTGGGCAGTGCTTTTTTTCTAATAAAATGTTTAGCGGTCCTGTCATTTCCCTACTCATAATGAACTACTGCCCCTCAATAAGACCAAACTTAGATTCACAAAATATTTAGGGTACCCCTGCATACCCCCAGGGAAAAGCACTGGGGGTGGGACTTCTGCATGCAGAGCAGGTGTCCTGCAACTCAGCTGTAGCTCTTCCCATGGATATTTGCTTGCTGCCCTTCATCCAAAGATCTCAGGGTGGTTGAACAAGGAAAAAAAGAGGGAATAAATCCTACATCATAGAAAAAGAACAAAACTAAACTATAACCTCACCTGTCCCACAAACACATTCAAAAGGCTGCAGAATATTAATCAGTCAAAGGCTTGGTTGAAGAGGAACGTTGTTTGCCTAGCATCTAAAGATAGGCAATGAAGGCGCCAGGCAAGCCTCCCTGGGGAGAGCATTGCACAGACGGGGAGCCACTGCAGAGAAGACCCTGTTCTCGTGTTGCCACCCTCCGGACCTCTCAAGGAGGAGGCACAGAAAGGAGGGCCTAGAAGATGGTCTTAGGGAGATGAGCTGGATTTTTGTAGTTGGAGTCATAGTGCTTCTGTTTAAAGGTTCATGTTTCAACTAAGAGTTAACGATACATACTTTTCACTTGCTCTCTTCTGCTTGTAAAGATTTTAAGATGCTTTTAAGGTGAAGGAGACAGAAGAGTTATTTGTTAAATAACAGCCTTTTTAGTAAGTTAGTGATGAAGTACAAACGCCTCCTCTACAGATGGTGGGTTAAGGCATTCAAGTGCACTATTGTAAAGGGTTTGTTTGCCCAATGTTTACTCTGTTTGCCTTACACAAAATGAAGACTCTTGTCCCATAAGAAACTGCTAGCGATTAATGCCATGCAGCAAGCCCACTACTTGGAAAGTGCTGTTTATTGCCTTGCAAGTGGAGAGGCGTGAAAGTGCTTTTCTGATTATGCATTGTCCTTAACAAGGATCTAGCACTTGAAAGTAAAATGGATGTGTGTTGCATTCAAATGGAAATAAAATAGATTGCATATAAAAAAAAGGGGGAGGGAGAGAGAAAGAAGATAATAATAATAATAATAATAATAATAATAATAATAATATTTTATTTATATCCTGCCCTCCCCAGCCAAAGCCGGGCTCAGAGCAGCTAACAACAGTAAAATAATACAGCATTTTAAAATCAATTCATTATAAAATCAGTTCAAATCAAATTAGTGGCAACCATTGGGCTAGAGTTCTGTGAGGATTGCCAAAGGAGGGAGTCAGGCTGTGCCCTGGCCAAAGGCCTGGTGGAACAGCTCTGTTTTGCAAGCCCTTTTGAAGATGTCAAGTCCTGCAGGGCCCTAGTCTCTTGTTCCACCAGATCGGGGCCACGGCTGAAAAGGCCCTGGCTCTGGTTGAGGCCAGCCTAACCTCCCTGTGGCCCGGGACTTCCAAGATGTTTTTGTTTGAAGACCGTAAGGTCCTCCGTGGGACATACCAGGAGAGGCAGTCCCGTAGGTACGAGGGTCCTAGGCTGTATAGGGCTTTAAAGGTTAAAACCAGCACCTTGAACCTGATCCTGTACTCCACCGGGCGGCAGTGCAGCTGGTATAGCAGTGGGTGAATGTGATCCCATAGCAAGGACCCCGTAAGGAGTCTCACCGCAGCATTCTGCACTCACTGGAGTTTCTGGGTCAGTCTCAAGGGCAGCCCCACGAAGAGCGAATTACAATAATCCAGTCTGGAGGTGACCGTCGCGTGGATCACAGTGGCTAGGTCAGGGCGAGAGAGATAAGGAGCCAACTGCTTAGCTTGGCGGAGATGAAAAAATGCTGCCTCGTTATATAGCTGCAATCTGCGCCTCCATGTAATATACATTGCCATAATCTAACCTAGAGAGGATAGCAGTGCAGCTGAGGTGGTGGTGGGGGGCAAATGGAGGGCTGCCTTTGAATGCACCTGGCCAGGTAAGTGCCTGGGGTGTCCTTCCACGCTTGCTGCAAGTTAGCTTACCCCACCTTCTTCCCTTGCAGGAGCGAGCCAGGCAGGGCTGTGTGCTCGAGCCCTCTACGATTACCAGGGAGGTGAGTCAAATGTTTTGCATCCGTTTGGGGCTTGGGATGTGAGGGTGGTGGGGGTGGAGTTCTGGATAGATCACCCACAGCAGACACCATAGAATCACAGAATGGTAGAGTTGCAGGGGACTCCAGGGGCGTATCTAGTCCAACCCCCCCTTAATACAATATTGTCATGGAGAGGTTGTTGAGAAGAGGAGATAAATGGCTATATTATATTTGGGGGAGGGTTCCCTGGGGTTCGGAAAGTCAGGGGCAGGAGGAGTGGGGTCTTTTTTTATTTCATAAAATGTACACCCTACTTGATTGTCAGAAAACCTCAGAGCGGTTTGCAAAAAAGGATACTAAACTTATCAGTTGTCAGCAATAATTCCAGACATTCGAGATAAGCATAGACTAAAAACAGGTGAAAACTCACACCAACTTTCTAAGCAAAGGGGTAGGCTTGTCTAAACAGTTTTTAGCAGGCATACAGTGAAGGCACCTGCCTGAGATCAATAGGCGGGGAGTTCCAAAGATATATAAATGGGTATCATGCGATACCAGTAGCAGTGCCAGTTCTGCCAATCTACACAAGTGGGCACATGTGGGGCAAGGCGATCTCGCAGGTAAACTGGTCCCAAGTTGTTAAGGGCTTTATATGTTAATAGTAACACCTTGAACCTGTCCTGATAGCAAATTGGCAACTCTGAGTAATCCAGCCTTAAAGTAAGCAAGGCACAAACTGCTGCAGCCAGACTTTCCTGATGCAGGAATGGTTGCAGCTGTCAAGTGATGCATCACAGGCGTATATTATGGGTTGGCACCTGCAGGTCCCCAAAAAGAGCAAGCTTGGTGCACGTCCAGGAGCAAAACTACATGGGTTCAGGGTGGGCTTTGTACTTGGAAAGACGGGGGTGGGGGGGCAGACTGATACAATGGAGAGACAATTGGTACAACCAAGACCCCCCTTCTGTCTTCTTCTTCTTTGGCGATCCCTTGTAGCCAAGTAAGATTGTCTTCCATAAACATGGTTTTAACAATGAGTCCATAAGTGACTGTGGAGGCCAATTCTGGATCCACACGTCCTTCCACAGTGGGGACATTGGTTCCCGGGCGGGAGTTGATCCTGGTGTGGATTTGCCAAGTGTGCCTTCCTCTTAGCACGTTTCTCCCTTGTGTCCTGAGTTCGAGTGTCTTCAAAGCCCATGACACCTTTGGCAAAGGCTGTTCTCCAACTGGAGCGCTTGCAGGCCAGTGTTTCCCAATTGTTGGTGTGTATACAACATTTTTTAGATTTGCCTTGAGAGAGTCTTTAAACCTCTTTTGTTGACCGCCAGCATTACGTTTTCCATTTTTAAGTTCAGAATAGAGTAGTTGCTTTGGAAGACGATCATCAGGCATCCGCCCAACACGACCAGTCCAACGAAGTTGATGTTGAGGAGTCATTGCTTTGACACTTCTGTAACCCTGCTGTGGTACCCACACCGCTGCTTGGGAGAGGAGGGAATCCCTCCTGACTGACCCACCCTCTTTTCCCCTTCCCCTTTCGTCAGATGGGGACGATGAGATTTCCTTCGACCCTGGAGACACCATCACGGACATCGAGCAAGTCGACGAAGGCTGGTGGCGCGGATCCTGCCATGGGAGGCATGGCCTGTTCCCAGCCAATTATGTGGAGCTGCTGCCTTGAAGCTCTCCGTTGTGATGTGGAAACGCCGCGTGCCCCAGCCCCGCTGTGCCCCCACCCCAGCGTCCTTCTGTTTCACACCAGTAGGCTCCAATCCAGCCCCAGAGTAGAGAAGAGCTTGGCTTTCCCCTTGCAAGATTCTCCCAATTCATTGAAATACATATGTGCTTTTCCTTCCAAGTGCAGTTTCCGAATTTGCTCAGGCTGCCTCCGGGCTTGATGCTTCCTTCCTGTTCTTTATTTCTGAGGGAACCGCAGCTGCCTAATTCAGCTCTCCACCAAATCATAGGAGTGTAGAGTTGGAAGGGACCCTGCGGGTCATCTAGTCCAACCCCCTGCAGTGCAGGAATCACGGCTAAATAACCTCTGCTTGGAAACCTCCAGCAAAGGAAACCCCACCGCTAGATCGCTCGAAGCAGTACAGTGATGCACAAATGAAAAAACGCAGCTGGAAGTTTGAAAGTTCTGGGAAGGAGCCAGTGAAGTTCAAGGGCTGGAGAGGGTGTGCAAAACAAAAGCTCAGCTGCCTTGCTCTGGGCAACCTCAGGCGCTGCATCGCCGGATATTGTGTTAAAAAATTTAAAAAATTGTCCAGTAGCACCTTAGAGACCAACTAAGTTTGTTCTGGGTATAAGCTTTTGTGTGCATGCAAACTTCTTCAGATACCTTTGTCATGGAGAAGTTGTTGAGAAGAGGAGGTAAGTGGCTATATTATATTTGGGGGAGGGCTCCCTGGGGTTCGGAAAGGCAGGGGCAGGAGGAGTGGGGTCTTTTTTTATTTCATAAAATGTGCACACCACTTGATTGTCAGAAAACCTCAGAGCAGTTTGCAAAAAAGGATACTAAACAGTTGGCAGCAATAATTCCAGACATTCGAGATAAGCATAGACTAAAAACAGGTGAAAACTCACACCAGCTTTCTAAGCAAAGGGGTAGGCTTGTCTAAACAGTTTTTAGCAGGCATATAGTGAAGGCACCTGCCTGTGATCAATAGGCGGGGGGTTCCAAAGATATATAAATGGGTATCATGCGATACCAGTAGCAGTGTCAGTTCTGCCAATCTAACCTTCAGGTATCTGAAGAAGTCTGTATGCACACGAAAGCTTATACCCAGAACAAACTTAGTTGGTCTCTAAGGTGCTACTGGACAATTTTTTATTATTATTATTTCGACTGCATCAGACCAACACGGCTACCTACCTGCATCCAGATATTGTGTGCGTGCGATCGCACAGACACACACACTTTGCAACATAGGTGGAGGGGAAGCCCTGCTTATCTTTTTGTGTTGCTCATCTTGCAATGCTCTACCAGGGGAAAAACATGCATGACACATCATACACAGTGTGCATAAAGGGATAAAAAAAGAAGAATAAAGTCATTTATATTAACTCAAATCTCTTGCATGTGGTGGATAGAATATGCCAGCCTTCTGCTGCTCTGCAGTCATTTTGGACTACAGTTCCATCGGCCCCATGCGGCTGTGATAGTTGGGGCTAATGGGAGTTGTAGTTCAGAGCATCTGCAGGGCGTCAGGTTGGGGAAAGCGGTGCTCTGAGTTGGCGCCTCTCCATTTTGATGGGCACAGGTTTCAGAATTTGCCACAAAGCAGAATTAACTGCGTGCTTTCAAAAGAGTCCTCAGGGTTCCTAAGAATACTCACCCACATTGATCCCTCAGCTATTAAAAATGAAGAGTCGCTTGTGAAGCTTCACGCTCATTTCTGAAGGTCTCAAGATCCCTACATGGCTGTGGGCAGATGCACATTTTGCTTTTGGGTGGCCCTAAAACCTCCTTTAATTCTAGGGCCTTGTTCACATGCAACAGGCTTCCAGGAAGACCTGTCAGCCTGTAGGAAGGCAACTTTTCTGATTCCATTAAACACACAAACACACACACACACACACACACACACACACACACACACACACAAGCAAACAAACACACTGTCCACCATATCTCCCCCTGGGGTCTCAGGGCCAGAAACGAGATCTGGGGCAACCCGGTCAGATGGGCAGGGAATAAATAATAATGATCATCATCGCCACCTCATCATAAAAGCCAAGCCAAAGAACCAATTCAAAGATCACAGACACACCATACATATAAAGTGCATGGTTTGCCTCAAGGAATCCTGTAGTTTGTTAAGCGTGCTGGGATGTGTGTGTTCTGATATGTACAGTAAAAAAAACCAATGGGTTGAGAAAGTTGTATTTCATGGGCTGTGGCTGGATGAGAGATGGCTAAGTGCCAGGGTGGTAGAGAGCAGTTGGGTAGAGACTAAACAACAAAGATGGCATGCATTTGGCTATATAATGTATGGAAATGCTCTTGCAGACTCTTTGAAATAATTTTCATTTGATTTTACAAGTGTAGAGTTATAACAATACCCAATACATATCCATATCTAGAGATTTCTATGAATCTCCAGACTTCACACCATCCCCTCCATGGGTCCTATTGTCAACATTTTCACCTGCATATTATTTCATCATCCTTATTTTATACCTCTCAATATGGTCCATAATATTAGTTGAATTACAAGTGTTGTTAGAATCCTGCTAATGTTTTCATCTGCTTACAGTGGTCTCCTAAATAAATTATAAATTTTCCCCATTCTATCTTGAAGTTTTTATCTTCTTGGTACTTTAGCCTACCAGTCAGTTTTGCCATTTTGGCGTACGCCAACAGCTTGGTTTGCCATTCTACTCAGGTAGGGACTATAACTTCTTTCCATCTCTGGGCTAATAGCATCCGTGTGGCAGTCGTTGCATACATGAAAAGTCTTTTCTGCTCCTTTTAGGATTTTGGTACAGACTCTGTGGACTCTGTCCAGTGATGCACTGCTAAGTCAGATCGCTTGTGGTGTGAGCCTCCGTACTTGAACTCGCAAAGGGGAATTTCCCCAGGGGTGCTAGGCCCAAGAGGAATCCCTGTTAGTGAGGGAAACCAAAGCCCTTCTTCAAGCCCCCCAGAACCTTCCTCAGGGCTTCCTTCACCTCCTTGTTGCGGAGGCTGTAGATGATAGGATTCAACATGGGGATGATGATACAATAGAGAGTAGAGATCAGGGTGTCCACTTCCAAGGAGTAGCCTGTGCTAGGGCGGTTGTAGTTCACATCGGCCATCCCAAAATAGATGATGACCACAACTAGGTGGGCTGCGCAAGTGGAAAAGGCCTTGTGCCTGCCAGTGTTGGAGCGGATCCGAAGGATGGCCGACAGAATGAAGATATAGGAGATGACCACCAGGAGGAAAGGTGCCATGCCCATAAAAACGTTCGCTATGTGAAGAGCCATCTCGTTGACATAGGTATCACTGCAGGCGATTTGCAGAAGAGGAGGGACATCGCAGAAGATGTGGTGGATCTGGTTGGCCCCACAGAAGGCCAGGTTGGTGGAGAGTGCGGTGTGAATGGCAGAGTCCAAGAGGCCCCAGATCCAAGTAGCCGTGGCCAGAGGGACACACACTCTTCTGCTCATCAGGTGAGCATAGTGCAAGGGTTGACAAATGGCGGCATAGCGGTCGTAGGCCATGACGGCCAGCAGGGCGCACTCGGACCCCGCAAAGGTCATCAGGAAGAACATCTGGGCCATGCACTGGTCATAGGAAATGGTGTGTCTCTGGAGCAAGAAGTTTACCAGGATCTTGGGAACAGTGACGGACGAGTAGCAGATGTCCAAGCAGGATAAATGGCTGAGGAAAAAGTACATGGGGCTGTGGAGGCGCGAATCCAGTTGGATCAGAGTGAAAATCATGGAGTTTCCCACCAGGGTGATGAGATAGATGGTCAGAAAGAGCAGGAAGAAGAAGACTTGACCTTTGTGGACCCCAGAGAAACCCAGGAAGATGAATTCGGCCACACGTAACGTCTGATTGCCGCTTCTCTCCATCATGGTCAGCTCTGAGAGGAGAACCAAGAAGCAAGTGAGATGAATGGGGGGAAACCAGGATTCATGAAAACATGCAGGTGGAATTTTTCCTTCTTTGTGGAGCAGCCAAGACCAAGAGCCCCAGCCCAGCTCTTAGGTTCTGGGCTTCCCAGTCAGAAAGGGTAGCTTCCAAGATGGTTGGGCAACTCTGCTCCCCACTCCCACCCTGCATTTTAGATTCTATCAACTAACCTTGGCAGTAAGAGCAATTGGTGGTCCGGGTAACCTGGGAGGAGGTTTGGACCTTGGGCAGGGGGCGGGGGATAACAGTTCTCTCAAGCCATTGGTTTACCATTTTTGCCATAAGCCCTCTGGGCAATATTTTGCTGCTTGAACCTCCTGGCTGAAGCAGTGCAGGGCTCAGGTTTCCTGTCTTTACATACAAAAGTTCTCCCTTTCTGCTACCATTGTTGGATCTGTTAGCATTTCTGTAGCAATCATTGAGCAGTCTGATAGGCTATGATTCTCAGAATAAAAGTACTTAGCAAGAGCTTGTTCCGCTTTTTTTTTGTAGTAGTAGAAATTGGGAGTTTCAAAAGATTCACTCCAGAAACACCTCCTTATAGAACAAAATCACTTGGTATACAAGAATGACTCCACAACTGTCATCGATCTTCTGAATGTATACACTGGGCACAGAAAAACACCACATGGCCTGAATCTAGATCAGTGGTTCCCAAAGTATTTTGGGGCTAGTACCCCCCTTGGTTCCATAAACTCGTCCCTAGTTTACCCTACCCTATCGAAAGCATTGTTCAGAATGGGACTTTGCACGATTTGCTAAAGAAGATAATAATGCAATAAGATTTGAAACAGTGACAACTACTTGCATGTTTATTCAAAATCCACTTAAAACTATTTAGTTTAATAAATTTAACTGACAAACTTGAATCAGTGATACCAGCTTTCCATAGTCTAATAGTCCTTTGCACATGTAGTGAATGGTATGGTTTGCATTGGCCAAAAAGATGGCTGAAAACACTACAAAATGGAAGCAGTGTCTCTGAACTGTCTTTGAACTGATCACGAACTGTGTTGTATAAGCGCTAATGAAATGTGGAAAACATCTTC